GGTCGAGTGGAAGGATCTGGCGGACTGAGGTGATGACGACGGAGGACACCGCGGGGATGGTGGAGGGAGGTGTGAGGAGGAAATCGGAGAGGACCGGGGCCATGTCGATGGCGTTAATCGCGAGGCAAACCGGGGTAATTTGTCTCTAGCGACGGATTGTAGGCTACTGCAGGCCGGAATGCAGGCTCTACCGGGGGGGACCAGCGCGATCATCGGCAACGAACAGGATCGCTAGCGGTACCGTTCCATGCAAGAAGAGGACGAGTGATGCTGGAGCGGGCGTGTAGGGGGAGATCCCACGCAACCCAAGCAGGATCATGGAGTATGCAAAGAAGAGAGGAGAGGGTCTGAGGAAGAGAGGAGAGTGTGTGTAAAAGGGAGAAGAAGATGTGAAGTGGAAGAGATGTGGAGGAGAGCTTATCTGATCAAGGCAATCTTTGGCTTGACCGCCCGCCGTCCCTCTTTCGGTTTTCTTCCGCATTCTCCATCCTCCACGCTCTTCAGCTCACCCCATACCACAGGCGTCACTTCATAGGGAGTTCGGTTACGAATTGAATTAATCGCCGTTATCCATTCTTTCGAAACTATCGTTGTCTCCCCGCAAGGGTGTTGTGGTCGCCCATCATGATGCATCCGTCCAGACAGGCGTACGTGGAGGAGGCGGAGGTAAGAACATCCTCTTCTTTGCTCATATCCTGTCATCATTATCACTCGCAATTCCTCGATTCTTCTCTTCAGTATACGTACAAAGCTTGAGCTGACTCCCCCCGAACTAGGACACCGATATGGGCATTGACCTCGCCAACATCCGTAAGTCATCACCCCATGCGACTGAACAGACCGCAAGATACTTTGACTAACTGCGCATTGATTCAGCCGTTGACCGCGATTATGAACTTCCGTCCGCCGCCGCAGGCATTCCCTCAGCTAGAGCCTCCGCCATCCTCTCCCAGTTCGAACGGAAACGACGAGCGGCCGCCATGGCCGTGCCGACAGACGATACCCGTGTGCGCGCGCGTCTGCGAGAGCTCGGCGAACCCATCACGCTCTTCGGAGAGGGGCCCGCAGACCGAAGAGACCGATTACGGGAGCTCTTGACTGATCTCGCAGAACGGCAGGATGCCGCAGCGGCAGAGGGCGACGTGGACATGCGCGAAGCCACAGCAGAGGCGGAGGAAGGCGAAGAGGGTGAGCAACAGGAGGAATTTTACACAGAAGGTATTCCGGAGCTTCTGGAGGCACGGAAAGCAATCGCACGATTTTCGCTACCCCGCGCAAAGGCGCGCGTGGAGCGGCTGAAAGAAGAGTCGACGATCCCACTACGCACGCATATCAAGCATCGAAAAGCAATCAAGGAAAAGCTTCATAACTTTGACCTCTACGGGTCTCAGATTGCTGGTGACCGTCCAGTCAGCATCTGCCGATTCGCGCCTGACGGGCAGACCATTGCGACTGGTAATTGGGGCGGTGGGATCCGCCTCTTGTCGGTGCCGAACTTGGACGAGAAGTTGTCTCTCAATGCGCATACGGATCGCGTGGGTGGCCTCGCATGGTTTCCGGGGGCTACGCTTCCTGCGTCCAATGTCTCCGAATCCAGCGTCAACCTTGTATCTGGAGGTGGTGAGGGAAACGTGTGTTTGTGGTCGCTGGATAAGAAAGAACCTCTAGCGACACTATCTGGTCACAGTGGTCGTGTATGCCGCACGGAGTTCCATCCCTCGGGGCGGTATGTCGCATCAGCATCTTATGATACCACATGGCGGTTATGGGACGTTGAAACGTCGGTCGAACTGCTACTCCAGGAAGGCCATTCGCGAGAGGTTTACACTGTGGCCTTCAACAACGATGGCTCTTTGATGGCCAGTGGTGGGCTTGACAGCATTGGACGAATTTGGGATCTGCGAACAGGTCGTACCGTCATGATCTTGGAGGGACATATTCGGGAAATCTTCGGGCTGGACTGGGGAGTGGACGGCTATCGTGTCCTTTCTGGGTCTGGGGATGGATGGGTGAAATGCTGGGATCTACGCCAGGTGCGGAATATCGGCGGAATTGGCGCACACAAGAGTGTTGTCTCCGATCTACGGTGGTATAAAGGCACGGAGTCGTCGGCGTCCCATCTCCCTTCGACGGATGGACAGAACGGCATGGAGGTGGACGGCGCGCCCGCGAACGAGCAGCAATCGGCGCCAGTCCAACCCCGGAAATCGGGCACCTTCTTTGTCACCAGCGGGTTCGACAAGAACGTCAATATCTTCAGCGCGGACGACTGGTCGCTGGTGAAGACGCTGAGTGGGCACGCAGGCAATGTGCTGAGTACGGATGTCAGTGACGATGCGAGATGGATTGCCAGTTGTGGACATGACCGTACGGTGAAGCTCTGGGGTATTGAATAAGGAGTACTCGGCAAAAAGATAGCTTTCAAGGCTATACGGAGTAATAGCATGGCCGTTTCTGCGTTGAACTGTAGTGCCAATTTTGTCAGATGAAGAGACATGTTGGATCCTATCGGCTACGAGACGATGGCCTTGGCACCATACGTACACATAAACTCCATTATGATCGTCAAACCATGTTAAGATCAGCATGTGTAAAATATCATCTGCAGCATCTTTTCATTTAGTACGTAGTACGTAAAAGATACCTTCTACAGAGTATCGAAATCCGAGGCCTCGGAGAATGACGTAATTTCCCGAACTGCTGACTCAGAACTCCGCCTTACTTAAGCCTTTTTATCCCTCCGATAAAGGCGAGAAACAGCTACACTTCCTGAACCCAACACCCCATACAGTCCGACAAAATGGCGTCCTCAGTCCGTCCACAGAGACTCATCCAGCGACTCCCCGGACCAGCAACATCCCAGCTATCCGTGACAGGCCGGCGCTCGTTCCTCGCACGGACGCAACCCGCCTGCATCCTATGCCGCTTCTCCCAACCCACGCCCGCTCGCCTCCAAACACCCGCTCCTCCAGCACACACCCAGCGGTTCGCATCTACATCCGCCTCTGCAAAAGAATCCCAAGACCCCGCCGCAACGCCCTCCACCCCAGACATCACAAACTACTACACGATCTTCCCGAAGACGCTACCCGGCGGCCCGCCGCCGGGCTCGCCGTTCGCCATCTCCGTCGGCGACCTGCGCCGCGAGTTCCTCCAGCTGCAGGGCCTCACGCACCCGGACAAGTACCCGGCGGGGGCGGCGAAGCAGCGCGCCGAGGCGCTGTCGGCGCGCATCAACGAGGCGTACCGCACGCTGTGCGACCCGCTGCTGCGCGCGCAGTACCTGCTGCGCGAGATGCACGGCATCGACGTCACGGCCGAGGACGGCGCGTCGAAGCATGCGCTTGACGCGGAGACGCTGATGGAGGTCATGGAGGTGCAGGAGACGATTGAGGAGGTGGGGGCCGATCCCGGCGCGGCGGATACGATTGCCCAGCTGAAGAGGGAGAATGACCGCCGTGTGGAGGAGTGTGTGCGGGCGCTGGGTGAGGCGTTTGATCGCGGGGATGTTGAGACGGCGCGGACGGAGTGTGTGAGGTTGAGGTTTTGGTATAGTGTTGGCGAGGGGTTGAGGGAGTGGGAGCCGGGGCATACGGAGATTCGGTTGCTGCATTAGTTGGTTGGTGTATAGATAGATGCTTGCTCTCCTCTCTGGTTGGTTTGAAGTGATACCTTGTTGTTTTGGGACTACTGTACTAGATAGAATCATTGGAATATCTGCACATGGGTTCTGCATCCAATATGCACCAATCAAATTGTCCATCCACATACGTACTTCATTACTTTCAGCGTCGGGGCGACAAAAAGAACAAAAATAAAGAAGTTATGCTCACACTCGGACTTGAACCGAGGACCTCGTGATTACTAGTCACGCGCTCTACCAACTGAGCTATGCGAGCTGATTGGTTGATGTTGAACCCTTTTAATGCTATATTAACCAGAGCATCACAACGTATACTTAGGTATCCAATCACAAAAGGTATTGTATACCGCTCTACGAATTACATGGCGGAAGCAGCACATCGAGAAGTTCAAGGATAATCTATTACTAGGTCTAATCTATACCCCCCATAATCGAAGGAATCACACAAAACGATCGCCATGACCATGTATCAATGCCAGTTATGATGCCCAAACGCCACGCCAACATGCACGACAAAAAACAGAAGACACAGCGAAGCAACGTAGACACAACATGACCATTAAGAAGCTTACTCCACCACATCCTCGTCTTTCCCAGGATACATAATGTCTTTCCTGATGACAGCCCGCACATGGCTGATAAACACAAACAAGAAAATAGACACAATTCCAATCGACATGGCCGTCCCCACACCCTGGATACCCTCGCTCTTGAGGGCCGTACCCAGGTTGATCGTGGCGAGGGTGAAGCCCGTGTTGGGGAAGACCATGGCCCACCAGCTCAGGTGGAAGGCCGTTGGCGGGGAGCGCACGACGGCAATGGCCGCAATGCAAAAGAACCACAGACTCAGCGCCCAGAGAAACACGCCGACGGCGATCGCCAGCAGCTGCAGGATGCGGGCATCCTCGAAGGCGAAGTCATCGCCGATGAGCTGGAAGTCGTGCGGGAGCCCCTTGGTCATGCCGACGAGGGCCAGCGCCGTGAAAGCCGGCGGGCCGACGGCGATGAACATGCCCGGGCGGTGCTCGCGGCACGGCAGGCCGGACTCCATGAGGCGGCCGACGTAGTGGGCGTACATGATCATGCTGATGGAGAAGCCCAGGCCCTGGAAGGTGGTGCCGGCGACGATGATGGGGATGGCGGCGCGGGCCGGCTGCTGCTCGGCGATGACGGAGGCGATGGTGCCAGAGAGCATGACAGGGAAGGCGGGGAGGATCCAGCCGGGCATGGCGGTTTGGAGGCGGTATTTGGGGCCGGAGAAGAGCCAGGAGTATTGGATGACGGCGACGAGGAGGGTGCAAGCGCAGTAGATCCAGAAGAGGGCTTCGAGGGCGAGCACGAAGGGGCGTCCGGCGTCTTCGCCGAAGTAGCGGTACAGGCCTGTGATGATGGTGGCGATCGAGAGCCAGAAGGTTGGGAAGAAGATGCCCTCGCGTTCGTGCCGGAGAGAGTCGACCAGCCCTCCGTGCAGGATGAACCGGCCGGCCATGGTCGAGCAGACCAGGGCAAAGAAGAGCAGGTTGAGCAGGTACACGGCGAGTCCAATCTCCCTCAGGCCGGTGAAGGTGTTTGGCTGGCTCCCAAGGAGGAGGGCCAAGCCACCAGCACTCATTGTGAGAGTATACCAGGCCCAGGTAAAATGGCGGATGCGTTCACGCATGCCCACGGAACCCGGCTGCTTCTCGAATTCATGGTCCAGGATGCCAGAGTCGGAGCGGGAGCTCCCTGGAGGGGCAGTGTTCTCAAACATGGTGAATGATTGTATGAAGGGACTGGGAACGATAGTACGGCAGTGAGTGTGAAAGGAATGAAGTCAAAATGACTGTATAAAGCTGATTGTCAGGGTGGTCTGATGTGTTGTGGCGACGTATACCCGCCTTATATCTCAAGATATGGGACCGCAGACCAACAAGGAAAGAAAAGATTTATGAATATGAAACGAAAGAACGCAAATCTCCTGCAGGCAACAACGCTTGAAGCCCAAGAACGACGATATGCAACCCAATGCACAGATAAAACAATTATAAAAAAGAATGACTGAGGCTAAACACCTGCACAAGGGCAAAAACAGGAATGCGTATGGAAGAAAGAGAGAAAGAGGGTCCAATCGAGAGCGGGCGTATAATTATAGCCAGGCTCCAACACATGCCCAGCTTCATAGGACATCACGGTCCCTCGCCGGTTTCCATCCTGGAACCGATAGTCGAGCAAGTACAGAAGAGAACGACGGCCGCCAAGAGCTCGACAATGATAAGCCCCAGTTTGCAAGCACTCTGGGCGGTGGTTGGCTCAGAGACGACGGTACACCAGACATGCCCGACGTTCATTGTACCGGATTCGGGCCTGCGAATCCACCAGGAGTCGGAAGGATTAGGAAACGTTCTGGCCAGGTGCACATCAGGGGTGGTGCCGGCCTTCACTAGCTGGGACCAGGGGGGTGGATAGGGTGATCTGCGGTCGTGACGAGGCAAAGGCCATAACTTAGTTGGTGATAATCAACTTGGACTGAGTTCTGCCAAGGAGATGATGAGGGCGCAGGGTGAGTCTACGATATGGGGAGTCTGGGCAGTGGGTCAGAGTGCAGATAGCAACGTCAACAGGTATGTTTTTCCGAAGGTGCCGTGCCGTGATGTTAGCATGTCGACATCTACATATGTATGCATGTACATGCATGGAGCTCGATCCCGAAAGGAAGGAAGATGTTCTCCCCGATGCACGCGGCCGTGAGAAAAAAACGATCGGGGCGTTGGGACGCATTTGAAATAGAAATGGTCAATAGATCTATATCCAAAAAATAGGAACCCGGCGAGGTTCCATGGGACAAGCCGAAGCCAACGGCCTTGAGGATCGCCGAAGGCCCAATCCGCCACCCTTTTTTGCAGCCCCTTTCGGGCCGAATCTTAGCAGGCCAAGGCCGCGAAAGAAACAGGGGAAGGGGGATGGTTACATAGTCAGGTCGAGAAAAACCTTGTCGGAGCCGCTAGGAAGACGGGTCTCGGCGTGGAACCGACGACTGGCGCACGATGCCGGTACCGATAGCGTGATGAGATGGTTAGCCGATGCGGGTTTCGTTCTAGCGTGCCCGGCCCTGGCAACGCTGTTTCGTGGATAGATGACGAGCCAAGAAGACGATCGACAACGCATCATCGACGGCAGCTCCGCCGCCAAGCTTTAGCCAGAGGCTGTGTGATAGTGAGAGTTGGACAGAAAACCATCACGGATGAGGCTATGCCAGGGGTTGAGACGATGATTTGAATTTCTGTCCGTTGGATTGGAGGCTATCCGACTAGCTGCTTGGCTTGGGGTTGATCGTGAGAGCTTACGCCGCAGTGGCATGTTGAATTGAGTGGCGATGTGGATGGGAGAACTGTGGCACCCTGGATCCTGTCAAGTGGAGCAGACGGCATTGCATGAGGAAATAAAGAGACTAGGAATGATGCATTGATGCAGAGGAAGAAGATCGAGAGAGAGAGAGAGAGAGAGTTGTTGTGGTGAGGATGGAAGAAAGGAGAATCAAGGCTAGGCTTGGCACGTGTCGCCTATGACGCGAAAGATTGATACTCCTCCCAGGTACTCTATACATGATACAACTCCATCCTGTACTGTTTGATTCTGAAAAACAAGAATAGATAGACAGATCATAGATAGATATCTTGGCGCTGGACAATTGCAAGCAGTCTTGTCCCGCATTGTCGCAATGCTTGGATCGACAATCGACTATCTATCTATAGTCCCGACGATGGACCCATCATGCCCTGGCGGCGGCTGTGTTGGCCTCTCAACCCTTAACGCACGCAGTCCCTCGCCTCTTTAGAACATTTACCCGCCCCATCTGTTCGGATAAAGTAGAAGCCTAGTCCCTGTTTTTAGAACATACATGGTCACAGTGCATCCACCGTGGGGAGCGAGCCACGATGTTGACGTCCTGGCGCATCCTCTCTATGGAGCCTTTCCCTGAAGGAGGTCAATTCAACATCTCCAGATCACTGTCATAGCGACCCCAGCCACGGTCCAAGCATCGAAACATCATTCCAGTCCGATATGGAAACTCCTCTCCGCCAAGCCAGACATACCTCCAGCCAAGACCCTGAAGATCACGACTCCACCAAGCATACCCCTCTCATCTGCGCTGCTCAGATTGCTCCTCAGGGCTCGAGCCACTTGACTAGGATGTGGAATGCACAAGTGCACTGTCTCATCATTGAATGGGGTGGGGTATACCTTTATCCGGCCAAGGCTCTTGGTTTAATAGTCGGGGCGCGAATGCATGGACAGGTATAGAGGCTTTGCTACGCTACCCATACCGAGCACATACTTTGTCTTGGCCGTCGGCGGAGGTCAGCAGTGTGCATGTGAATTTTCGTCGGGGTGCAGCTCGCGGGTTTCAGACTTATGATCAGTATCTGGTATGCCTCTAGGCAGTGATCTCGGGGCATGTACCACGGGGCTGCTCGGATATAGCCACCTCACGATCGACATGCTAATGAGTCGACAGCGAATGGAAGCAACAACATCAAACCCATGTCAGAGCCAAGTCACACCAATTCAGTACGCTGTGTTATCTCAATCCGTACTTCGCCGGTGAGGCCCAATCACATCAACAATGACAGCCCAGCGTACGTCTCAACGAAGTATGAGGAAGTATACTCCCCAAATCAGGGAAGTAACCCGAAGCGCTCCATGCTGTGCCCTGATCTACAAGAGACATCCCGGTCAGAAGCATCTGGAACAGTCCGTCCATGCATGTTGGCCAAGTCCAACGGGAAGATCCTGCAGAATCGTCTCGATGCGATGTAACCATGTCGGCGGCAGAGCGGATAGACCTGGTCAGCTTGTATGATCGTCCTACGTGCTCGACAAATTACCGTGCGAGTTGCAATCACGCAGCGAGATTGACACCCATCGTGATGAAACTGATCCAACAAGGAATAAAGTAGACTGTCATTCTTCATAATATGAGACCCACTCGGCTGTTGCTCCTTCCATACTCCGATTCATGCTACTGGTTCCGTTGCAATTTGGATATACGCAGGCGAGGGACGACGAGAGAATCAAAGCAGAAAGAAATGTTAGGAAAACGACGCCAAGGAAACTCGACGCAAAGAGAAACCTTCAGGGGGTTCGTCACACTTCGTTACATCATTCGATACAATCAAACCAGAAAGAAAGGTCAAGGAAAAGATGCCAAGGAAACTCGAAGCAAAGAGGAATCTCTAGGGGTTTCGTCACATCATCCGATACACCAAATCAGAAGCCAACTCAGGCGTGGCATCCAGCAAAGCACGCATGCCGCGAGCAGACGGCTTCACCGGGTACCGCAGGGACGAAAAGTTGCCTTCCATAGGAGGACAACACTCCGCCAGGTCCCGCACCTTGCAGGCCGCGTAGTGGATGACCAGCTTCCGCAGCTCGTTGTCGCGCAGCTGGGTGGCGGCCGCGGGCGAGATGGGCTCGAGCCGGGTGGTCTTGGTGTACGTGTAGTGGAGGAGGTCGAGCACCATCTTGGCCTTGGTGGTCGTCAGGGATGCGGCCTCGTCATCGTCCGTATTGCGGTCCGACGGGGCGTCGCGGTCCGGGAAGCCCAGGTTGACCAGGTCGCGGTGCAGCTTGCGGAGACACAGCTGCGCCAGGGCAGGGATCAGATAGCGCGCGGCGAAGACGTACAACTTGGCGTGGAAGACGAGGTAGGGGAGCTCGGCGCGACTCGACTGCGTTGAGAGCACGCTCGGAGGCCGCGTGCTGGAGAACCCGCGCGGGTCGATGTAGTTCAGCGACGCGAACTCGTCCCACATGCTGATGCCCTTCTCGTGGTGGGAGGAGAAGTGCTGTTTGGCGAAGGACGTGTCGATGATGGGTCCCATCCGGCGCTCCACTTCCTGGCTGCCGTCCTCCTCGACCTGGTCTGCTGGCTCGGGATCAGGCGTTGTCGTGTCGTTGCCGGACGGGGTTGTGGTGCCCGGAGACTCTTCCCAGCCGTCCTCTGTTCCCTGAGACGGGCCAGGGGCGGTCTGTTCCGCTGCGCTCTCGAAATGGGATGCCTCGTTCGCTCCTTCGTCCTGTTCTGGAGTATCCTCGCGGACTTCACCATCTCGCAAATTGTCAGGCGGAGGGGTGGTAGGGGGAGTCAGCTTGGTGGTGAGGTCGTCCACTTGCACATCTTCTTTCTGTTTCTTCTTGTCCTTCTTCTTCTTGCCTTTCTTTCCCTTCGACGGCGCAGCGTCACCGGCCATGTCCCACGGTTCTACATCCCCATCAGGCGCATCGGTAGACGGCCGCCGACCGCGTTCTTCAGAGACAGGTGCCTCCCCGGCATGGATTTCTCCCAGCGCAGGAGACTCTTCCGCAATACCATTGCCCTTTACACCCTCGCCTACTCCAACGGCTTCAGCAGACCGCGGCGGGGACGGCAAGTATGCATGATTAGTCGGCGACAGGGCGCTATCCGCAGTGAAGGCTCGCTGGAGCGACGGACGATTGACCGGTGACACCGGCTCGCGGTCGTCCTGGCGGGACCCGGGAGGCGGGACGCTGTAGTCGCCGGTGTACGCATACTCGCAGAAGGCGACAAAGGTCTCGACATCCTCGTCTTCAAGCACGGCGGTGTGGTGCTTGGACTCGCGGGTCTGACCGCTGTTCATGAGATGGTCCAGCGGCTTGGAGACATGGCGGGCCAAGCCGGACTGGACGGTCAGCTTGGTATGGCGCGGGCCAACAAGGAAGGTAAATGGCGGTGAGTGGACGATGCTGTATTCCAGAGAGGCATGGTACGAAGCGTCAGTGGCAACACTGTCGTGGTTGGTATGATTGCAGTATCTAGTATCTTCTTGGGGAGGGAGATGTCGCAAGGAATGGAAAGGAAATGAAGCGCTCACCTGCTATAATCCCGATTCGTCTCCATGGACAGCGATGGGTTCGGTGACTCACTGACCGAAGGGGTTGACTAGGGAAAGGTTGAGAGAGAAGAAGAGGGAGAATGCGCGAAGGAAGACCGCCGGCTGCAGTCATATCCCCCCCTTAAGCCGAGGGCCAGCTACACCCTGCGTTAAACCATGACTATATAGCGCCCTTCACGCCTCACAAGCGCACGGCGCAATGGGTCACGATGGATAGCCCGGCTACGTGTGCAGCGCTGAGGGGAGTTGGCCGACCACCGAAATGTGGCCGGCGGCTTCTCAATTGCCCCTTTTGGTCATGGTGATGCTGTCTTATCGCGACAGAGCCATCGACTACCAGGCCCCAGCCCCCCCTGTGCGTCGCTTTATCTTCCATTGAGACGACGCGTTTGCTGGGATACTCCACGACATTCCCACCGGCCAGCACATCCGAGCCACTGCGGGGGTGAGCGCAGAAGTCGGTCTGTGTTTAGTGGCTCGATTGTTGCCCGATGGTTCCTCCCAGCCTCCTGGGAACCCAACGCTGATGGTCGTATCCTTCAGAGGGACCGACTCGGTCATGTGGTCTGCACGGTAGTTGGGAGCTCCGATCGGCATAAATCGAAGCGTGAAGTTGGTTGCTGGTAGTGGTTTGGTCGATGTGCCCTAACGTCCCGATTGGGAAATACTGTGCCTTTGTAGACGGTCTCGTCAACGAGAACTAATCGGAAGAGTCTCTATTCATTTAAATCTATATACAAACCGGAACTCCATCCCAGACTACATTGCCCTCGGCATTTGCGTGCACTAAGTCTAAGGACCAAAGTACCAAACAATTGGGTATCATCAATCATCGAACCACAAGGGCTGTATATCAGAACGCCAACGTCCTGAAGCTATCTCTCTTCCAACCCACGCTGTCCTCTTATAGGACGGGGTGAGGCCAGAGACGAGGCCAAACGGCGGGAGCACGATAACCGAAGCAACGACTCGAGCGGTCGCGGCCCCAGTAATGCCCTGGACGTTCGTCGCAGGGGGCATGAAACATATCGAACAGGAAAACCTGGCGACCCATCAGGCGACCTTCCGTCCAACGTTGCCAATTCCACGGCCCACCACACTGACAACCACGTCGCCGCGGTCGTTCTCATCCGCCGCATCCCTCAAACCCCAACCAGGCGCACCAAACTTGGTCAGATCCCGCGCTAACTGGATAACACTCTCATCGGCGATGACATCGCGGCCCATCTGAATACGACCGACGTCCTCCGACCCCATCGTCATCAGCCCCAGCATCGTCGGTACCGCCGCTGGCGCGACACAACCACCTTTCGAAATCGTCTCCAGCAGCTGGTACGCGCACCGCTTACCGATGTCCTCGGGCGCCTCACCACCCGACGGCGGGGAGATCATATCCGCCGAGAACAAACACCCCGTTGAGGACTCCGCGACCAACGACAGGCCAAAGCCCAGACCAATCTTCTTCTTCGCAGCCGGGTTGTTCTTCTCCGGTGCCGGCACCAGCGGCGCAGCCGCCACATCAGAGAACACATAGGTATCCGGGACGAGCGGGTTGAGGACGCCGCGGGCGGCTTCGATCATGCGAGCGTTGTTGGAACCCGACACGCCGACCGAGTAGGCCACACCGCGAACGCGCTTGACACGGCCGGGGTTCATAAGGTGCAGAGTCTTGGGCAGACGCACCTGATGGCCAAAGACCAGCTGCACCTCGCCGCCGCCACCGCGGCCGTTGGGACCCGGGTTGGACCGGCGCAGGATCCGCAGCTCGATGTTGTTGAAGATGCCGAATTGGTTGAACAACGGGAGAATGGCGGTGCGGACGCTGTCCACGGACATGTCGCCGGTCGGGGTGGCCGAGGTAATCACGCCGGGGCCGGTGAAGAGCACGCGCATGGGCGCCTTGGAGAAAGGGGCCAGAAGACATAGCGGGAGGAGGAAATAGCTCACGCCGCGCGTGCATCCGGCTGGGAGTTCGTGGGTGACCACGCTGCTGCTGCCGCCGCCCACGCCGGCGCCGCATCCGGTGATCAGACCCGGTTTGTAAACGAGAATGGTACCGGTGTAGGAGATTTCCATCTGCGATCCATTGGTGACGCTCTCCAGGAGACGGAGGAAGGAGATTTCGTGCGGCGCAAGACCGGGATTCGTAGGATTCGACGAGCGTATCTGCGAGATGTGGACTGTCCGGCCGGTGAGCGTGGCGAAGACCAGACGGTAGACAAAATTATGGTGGGAGGTGAAGCGGAGGGGAGGCTGAGAAGTCGCCATGGTGAAAATTGAGGCCCTCCGTGAATATGGTGTTGCACGAGAGGAGTGAACTGTTCGACCAGAGATGGAGATGTTCAGACTGAAAAGAAAATCTGCCGGGGCAGCAGTTGTTCCGCCCCGAGGCATCGGGGTTAAGCCGACAGCTATCTCCGGCAACATCATCAGCCGATATCCTCCATCACTCTACCTACCTATCTTCCTAGTCATTCCTCGCCATATCTCCTCGATCAAAACACATTCCCAGGAAGAGTATCTAGCTTTCCAGCGTCACAATGCTCCCTCCCGCCCTCAACATCCCCAAATGGTGCCAACCCCTGCCCTCTACACTCCTCTCTACCCATACCCCTCCCCCGCATCGCCAAAACCATCGTCATGCCACCACCCCAATACTAACCTCCCCAGGCTCGAGGCCAACTCGCACCTCCTCCAACCCCCTGTGAACAACTACTGCGTGTACCACCCCTCCTCACCCGCAACATCCGGCTATACCGTGATGATCGTGGGCGGGCCGAACGCCCGCACCGACTACCACATCAACTCGACGCCCGAATTCTTCTACCAGTACCGGGGGTCCATGCTCCTCCGGACAGTGGACAGGAGTGTCTCGCCGCCCGCGTTCCAGGACATCCCCATCCACGAGGGCTCGCTGTTCCTGCTCCCGGCGAACACGCCGCACTGTCCCGTGCGCTTCGCCGACACCGTCGGCGTGGTCATGGAGGTGCCGCGCGCGCCGGACGCCACTGACACCATGCTCTGGTTCTGCCCCAATAGTGCTTGTAAGCAGGTGGTGTGGGAAAAGCGGTTCGTCTGCACGGATCTCGGAACGCAGGTGAAGGAGGTCGTGGAGGAGTTTTCGGCGGATCTGGCCAAGCGGACCTGTGCTGCGTGTGGCACTGTCGCTGAGTCGAGATATAAGGAGGGCGAGCTGACCCAGCCGCCGAGGTTCCCTCCGGAGTAAGCGTTTGTCTATCTGGGTCTACTGGTCTGTATGTTGTCGAGCCCAACGCGCCAAAAGTGTAGTTCTCTCAGTTGTTTTTTTCCTTTCTTTTCGGGCCATTATAATGTCTGTAATATGATCACGATTACGACGACGACGACGACAAATCCGGAGTCTTGATCTGAAGTTGTGAAATTAGGTTATATCGCACCCTTGGTGCTGCGACTTGTATATAGAGAAGGGAGTTCAGGCTCGAATGAGGACCCGTCGAAATTAAGAGGTCCAGAAAGAACAACAAACGGATCAGCTATTAACACAAAGATATAAATGTAGGAACCTGTAATATTCTATGACCCAGACAGCCAAAAGAGTAAGAGAAAATCAGTCCAGGAACATGTGAATGGGGGAAAGTGAAGAAAGAATGGGAGCAGAACCCATAGGATTGCCATCCGCATAACCCGCAAGCGCTAAAGCCACAAGATGAATCATTGGTTAGGTACGAAAGAGGCGTCGGATTCACTACCCATTAATCATCAAAGGGACAGTCAATACTCTCGTGGCCATCCCTCTCGCACAGGGCACACCACTTCGACGCATCGATGACGCCGCTAGATTTACCGGCCACAGGAGGCATAGACGACGTGAGACCCTGAGTGGCACTCTTCAGTCCGTCGAGGACATCATCTCGACCTGTCTTCTGGGGCGTCGTGTCGGGTTCATAGGCTGCGGGTGCGGGTTCCGGCGCAGGGGACGGTCTGCGGGGGGCTTTTTCGGGGGTAGACGTATCGTGTCTGGGCCCATCTGCCTCGGCGCCTTTGTTCTTCTGCTCAGCACCAAACATATTCGTGCAGCTTAGAATATCATGTCCACCAGTTTCGCAGATTTCGCACCACAAGGATCCGCCGTCATCGGAACGGCCATCGGATTCGTGCATGGTCTCCAGGCGTTGCTGCGAAGATCCTGTCCGACGGTGTTGTGGGGAGTAAGCTCGATACTGCTCCTCATCCTCAGGCTTGTCTGACCAGTCACTGGGGACGACGGTGCGGTCTGACAGCCGACGAGAGTGGCTTCCGGGAGTCGGACCCCCAGCCTTCCCTGTAGAGCCAGTTGGTTTGTGGTATGAGGTATTTACGGTGGAGCTGCGAGTGCGGCTGCCGCCGTTCACCTGCAGTCGTTGGAGCTCACGCTCGAGTTCTTCGATCCGATATGTCTTTCTCTCCGTAATGCGTTCATACTCCTGAACTCGCTCCTCCAAATGGGCCAAATGTTCGGAATTGTGCTCGGAATGAGAGCCCGCAAGGCCGTTCTGCTGCAGCGCCTGCATATTCGGTTCACCGCGGCTGAGTGAATGGATAATCGCCTTGAGACCGCGGATCTCATCATCCTTCTGCTCCAACTCTCGAATATGTTGCTGGTTGTCAGGCGTGGCGTGTGCATCCTGCAGCCGCGCCGCAGTGCTTTCTCGTTCCTTATCAAGCTCCAACCTCGTCCTCTCGACCTCGCCGCGCAGGAACTCAACCTCTGCGCGCGCCTCCGCCTCACCTCGGCGGGCGTCTTCCAAGCCTTCTTCTAGCTCAGAAACCAATTCCTCCAGCTGTTTGAGTTGCCTCGCAACAGCTTCAACATCCTCACCACGGTCCTGTAGTTCGCGGTTTTGTTGCATCAACTCGTCTAACCGCTGCTCGTAGACCCGTTCGGTTTCGGAGGCAGCCACCTCCAGAGTGTCGAGGGTACTGCGGAAGTCGGCACGATGAAGATCAAACTCGGCGGTCAACTGCGCGATGCGCTCGTTCTTCTCGCGGAGCTGCGCGCGAATCGAAAGCGCATCTGATCCCTCGAGTTCCTCGAGGGTGCGCTGGAAGTCTGCCAGTGTATTGGCCTGCTCCTCTAACTGTTTATCACGCTCCACCAGCTCCTTTTCCAGATTCTTCACCTGATTCCTCAGCTCCTGAAGCTCACCGGAACTTGAGGGCCGGCGGAAATCCGACGTTCTCGCGGATGGTATATCGTCTTCAGCGCTGACACGGGACGACGGTCGATCCGAGGCACGGGACGGAGCTTTGACGGGACTGCGGGGGTAGCCATTGGCAGTGGAAACGGCTCTTGCGGCCGCGGACGACGGCGTACGCAGACCGGTGAGGTTGAGCTTGGAGGGTGGAGGGCCGCGCGGGGATTCGGCGCGTGGGAGGGACGGACGGGCGGTCACCCGGGGAGTTCGGGGCGCGGAGACGCCAGGACCGATGGACTTGCTGAAGTTGACGGGACGGGAGGAGGATGGGGTGGGTGGATTGCCTCCGATGGTGGAGGACGAGAAGTTCGGGGCGGTTCGCTTGGTGACGTACTTGTTGTTGTTCATGGGCACAAAAATCCCGGAGCCTGGCACGGACGTCACAAAGTATTTCCTCCCCTCGACGTCGCCATTGTTTTTACCCCTCCTGGCATGCTCCGCAGCTAGTTCGATGCCGGCGAACTTGCCAGGCTTTCCGGAGACGCCGCCCAGGTATTTGACCGTGCCGTACATGCCCCCAGGCACATTCACCAGGTCGCCGACATGGATCTCGTCGAGGGGCGCCATCGCTTGGAGGGATCGACGGTGGAAGATGCGACCGCGGAGGGAGCTCGGGATCTGGCGAGGAATGGAGTGGGATGGATCAGTGAGACAGAAGAAGAAAGAGAAGGAAAGAGAAGAGAGAGAAAAAGATCAACAGCGGAGACGAGAGAAGGGGAAAGAATGTGGGAGTGGAGGAGAAAGGGAGAGAGGGGGGGAATCAAATAGGAGAGAAGGAAAGTATGAATAAGGTGGAATTAATGATGGATCAGACACGGTCAGGCATGTTTGGGTACCGACAGCAGGTTGTCCACCATCGGAGGTAAGGAAGCAGCGAAGATACTCGACAACAAGCAACCTGTCGATAGTAATAAACGCTTCTACTGACTGCCAGAAATCAGGAGGCCAATTCGAGCAAACAAACACACGAACCATGGGTCGTTACCGTACCGTACCATGGTATCATACCGCTATCGATCCCTGATGTACCTGATGTACGGAGTATGTACCTCTAGTACGTGCAAAACATCCCAGTGGAGGATCAATTTCTCTCCTTGCTTATACCAAAACATATTATACACACACACATATATTAAGGACTACCAGGCCACATCCATCATCTCCGTATCCTCATCCTGGTTTGGCTCGTACGGAGGAGGTGGTTCATTCGGATATTCTCCTTCATAGAAATACCCACCTGCATTACGTTCGATCGCCTCGAACTCCTCCCGCAGATTCCATGCCGATCTTGGAAACTTCGTGCCCTGTCCGGGATGTCGCTGTGCACGAAAGTCACAATCAAATAACTCCCCGCTTGCATCCGCCAGCAGATGCTCGAACGTTCCTTCAATCGTCCCGTCCCCCAGGAACTTCATCGTTCCTGTGCACAGACGTCCAGCTATCGGTGCGTATCCGCGAGATCGATCAGTCGCGCGCCATCGGAAAAAACATGCTTCGTGGATGTCGTCACGGTCTAGGTGAAAGACGTTGTACGGGCGTTCCGGCATGAACAAAACACCGGTCAGGTGGCCAATCTGGAACTCGCCCCAGACACTGGCATCCTCCAAACAGAGAGTAATGCCTGAATTGGACAGGTCGAGTCCTGCGACGTTGACTTCAACACAATAAGTTCCATTGATCAAGCCCAGCTTTGGGTTGTGGCTCTTTGGTGAGACCGTGTTCCGGTGCTTCAGATTCTTGGGCGATTCCTCGACTGGGGATGAAGCGTTGATATTGGTTCTGGACTGTACCGCTCCATAACCAGCTCGAGTACTCCGCGCCGTCTGCTTTTTCGCTGTTTGTTTGAGGGCTTCCTCGTTGGCTGCAGAATTAGCCGATGAAGCGGAGCGAGTAACCCCTCCTGGTCGGAAAGGACGAGACCGTCTTGCAGTCTGCAGCGGACGTGGATGGTTCCCGATCGCAGTTGGCTGGGTGTCTGAACTGGTTGGCTGCGAACTGAGTGTATTCGCAGGAGTGGTTGCTTTGGTGGCTGCCGGTTTCTTGACCCGGGACCCATCTTGACTCTCGTCCGCTTTTCGTTTCTTCGTTGAGTTAGGGTTCGTTGTGGCTTGATTAGGATCTACCCCAATATTCACGTTGATATTGATGTTGGCGTTCTGGACGTTGGCGGCAGACAGCCCCGTCATCGCAGCAGCGGTGATTGTCGCAGCAAGATCGTCATGGTCCGCCTTCCTCTTGATGCTTTTTCCCGCTGCGTCTTTCCCTTGCGCTTCTGTAAGCCTTTGAGCGTCGGCGAGTTCCTTCTTTGCTTTTCGGACATTCGCGTCCCATTCCTTTTTGAGCTCTTTTTCTAGCCGCTGCAGATGCGCGGGAACCGCCAGGATGCCCTGGTTCAAGGCGTCGAGTAATCGTTTGGCGGCGGTGCCTTTGTTGTCGGATGGCTGAAGCCCATAGTGTAGCAACTGAGCTCGATACCAATGCGCGGGATGGTCCTTCACGGGTGCCTGTCCAGGGGCGGGATGGAAGAGGATTTGGAGTTCTTGGACGGAGGCCCGGCGATGACGGTTCTGGTTGGAGCTGGTCACTAAGAAGTCACCATTGAAGTAGTGATAGTCGTGTCGAGATACCGGGGGCGGAAGCGACATGGTGGAAATGGATGAGAGACATAAGGGCAAGGAAGGGTACCTTATTGTGATCTGTGATATTGTTGCGATAAGAGATACTTACCATATTGGGGAAGGTCGATACGTGAGCGTAATATACTGTATTGGCGGTACGCCCCATCCGTCCACCTCATCATCGTCGTCGTCGCATCTCCTCTCACTACTACTGCTATTTCCTCGGAGTATACTGCACCTACCAACCTCCTTTGCTGTACTCTCATCGCGCCTCTCCCTCCTCCAAAATCCTCCCTTTCTCTCTTACTCTATATTTTTACTTCCCCTCCTATCTACTCCTCGTCGGTGGAGCAATCCCTCATCTCAACACCATCTCCTTAACTTCGCCGAGGAACTCCCCAACCGTGTAATCGGTGCACTGCAACTCTGACCATGGCGCAATACTTCTTTGACCTTCTATACAATTTCACAGATTGCATGTGCTGTTTTCCCAGCACGCCGCAGTTGAAGATCAACAACCGCAGCTTCAAGTTGCTCCGGCTTCTAGGTGAAGTACGCATACATCTCCGCGACGTTGGACCCCGTACCTCGCATGTTCGCAGCTGACCAGCCCCATCAATAGGGTGGCTTCTCCTACGTCTACCTGGTCCAAGACAAATCCACGTCCGAACTCTTCGCCCTCAAAAAGATCCGATGTCCATTCGGCCAAGAATCCGTCTCGCAGGCGCTGAAGGAAGTCGAGGCCTACACCCTCTTCACCTCGGAATCAAATATCATCCACTCCATCGATCACTGCGTCTCGACCGAATCCGGTTCCAAATTTCGTTCCGATGGGGGCGACGCAGGCTCGAAGACCGTCTACATCCTCCTCCCGTACTACCAGCGCGGTAACCTCCAAGACGCCATTAACGCCAACCTGGTCAACCACACTCGCTTTCCGGAGAAACAGCTGATGGTGCTGATGCTCGGAGTTGCAAAGGCGTTACGCGCGATGCACCAGTATCGAGTCAAGAGCGGCGCTGGCGCCACCCGCAAGGCCAAGGGGGTGCGACGGGAGGGCGAAGAGGCCGATGCGGAGGTTGGCATGCGCATGCCAAAACCGAAGCGCCGGGCTAGTCACAAGGTGGATGACGACGACGAGGAGGAGAACGAGCCGTTGATGGACAACGAGGTCACCCGGAGTCAGGAAGGGGTTCAGGATGGCGACGTGCGTCCGTACGCCCACCGGGACATCAAGCCAGGTAGGACGCCTGAATCGGATTGGGGCGCACCGCGCCCGAGGTTGAATGCCGCGCTGACACTACTTAGGGAACATCATGATTGCGGATGACGGCCAAACGCCTATTCTGATGGATCTTGGGTCGCTCGCCCCCAGTCCCATCGCCATTACCTCTCGTTCTCTCGCTCTGGCGGTTCAGGATACAGCCGCGGAGCACAGTACCATGCCGTATCGTGCACCAGAACTGTTTGACGTGAAGACGGGATCGATCATAGATACCAAGGTGGATATCTGGTCTCTGGGCTGCACTCTCTACGCGTGTTTGGTAGGCAAGAGCCCGTTCGAGGCCCGTAGTGAAGAAACCGGTGGCAGTCTGAGTATGTGTGTTCTGGGCGGAGACTGGCGATTCCCGGATGAGAAGCCCAATGCCGGCAAGGGCAAAGGAAAGGCGGGCGAGACGGCGCAAACCGACAACGCCACTATCAGCGCTCCGGTCAAGGATGTCGTGCGGAAGTGTCTGCAGGTTGAGCCAGCAGACCGACCCGACATTGATGAGCTGATTCAGATCATTACGGATGTCATCAAGGAACTACCTGGTGACGATGATGTCGCCAGCGGGTCGAATTGATCCGCCTCTACCGTTATCTGGCTGTTGTCGTCATGAGTGTATCGGGGTAAAGCTGTTTTCATATCCCTTCGCATGCCGTGCGCTGCTTCATGTATTGTCTGATATACCATACCTACTGGGACTGTATAATATGAGCCAATCCTGCACCACCTGGTGTACGTGGCGACGGACGTCACGATGTATCTTTAGCAAACACAACCGGGGAGGAAACTGCTCAACGAGCGCTAGTCGATCCTGGCGTTGAGGCGACAACAGAGAAAGGGGAATCCAGACGAGTGTGCGAAAAGCTTCTCCGCACCGCCCGCTGCCAATAATGACGTGCCTCCGGTCTTTTCTCCGCTCGCGCAGTCCGTTATCAACAACTAACCACCTCCTTTAGGCATGACTGATAGCCATGTGGACCCCCGTCGGCTGATATACATGCTCTGAGGGGAGCGCCATTTGTCCCAGCGGAAGCATTCCGACTGACTTATCGCAGGATCATCCACGGCAATGATAACCTGCGAGGTCACATCGGGAAATATCCAGAAAGGCGGGGGAGCGAGGCTTATATGCTGCGCTGTCCCTTGCCTGGGGGGATTCCGGTTCTCCCCAACTTTCACCTCTTATCCCCTCCTTCGACATCTTCTTCTGGAGCCATTGTCAGGACGTACAATCGTCTCTTGGGCACTATGGCGCACCAGGTGGACCGCAATGCCATTCCTGGCACCTTCACCCTGGTAGATTTGGAGCATACCATGGCCAGTCGTCATCTGGATCATGGCAACAGCGATATCGTTCTAGTACCGCAACCCTCGGACGACCCGGACGATCCTCTGAACTGGTCACCGCGACGGAAACTGCTGTCAACCATCTGTGTCAGCGCGTGAGTCTTACAGTACCAGTCCGGGTGAATAGGAGCTAATCAGCCTTGGTGCGCTGCAGCTACACCCTCTTCACAGGAATTGGTACCTCTGTGGTTTATTCCGTACTCGTGCCTCTGTCCGAGGCAACAGGCGTTTCCGTCGGCACACTCAACCAAGGGACTGGGTATATGTTTCTGCTCGCTGGCTGGGGGTTGTTGTTCTGGCAGCCTTTTGCCTTGCAGTATGGGAAACGTCTGACGTACCTTCTCTCTTGTATTGGGACAATCGTAAGTCCAAGTATATTATACCATTGTGGCCAACTGTGTCTGACCAGCGACAGGGTACGTTAGTATGGGGGTAAGTCCAGATTATACCCGCCGAGACTGCCTATCAACTAACAACTCAGTCCATACATTAAAAGCAATGGCGAATGGATCGGCCGCAGTATCCTGTGCGGGTTCTTCATTGCCCCGATTGAAGCTCTGCCAGAAGTATCCGTCACTGACGTGGTACGTACGCTTCGACCAACCCTATGTCTACAGCTAACACCAGTCCTAGTACTTCACTCACGAACGCGGCACGTACATGGCTCTCTACGCATTTTTCCTCGCAGGCAGCAACTACTTTGCCCCCGTTATCTGTGGCTTCATCGCACAGTATCACGGGTGGAGATGGGTATTCTACTGGCCGGCCATTTTCATCGCGGTGACTGTGGGTTTCCTGTTCTTCTTCATGGAAGAGACAAACTATACGCGGCATACGGTTGGCACGGCTTCAGCTGCCGGCCTTACCTCTTCTGCTACTAGTTCCGAAAAGGGAGACAAGGAGAAAACGCCGGCAGATGCCGCTCCACAACAGGACGCAGAGTATGGTGTTGTGTCGAATTACAGCAAGAGGACCTTTGCCCAGAAACTGGCTATCATCGGCCCGACGCAGCCCAACAACATGCTTCGACGATTCTGGCATATCCTGTATTACGTGAGCTGGCCGGTGGTGTTCTACGCAGGGTATGTCATTCATCCCAACACAGATTGTCGTCGCCATCTAACAAATGTAGATTTTCGTATGGTTCGTATCTCATCTGGTTCAACATCCTCAACGGCACGGCATCCATCATCCTCGGCTCTGCGCCTTACAATTTCGGGTTCGTAACTCCCACCACACGGTTAGTTATAGCTAATAAATTTAGGTCGTCCATGGTCGGGCTGAGCTATGTTGCATGCTGCATCGGTGTGATTCTTGGGTCAGTGAATCCCAGCCGTCATCCATATCTAGTCTAATCGTCAACAGCTCGCTCTTCACCGGCCGGTTCAGTGACTGGCTCACCATCCGACTGGCGCGCCGCAACAATGGTGTCATGGAAGCCGAGCAGCGCCTGTGGCCCTTCCTTGTCTGTCTTATCACTGTGCCCGGCTCCCTGATCCTCTGGGGTGTCGGCGCAGCGCACGAAATTCACTGGTTTGGTTTGCTGGTGGCCATGTGCGTTCTTGCGTCCGCAAACACCTGCGGCGTCACCCTGAGCGTCAACTATCTGGTCGACAGCTACAGTGAGGTGAGTGGTGATGCCATGTCCAGTATCATCCTGGTGCGGAACACTATGTCGTTCGCCTTCAACTATGGGATTACGCCGTGGATCGAGAATCTAGGGTACCAGAACTGCTTCATCTCGGCCGCGTTCATCGGTGTGGCATGCTCGGCGGTCTTCCTCTTCATGATTAAATACGGCAAGACGTTCCGGACGCGCTCGCGGGCCAAGTACTGGGACATTGTGGTCGAGAATCGGGCACGGGGAATGGGCCATTAGCATTGCTCCAAATATACGATGTGACATGATACACATAAGCAACAATCATGAATTAAACCTATATACAAACGTTTATCTTCCAATCGATCACTTCAAGTGGATATCTCCCTTCTCGTCATACCCGATCTCGCGCATGCGCACACTGCGCAAGTGGCTCACGCCACCGGACATCTCACAGTCATGATAGAACAAATACCATTTTCCGCGGAATTCAGCAATAGAATGGTGCGTCGTCCAGCCGATCACAGGCTCCAGAATACGGCCGCGGTACGTAAACGGGCCGAATGGGCTATCGCCGACAGCATACACGAGGTAGTGCGTGTCGCCGGTCGAGTACGAAAAGTAGTACTTGCCATTATACTTGTGCATCCAGGCGGCCTCGAAGAAGCGGCGCTCGTGGTCATCAGCAGCGATGGGCTGGCCGTTCTCGTCGAGAATCTCGAGCTCACGCACAGGTGTATCAAAGCTGAGCATATCCTCGCTCAGACGGGCAACACGCGGAAACAGCGCCTTCACACCAGGCCCAGCAGGCTCCTGCGGGCCCTGCTTCGACGCATCGAAGACCGTCCACTCGCCGGCCTCGTTGCGACTCCAGCACTGCAGCTGGCCACCCCAGATACCACCGAAGTAGAGATACCCGCGGCCGTCGGCGTCGTCGACAAACGAGGCCGGGTCGATGCTGTAGCTGCCGGGGATGTAGGAGGGCTCGGCCTTGAAGGGGCCGGCCGGGTCGTCGGCGACGGCGACGCCGATGCGGAAGATGCCGTCGTGGTCGCGCGCCGGGAAGTACAGGTAGTATTTGCCGTCCTTGGTGGCGGCGTCGGGCGCCCACAGCTGCTTGGAGACCCACGGCACGTCGGCGGCCGTCAGCGCGACGCCGTGGTCGGTGACGGGCCCGCCGACCTCGTCCATCGACAGCACGTGGTAGTCGACCATGTCATACTGGTCGCCGTTGTCGTTGAACTGGATGTCGGTCTCGCGGTCGTGCGACGGGTAGATGTACAGTTTGCCGTTGAAGACGTGCGCGGATGGGTCCGCCGTGTACATGTGCGTGACGAGGGGTGGGCTGGCCATTTTGTATGAGGGGGAATTGAGGATTGAGGGCTGGTGCAGGTGGTGAGTGCCGTGGATGAAGCCATAGTGGCGTCGGTCTATATATTAGCGTGTGTTTTATCCGCCACAGGCTAAACAACGCCCTCAATGGAATTACCCCGCGGCACGCCGCGGGTAAATGGCGTCTTGGTATTGGGTTTATCCTAGTTGACATTTGTCCTTTGTACCCAGGTACCAAGTAGTTAGTTAGTATTCACGGTGCAAAGCCGAGTACGTAAGCGCTTGTGCACAGATCACTCAGCCCTATGAAGTATAATCGTCCACGGGTGTTTACCGGCACTGCCATAGGTAGTCTTCCCCGTCTCACTGTATGTATTATATTCCTCAATCCATCTGTACAACATTTAGTATATATCATAACCACTTCCACTGAAAAGTAAAGCGAAAATCAAACCGATCCCGACAAAGCGCCTGCTGCCATTCCCGCTCCATCCGCTCCAACATCTCCTCGACAGTCTCCCGTCTATCCATAAACATCCACGAAATATCCGGCACATTCGGCACAACAAAGTGCAAAGGGACATCACACCCGCCTAGCCCAATAAAGCTTCCGAACCAGCGGCGCTTCTCCTCAATATCCACGTCCCAATCACGGTCCACGACGACCTGCGCCGGAACCGCAATCGGGTACATGTAAGTCTCCGGGACGGGGGGCCATACCTGGTGGTAGTAGGTGAACAGGGCATCCAGCTGCGCCGAGGTCAGGAGGTGGTAGGCGAGGAGCGTCTTGGGGAAGTCGGGGTGCGGACGTCCCGTTGAAATGGATACTAGAGGCGCGAGTGGCGTTCGAAGGAGGTCGAGCAGGTCGAGGAATTCAGGGGACAGCCTTGACTGCGACTGTTGTTGTTCCTGTAGCATGCGGGTGAGCTCTTCTGTAGAGGTGGGGGAGTATAGGAGCCCCAGGAAGGAGAAGTCGGGGGACTCGTGGTCGTCGTTCGTCATTGTGTGGATGTATATATAACTGGCTTGAGTCAGCTGAGGTTTTGAATGAGGGGAGATTGTTCAGGTTGGGAGCCCTGGTTGTATTAGTTGAGATGTGCCCTGAGCGAAGATGAGTAGTTGAACGAGACGATGGGCATATTTATATCGCTTGGAGAGTACCAGTACTCTGCTTCAGACAAAGGATCAAAGGGTTCGAGGCCATGAGCAGGGGTCATCCTCGGCTGATGCCGAGCTCTTTGTGAGGAATGAAGCGGTTGTATTCACAATCGGCTTTGTTGTCTTTGTAGTCATCGGCGTAGGGGCGAAGAGCAAGATGGAAAGAATCTAATTGTCTGAACTAGGCCTTTGTAAGTCTCCTGTTACTCTCCAGGAGTTCTCAAACATACCCATTCATTGACAAAAGCCCTGAGCTTAGGAATGGAGACGGACACTTGTATAATCTCACAGCCTTCTGGCAAACTCTGTTGTACGGAAAATGCCACATACGTGGAGATGTGCGTGTTCGGTCAGTACGAATCTTCAGGGAAATAGTATAGTCAAACATCAAATGATATTAGCAACTATGAGATACGTAGGGTGCATGTGACACCGATATGCAAAAAACAGGCAGCTAGCTAGATTGATCAGTCACTTGAGGCAATCCAACATGCTTGTTGATCCAGTTGAAAACCGTATTATGCCACATAAGCGCATTCTCGGGGTTCAGCACCCAATGGTTCTCGTCGGGGAAAGTAAGAAACTGACTCTCCACTCCGCGCATCTGCAGAACGTTGAACGCCGCAAGACCCTCAGCGATCGTCAACCGATAGTCTAGTTCGTTGTGGATGATCAAATGAGGTGTCTGCCAGTGCTCCGTAAAGCGAGACGGGTCCCACCGGTCCCAGTTCTCGGGAACTTTCCAAAGTGGACCCTGAAGATCATGCAGAGGGAAGTACATTTCCTCACTGCTCATCATCGAATGCATACTGAAAACACCATCGTGCGTGACGAGGGCTTTGAAGCGACGGCCGAGCGGATGACCCTGAATCCAGTTCATCATGTATCCGCCATACGAAGCCCCGAGTGCCACGGCTCGAGTGGTATCGACGTAGTCCAAGTTTTGTTCAATAAAGTCGAACCCCTTTTCGATATCGATATAGGGCAGCCCGCCCCAGGAGCCTCTAATGGCATCAGTGAAGGGCTGTCCATACCCGGTGCTGCCTCTTGGATTGGGCGTGATGACGACATATCCTTGCTCGGCGAAGACCGCAGGGTTCCAACGAGTACTCCATTGGTCATTCCATGCTCCTTGGGGCCCGCCATGAATCAGATACGCTAGTGGATATTTGTTGCCAGGTTTGAAATCGGATGGCTTCACTACCCATGCGTGGATAGGGTGGTCTTCAGCACCCCTATACCATATTTCGTCAACTTGGGCGGGTGACAGTCCAAAGGTAGCGCCACCGCGGCCAAGGGATGAAATCACACGGATATCGGATGGGTGTTCGGTATCGATGATCGACCACACGCTGTTATCCAACAAGCTGTTGCTCGAAATGAGCAGTTTGGAAGAGGAGTCGCTAGTCGCAGGATATACATCGTTCACGTGACCCGAGTGGGTAAGCTTCTTAAGTATATCCGGGGTGGAGTGCCGGATATTAGAGAGCGGCAATTGATAGACCACTCCTCGGCCGTGCTCCTCAACCTGGACGAACAGGGATTGGTCATCATTGGAGAAGGTCAGACCGTAAGGGCTGAGAGGCCAAAGACCTTCGCCATCAGGAGACGCGAATATTTCTATCATCTCTCCGTTCCAGGGGTTGGGTACGTATAGGATTCTGTTTTTGTCGGATTCGTAACCATCCTCGCGCATCGCTAGAAGGGCAATCGCGCTTCCGTCGGATGAAAGGACAGGCGATGACATGGCCCCTTCCAGGCCCTTCATAGCATGTACCTTCGTCTTGATCTCGTTCATACTCGTCCAGGAGAACATCGGGCAGTAATAGCATGAGCAAGAAGTGTGCGTTGCCGGATTCAGCTTCGGATCTTTCGCCACGAAGACAATTGCCGACGGACTGATATCAAAATCACCCGTGCCTCCGAACGGAGGAATTGGCGACTCCACCCCAGTCAGCCCGCAGACAGAGATCAGGTTCGTCAACCCTGAGACGGAGTACTTCCCCGAATTCCGAGTAGCCGGGTTGACTGGCATGCGCTGGAGCAAGCCGTAGAAAATTGCATTCTTCTGGGGCTCAATGTAAGAGTCCCAATGTCTCACAAAAAGCGAGTTATACAACCGTCCCGTGCTGTGCGGCTTCTTGGCGTCATGCGGGTTGAAGAGAGACCCGTCCGGGTTGGCCTTACCTGTGACTGCAAAGCCGATCTTTCCCGGTTCAATGACGGTCACCTTCAAATCCGACACCGGTCCTGGGACTGTTCCAGCCGTATAAGTCTTATCGACTTCTCGCGCATGCCCGACGATAAAGCTCGTGTTGCCATTCGCCTTTGTTTTCAACCAGACCAGCTGGTCGCTGTTGTCCAACCACTGCGGGGAACTGGCGCCGGGATCATTGCAAATGAGAGCAGAACGGCCGGTGGCAATATCGAGGACCTTGATTTCATTTGTCTTGGAGTGCGACTCGAAAGAATATGACGTTTGGGTGTACACCGCCAAGGTCCCTGATGAGTTGGGGATGGCGCTCGAACGCCGAGGGGCACCAAGAAGCACCCTAATCAGTCAATCAGTTAGCAGGAGTCTCAAATATGAAGTAGTAAGCACTGCAGGACCGGGTTGAAGCTTGCAAGATGAAAGAGCAGGTCCACTTACTCGGGAGTAAACTTCATTGATCTGATGGTCATGTCACTCACGGTCTGATAAGCGATAAGATACGGGAGTGCCGACTCTATGCAGAGATTAGCACGGATGGAAGTTGTAAGGGGAGATGAATACCTTGATGTACAAGAGAAAGGATGAAGGATAGGGGGACCGCACTTGGATAAGCACAAGGGATGGAGGGGATGAATGAGGAGAAAGCGGAGAAGCATGCAATGCTTATCACGTTGCCTGTTGCGGTGACCTCATGCAGGAACCCGCAAACAGTGCAAACAACCCAATCGGGTATCAGCATCATACAGGTTCGCGGAGCTACCTATGCATAGAATGGCAACAATATCGAACGACTTGGGACTCGGATATATTATCGAACACAGAAATCAGTTTTCCATTAAACCGTAGAATTACAGAACAGATAGACATCGAGAAACACCATAACCTCGCGAAATATCATCAACACTCCCAGTCATATATCTCCTCTACTCCTCTTCTTCCTCACTCTCATCCTCCTCCATGCCCTCCGCCGCTGTCACAGTAAACGTAGGAGCCTGGTCCACTCCAACATAGCTGTCACTCATCAGGTAGAGCGTCAACTCATGCTCACCCGGCGTAGGCACGATGTACTCCAAACGCAGATCCAACTTGCGTCCAATAGTAACCCGCTTGATGGCCAGCAAGTTCTTCGTCTTCTCATCTCCCACAACCAACCACCAGTTCTCCATCTTCTTGCCGGGATAGAAGGGAGCGTGGACAGTCGTGTCAGGTTCCTCGTCCTCTTCGACCTCGCGTTCGATCTTAATCTTCAAGTACGCAGGCTCGCCAGACGTGATATTCTCGGGATCCTCCACCTGGAAGTCAAGCTCGATGTTGGGGTATTTCTCATTGGTAAAGGCAGCTGCTTGGGCAAGCTGCTTGTTGTCCAGACCCAGCCGCTTGACCAGAGTACCGTAGTCCTTATTCTCAGACGGGTCCATGGCCTCCATGAACTCGAAGATGTCGTTGATGTTATACTCGTTGGCCACCTTGATAGCCTCTGGACCAAAGTGAGGAATCTGCTTAAGAGGACTATCCCGATCCCACATAGCCTGGACGACCATTTGAGACATCTCCATGGCATTCATGGCATTGAGATGACCCTCCGAAGACAGAACATCCACACATGCGCTGAGAAGGTTGAGAACCTTGCTGACAATGACCTCTTGATCCTTGGCAAGGTCAATGGGCAACTGCATGCGCGAGAAGTGAGCCTGCAGGAGGACGAACGCTTTGAAGTGTGGCGAGTCGTAGGCTGTCTGAGACATCTTAACAGGTACTCGGTCGTACACGCGGCGCAGGATGTGGTCCTCATGGCGACGCATCTGGATCGACTCGAACTCAGTGGCCGATGTGATGATCTCCAAGATACCCTTGAGCTTGGTCCGGGCAGACAAGGAGAGAAGGAACGTCTGCATGGTGATGAAGGAGATGTTGTAGTAGGCACCAATCATGGCAGCATTAAGAGGCGAGACGCTATCATCTTCCTCATCCAGATCAATGATCTTAGCCTCGGACAGCTCCTTCAGCGTGTTCTCCACAAGCTCCGACAGGAACGTGCTTAGACCCTCATGACTAACGTCAGTAAGACCGTAGAAGCTGGGATTGGCGAGCAGACGACGGTAGAAGTAGGTATACGTCATCCAGTCCACAGCGTCTTGAGTAGAAGAGATCGTCCTGGTGCTAATTTCGGTCACGAACGCATCGTGCAGATAGGCCTGCAGATGGCTCTCCACTGGAAGCGCTTCGTTGAGGAATTTCTTGTAATACTCACGCTTCACAGCGGGTACCATGAGAACACCGCGCCCAATTTTGTCTTCACCCGGGCGCGAAGCCTTGCCAAACATTTGTAGAATCTCGCTGATCGGGTAGTCAATATAGCGATGTTCACGACCCTCGAAGAATTGGGTGCCCATGACAATCACCAAATGTGCTGTCAAGTTCAGTTCCCAGCAAACGTCACGAGAAGCAAGCAACACTTGGATCGCACCGATGGTGAAAAGGTGCGAAACGATCTTCTTATCCGTGGCACTCAGCGCCTCGTGATAGTACCCAATACCATGAGACAACGATTCAGCCAACGTCCGTTCTTGAACCCGTTCAAGAAGAGGAGCAAGCTCATTAACGTCCGCGTGGAGGAACCGATCTTCATCATCGTCCGTAGCGCAGGCAGTTAGGATGTCAATGGCTGTGGCACGAGTCTGCTTGCGATTGGGCACGAACACAATCGCTGGCTTATCCGGCGACAATTGCAGGACGGAAAGATAGGCAGGACGAGCCATCGCCAGCATGAGAGAGGGAAAGTGAGGAATGGTGAAGGATTGGAGATGGAGTTCAAGAGGGACTGGACGGGCGTGGGGACTGAAGTTGTAGATGGTGTGTTTGTTGGCACCAATCCACTCTCCAATGTCGCGCGCATTAGCAAGGGGTACACTCAGGCCAACAATGCGCATGCCGTTCTCGAGCTGGAGCGCAATCGAGTGCATGCGGGAGACGACCACTTCATAGACATAACCGCCATAACCTCCGATCATATGAAGCTCATCCGCGATGAACAACTGGACAGTCTGAACATTCTTGCGTCGTTGCCATTGTCTTGACAGAACGTCCCACTGTGTGGGAGTGGCCAGCACCAAGTCGGCCCGCTCCAGAAGCTTGAGATCCGCCGTCGTTTCGCCAGTGAGCTTAACAATATTCTTGCCACCAGCCAATTTGCTCAAGCGCTTTTCCCAGTCAGCAAGACGAAGATCAACTAGCTCCTGGAAGGGAGCCACGTAGACTGCCCGACCACTACCCTCTTGGGACCAGTGACGCAACAAAGCAAGCTCAGCGCAAACGGTTTTACCACTGCCTGTTGGCGCACCGACGAAGACATTGTCATCGGTGTCGAAGAGCGACTTGAATGTCTGTGTTTGGATCTTGTTGAACACCTGCCAGTCAGGGTACAGTTGCTGGTACTCCTCACGCTTGAGGGCCTTGACGGGGGCTCTCTGCATGTCCAACAGAGGGGTGTGCGGGGGGAAGCGCTCGGGAAGGATCAACTTCTGGAATGACACAGCGATCTTAGTCTCCGAGTGCATCCAGCGGTCGGAAACAAGAGAGATGAAGTAGTTCGGAGGCATCGGCTCGGTGATAGGGACAGTGAATTCGACGAGGTGTTCGTTCATCTCAGCCTCAGCATAATCTCTCCGGAGCAGGAACTGGTCATGGAACAGAATTTCTTCACCGTCACAGTCTTCAACCAAGATCCAGAAGTCCTGCGCATTTCCATGGATGGACTCATCCCACACAAAGTTTGGAGTGATGGTCAACTCAACACGAAGCATGGACCGGGTGATGGGCTGCACCTGAGCCTGAACTTCCAGACGAGGGAACTTGGAGACAAGATCACAGACAACACGTCCAGCCTTGGGCATACCCAGGAGCTCACCCATACGGGGAGGATCAAGGTCAAAGTAACTCGACCAGGGCACATCGATTCGCTCAGCCTTCTGCATGATGTCCCTAGGGCAGTTAGGGAACTGTCGGAGAGGCGTCATTGTCGGCCACATGCGTCTCTCGGCCATCTTGCAGAGATCAAGTGCAGTCTTCGCAACGGATGACCAACCCTTCTTCAATGAAATCTCAAAGATCGCGCGCAAGATACGACCAGCCGACTGGGTGACGTAGACCATGTCGGCCATTAAAGCGAGACCTTCTAGCTTAAGTCGCGAGATATAAGCTTGCAGAAGGACGTTGATCTTCGAGTGGGGCTCATCAATACCCTCTTTGACGGGAACGGGTACACGGCCCAACAGCTTGGCCAGCTCAAGCTTCTCATCCTGACGAACTGGGATGTACTTGAACTCATCGCTGAGTGCGAAGATGCGGAACAATTCGATGGTCGTGATGGAAGGTTGAAGGTGTTGCGAATAGGTCAGCATCGAGTTGTGGCCGATGTAGTAGTGGGATGCAATGCGTCCCAACTCAGTCGACTGTAGGCGACCAGTCTTCTTCTCGTACTTGACAAGTCCAGCTCTCTCCAAGATCGTCGCCGCTGAGTGAACGAGGTCGACACGCTTCTGCTCCAGGGCATCGTCGTTTTCATAGTCTGCACCAACACTGTACAGACCTGGAGAACGGAGCATACGGACGAAGAGATATGTATAACCAAGCCAGTCCACACCTTCATCACGAGTGCGAATGTTTCCGAGAACGATTTCGGCATTCATGTTGTCAGCCAGCTTGCTCATAAGCTGACTCTCGATTGGCAATTGCTGGTTCATCAAGGAGAGGTAATATTGGATCTCTGTCTGCGAGGTGATGATAATACCTTCACCAAACGTGTCGTACTGGGGTCGTCCAGCACGTCCCAACATTTGGAGAACATCCTGCGGACTGAGCTCGACCCAGCTACCCTTTTCTGGGGAGTAGATCTGAGTACCCTTGATGATGACGGTATGTGCGGGAAGGTTAACACCCCAGGCCAGAGTGGCCGTGCAGACCAGAACCTGGAGACTGCCATCAGCGAAGAGGGCCTGAACTGAATCACGATCAGCAAGACTCAGTCCAGCATGATGGATACCGAATCCATAAGGCAACAGGTCCTTGAGCGATGGGTCGTCGACCGATTCGGCTTCTTCCGACAAGATAGCCCTGCTCGCAGCGTCGCTTCGAAGGATCTGGCCGATAGTTTCCATCTCCAGAGCCTTATCCCTGATGTACTTGGCGGTCTTAGCAGTCTCCTTCCGGGAGTGGACGAAGATCAGCATCTGGTTCCTGCGCTGGCCGACTTGTTCCATGACTTTATTGTAACAAATGTCGTTCATCGTCTTGAGCTGCTTGATGGCCTTTTTGTCCGTAACACCGATGAACTCCTGCTTCAACGGGCATGGCCTGAAAGATCCATCGAAATGGAAGAGACCCTTGACAGGGTCCACTCGCAAGAAGTTTCCGACATCGCGATAGTTGGGGAGAGTGGCACTCAGACCGACGATACGAACAGGTTCTCCAGTTTGCTCGCCCTTGCGGATTGTCCTGCTGACAATGCTCTCAATGACAGGGCCACGCTCGTCGTGAAGCAAATGAATCTCGTCGATGATCAGGAGGTGGACAAGCCTGGTGTAACTGGTTTCCGATGCTTTTCTTGTGATAACGTCGTACTTCTCCGGGGTGGTTACAATAACCTGGGTTTCAGCGATTTGCTGCTTCGTGAGCTGACGGTCACCAGTCAATTCAGAGACTCGGATACCGTATGGCTCGAGACGTTTGCCAAGGTTTCCGACTTGCTCCTGGACCAAGGCTTTCAGAGGAGAGATGTAGATAATCTTGAAGTCATCAAGCATGATTTGACCGGTCTCCGGATTGCGGTTTTTCCCAATCTCGCGGAGAATAGTGAGCATAGCAACGTTGGTCTTTCCGGAACCCGTAGGAGCACAGACCAACATATTACCATCGTCATGGAAAGCTGTCGGGTAACACTTGGTCTGGATACGGTTGAGCTCCTTTGAGCTACCGAAACCAGGGCGAGCCCAGTCAGGCAATTCGGTTGTCGGAATGAGCTTCTCTCCGGGGTCTCGCTTAGCCTTCGGAGGTGGGACGTGAATCTCCTCGTAACCCTTAAATGTCCGCTTCGTAGAACCTTGAGGGAGCTTGACGTTGGGGTTCGTCATGAGATGGTTACCCTGATGGAAAACGAGGTTCTCGAGATTGATAAGTCTCTTGGGCTGCAGGCCGCGAACGAGTTCACCGTCGGCTTGCTTCTGTTCTGGTTGGGGTGCACTGGGTACATCGACGTCCATCAAGTCAAGCTTGATCTTCTTCTCCGGTCTGCCGGTCTCTCCACGGGCAGTCTTTCCGCGAATCTCATCAAGGATGGCGCGATGTCCAGCTTCGACCATTTCACTTTCGACTAGATTCCGGGCATCTGCGTCTTCAGCCACTCGTCGCCAACGCGTCACCCAGACAATCTTATCGCGGTTCGTGACCAGTTTGGCGACCAGATCAGGATGATCGTAATCGAAGAGTTCCATCAGGTCGTTTTCGACCTCACGTAGCGGCTTCTCTTCGCCATCCTCTCCTTTTCCACCGAGAATGTCGAGGGCCTGGGTAGCCTTCTCATGCTGTATATGGGCATCGGAATAGGCGTTTCCAATTTGACGTTGGAGCCAGTAGGCATCGATTTCCCGAGCAGGTATCGTAAGTCCCTTGGCTCCGCGATCGTCGTCACGACCGACGCCACCATCTATGACCATTTCCTCGGTGTCTTCAAGGCCTTCAAGATCTGCCTTCTCTGCCGTTGTGTCTTCCATGTCCTGTTGATCTGCTTCTTCCTCCTCTGATTCGTCCTCATCGCGCACTTCGTCGACTGTACCCATGCGGTCTTCGTCTTCGTCTTCTTCGTCGAACACGACAGCGACACCTTGGCGTTCATCGAGCTCGCCTTCACCCTCGCCCTCCAGGCCGCCACCCATATCTTCATCTTCGTCCTGTGCATCGTAGTCTGTAATTTTCTTCCCAAGGTTCACCAATTCGTTGAACTCCTTGGGGTTCATCGAGCTACCAAGCAAGTCGTCGATTTCCTTTTTCTTATCGAAATCCTTCATTTCTTCGTCCTTCAGCAGCTCCAGCACGGCGTCGGCAGCGCTCCGAACGACTTCGTGAGGGACATCGCCGAGGTGACCCGCGGTCATGGTGAGGATGAGATCGTAGGTTGCGCGGGTGGCAGGGGTGCGAGGACGGTACTTCAGGCCTTCGACGAGGGCATCGGCGGCGGATAGGATGCCCTGTCCCCGTAATTGTGCCGGTTGGCCACGCTGACGTTTTTTCTGCTCGCGCGCGAGCACATCCTCGCCCTCTCGAATAGCGCCTCGTTCGATCTCCATCGGCCCCGCGGCCTTCTTCTTTGTCTTCGGTGCATTGTCACGAGCCACTCTGGAGCCCATTTCCCGGATTCCAATGCGACCTGCGAGGGACTCCGGGTCGCCGGTGGCTTCATCGTTGACGCGAGAAATGAAACGACGGTCCGCCTGGAGAACCAGGTTGGACATCGCCGAGTATTTGTACTGAGAAATATTTTGGTCCGCCATTTTGACGAAGGAGGAATGCAAATGACAGAATTCAGAAATCACAAAACGATCGTGTTACGACTGACAAGAAGTCGTCTGGGCTCGGTGGAGCTCAGAATCAGCCGGCGCGTCGAAACTCCTGCGACAACGTAAAAAAAATGAATTCTGCAACGATCCCAGAATTCAAGAATTGGCTTCACAAACCTGGAGCATCCTCCTGCAATAGACTAGCTCACGCGTGGGGTGCAGGAAGTCGAGCTGCCTGAAATGTTGCGCGGAAGTGAAAGAGTTGCGTTGAGCGGCGGGAAGTTCTCTGAAGCAGATTTCGGTGGCGAAGCGGGAAGGTTTGGCGAGGAGCTTTACCTCCCCAACTTCGTACCTAATTTACTTCCTCTTCCGCGTACTGCTCCCTCTCACTACGACCAGAGCTTCACGGCGCTCCCTCTCGGACCATGCGTCTTTATGGTTCGCATGTCAGCCTCCTGATCTCATCGCCTGCGCGATCGCGCCCGTCCCTCGAGGTTTTCTCGCATCGCTGCCAGATACACCGAACCATTTGTCATCATGCCCGTCGCCCGTCGCAGCGTGTCGCGACGCCACCATGGGCGCCAGTACCGGTGTCGCATTTTACGATCGCAAGAGGTGCAAAGACTCAATCAACGGTCAAGCTAAAGGATATTCCCCAAGGCGCGCTGAAATTGGACTCCTACAATGATGTTATGGACGACGCGCCTCGTTACCCGACAGTCGTGCAGGGACACTGGAACAATATGCAGAAATTCAAGAATTGTGTCATTTTGACAAGAGTAGGGGGCTTTTACGAGCTTTACTTCCAACAGGCAGAGGAGTATGCCCCATTACTGAATATCAAGCTTGCGTCCAAAAAGACCAGCGCCGGTCCTGTTCCAATGGCGGGCTTTCCCTTCTTCCAGCTGGACCGCTTCCTGAAGATTCTGGTCCAAGATCTGAACAAGTATGTCGCGATTAGTGAGGAATTTGCCCTTGGCGAAGAGGACAAGGCTCGGTCTGGAGGGCTCCTTTTCGATCGACGGGTCGCCAGGATTATCACGCCAGGGACGTTGATCGACGAAAAGTTCATGGACCCATCAGAGAATAACTTCCTGTTGGCCATATACATGGATATCCCGTCCCTAAAAGCACAACTAAAGCACCAACAAGATGGGATACACGTACTCTCATCGGCATCGCAGCATGTAGGCTTGTCCTGGCTAGACCTTTCTACGGGCGATTTCTTCACACAGTTCACGACGGCACAGATGCTCCCATCTGCCATCGCCAGAATCGGTGCTCGAGAGATACTCGTCGACCAGGATCTTCAAGACCTAATCGGACAGGAACTGCAACTGCTAGTTGGCCACGACCATCGACCGGTGACTTTCTTCCCGTACCCCCGTAAGATCAGGCCGATGCATCAGTGGGATTATATGCTCGAAGCGCCTGTTCCCTCAGAAGCCATAGAGTCCTTTACCACCGAAGAAACGGCCGCAGGCTATAGCCTTCTGGAATATGTTCGTGTCCAACTCCAGGGGGTGGATCTAAAACTTCAGCCCCCTCGTCGCCGACATCTGAACGAGTCCATGAATATTGACCGCAATAGCCTGCGGGGTTTGGAGATCCTCGAAACAGCTCGAGATGGCTTTGGGAAAGGCAGTCTGCTCCACGCAGTCCGCCGCACGTCGACAAAAAGCGGAGCTCGTCTCTTGCGTGACCGCTTGAGTAAGGTCTCCCTTGCCCTGCGAACTGTGTATCGCTGACCTTGATTAGCCTCCCCATCCACGTCACTACAAGTGATTAACGAGAGACTCGATCTTGTGTCTGTTTTCATCTCCCACAAGAAATTACGCGATAACGTAACTCAGCTTCTGAAGCGCAGCTATGATGCTCAACGCTTGGTTCAGAAATTCACGCTGGGTCGCGGAGACCCAGATGATCTCATCTGTCTGTCCCGAGCGATAGAAGCCTCTAAAGAGATCAAACGAGTCATTTCCGGTGCTGGGTATACTGATGCGAACTGTGCGCCCTCATCCCATGAACCCCACAAAAACAGCCTGCGAGCTTTGGTGAATAGGCTTCACTTGGACGGTCCCACTGCACTGGCAGACAGGATTCTGGCAGCGATAGACGAGGAAGGCTTGTTACAAAAACAGCGCATCGAAGATGATACCGCGGCGGAGGCTGCTACCCTTGCCCAAGAGGTGGCAATGAACGAAGGGTTACCGGGAGACTTGGACGCTTTACCAAAGAAAGTCAAATCTAGAAGCACCGAAAAGGCAGGGATGGCAACGGAAGACCCATCGACTGTTGATACGTGGATTATGAGACGCGATGCCAGCCCTGCGCTGCGAGAGCTTCACCAAGCCCTGAGCGACCTGCAGGACGAGAAGGCGAAGTTGACGCAGAAACTCCGTAATGCGGTCGGGTCGTCGGCTCTGACGCTCAAATGGACCCCAGGCCTCGGCCATATTTGTCACGTCAAAGGCGCCAAAATTTCCCAGGGAGCGCTAGAAGACTTGGGAGTCACTCGGAACGTCTCATCAACCAAATCAACAAGGTCATTCTATCTCCCCGCGTGGACCGAATTAGGCGGCCGCACCGACCAGGTGAAGCTCCAAATCCGACAGGAAGAGCAGGTGATTTTTGAAAGCTTACGCCGCGAGGTCATCCTCAATCTTGTCAAGATCAGACGCAACGCGTCCGTGATGGACGAGCTCGACGTGGCTTGCTCTTTCGCCACGCTGGCTCAAGAGCAGCAGCTGGTTCGCCCAATCCTCACCAACAGTACCAAACACAAAATCGTCGGGGGCCGACATCCGACAGTCAAACTGGGACTGGAGGAGCAGGGCCGACGGTTTGTCAGTAATAACTGTTTCCTAGGAGATCCCGAGCGCATCTGGCTAATCACCGGACCCAACATGGCTGGCAAGAGCACGTTCCTGCGGCAAAACGCCCTGATAACCATTCTGGCTCAGGTTGGATCGTTCGTCCCAGCTGAGTATGCAGAGATCGGAATCGTAGACCAGATCTTCAGCCGCATCGGCGCTGCAGACGACCTCTTTCGCGACCAGTCCACTTTCATGGTGGAAATGCTCGAGACAGCCGCGATCCTGAAGCAAGCGACGCCCCGTTCGTTCGTCATCATGGACGAGGTCGGTCGGGGAACCACCCCCGAAGACGGGACGGCCGTGAGTTTCGCATGTCTGCACCATCTACATTATCGCAATCGCAGCCGGACCCTCTTCGCGACACACTTCCACTCGCTCGCCGAGCTGACGCACGACTTTGAGGCGCTGGGCCGCTACTGCACCGACGTCCGGGAGACTGCGTCCGGGTCGTTCTCGTTCGTCCATCGCCTGCGCAAGGGCGTGAATCGCGAATCCCACGCGCTCAAGGTAGCGCAGCTGGCTGGGCTACCGAAGGAGACGATCGAGATGGCCCGATGCGTGCGCGCCTTGAACTGGGCCCCCTCGATCGAATCCAAACAACCGAGAATGCATCAAGCGAGCTCCTAACTTCGTGAATTTGTATTCTACACCACGACCTATGTACATGACCGAGATACCAATGTAAATGCATTTTGTTCCCTCATAGCCCGTATAATACACCCACCGCCATAAATATTTACAGCTTCGCGCTCCCGGCTCTCCCCGCACTCAACGACTGACTCCGCCCCAGATCAACGACAATGCCCTCCCCAAACGCCGCCTCCTGGACATCCTCATCCTCAACCCCATTAGCAAACTGCACGACAACAAAATCCACGCGGCGCGGACCGAGCACAACCATCGGCGCATGCCACGTGCCCGCACCATACGTCACAGCCTGGTTACCGCGGGCGACGAACGCGCGCAAGCGGGACAGGTCAGGCGGGTCGCGGATGGTAACCGTCTCACCCTCCGCCGTAGTCGCGGTGGCGGTTTCGCCCTTCCGCGTCGGCGCAACAACCACCAGGAACCAGGGCTCGTCGGTCTTGCCGGGCTGCGCGGAGAGGTCGAGCGGCGAGAAAGTCTGGGTGGTGAAGGGGTGGCGCTCGAGGATGCGGACGTCGAAGACGTTGGTCTCGGGGAGGGCGCGGCTGCCGGGGACGGAGCGCAGCTTGCGCGGGAAACAGGAGAACATGCTCATGCGGGCGGCGGACGGGCGGCCGCTGGGCGCGCGGCCGGGGTATTCGTTCAGCAGCGGCGAGATGGGGCTGTATTTCAGGGCGGAGCCTTGGTTTGCGACGACGGGGGCTGGGTCGTTGGATGGCAGTGAGGAGAGCGGCGGCGCGACGGAGAGATCGCGGGGCAGGGGGCAGCTGATTGCCGTGCCGAAGGGGGCGAAGCTTTCCTTTGTGAGGGGCTCCGGAACCACGCGGAGGGTCGGGTGTGAGGTGAGGATGGGGGCCGGCATGGTGGCGGTTTAGGGGCTGGCGTGGGTAGGGAGGTGTGTAGACAAGGACCAGCCTTGGAGATGGAGAAGATGCGGTTGTTATAGCTGTGGAGAGAGGTGAGCTTGCGGCGATGGTTTAGGGCTTCGGGAGTCGCCGCGGGGCTGCCGTCATGTTCGGCCCCGTCGGAAGAGCCCGACATCCACCACGACTATGACTATCTTGCACAGATTATACCACCCCAACGCCGCTTTCCTCCGAATACGACACAGGCGGTTTCTCCTTGAGCCCCGTCTGCGTCTCAACATGTTCCTTCCGCAGTTGTTGCCGCGTGATGAACCAACTGGCAATGAACCCGCATGCCGCCAGACAAGTATACAGAATCCAGATGTTGCGCATACTCCAGGCGTAGGCATCCTCCACTACACGCCGCTGGTTGGCGTCTGCAAGGGTGTTGACGATCCCCACGTTGGCTGCGGCTTCCGCGCCGGCAAGCTCCTCGGTTGTCGAGGACGAGAGACCCGCCGAAATCAGCTTGGGCTGCTGCACGTCCATACTGTTCTGGAAGATGACACCACCAATGACGACTGACATGGCCATTGCGACGTTGCGGATGAAGCAGAACGTAGCCGTTGCGGTGGCCGTCTCACTCTGGGGGACGTTGTTCTGGAGCGCCAACAGCGGAGGGAAGAACAACAGCCCACATCCCATTCCTGCCACTATTTGGTACCCGATTATCTTGCCGGTCGTAGACGTAGCATCGTAGTTGATAAACAGCCCAAATCCACAGACAACCAGGGCCGTGCCGATCCAGATCACCTCCAGATAACGACCGGTGCGGTGGATGAAGACTCCGGCCAGGAGACTGAGCCCGGCTTCCGAGAGGACATACGGCAGAATCAAGAGACCGGAATGGAACGGACTGGCTGCCTTGGCTGACTGGAAGTAGAGGGGGAGGTAGTATTCCGCCCCGAGGAAAGCAAAGCCATGGGTGAAGCCCACCAGAAAACAGCCGATGTTGGACCAGCCTCGGAAAATACCCATCGGCATCAGTGGATACTTAGCCAGCCGTTTTTCGCAAAAGATAAAGACGAGCGACATCAGACATCCGAAGATGATCAGACAGATCACTTTGGCGGAGTCCCAGGGGAATGTAGCTCCTCCAAAGTCCAGTCCAAGAAGAAGCATTATCGTCAGCCCGAGTATAGATAGGCTACCATACCAGTCCACCGCCTTGATCCCATCCAGAACGGAAGTTTCGGGGTTATGTACGTCCAGGAAGAAGAACATGAGGACGAATGCGACGCCACTGGTCGGTAGGTTGATCCAGAAGATCCATCTCCAGGTGACGGATTGTGTGAGGGAACCACCCACGAGGGGCCCAATGGCTCCCGCAATAGCCCAGATGAATTCGATAAGCCCGAGGAACAGGCTGCGGTGTCTAGTGGATGTTAGCCCTCCGTGGTAATATAGCAACTCCATCAGAGATGCGTGACCTACCTGACGCTAAAGAGGTCTGAGATGACAATGGTAGTCAGCTGTAGGAGACCCCCACCCGCAATTCCCTGTACACCACGACCAGCAATCAACATGGGCATGTCAATCGCCCAGCCACAGACAATGGACGACAAGAAGAACAGGGCAACGGCCGACAAAAGAATCGGTTTTCGTCCCCAGATGTCGGACAGATTCGCCCAGATATTGGAACTGGCCGCATTGGCGAGAAGATAGGCTCCTCCAATCCAGACATAACCCGATCCGGAGTGCAATTCTGCAGAGATTGTGGGTGTCGCGGTGGCCACGATGGTTTGGTCCAGAGCTGAGAGGAACAAACCCAGCTGTTCGGCGGTTAGATTGAGTTTCTACTGGATGCAGTGTCACGATGCAGCTTACCGAGAGGGCCAGCATGATCGCTGCGACTTTCAGGTTGCTTCGGGCTTTCTGTGAGCCTGTTACAGACCGGACTGTTGGTCCAGCAGATGCATCTAGCGGTCTCAATTCGAAGTCTTCCGGTGTTTCCGCATTTTCCATTCCTTGTCCCGGTTGTTCTGTAGTATTCTCCTCACGGATACTGTCATCTGGGACAGGCGATGCTGCCTCATTCGCAATAGGAGTCATGATGTGTCTTCTACATGTAAGTATGATAGTCACAGAAGGAGAGACATCTACCTTGAGAACAAAATTAACAATTTATATATACGATGACTCGAGTAGAAAATGATGGATCCCCACTGTTTGCTCCGTTTGCCTGGTGGGGCAATATAAAAACGGCAAAAATGTCCTCGATCTACAGAGTACAAAGAGAAAACCTGACCTGGTCCCCATCTTTTCGGGAGACAATGGAAAGACTTCCATCGTACTTGGAACTTGCTGGGCTATACATAACCCTACCAGCTGTTAATTTGCAAAATGAATCTTACGACCGCTACAGACCCAAGTAGGAATATGGCCATCTCACCAACATAATATACGGCTTCCCCTCCAAATCTCAAAGGGAATTGTCTACTCCTATGCATCTTCTCCTCCTTGAGCGATTCGAAATGACCTCCTCCCATCTTCCTACCTACTCATCTTCCAGAAGTGCCGGAGTTTATACGGAGTTGAAAGCTGTTTCAAACCTTCATCAACATACCGGACCATGCGATAGATAGTAGATCCACGAACCTAGACTGGGGGACGCATCAAGTCGTCGTCCACAATGTCTATGGCCAAGATCTCCCCTTTTAGTTTGCTTTCCAAAACCAGGCCTTTAAAACGTCATAGTCCTCGGATCGGAAAGTCGTGGAAGAAAATTGTTTCCCGGCGGTTGAATAGTTTCCTACAGTGAGACCTTTCGCACTGAAAATACTGATCCCTATTCTGCAAGTGGTTCAAAAATGAATGGCTCGCAGGGTCGAAAGGCATTGAAATACCGGGTGGCAGACAATGCGGGCAAGGATAAGAATCTCTGAGGAAGTATAGAGCACAAGCGGAAGTAATCACGGACCTAGAAAGAACGGTTCCACGAGCTGACCCAGGGCCCCAGCGCAGGATAACATAGGTGGTGAGTCTGTGACTGACTCTATAATTGAAAGCGAGACCGGATGTTCTTTGTTGATGGCCAGTCAGTGCGGGGGAGAATGAGGCATTCATTCATTCATTCAGCCCTCGACCAACGCACCAGACTGCAACCAAACACCACAAGGATCCTCTTCGCCCTTCCCACCTCCCCCCAGAGCTGTATTTTCCATTTCTCTTGAGGTATGTCATCCGGCCATCAAGGAACGGCACGGACTGTCAAGCGAAGTCCACAATGTTTGTTCCTTCCACCCCAGCTGTCTGTTGAAATGGTCCATAACCTCTTTCAGGACCAAAGAAGACAAGAATACGCACCTTTCAGACCGACTACACCTCCTTGCTCGTGTCATAGCGCAGATATGTGATGTCTCCGCCGTTCCGGAGGCCTCGGTTGGAGTGATGCGTCGCGTGGAGATCGTTTATAAGGCTGGCTTTGGACGGTACGATCTAGAGTTGCCGTCGCCTCCAGATGAGAACACCATCTATCACATTGCTTCGCTCACCAAGGCGTTTTCTACAACGGCGGTGATGATGATCGCAGACCAGGGAAAAGTTGATGTGCATGCGCCCCTGACCAGCGTGATCCCGGAGTTCCAGTTGCAAGATCAATGGATTGGCGAGCATGTCACTCCGATAGATATTCTCTCCCATCGAGTTGGAATCGCGGGCGGCAGTTGGTTATGGTCTCAGGGAGGCAATCGCAATCATCTCTCCATGGACGAGTTGGTTGAGGACGCTGGCCACATTCCCGCAAGTCCAAGACTTTCGCCAGGGTTTCCTGTATCATAACCTTCTCTATGGGCTTGTTGCCGAACTAGTTGAGCGAACCACGGGCCAGACATACGGGAGCTTTATTACCGAGAACATTTTCCAACCGCTGGGTATGCACCGAAGCAGTATCAAGATGGACGGGCCTTCCCCTGAAAACTACGCCAAGGCCTACATACCCATGGACGACGGCTCCTTTGTGTCAATCGACCGGCCAGAAACAAAAGATGGCACGATACAGGCGTCCGCCGGCGGAGTGCGATCCTGCGTCAAGGATCTGCTGTCCTTTTACGACGAAATCCTGCAGGCGCGGCGGCGGGAGGAAGCTTCGGCCTCAGAAGGATACCCTGGAGCGATCAAAAATGCCTCCCTACTCACAGCCGGGCACACATTCTTATCACGGTCGTCTCTGTACGAACGCTCCGCGGCTCTCGGTCTCCTAAGAGTGCAGCTCCCGAACACTTTCGGCGATATTGGCCCGAACAGCGGATTGGTCACGCCGATACCGACCATCGGACGAGATGATCCCTCGCGGCTCGTTCTCTTCCACCAAGGCAGCTATCCCGGTTATCTCTCGTCAGCCATGATGGTCCCCTAGGAAGCCCTAGTGATCGTGGTTTTAGCCAACTCACTTGCGCTGAACGATGCTGCGGATTGCATCGGCTAGTTCCTGCTGGAGCAGGCACACAACACACAAGACGGATTTTGTGGCGCTTGCCCAGCAGAGTCGCGATACGTATGTGCAGTCCTTTGTTGACGCAGAGATACAACTAGAGGGAGGAAAGGACCCACAGCAGGATGTAAAGAGTGTTAATGCATACACTGGGGACTACTTCAACGCTCTCCAGAATTTCTATATTCGAGATTTTGACCAAGACGATGCTCTCTACATGTGCTTCCACGGCCAGGCGTGGGACGTCTATCCTCTCCAACCATATGCAGCCGACCCTTTCACTTGGTATACTTCTCGAGAGGACCAGGCGAAGCGGGGTCGCTGGCCCATCCAGGCCGGTGACTACTTTAAATTGACTTTCACGTCTGATGCCGACGGTAAAATCACACAGCTTCAGGTGAATATGGATGGCTTAGCGGCCGCTGAACGAACGTTTCACAAGAAACCCCCGGGATCTGGCAAAGACGAGGAGGCCGCCTCAAGACAAAAATGCTCCTCTTGAAATGAATGCATATGGATATCAGGAAGACTATTGCCGAGACAGAGACAAGGTAGCACACCATCGCAACAGCGGTAGTATATATAAAATTTAGTATAAAATATACTGTCTATATAGGTGCGGGAGATTAGCAACTTATAATATCTTCTGTATTTATCTGTTAAAGGCAATTATTATTTCTATTAAAACAGGATCCTGTCCATTCTAAAACACGGTTAATAAAGCCTTTTATATAAGTATTATTAACTTTAATATAATTTACTATATAATTAGCTCCGCTATTAGCCTCTATCTATTCCCTACTATTATCTAAATACTCCAGTCTGTAATCAGAAATAGAATAAGAGCTTAGCTGTAAAGATAGATTAATTAACTCCCTGATGTAGTAGTCGTATATATTAGAGGTAGTTTGAATACAGTGGGTATATTCTCTTCTTTTACTAGTTGCGACTACTATAGCGTTCCTCAACGTCTTAGTGGTCCTATCTCCTCCACTTCCTCTAATATAATTATCTCTTCCACAACGCAGTGCACAAGAACTTCCTAGCTTTAGAGAACTATAACATGTATTAATAGATAAGCACACTCAGTTTGACATATAGTACAGAAATATAAATAGGAAATCGTATTAACTGCATACGCTACCTCATTGTACGTGTTAAATAGAGATATCCTCGTATATATCCATCTCAATCGATTAGCGCCTAAATCAGTCTAGGAATAAATAGATGTAGAGAATATCCTAAATCCAACCCAATGCCTCTATAGCTCAGTGGTAGAGCGTTCGACTTGTAGCTGTAAATTGGGAATGATTAAAAAACAATTTAAACAAACCCAATGCGCAGAGTAATCGAAAGGTCCGCGTCAACCCCGCGTGGAGGCATTCTTTCTTTCCTTTTTTTTTTTTTTTTTTTTTTATATATTTTTTTTCTCTTTCATAAAACATAGCTAGCTAGATGAAAGACTAGTTTAGTTGTATGTAGTAGGTAGAACTGGTCAGGGGAAATCAGGACGAAGCCCACGGTCGAGTTTTTGTGGCGGAAACTAAAACAATCAGAATGTGAAGAGTCTACTCCGTACTTTAGCAGGTTAGACGTCCTGTCAATCAGGTGAACAGTAAGTATTAGGATAACGATAGTACTAGTAGGACTAGTTCAATTAAAAGACAGATTCTTGCATTCCGCAGCTATGGGGTAAGAGAGATTAATATATATACACACTAAGAGGTGACTATCCAGTATTTTACGTCACTACCGAAGGAAGGTATAGGTGTCATTGACTGGGTAGGAAGGGTGTTGGGAGCTGGGAGCGGGAAGCTCACGTGAGAATACTGATAAGGGGTTGTTGATAAGGGACCGGAAGGCTGACGTGACTGTCGGCCCAGTCGGTCCCCCATGACAGCACTTATGATAGTCGATTGACGGTTAGTAAGGAAACGTGCTACTATTAATGATGGACGAGAGAGACCCCAAGAGGAGAGCTACCAGGTTGTTCTTATTATTATACAGCGGTGTAGGATCCTCATCATGATGATCGACGTCCAGAAACTAGTATTACGCCATGAACCTGCCCTGGTATAGACGGAGTAAACAGCGGTGGTGGCATTCCCATCCAGTATAAGAACTTGAAAGTTGATCCGAGTAGAAGAGAGCCATGGTTCTCTAGAATTTACGTCATTCCTATGTAGCTAGTCAACAATTAATCTTACCTAACCTCTCTTATATCTGCTACCTCTGCTTCACACACTCAGTCAGACTCTTATCCTACTTGCTCTCTCGTCTTCATCTTTTCCACCATACGAGCCTTTCAGACTATCGCCTATCACTATCTATGACCACGGCTAGGTTCTGAATCTGCAAAATGCGTTATCGCCAGAAATATGCATCCCCCAGAAAGCCACCTTGCTTTTCTGGAAGCTACGAAGAGGGTCCAAATGTGAGAAAGTTTTGCCCTGAATGTCGCCAGATAACGACAAAGAGACATCTTTGTAATCCATTGTGTCGGAGATGCGAGACCTACTACTTCCCAGGCAGTAGTCCTTGTGACACCTTTTGCGGTTCTTACCCATGTTGTGGGTGCTGTGATGAGACTCGGACAACAACTGTTGCAGCCAACATGGCTCTTCCGTCCTTGGACTCTAATAAGCAGCAGAGGGACCAGGTATGCTAATTAACAAATATTGTTGACTTCGGGTATTAATACTTTTTAGATTCAGTTCCCAGATTTGCTGACTATTATACATCAATTAATCGATTTCATGTTCTCCGAAAATAAGCTACAACTGGACTTAAGACAGGGTATCTACCGATCTGTGATTACAGCCGTGGGCGGGTCAGAGGCATTTGCCAACATAATCTACAATACAATTGACCCGGATATTCGAGCATTAAAGAATCAATTAATTACTGCGGAAATGTACGCAAAAAGATTCTTCCCTGTTGTTTTTCACTGTTAATTATCTTGTAGGCTACATGCAATCCGTCTAAAGCAAAGCTCGAACAACCCAGCAATCTGGGAAGATCCTCATGGAGGCTATCTAGACTTTGTTACACAGACGTCTCTGCCAACATATCTTCGTTTTTACGTTGGTCAGTCCTGTTTGCCAAAACAGCGGGTTTCGAAACATATTCAAGAAATATCTAAAAAGTCAAAACGCTCTTTACATTACTATATTATTAGTAATAAGCCGGATAGATACGCGAATTTTATTCGGCTTTGGAGGATTCCTTTTCCTCCACAAACTAATAGCATGCTTATGCTTGGTTTTGAAAATTTCCTAGAGATGGTTATGTGTCGAGCTTTTCAATCTCTTCCTACATCAAGTTTAGAGGAGATTTTTGGGCTTTGTCCAGGACCTTTAGGTCAATACTCTAATATTGGCTTGAATGTTATGTCTCCTTTGCTTCAAGGAAGATCTCTCAGCCCCTATTCTCGCTATAAGGTTGTACAGCTTTTGTGTGATTCACCAGACTCTGAAATTTGCGCGTGGACACTCTATCGCAACAACGAAAACTATCAGCCACACGAAAGTCCTGAGAAATTGCCTGTGAGAAGATACAAGGGTAAAGAGGGTTATTGCAGCGCTTTTCACCAAGCTATCAGTACAAGCTTGAATTTTGAGGACGTTCAAGCTAGTGAGAATATCTGGTGCCCTTTGGAAGTGCATACAATCGATCCTCAATCCTGGTTTCGGTCAACAATAGCCATGTTGCAACAAAACAATGCAATCGGAACCGAAGCTGAGATGATCTGTCCTGTTGGAAGCTCCGACGCTTCTATAGGAATTGTCTTCGAGGCTACCCTACTACATGACTATAATGAGAATGGTCAAGTTAGTCTACCATGGGGCCTACGGGAGAGTGGTTTTCAGGCCTCAAATTCATTAATTTGGCCGTTCAATCTTCGACGATACACAGGCATACCAGAAAGCTTTCAAGTACAGTCTTTTACTGCCTCCGCGTATGAGATCCTACGTGATGCCTTTCAAGAGCTTGTAGCTGGGACTCATCTTCGAGTTATCATTATATGTGGTGATCTTGAAGACATACTTCCGACTAATACAACGAAAGTGCCTTTAACACTCGATAATATGGCTTTTGATCTATGGATTGAAACTCAAGAAAAAAAAGGTTAAAAGAATATTTATTCGTGCACCAATCTCTCTTTCCCAGCTTTGGGCTAGCCATGGAAAACAAGCCTATGAATTAACAAGTATTTTTAATTTTTGTTTTGCGCTTACTGGCGTTACAGGAACCTTTCCTTCTTTTTATGAATGCTCTATGGCTGTTGCTTTGATAGTTCGAGGATGGGCGGATGAGAGAGATAAAAAGGTCCCTCTAGCCAGTCCTGCTGATCTTGAGCCGATATTAAGAGTCTGGCTAGCTGATAAAGGATTTAAATCTGATCAAGACCTGCTACGTTTAGCAGAAGCTGCTGGGGGCTCTTTACGATACGGACTTTTTGTTCTTACACAAAGCCTGCCAAGATCAAAGCATAACAGCGGCCCTCGTTCTCAGAGAATCCCGGAATCAAAGGTTAGAAGACGTCACGTCATCCCCAAAGAGCTACTTGATAGCGTTCGGTTGATCTACAATGAGCTCTGTCCATGCCGATCTGGTCCCCGAATGCTGGACGATGAGAGCTCCGTTATCCCGGCAATAGATGACTTGGAGCTCGTTGACGATAAAGAATATCAAAATACGCCGGAACTGGGCAAGGAAGAACTGCCGACAAGTCCATTTTTTTTCCGGGCAGGATTCAAGTTGTTGGCCGGCAACAGATATCAGGTTCAGGCTACAGACCGCAGATCGTCGAGTTTTACGATTCAACATTGCACTATCTTATTCGATATGGAGCACCGGCCGACAGATGATAATTTCTTTTGGGTAAATCAGTGATATTTCAAACACCTGCAGATTGACAGGTAGTTTATCGCCGAGGTCACTAATATCGCACAGGCTCTGGTAGAATTTAACATCTCCGATAAAACACCAGCAGCAAAACGCCTTAAACCAAACACAGTCTAGTTCTTTGCACCAATCGTACCTAGATCCAGATCTTCAAACTTCCGTTTTCTCGGCTTCAACTTTTTGCCTCTGGGAGAATTTTGGGTGGGGACCACATTCATCCCGTCATCAGTATATGCGCCACCAACAAAAGGTAACAGTTGCGGATGTTCTCTCTTCAGTTTTTTGAACCGACTATCAATATAGATATATCTTCGGGGTTTGGTGCAGAGCTCGACATAGGTGCTTCCTTCAAACTTATCGACAAGACTGTTCGCCCGACATATTGTTTCCCAGCTATCATTTGCAGCGTAAGTTGACCAAGTTTCAAATCCATTCTCGTCCTGTCGGTAGATTCGAAATGCTAGGCGAGCGCCAGGGTCCTGGTCTTGTGCCGCTGTAGCCCATGCGTGAGAATGTCTTTGGCCTGTAGGTGAAAGCTCGGCTTTTACCGCTATTATATAATAATAATTTGGTAGTTAGTCTATCCTGCTATGTATTCTAAAGAGTCTTCTCTCGGGCTTCTTATATCTATTAAACTCTTATACTGTTTTTAGATACTCCAGAATCTCTGTAATACCGCGTCTAATTATACAATGTTACATGGCTCTTGGGTGAAGGCGACTTCAGCCTTGTTCCAAGATGACATGGTTGCACGCGTTTGTTTTGCAGGGTGATTCACATGAAGAAGTCCTCAACTCCATCGGCGGGAGTTATATACTTCGATGTGATATGGACATCCATGGATATTGTATTTATGCCTTCATGATTCTTCATAGTGCCATGAACCGGTGGAACAACAGCCACCACTTCCCCGCATTCCTCCAGTTTATCCATGAATTGCCGAGGCCATTCCAGGTTTTGCCCTCTTTGCCTCATAACCTAGGCAGGCAATGCAAGCAAGAAAAGTCTCAGAATCATCGACCGGCTGTCCCTGACTTTAAATCACCCAGCAAACTCGTCCATCTGCCACACACGCAAACAATCAACAATTCACAGCCATGGCGCCGTCTTTACCCCGCAAGCTCTGGGAGCATCCCAATCCAAAGTCCACCAAGATCTGGGCCTTTAGAGAGAAGCTGGAGCAAGAGAAGGGGATTAAGCTACCGGTATACGTCCTTCTCGCCATCATACAACCCAGACGCTAACACAGACAGACGTACGATGCGCTGCAAAAATGGTCTGTGGACAACCGGGCCGAGTTCTGGGCCTTCTGCTGGGACTACCTCCCCATCATCTACGAGGGCAGCTACACGACCGTCGTCGACGAGTCAGCCCGGATGGACAGCGTCCCGACCTGGTTTGAAGGTGTCCGCGTGAACTTTGCCGAGAACATGCTCTTCACGGCGGAGAAGTCCCGTAATGGGTCGGTGGCAGTCACAAAGAAAGACAAAGAGGATGACAAGATCGCTCTCACGCAGGTCCGCGAGGGAGGCGTAGAGCCAACGGTCAGCATCACCTGGGCGGAGCTGCGACAGCGGACGGGACGATTGATGCAGGCGATGAAAGCGGCAGGCGTCGTCCAAGGGGACCGCGTCGCGGTTGTGGCCAGCAACAGCATTGATACCCTCGTGGTGTTCCTCGCGACCACTGCTCTGGGAGCGCTGTTCTCGTCGACGTCCACCGACACGGGTGTCAAAGGCATCCTGGACCGTCTGCTCCAGCTCAAGCCGCGCTGGGTATTCGTGGACGACGCAGCAGTCTACAACGGGAAGCAAATCGACCTGCGTGACAAGATCAAGGACATCGTCCAAGGTCTCGAGGGCGTCCGCGAATTCACCGGCGTCATCACTCTCCCCCGATTCCCAGGTCGTCCGGTTGACGTGAGCGCCGTCCCACGCACCCAACCGCTAGCCACATTCCTAGCCCAGGCGGCGTCCGACAAACTCGAGTTCGTGCGGATCCCCTTCCGCGACCCCTTCCTGGTCGTATACTCCTCCGGGACGACAGGAAAACCGAAGCCCATCGTCCACGGCGTAGGCGGGTACGTCCTCAACAGCAGCAAGGAGGCCCACCTGAACCGTAACCACGGGCCGCACTCTGTCATCCTGCAATACACCACGACCGGATGGATCATGTACATGCAGGCCATCTCGGGGCTGCTGTTCGGCGGGAGGCCCATCCTGTACGACGGCAGCCCGTTCCTCCCCGACGTGGGTTTCCTCATTCGCCTCCTGGGCGAGCACAAAGCAACGCATTTCGGCACGTCACCGCGGTTTCTGCATGAGCTCCGTAAGAACGGCATCCGTCCGCGGGACATCGCGGATCTCAGCTCCCTCAACATCGTCACGAGCACTGGCATGGTGCTGGCAGAATCCCTCTTTGAGTGGTTCTACGATGAGGGCTTCCCCGCACACGTCCAGCTCGCAAATATCTCCGGAGGCACCGACCTGGCGGCGTGTCTGGGTCTCGAGAACCCACTGACCCCGCTGTACGTCGGTGGATGTCAAGGCGCTGGTCTTGGGATCGCAGTGGCCGTCTACGACCAGGCAGATGAAGGCGCTACGGGAGTCAAGGGTACCCAGGTCCCCGATGGCGTCGCGGGTGAGATTGTTGTCACTCGTAGTTTCCCGACCATGCCGGTGAAATTCCTCGGAGACGATGGACCGCAGAAGTACTTTGACTCGTACTTTGCGCGCTTCGACAGTGAGCCCTCTGCTCCCGTTGGTATACAGAAGACCATGCTAACTCCTGACAGACGTGTGGACCCACGGCGATTTCATCATGATCCATCCCGAGACCAAACAGATCTTCTTCCTGGGTCGGTCAGACGGCGTGCTGAACCCCTCGGGCATCCGCTTCGGCTCCAGTGAGATATACAATGTCATCGATACGCAGTTCACCGAGGACATCGTCGACTCCCTCTGCGTCGGGCAGCGACGTCCCCAGGACACCGACGAGTCCGTGATGCTGTTCCTGCTAATGCGCCCAGGGCGCCAGTTCACTCCGCAGCTGGTCGCCCGCGTGAAGGAAGCCATCAGAAAGGCACTCAGCTCGCGTCATGTGCCGAAGTACGTCTTCCAGACGCCTGAAATCCCGGTATGTTCCTTCTGAGGAAGGTTGTGAGAACCTGTCAAGTACTGACGTGTGCAGACGACTGTCAATCTGAAGAAAGTCGAGCTGCCGGTGAAGCAGATTGTATCTGGAAGGAAGGTTAAAGCGTCCGGCACGCTCGTCAATCCCCAGAGCTTGGACTTTTACTATCAGTTTGCTGAGGTGGAGAAGCTGCTGCCCCCGGTGAGCAAGCTGTGATCTGCATATCCGTTACATAGAGTACATCTGTAGAATGATACATCCTGCATATGCCTATTATGCTTTGGCTGATGATCAGACCCACACGATTTCAAAATTTAAGAGTTACCATGCCTACTTGATCAACTCTCACAGAAATGATAGTTTCGACAACCAATGCTATTCTAGGATATCAACAACCCTGTATCCAAGCTCCATCGCATGGGCAATCCAGTCTAGCCCTCTATCCTCAGACATGACTCCCCCATCCGCCTGCGGGAGGGTTCCAGGTAGCGCTGTACGTCAGGCGCAATCGAACACCAACCAAGTAATACAAGACAATCATAGACAAGAAGCGAAGGACAAGATATATGCACCGACTCTATACGCCGTGAAAGAAAGAAGAACCCAGTCGTCCCAAGTGAATGATGATGGTACACGAACACATCGTCTATTTGTTGTGTATCATGAAGTTGCGGAATGAGTCCCAGTGATCACAGTCGGAGTAGCTAGATGAGCAATTAGCCAACCATCGTCCAGTAATCCAGTACGCAGGACAAGAGTAAACACATACATATACACCATGCTGCTCCGGAGACTAGACATGAGGGTGTCCGGATACCAGCGGAAGAGATACATGACGAAGGCCCAGCTGAGACTGGCAAAGGCCGGCCAGGCATTCTTCTCAATCTCGGCCCGAGCTTCGGGCGTAATGAAGCCAGAGAGAGGGTGCATGTTAGGTCGGACAGCGAGCTTAGCGAATCCGAGCACCACGCGAGCAAACACGTAGATGACAATCTGGTGGGGCATTGTGTGAGTATTACTGCGATAGCCGTGGTATATGGCGCCCTGGACATACCTGTTGGGAGACACTGGTCTTTCTCCGACCAAACACGGCGTATCCTCCAAGCAGACCAGCGAAAAAGCTGTCATACCGTCCCTCTTTACTTGTCCCCGCAGGATTGAGATTCCGAAGGACCAGCATCGTGGCCTTGTATATGAACGCGAACGTCGCTAGGTTCCGGGCGTGTTGTCGGGTGGCTTTCAGGACCAGCTTGGTTTTCTCCCGGATGCTAGGCTCGATCAGCAGGTCACTTTCGAAGCTGCGACGGGGTTCTTACGTTCCCGAACGGAAAAGGAAGATCATACTAGAGACCGTAAGAGATTAGCTTCGAACGTTCTCACAGAAAATATAGCAGAATAAAGGTCATCGTATGACATACACCAGAGCGTGCGGAAAGCGCACTTTCGCGCCGTATACTGCACCATTGCGGACCGCCTTTGCCAAAGCCAGGAACGGGGCGAGGTCTTTGTTAGTGACGAGGGTATCTAGATGTGACTGTCCTAAAATCAGCGATAGTCCAGATACGACGAAAAAGCAGGCGAGTGTAGGTAATCGCGTCATACCACAAGTGAATCCATGATGAAGGTGGACCTCGGCAGCGCAGCTTCGGAGAATAGGCGAAGGTCGTAGGTAGGCGGCGAGACACTTCACAGACAGAGGGAGCCCAAAGTGACGAAGACGAGGATCATGAGGTAGAACCAAGAATAGCGATAGATATAGTCGACAACAGAGGAGTCGGACAGCGGAGAGGAGTGGGGAGGACGGCAATTCCCAGCATGGTGGTATCCGCGCAGGACATCTCGAGATCCTCGGCATGTGAGCCTGCAGCCGAACGCATCCACACGTCATGTCACGTGAGTACCATTCCACCACTACAGAGATACTCCAGAGTAGATACTAGTAGTATATCAACTTTTATTCTATAGTCCGACCTTGCAGGTCATAGGAACAGTGCAGTATGCAAGTCATCAATGATCAACCACCTGGAACGCCGGGTGCAGAACACCTAAGTACATGTAACAGTAGAAAAAAGATAGTAATATCATATCACCTCAAGCCGTCTTCACCCTCTTGGGTCCCTCGTCCTCCGAAATCTCATCCACCTCCATCATGTCCACATCGTGATCCTCGTCGTCCGACTCCACGCCCGCGCGCCGCTTCAGACCCTTCATCTTGCGGGTCTGCAAGCCGGTCAGATCCTGCTTGGTCAGATGCACGCGACCCATCTTATCACCGATGGGGTCCAGCTCGATGTTCTTCTTCAGCTTAACCTCCTCGTTCGGCCGCTTGCCCTGCTTGAGCGCCTCCTTCATGACGTCGCGCGGCGCCTCGTGGATGCGCCCGACCTTGAAGTCGAACTTGGGGCCGATCTCGTCGAGCTCGACACGGGGCAGCTTGTGACCGCTGCGCTTGGTGCGGATCTTGTACCAGCGCAGGTGGACGACGGGCGCCAGGCCCTCCGTGGGCTCCTCCGCGGCGATCATCAGCGCATACTGCAGGCCCTCGACGTCGATCTTATCCGAGGTCTCGCCCTTGAACATGTCGACGAACATGCTCTTCAGCAACACATGCACCGACGACGTCGCATCGTCCCACGCGCTCCCAGCAAACAGCAGCAGCGGACGCATCCCCACGCCAATCTGCATGCTCAGGTTGTTGAAGGGAGCAATCTCCTCGCCGTCCGGGTTGGGCAGGAGCATCAGCTCGCACATGTCCAGCAGCTTGGAGTCGAAGATACGCGCCAGCGTCACGCAATTGGGCCGCTTCTTGTTGCTGCTGCCGAACACCACAATGCCGCACTCGTTCTTGTTGGCCAGGAACTCGAGACTCTCCGCGTTCTCGAATGGGTGGATGTTCTCGTTCTTCTTGTGGAACAGGACCGAGTTGGGTCGCGTCAGCGAGTGGAACGTCTTAAGCACCGTGTTCAGCGCCGTCGGACATTTCGATCCGTGCATCACCAGCGTCCGTTTGGGCGGCTCGATGAGTTGAGGCTCCTTGGCCTTGAGGATGCGCGCGGTGCGCGGATTCTTGGGCTTCCTGTGCAGAGATTTCATCGTTAGCCAGGGAGGTCCTTTTTGCTATCCGCATCGCAAACGCTGTAGACTAATTAATGTACTCACACTTCTCTGAGCATCTTGGCAGGTGTTCCTCTCGTTGGTGAAAAGTGAGTTGTTGGAAATCACCGACTGGACGGAAAATCCAGAAAAGGCGGAGGGAAAAGTTTTGGCGGAAGAGGCTTGGCATTCCTTATCGATAAGCTTATTCTTCATCTGCCCATCACCGATTTCTTTGGGCTTCATCCGACAAAATATTTCATAGCATATTTCAGAACTTTCAATACACCAAGTTATCCATGTCAACTATACAAACGTAGGATTCATTCAAATCTACCCGCTATGCTATCTACTCTAACCGCAGCTTTTCGAACTCGCGCACCTGTTCCTCCAGCCGTGCGGCTTCGCTCTCAGCGTCGCGAAGCTTCTTCTCCTCCTGCTCGCGCACCTCGGGCTTGGCCTTCTCCTGCCAGGCAGCGCTGCCCACAAGGGTCTGTTGGCGGCGCACCGTCTCGCGGACCTTTGCAAGATTAGCCTTGGCCTTCTCCTCCTGCTCAAGCGCAACCTCCTTAGACACACGGAGGTAGACGGCCGCCTCGGCACCGACGGGAGACACAACGCAGCCCGAGGGGCTGGTGGTGTCCTCCGGTCCCTTGACGCTCAGATCACCCAGAGTCTTGCCACCAAGAGACTTGATGATGTTGAGCTCATTGGAGACAGTCTTGTGGCTGGTAGCATCGTAGGTCTGGACAATGATGTCGCCCTTGGTCTTAACCTCATACTGAGCCAGGATCGAACGAATCGCCTTGGACACGTTCAGGACAAGCTCGTAAGCGGTCTCGGCTTCAGGGTCGTTGAACTCAGCCTTGTACTCGGGGTACCGGGCCTTCATGATAGAGATGGTGCTGTCACCGGGACGGCGGGGCAGGCGCTGCCACAGGTGCTCAGTAACAAAGGGCATGATGGGATGGATCAGGAGCAGTGCACCCTCCAGAGCGGTGTACAGCGTCTGCTTGGCAGTCTCCTGGACCTCAGCAGGGACGTCCGGCGCGAGGAGCGATTTGGAGTTCTCAATGAACACATCGCAAAGCTGGGAGTACCAGTATTGGTACACCGTAGTGGCCACGACGGAGAACTCACGCTGCTCCAAAGCTTCGTTGATCTCCTTGGTGGCAGCATTGAACTTGTGCAAGATCCAGCGCTCAGAAAGAGACTCCTTGCCGGTCTTGGTAGGGGCAGGCAGGGGCTTGAAGTCGTCACCCAGTTTGCCAAGGACGAACTTGGTAGCCTGGTAGATCTTGTTACAGAAACGACGGTATCCGTGGATGACCTGGATATCGAAGGCAATATCACCACCTGCAACATGGTCAGTTTTAATTTCAGGATTAATCATGCATGAATAACATACCGCCGGTAGTGTAAGACACAAGAGCGAAGCGCAGGGCATCAGCACCGCACTCGGGAATACCCTTAGGGAACGCCTTCTTCTGGTACTTCGTAGCAGTGGCGACCTCCTTATCAGCAAGGTTACCCGTGAGCAGCTTGGCGTGAAGCGACTGGAGTTCAATTCCCTCCATGACATCCAGAGGATCGATGACGTTGCCCAAAGACTTGGACATCTTGCGACCTTCCGAATCTCTGATGAGCGAGTGGCAATAAACCTCCCGGAAGGGGATCTTGCCCGTCATCTTGATGCCGAGCATGATCATTCTGGCAACCCAGAAGAAGAGAATATCCCAACCAGTCTCCAGGACAGAGGTAGGGTAGAGGTTCTCCAGATCATGGGTCTGACGGGGCCAGCCGAGAGTGGAGAAGGGCCACAGTCCGGAGGAGAACCACGTGTCGAGGACATCAGGGTCTCTCTCCAGAGAGAACTTCTTGCCAGGGAACTTGGCCTCCGCCTTCTTCTGGGCCTCTTCCTCAGTCCGGCCAGAGACCCAGTTGTTGCCGTCACTATCATCGCACTCCTCGCCTTCAATCTTGACCAAGTAGGCGGGGGCCTGGTGACCCCACCAGAGCTGGCGGGAGAGACACCAATCGTTGATGTTTTCCATCCAACGGTAGTAACTCTTCTCAGCGGATTCGGGTCTAATGACAATCTCACCGTCCTTGACAGCCTTGATAGCAGGCTCAGCGAGTTCCTTCATCCGCATCCACCACTGGGGCTTGAGAATAGGCTCGATGACATCGTTGGACTTAGCGCAGCGAGGGATCTTCATGGGGTTGTTCTCCCACTTCACGTACAATCCCTTCTCCTTCAGCAGCTCGATCACCTTGTACCGAGCATCGAAGCGCTTCATACCCTCGAAGGGACCACCATTCTTGTTGAAGGTACCATCGTCATTCAGCACAGAGATAAACTTCAGGTTGTGGGCCTTTCCGCGGTTGAAATCGTTGAAATCGTGGGCCGGGGTGATCTTCACAGCACCAGTACCGAACTCAGGGTCCACATCGGCATCAGCAACGATAGGCAGCAGGCGGTCCACGAAGGGATGACGGGCAGCCTTGCCGATCAGGTGTTTGTAACGCTTGTCGTCGGGGTGCACAGCAATACCGGTATCACCGATCATGGTCTCCGGACGGGTAGTAGCAATCTCAATGCGCTCCTTCGTGCCATCAATCTCGTAACAGAAGTGAGTCAGGACACCGAATTCGACCTTGCGCTCATAACCGGGCACATCCAGGAGCGTGCGTCCTTCCACCTCTTTGTTCTCGACTTCGAGGTTAGACAGAGAGGTGTTGAGAGCCACACACCAGTTGACCAGACGGTTAGCACGGTAGATAACACCCTCTTCGTGAAGGCGCACGAAGGTCTCGGTGACAGCAGCCGACAGGTTGGGGTCCATGGTGAAGGCCTCACGCGTCCAGTCGAAGGAACCACCGACTCTGCGGAGCGCGTTCTTGATGTTGGCGTGGTACTCATGCTTCCAAGCCCAGACGCGATCCATAAGAGCCTGACGACCCAGATCGTGACGGGTCTTCTTTTCCTTCTTCCAGAGCATCTTTTCCACCACGCTCTGGGTGGAGATACCGGCGTGGTCCATACCGGGGAGCCACAGGGTGGTCTTACCCTTCATGCGCTGCCAACGGATCATGGTATCTTGAAGAGCGTTGGTGAGAGCGTGGCCCATGTGAAGCGAACCGGTAACGTTGGGGGGAGGAATGGGGATGACGAAGTAGCCTTCAGGCTTGACCTTGTTATCAGGGCCGAACTCGGGCAGGAAGAGGCCGCGCTCCTCCCACCATTCATAGCGACCGGCTTCAATGACCTTGGGATCATAGGCATCAGTAGTCTTCTCCTTCTCGACCTTGGGCTTCTTCTCAGCCTTCGGGGCGGCGGGTTTCGCGGCGGCAGCCTTTGCCTGCTTCTCGGCAAATTTCTTCGCCTTCTCGGCCTTGCGTCGCTCACGTTCCACTATAAGTCATCACCAACGTGTCAGAAACATATTTCCAGTAGTCACTGCGCCCAGTGACCGAATCCGCGGGCGGTGTAAGTATAACAAGACGTACGTTCTTTCTCGCTCTTCACCTTGGGGACTACAGAGCCATCTGCCGACTTGGTAGCGACATCGGCATTCTGGTTTCGCGTCTGATCATCGGCCTGGGGAGGGGTGTCAACCACGGGAGCAGCGGGCTCACCAGCTAGAGAAGCCACGAGTTAGTCTATATTCAACACATGAGTCATCAGTCGGGGGGAGGGCTTACTGGGATTCTGGGGGGCAGAAGGTTGAGCCATTCTGGAAAACGATCGATAGATAGGAGGAGTAAATCTCCAGGGCGCCGATTGCGCCACGAGTCGCCGGATGAGTATCTTGACCACCGGGAGAACTTCAACGGCGATAGATAGAAAAGGAAGGAGGGGGAGGGGTTCGCTGGAGGTTGTGCGAATGCGGCGGGCAATCAAATTTCCTGGCGCAGAGGAGAAAATGGAACGAATCAGAGATTGGGACGGCGGGCCCAGTTAGTGCGTGCGAGCACAGTGGAGAACGACGGAGTACAGTGTTGGAGTAGGTAGTCGCGCGGAGATCATGTATGTCAGGATAGTGAGATGGTCGATGTTGTCAGTTGCAGTGGGTTCAATTGCACTTGATTTCTTCTCTTCATCGTCCTGTTTCATCTATGTGTAGAATCAAAAGGATTCTTGTGAGTCAGTATCGGCACGTGATGTGTGCTTGTATAAGATTACATAATAGGAGCAGAACAACTTCATACTCGGCTGTTGATGTCTCTTACTACTCCGAACATCAATGGAAAGTTAAAGGCTTCAAATCAACTAGGTATGCGCCTCATATCCAAGATGGTGTCTTACGGAAACAGTATAACAATGGTTAATGAACTTCAAATGCGAAATAGACATAACTTGAGAAATACCCATCAACACCAGTCCAAGAGATCACTCATCAAAGTCGAGAACAGAGAGGACCGGAGGAGAGTCGCATGCAAGATCATTGAAAAACTATGTGGATACGCTGAATCAAACAGGAGCGAAGTAGACCCCACTCTAAACACCACTAGAGATTCCACAGAATACGCCAAGAGAAGTGAGCTGAGATGGGCTCCGTACCCAACATAGGTATTAGGTGTATGTCATCGGTTCATCATCGTCGTCTCCGTCCGTATGCCGTGAAGCCGCAACGACCGTTGCCCCATGGCCCGTAGGTTTCTCGTGTTTCTTTCTGTTAAATAAGATCCGCCACCCTAGCCCACTCGATGTAAAACTCCAAATTCAAACCAAGTCGGTGGCTATCAAACAGCCAGATGACGGCATAAGTCACAGGAAACGCTGAATGACAATTCGATCGTTGCCGGAGAGATCAAAAAGAGCTCCTACTAACGCCTCGGTTTCAATCGTCTAAGCAGCCGTGTTGTTCCGACTTTGGTCGGACGGCCGGACAGGGTCAAAGTAAGGATGAGCCATCGCCTCCTGGGCAGTGAGTCGCTCCTGCAATGAGGTTAGTCATCTGAGAAATCTCAAGTTAAATTTGATGGTGTGGCCTGAATCCATACCGCGTGATCGTAACGGAGCAGCTTGTCCAGGAAATCAATAGCTTCATCACTGACGAAGCGCTGGTTGTCGGGATTGACGAACGAATGCCAAGGTTTCCGGGGGAAACGGGAGAGAATCTCGTCGTACTGAGGGTCCAGCTCAATTTCGTACTTGTCCAGGTACTCGAAGAGTTCCTCCGTTCCAAGCACCTTGGCGATCTTGACGAGCTGATCGGAGTTGCTGTTTCCATGGAAGAAAGGTTCCTTGCGGAAAATCATGGAAGCGAACATGGCGCCAAGAGACCACATGTCTAGCGAGTAGTCGTACTCTTGGAAATCAACGAGCAGCTCCGGGCCCTTGAAATATCTTGACGCAACGCGCACGTTGTATTCAGTGCCCTTGTGGTAGAATTCGGCAAGACCCCAATCAATCAGCCGGAGCTAGGACCGCGTTAGCAAACGTCGTATGGAAAGGGATATAAGAATGGCAGAACGCACCTTGCGCTTTTCATGGTCGATCATGACATTGTGGGGCTTCACGTCGCGATGCATGATACCCTTACTGTGGCAAAAGTCCAGAGCCTTCAGAAGTTCGTACACGTAGAAACGAACATCATAGTCGGTGAAGCGGGGATACAGCGTCCTGAAGTCGGTGTTGTTCACATTCTCAAAGACCAGACTGGGGGTCTTGCTTTGGCTATCCCGGACCACATCCAACAAGGCAACGACATTTGGGCCACCGGCGAGATTCTGAAGAATTTTGATCTCACGCTTAATCTTCTTCTTCTTGACCGGTTTGAGGACCTTGATGACACACTTCTGGTAGTTCACGACGTTGATGCCCTCGAAGACTTCCGAGTACTTTCCGCGGCCTACAATAGGAACGGTTAGTAAGCATGGTCAACCAAATGCGCCACCAAAGCACGACATCCAACTGCGGCGGAAACACCGTGGACATATCAGGTGATAGCATGGATCATGCAAAGGGTTGCCTACCAATCTTGCGCACGACTTCGTAGTTCTCCAGAACACCCCAAGAAATGTTCACGCTGTCATAGTCCCAGTAAGAACGAGGCATATGCTCGTTCACATCAGCGTAGACGCGCGCCATGGTGTTGGCGGCTGAAAAGCAGGCCGTCGAGCCCACAATCGGATACGGGAGATAAAATGCGGCGGGGTAGAGGAGGAGGAGGAAAGTGATGAGGCGGAAAGACGTGATGATGGAAAGAATTGAGCCAAACCAATGGACAGACAACAGCAGCTGCAAGAACCGGAGCAGGAAAGCCCGTTGAAACCGTGCAGCCGTGCTATCGTCCCGAGCAACGATGAACTGACACCCTGAGAGAATCAGTGGAGGATGATCCCGACTGGGTTTCGGTCCGCCTTGGGACGGGTCACGTGGAGACAGAGATAGACACGCACGGAGATTCGGCGAAATGGTTGATGCGGGCGGGTGATTTGCAGATTTCCTTTCTCGGACAGCTTCAGTCCCGAGTTCCTCCTCGTATCATAAAACATAATAACCACAGCAGACAAGGGCGCAGGGCTTGTCTTTAAGCTCCCCATCATGTTCTATGATCTCAACGTTCCTTACAGTCCGGATGATCCCGAGATCTCCGCGACCCTAAACTTTCTCGCCGAACGTATGTCACTGCATTCCACCACTACCATACACCTGACTCCGAAACCACCACATGAAGCGCTAACCTGACTACCGTAGTCGGTTACACAACAGTCGCTCTCTCCCAGAGTCTCAGTGGGAAACTCCCTCCTAATCCGACGCCCCCGTCCACGCCACCCAATGTACCAAAGGGCCTGACGCTATTGACCCGCATGAACCTGACCGTGTCGGACCCGGCGCAGAACCAACGCCTCACCAGCCTGGCGCAGGTCTACGATCTGGTGGCCCTTCGCCCAACCACAGAGAAGGCCCTCCTGAATGCGTGTACCAGTATGGAATGCGACGTGATTTCGCTTGATCTCTCCGTGCGACTGCCGTACCACTTCAAGTTCAAGATGCTTTCGGCCGCTATCGCACGTGGTGTCCGCTTTGAGATCTGTTATGGTCCCGGGGTCACTGGCAACGGACTTGAGGCGCGACGGAATTTGATCGGAAATGCCATGGCGTTGATCCGTGCAACACGCGGGCGGGGCATCATCGTGTCAAGTGAAGCCCGAAGAGCGCTGGGGGTTAGGGCGCCATGGGATGTGATCAACCTGGCGTGTGTCTGGGGGTTATCACAGGAGCGTGGGAAAGAGGCCATCTGTGAGGAAGCGAGGAAAACAACTGCGCTGGCGAGGTTGAAACGGACCAGTTGGCGGGGAATCATCGACGTTGTGGATGGTGGAGAGAAGCCGAAACCGAAGCCGGAAAAGCTACCGCTCAATCAGAAGAAAACCGCCTCCAAAACAAAAGAAGCTCCCAACCTCGAAGGTAATGGGGACAGCTTGAAGAGGAAAGCATCTATCGGGTCCGAGGTAGTCGTCGAAGAGGTCGAGAAGCCTTTATCTAAGCGGGAGTTGAAACGCAGAGCTAAGAAGGCTCGGGTGGAAGCTGCCGGTGGAGAGGACGGAACGCTCGCAAATACTTAAGTTTCCATCATGGCGGTATCTCATTTGTCAAGCTCTCGGAGGACGGTGAATCTTCCTCTCCTCAAGCTGGAAGAACGCCATATGACGGAAAACCGAACATTTCGTCACGGTGATTTACGGTCTCCAGCTATCAACGGTCGTTGCATGCCAACTGGAACGAGAATGCACGCGTTCTCGAAGCAAAATGGGCAACAGATCGAATATTTCGGACCCGTCTCGGACTACGGCATGATATGAAAGATAACTTGCCGGGCGAACCACATACAGTCCCAGCTCGTCTTGCAATCTGCAAGTGTACCACCGGATCAGTGGATTTACTCTTTAGTTCTGAAGCACAGAGAGGACCCTGGCGAAAGAAGCCGGAAGGTGGACACTGGTCCACACATGTACATTGGGCCAGGACTGGCGAATATTGTTCGAACTTCACACTACTATCACATCAGTCTGATTCAATCAATTAGGTGTAAACTAGGTAGCTCATTCTACTCCCAATTCATTATGAGGCTATCTCCCAGTTGTTAGCACGCCTAATAGTTTCTTTGGGACACAACATAGGAAACACTGCTAGAGGCAACAGCGCAATTTGCATCTTATACTCCAGGCCCTCAGTGATAATTGTAGGGAGAAACACTAGCCCTCTTCTCATACGAAGCAAGGTCATATGTAGCCCTACACCCTCTCCCCCCCTTCTCTCATCTTCTCTCGCCTCCTTCTCTCGCCTTCGCCTTGTCCTCTTACCTTCAACCACCTCGTTGCCTTTTTAAGGACCTAGAGGAAGGCCATTCTGAGGGCGCTCCTCCCCGCTAGATCTTCTCACCCCTCCTCACTTTCCTTCCTCTTTCCCACTCACTCCCACTCCCTCGTCCATCTCTGATCCATCTCTCACTTTTATGCCTTCCATCTCCTTCCCATCACTCTTCCATCGTCCCAAGCTTTGTTTCCAGCTCTGAATACTCGTCTTTTTTATCAACAAGATCCCTCTACTCTCTCATTCACATCTTCACCTTGCCAGCCTCTCATCCGTCACTATGTCTGAACAGAACCCTTTTTACGAAGACATTGTATGTTCGAGACAGATTGCCCCACCGAGGATGCTTTGATCTAATGCATTACTCCAGAGCGATCGATATTGTCACTTGTGCTACGAACGCGGGCATCTCGCCGCCAACTGTCCTGTTCGCGAGGCTCTGTTACATCTGGTTCGTCGGGAATAGCTTTCCTGGGAAAATATCAGCTCACCACGTACAGGGACGCATGCTACAGAGTCTCAACATGCCTTTGAACACTAGAATCAGAGGGTTTCGGAACCATCCTCCTCGTGGAAACCCCCGAGTTATTCGTCATCGCCAACACGTGGAATCAAGAAGACAAGCCGAACTTCACTTTCGTCGTGGTGATATGAGTGTCTCTGGTGCTGCCCAAATCGCGGTTGGTGTTCGTAAACAAACCCCAATTCTTCAAGTCACGCTTCACTAATTGGTCTAGGTCAATGGTATCCAAGTTTCCAGCACGGGACGCGGCAGCCGCGTCATACGTCGTCGGCCACGTACAAGAAACCGCGCTCGCCCTGGCACTCGAAACGATCCCAGACGTCTGTCTCCTCCTCCTCAGGTCGAAGGTCCTTTTCCCCAAACACAGACTATACAGTCGTCTACTCCCGGTCTAGAGTTAGTATACCTCTAACTCGGGCTTTTTTTGCACTGCGCTGATATCTTCAGGACTAATCTTTCTACTGAAATGAACACTAGCATGTATGGGTTCCATCGCTGAATATCATCGGCATCTGAAGACTAACGACATACCCGCCAGTGATGGGGACAGCATGGGTGTAGCAACGTCGTAAGTAGTGCTGGCATAATTCTTTCACCCCTCTCTCATATCCATATTAACTTTTCTAGGGAAATGGACACTGTGGACTATACCAGGTAATATACCCGAAGACGTTCTCGAATGAGGTTTAACACAGCATCTCAGGACGTATGCAGAGCCGCCAGCCGGCCCCTCTGTGTGAGTTTCCTTTCCCGAATGCGTGTGATCTTGATTTAATGATGGATTCTTTACCAGGCCTTCTCTCGCAACGACGCCTACAGACGACCAACAGATTGTGTTCTCGCCCGGCACGACGGATGGAATATTCGGCACCACCAGCAGCCAGAACAATAATGAGTACTGCGGAAATGGAAGGTCTATGATCTGATCACTGTACCGCTCTGGCTTCACCATGTACCTGATAAAATGGAGGGAGTTTTATGTGTTTCATACATGTTGGAAGCCATGTTGACTAGACTAAGTCTGGACTCGTCTTTTGTTTGATGCAAGCCAAAGTTAACTATCCAAGGAAATGGAGATCATCAACCTGGTGCGCCCTAGGGGTATTTAGCACCTACTTGCAAGATACTCTTTTGTTTCGACATGCAGATATAACTATCTGGAGATAATTTTCTTAATAAGAAGCGTTTTATAAGATAGAGGGCCTTGCGTTGGATCTAAGTCGTGCGGGAGTCTCTTATGGTCATGTGACAGACTACCTATGATGTATAGTTACTACATAGGTCCCAAAACATGACCTTCTACATCCCTATCCTCTCAACTCTCATATCTTGTCTCCATCGAGGCCTCCACCTGTAGAACACATCGGAGCTATATGTGTCCCACTGACGTCCCGCAAACTCGTCAAGCTATTTGGTCTACAACACCTAGATAAGCATGGCTGAAGATACTCCTCCAAACCCCCCAAACATTCCACCTCCTTCGCTGATGGTGAGGAAATTCATGCGCTGGGCTGGGAGCCTAGAAACCGAGGACACCAAAGAGCATCGCCCCTTCAACGAAAAATGGTTCTTCTTCTATGGCACCTTGACGAATCCGGAGACCTTGATGCGAGTTCTTGAGCGCTCAGAAATACCCGAACTTCCCCACGCCATCATCTTTGGCCGCGAAATCTTATATTGGGGGCAATATCCGGCAGCTGTGCAAGGGGCCGCGGATCACCCTATTGATGGGGTCGTCTGCAAGATCGAGACCCAAGAAGAACTTGACCAGCTGGAAGCTTATGAGACCAAAATGTACCAAGCCGAAGGCTGCACGGCGTGGCTGGATGATGACACAGAGATTCCGGGGTTTCTGTTTGTTTGGGATGGCGACACAGAGCTTCTGAGCCAGAGTCCCGGCAAGGTTTAATTCAGAAGTCGATTACAGGAGCTTGAAGGTTGCATGACTAAGATGCGTAGGTAGCAGTATGTAGTTATTCAGAATTCCAGAAAGTCATGAGCATACTATCGCCTAACTCCACGAAGGCAAGGTATCATTTATAGGACTACTGATGATTGCTCTCCAACTTAGCAGAGCCGAAAACGCCAACTCGACAAGAAATCAACTGCAAAATTCCCTCCTTGTTATCGATCCTTCCACTGGATCCATGATACTACCTCACTTAAGGTGTGGCCGATAGCTCCCATAGAGGAGCCGCAATGCTAAGATCCTATACAAAAAATCGTATCGGCCGTAGTCGTCGAGGAACATCATCGGAGTTCATACCAGAATCTCATCTTCATGGTGATGGGATTCTTCTGATCGGCCTGTACTTTCCTCCTCTCCAGCTTTTGCTGCTCTGCCGCAGTGAGATCACTCAATGGGTGTGGAGTTAACAATCCGCACATGCCGTGAAATAAAGGACGAAGAATATCGAGATCAGCGGTAGAAGAGTTTCTCTTGATGAAGCCCAGCTATGGCGCATCTCTGCCGGAAGAATAGCCTCGAACGCTGGCTTGAGATCCAGAAATGCACGACACAGAGCTTTGAGATGCTCCAGATCCTAGCCACCAACCGGAGCAAGGTGGACATGGAACCCACACAATTTGTTTGTCTCGATAGTACACACTCGTTTAAAGGTTCGGAAAGGGCACCGATTCGGCCCATCCACTCGCAATCAGGCCGGTGAAACAACCTTGGAATCACCACTTCAATGGGCTTTTTACTCAAATTAGCCTTGGCAACACCGGAACAAAATAGGAGCAATCCCTGCATTTATTAGACGAAGATGTAATGGTTACATCGTCGGTGAGTGCCCAGCAATTCTCATGGGCACCCCCATCCACATCTGACTGCACTGCGATCTCGTGGCGTTGGTTGTTCTTTCGTACTGGGATACAACGAAGTTTGCAAAGTCGGCCAGATTATTGACATGGAGCTGCTGTGCAGAGCTGACTGCTGGCAAGTATCCAAAGTCACTTCCAGCTGACAGATTCCAACTCCAAGCCGATGGTGAAATCCACCATTTTGTGGTAGATTGGGGTTGGCTGGCTGGTAGGAGATGTCGGTTCGTGTAGAAGACGCAGCGAGGAGCATGCAACTGCAAGCTAGGTTGGTTAGAAAGGTTGGATAACGCCGTTGAGCATTATATAGTTGTCGTTGTCCTGTATGGGTGAATATAGGTGGATTCCAGTTAACATTCATATCAGTAATTCAATGACTACAAGGCTTCATTCACTATAAGGATCCTCTCCTTTATTATCTATTGAAAAACAGCTAGCATTTAGCTTATGTGAAGATAGGTAGTGATCAAGGACTCTATAAACAGTCCTGGGCCGTCAGATATATCTTAGCCTACTCGGAAAGGGCTGAGCTTCTATAACTTGAAAGCTTCCACGGGGTGTGATTTTCGTTTTATGGCACGTATCCTTTCTTTTTTTGCACCTCTGTTGAGATATATACTATTCACTGTTTGAGCTTATATCGTTAATCCTATCTACCAGTACTTCAACTACTTCAGTCACTCTACAATGACCTCACTGGAAGGGAGTCGACGGGGAGAATCGAAGGCGGTGATGAAGGCGGTGAAGAGGCCGAGATGGGGTTGTTGATATCGTGCGGCACAATGATGATGGAATGAACATGATAACCTCGACCTCGCCTGCTCCTCGCTCCTCGACTGTGCAACTGTACACCCCCACGGTCCTAGTTCCTCCCCCTCTTCTCTCCGTTCCTGATACTTCCCTCCTTCACTCAGGGTATATACCAGCACCATCCTCGTATCTCCGTTGACTCAGAACCGGACATACCAGCTTCTCCACGCTGACAGCACGTCTCCTCCTGGCTGTCAGGCGCAGATCGTGGCTCAATTTTAAATTCCGAAGGGCTCGCATTCAGGCAAACGGCCACAACACGGAATTGTCAAGCGTGGTAGCAATTCACCTGCAACCAGCCCTGGTGCTGCACAGATAGCAAGATGGAATCGCTGCCGCCCGATACATTTGACACTCCGTCCACGTCCTACCCAGGTCATGGTCCGAGTGCGGGTGCCGATCTCGATAATATAACTGGAAATGCGACGTCAGCAGCACCCTTTGTCAAGGTGGACGGTACGTACCCTCAGTAGCCAAAGAAGGTCATACTCCATACTGATCAAGGCAGACCCACCCAAGTTCGAGTTGGAATCATACATCGCGAACTACACTGGTACGTCTTACCTTTGAACCTTGCCTTTTCGCCCCGCCTCGCTCACATCTCTCTCGCAGGTCGGACAAGATACAATCGGCTGTACCTCATTGGCACTTGCTCCACCTATCTATCTGTCGAGGCACTCAAAGCCGCAATTTCCGAAGCTAAATCAGGGAAGGACGTATCCAGATATGAGTCCGCAGTCCAAGCTCTCGCTGAAGTTGCACCAAATGAACCGGAGGCCAAGCGAGATGGGGAATGGGTGGATCGGATGCAAAAGATGGTCAAGGCCGAGACAGATCGGCTAGAGCACGAACTGCGGGGCTACAAGAACAATCTGATCAAAGAAAGCATACGGGTACGTCGCCTGTGTTGGGGGATAGGCGCAGCATTTACTGACTGTGGCAGATGGGAAATGAGGATCTTGGGCAACATTATCACCAAATTGGCGATCTCGTCAATGCATCCAAGGCCTATTCTCGCATGAGAGATTACTGTACGACACCGACCCACATTGCATCCATGCTGTTCAAGATCATCAACGTGGCGATTGAACGGGGTGACTGGCTGAGTGTTCAGTCGAATGTTCAGAGGCTACGCAACGTCCAATCGAAACAGGAAGAGCAGGCCAAGAATCAGCCCAAGATGTCCGCCGCCCTCGGTCTATCTCAGCTGCACTCGGGATATTACCTGGACGCAGCGAACACCTTTCTGGGCACCGACCCGAGCCTGGGGGACTCATACAATGAAGTGATCACGGCCAACGACGTCGCTGTGTACGGCGGGCTCTGCGCTCTGGCGTCGATGGATCGCAACGAGCTCCAGCGTCGCGTGCTCGACAACAACTCGTTCCGCAACTTCCTCGAACTAGAACCGCACATCCGCCGGGCCATCTCGTTCTTCTGCAACTCGAAATTCCAGCCCTGTCTGGAGATCCTTGAAGCGTACGCCACTGACTATCTCCTTGATATCCATCTCCAGCGCCACGTCCGCACGCTGTTCACGCGCATCCGCACCAAGTCTATTCAGCAGTACCTCGTTCCTTTCAGTCGCGTGACGCTCGACTCCATGTCGAGGATCTTCGTCTCGGGTGGTGCCAATGGCCAGCAGGCGGCTCCTATCGATCTCAAGTCGCCATTTGTTCAGGAACTGATCGGTCTGATCGAGGACGGCACGCTGGATGCGCGTATTGATCTGGAGAAAATGGTTCTCGTGTCCAACCAGACCGACTTGCGGACGGAGGTGCAGCAGGCTGCGCTGCGGAGTGTGTCGGAGTACGTCCGTGAGGCGCATCTGCGGATACTCCGGACCAACATCATCCATTCGGGGTTGGAAGTGCGCGAGAAAACTCAGCGGGAGAGAGGGCCGTCGAAGTATCATCGCGGAGCGACGGGTAACTTCTAGGCTGCATGGGTGATATGACTTGATAATGACTCGAATGGAATGAATGATTGCACATGGCATGGTGCTATGACGAATGGTGGTCGAGAAACAAGCTAATACTCTGGTCCATTGCCACTATTACTTAGCATACACCGATTCGTGTCATATTACATCTACATAGGACCACCGATACCTCGATTAGGTCGTAGATTACACCATGGCCAGAACCACGCCCATCGCCGCTCCCCTAACAACCCACTGCATAGGGGTCGCAGTCGCCCAAGCCATCGCTGCATTATGGCTGGTCGTATGCGTAGCGGCGGTGGCGTTCGTCCCGGTAGCAGATGCCGCAGCCGTAGTAACCCCCGTACGCGTCCCCGTCGCCGTCGCCGTCGCAGACGACACAGACGGCGCATTCTTGGTGGTAGCAGACGCCGTTACGGCAGTCGCCGCGCCATCCTGGGTCTCGGTAGCGATGACAGTAGCGCGGTGGTAGGGCAATTTATCGGTGGGGATCACTTCACGCGTCACTTGGGTGTGATCGCCGTCAATCAGGGTGGCGACGCAGCTGACGGCCGTCGAGGACAGGCTGTCACAGTCCCCCGACGCTGAGCTTAATTCCCCATGACGAACGATCAGCGTGCCGCCTCCAAAAGTTCAAACCGGCAGCCAAAGGGAGCACTTACTACCCGCCGGCCGAATATCTCCACCACAAGCTGGAGGGCCCCTGCGCTATGGTGTAGCCTTCCGGGGGGGTGAAGCAGGACTCCGTCATGGATGATGGGCAGTCGAGGCGGTAGGAGGTCATGTGGCCTTGCTGTGGTGCTCCCAGTCCCCGGGTTAGATCTATGTCTAGTTGCGTGAGAGGGAGAGAGACTGAGACGTACGCTCCCCAGGAGCTTTACGACGACGGGCGCATCGTCGACGACGGGGACGAGAAGCGTGACGACGTCGTTAGCAAGGACGGGGGTGAGAGTTGCCAGGACGGCGGCAAGCGTTGCGATGTGGATGTGGATGTGCATTGTGGTGATGCTGGATCGAGACTGTGACGACTGAGTGTGGGGTACACAAGTAAGGCGTGACGTTGGCTGTGGGAAGCTCTATGGGGCTATTGATGTTTTATGAGGATAATGTGCCCCTGGCGGTATTTGGCGATGTCGTGCAGGATTCACAAGTCGTGTTGGTGATGGCGCTCCTAGGCTACACCAGGCTAGTGCAGTCTCACTGTTACCTGTGTGATTGGGCATTTGTGCTTGACTTCTTGCGCCAATCGCTGTTTTTTGGGGGCAAAATTAGTTTGTAGTATGCTGTTCGGGAGATTGTACGGTTATCTGACATGTTCTTTGATATTCAAGTTGGACTTGCATGCATCTACGCCATGTTAATATGGACAGAACAACACGGATCATATTCATTGCAGAATGAACTACGTCAGCTATTTCTCTCTAGATCGACAGATTGTATCCTATTCATGATCATTGGGATGTAAACATATCGATGACTCAAAAGAGATATTTGTAGGCCCAGAGCTCTCATGCCGCTGCTCTCGCATATCTATCGCGTCTGCTCATCCAGCTTGATATATATATACCTACCCAAGTGAGCTAACCAGGCTACATCATCGACACGATAACGTCTTGAACGGCCAACAGCTAGTAGATGGTTACATCTCGCCAAGTATCTCAACCCACCTCGAACACGAACTATAGGCAACTACACGCCCAACACCGACGCCGTTTCATATGTCAACCACAGTCCCGAGCTCTCTCGCATCATCTGCATCATCGTGGCGTCCATCTACCAATATTCACTCGACATGCCTCGTATCAGAACTCAAAAGGATTGTCGCCAAGTACCGGCCCCTCAGACAGCTTTCATCTTATAAATACCCGTGGACACCTTATAAATACACCACGGCATCAATCCCAGCGTACTTACTCTCAAATAACACCCTCCCCAATCATCCCAGAACATACATCCAAAATGACCGACATCCCCAGGAGTAACATCGACCACCTGGGCATCTTCGTCCCAGCCGACAAGTTCGAGTCGACCGTCGAATGGTACCTGGCCGCCCTCGCTCCGCTGAAGTACAAGAAGATCATGGAGTTCCCCGGCACCGTCGGTCTGGGCAGCCAGATCCCGGACTTCTGGGTCGCGATCAAAGACGGTCCCGCGCCGCAGAATGTGCACTTTGCGTTTAGTGCACCGGGTGCGTATCCTCCCCTGCGACTTTGAGTGACCGCTGTGTGCGATGATACTGAACGCTGCTAGACCGAGCTACCGTTGATGCTTTCCACAAGGCGGCTATCGCGGCCGGGGGAACGTGCCATGGACCCCCTGGACTCCGTCCGGAGTATCATGAGAACTACTATGGGGCTTTTGTGTTGGATCCGCTGGGGAATAATGTTGAGTTGGTAGGTTTTTGGGACTGTAGAGGAGACCGTGGTGGCCATGCTGACCTTGGTAGGTGATCCACACCCCGGTGTGAAAGGAGAATCGTACCCAGTGGAGGAAGTGAAGATGCAGGTCTTGTGGGACACAAATATGAAAGCCGCAGTTCATTACTAGTTTAAGTTCGTGTCGATATCATAAAACGCCTATGCCAAATTCAAGTACTTTCTGGAACGGCTCACCAGGCCACCAATAACACCAGCTAGAAGCAGGGCACCATTAAACCCGGCCATGATGTAGAATGGGGAGCCCGAAGACAGCACATCGAACAAGAGGCCCCCTAGCTTAGTGAGGAGAAGAATGCCTGCTCCTCCATATAACGAATATACCCCCGCAATCGATCCTTTGAGATGCGACAGCTGCCGGGTGTTGTGACTCTTAGGGTTAGCCAGCAAAGGCTGTTGCTCGTCAGGGTCATGGACCCCGTTCGTAGGCATTTGTCCCGGGCCCGCTTCCACAGCGCCCGAGATCTCCGGCCCATCAACTTGCTTCGGAATCTCCTCGTTGGCGTCCATGGTGAGGATGCCGTTGCTCAGCACGGCAAGACTGCACACGATGGCTCCGATCTGGCTGATCCCAATCAACGCCATGACTACGAAGACGCCCGCGCTTCCGTCTGGCCCGGTGAAGTTGGGGCTGGGCATCAATCCAAACGCCAGGTAACCGGCAGTGCCGCAGAGACAAGCAAAAAGGAGAGGAAGATGGTATTGCCGCGATCGCTCCGACAGGTATCCGAATGCCGGAGCGGCAATCAACGCAACCAGTTGCGAGACTCCCGTCAAAATGGAAGCCAGCACGTACGCTTTCGGACATGACTGCTTGATCTCGCCGGGGCTCGACCCATCGCGACTGTTGTCGTCGCAGAGACCCGATTTTCGGTAGTAATGGTTGACGGCAAGCGGGATGAAGAGAGAAATCCCGACAGATGATGCCCGTGCCACGAACCCGCCAAGATAGCCGATGAAGATATCGCGATGTCGGAACCCTAGTGCGACGGCTGCTCCAAGCTGGTCTAAGTAAGGATACCGGGATCGGCCGCCTACGGCGCATGATGGGCCGCTGAGGGCGGTCTCCGGCGACTCATTGTGTGACGCCCAGAGGGAGTTCCAAGACTTGTCCTCCTCTCCAGGAAGGTTTCGAAGACCGATCAGACAGCAGACGCTGATAAGAAGAGCTACAGCACCCACGAGGTAGTAACTGTATTGGATGGCCTGCGGCGGGGATAGCCCCCATTTCTGGAACCGAGCGGGAAGGGGAAGGAAGATTACGAGGGATACGAGCGCACCGCATCCAGCACAGGCACCAACGAACCCAGCTAGCCGAGAAGAGGGAGTGTACGTGTTGCGTTGACGACCAGCATCTGGGGCGGAAGTGGGCTGGGCGACACTGTCCCGTGGGTGATGTGGTTCTTGAGCCAAGGACGCATGGAATTCCTGTTCACGATTTCTCCCGGTGACTGCTGGTAGAACGGCAGTGACCATGGTCGAAACTGCAGCACCTCCGACGCTGAACAGCAGTCTCCCGAGAAGTAGTTGGGGATAGACATTCTTGGCCTGAACGAACAAGAACAGCGCGAGCGCAATAATGCCATAACCAGCAACACATGTCTAGGTGGGTTAGCATACTACAATTGTTATTGAACGGGGTCGGGCTGTGCTTACATGTCGGACGCCTATCCGATCCGATAGTACACCCCACAGGGGACAAGCGGCCAGCGCAAGCAATTCATCGGCGAACCCAAGCGTTCCAACAGCATCTCCCTCTCCCTCCGGTATGCCAATTAACTCTGTAACCACGAATGAGACAGAAGAATTGACAAAAACCAGAAAGGCAATGGAGAAGGGGCAGACGGCCAGGAGGTAGGTCAGCGTCTGGGTACGGCTGGCGGTGAACAGAGGGCGTTGTACAGTCATTGCCCTACACGCCCATTGGGTCTGTTAACATAGAAACCTGAGGTTGTATATATCCTTGGCCAGCAGAAAGAGGATGCACAGCCGTAGGATGGATCAGGTTCTGGGAGGAATGTGGAAGAACTAAGGGAGTATGGAAGTTGAGGGAGTTGTTTGATGCCGTCAGATCACATGACCGTGTCCTCCATATGTTTGTGAACGTGGAGAAGAGCGGCCCGAGGAAGATCAGCTGTGTACTGGTCGGTAGAGCTTTACCTGGGGATACATTTCGATGAGCTGTCAGCCAGAAGAAAGATCACAAAGGATACAAAATAATTGTATTAATTGTATCATAAAGTCTTTAGGGCAATAGTCATGCCATCCGGAAGAACAATGGATTCATTGTGTATCCGCTGACGTAAGATTCCGCGGGCGGTGGGATGAATAATGATGGATAGCTGTCCAGAACTCCCCCCCATATTGTTCGCTCTTCTCTTCGCATTCCTCTCTCTCCCCGTTTCAATTTCTCATCAATGTGCCGTTGAGGAGGTTTTGGACCCCCCAGCCAATATACTGCACGTCCAATGACTTTGGGCTTTTTGCCCACGTCTTTCACTCTGTAGCTATGAGATTAGCCGCGTATGCTGGGGTAAGTGACCCGCATGGAGGCGTGATTGACGTCGGCTTGGATGCCAGATATTGATAGGTTCGACAGGCCTCAGTGGCTCTGGCCACCGGTGTTTTCCTCAAAGCACTGCATCAGAGGGCGAATTTCTACTCTGCCTGCGTGTACTTATCCCAAAGCAGCGCCAATCTAATGGTAGGTTTGTTCCGGAAGCTATCTCCGCATCCTCGTGCTCACCACATTGTAGATCCTGACGAATGTCTGCCTCCTTGCGGTGGGATTTCTCCTCTTCTGGCTTCAGCGACTACTCTACGGACCCCTACGACCGATCGAGACCGAGCAACTGTACGAAAAAGCATGGTTCGCGATAACGGAGACCTGCCTGGCGATGACGATCTTCCGGGGGGAGCTCGGCGCCTGGTTCTTGGTCATGTTCGTCTGTCTGCTGGTGGGCAAGGTTTGGGGCTGGATTAGTGAGGGTCGCGTGGAGTTTTTGGAACAGCAGCCGCCGGCGAATCCTCGGTTGTTCCACACCCGGCTGTCGATTTCGTTGCTCTTGTCCGTCATGTTCAACGCCTTCTTGTTGCGGTACTGCATCACAACGGTCCTGGAACAGGCGCGACCGGACATGATGGTCATGTTTGGCTTCGAGTTCGCCATCTTGACCATTTTTGTCCAGCTCGACCGCGGCCAGGTACGCCATTGCCCTGGTTGAAATCTACATCACCCGTCAACAGATGAAGGCGAAGGTGGAGGAGCGGCGTCGAGAAATAAGAGTAGAGAGAGCCGAGGCCATCAGACGAGCCGCCCAGGCTGGCGAAAGCAGTCCGCCCACCAACCTCCCGGACGAGAATGACATCGATGAGATGGAGCTGGATGTTCCCGGCTGGGAGGAGAAAGGTCGCTGGGTCTTCTACCTTGATCTTCTCACCGATTTCCTGAAGCTCACGGTGTATCTCACTTTCTTCGCCATCCTGTTCACGTTCTACGGTCTCCCCATCCATATTCTGCGCGACGTCGTGGTTACCATCCGCTCTTTTGGCCGACGAATCATGGACTTCATGCGATACCGCAACGCGACCCGCGATATGAACGAACGGTATCCCGATGCAACCGCCGAGGAGGTCACCCGGGAGGAAGTGTGCATTATCTGCCGCGAGGAGATGACTCCGTGGCAACAGCCTGCAGACGGCGCTGGTCAACCAAGAGCCCGTGTCTCCGAGAGACTTCGCCCCAAGAAGTTGCCTTGTGGCCATATCTTGCACTTCGCGTGTCTTCGGAGCTGGTTAGAAAGGCAACAGAATTGCCCGACGTGTCGGCGTCCGGTTCTTGCCCCCGCTCGTCCTGGTGGTCAAGCGGACACTCCCGGTCAGGCTCCAAACATACCGGGCGCAAACCAACAGCCAGGAGGGGCCGGCGATGGGCGCCCTCGTGCCCGAGTGTATCAATTTGGCCCGTTTCGGGTTGGATTCGGTGCCGGCAGAGGTGACCTTTTCCAAAACCTCCACCAGCAGATTCACCAGGGCAATGCACCATTGCCACCACTCAACAATCAACATCCTAATGCGCGACAGATCGGTTTCGGTTTTGGATTTGGCCGGCCACCCCCACCTCCGACACAGTCCGTACGAACTCCCACCCACATTGCAACTGACATCCACATGCAATTGGACATGATGGAGGAACATATTCTCCGGGAGATCAGCAGCTTGCGCGTGGCCGCGGACCACCTACATTTGGTCCGCTTGTTACAGGCTGAGCTCCATCGGCTTCGCACCCTGACCGGGAATACCTCCAACTCCGCTCAAAGCCCCTTTTCCACTGCGCCGGTTCCTCCAACGCCCACAACATCGACTTCGACACGCCACCAACAGTTTGAACCCCGCGCAACGGCCATGGAATCCGACGACAGTCGTCTTCCTGAGGGACTGAGCCTTCCGCCCGGCTGGACCCTGACGCCTTTGCACTCTGCCAGCGGAATCTCGCCTTCCAGCCTTTCGATGCCTGTTCCGCAATCTAGTCAACCGGCACCGAGCCCCGAGACCAATGCGGGCGCGCAATCTACGCCTGCGCAAGAAGCGCAGTCCGGCCACGAGAGGAGCGATGGGGCGGGAACATTCACCGAATCTGTTCCGCAAGACCTGCCGAACTGGCAGTCGAATGCGACACCGGCATCTGTCAGCCAAAATGACGTCGCCCCGTCGAACGATTGGACGGACGTGGCAGCGGAGACTCAGAGTGAGAAGGCCGGGCCGACGTCTACCGTCGAGGGAAGTGGTATCGACGGAGAACAAACCTCATCCTCCCCTTCCAAGGGCAAGGCGCGGGTGCCTACGGTGGAAGATGCGGTAGACGATGGGGTTTGATGATGAATGTATTTTCTACACTTTCAACGTTCCCGTATTTTTAGTCTGTTCATACCTTCTCTTTGGGAGCTTGTATTTCTGAGTTCATTCCTATCCATTGGGAGATCAGCGTTGATACCGGCGTTTTTGTTTTCTTTTTATTCATTGGGGGTTTTACAGAGCGAGTTCAAAATAACATACCCAAGTTGCTTGTGTTGGACATCTCGACGAGTATGTACATATCAGTTCTCTACCCCAGCATAATGCGCAGACGGTTGACGGAGAAGTTGCCACTTGGAGGAACGACGGGTGGTGGTTGCTGGAGAAAAAGAGGGACCGCCAGGGGGATCGCCATGATGGCTTGCATCAAAGAAGAACACTTAACACATGAGAAGACGGGGAGAACGGCCAATTGAGTAAATGTTGGATGAGTTTGAAGTCCAATGGTCAATGTCATATTTATAAGTCCGGTTGGATGGACGAGAATGACCCTACACCCCCAAAGTCAGTGGTAGTTATCATAGAGTGGCTCGTCGTCATCAGTGCTGACGCCAGCGTCCCGTCGGGGGGCCCAGTAGTTAAATTAACGCCCACTCCAACATCCTCTCTCTCTCGATCTCTCTCTTGATCTCTCTCTTGACGGAGAACGCCTTTTTCCACCGTCGGTCTTCCTTTTTCTCCTCTTCCTCCCCTCCTTAACTCAATCCTCCTCCGTCATTCCCCTCAACCCTAGCGTCGCATCCGATCCACATCCTGGTGTTGGACAAACTGGTCTTGACGACATCCTGGATGCACGGTTCCATGGTGGTCCCCTCTTCTTAGGTTGATTGTAAGTTTCTCCGTCGCACCAGTCTATCTTGCATTTCTTCCTAGTCTTCTCAAGTGCCATAACCTCCATTCTCCCGCTCTCCATCGGTCCATCCTAGTCACCCTAATCCAGTACCCCATGTCCTGTCCGCTACACTGAACGCTACGCTCACATTGTCGCGAATTCGCAGCAGGTCGCCTTATCCTTTATCTTCCCTCTGTATTAATATTCACCGATACCCTTCTTGTCCATGATTTCCTCACGCCGGGCCATTCCCCTCCTCGGCCTGGCTTTCTTCGTCTGCCTTCTGTACACCGTCAACAGTCTATCGCGACAATGGCGACGGGTACCGCAGTCAGTGGGCCTCGGGGAACTCGTCGCAAACCCCTCTCCCACCCCAAGCGGTCGCTTTAACATCACCAAGGGTGACGACTATGTCACGAAAGAACCCTACGCCCCCCGACCGCACTACGCCCCCGGGGTCCCGAAACCCCCGGGGGCGACATATACGAAGATGCTGGTGGTCCCCCAGGCCGACCTAGAGGACACCACGTGGATTGAACTCGAGCTCCCCCGACTGGCAATCGGCCGTGTACGTGGTGGATGACCCGTCTGCGCCGCTCCACCCCCCGAGAAACAAGGGTCACGAAGTCATGGTCTATCTGAGTTACATCATCGAGCATTACGATAACCTACCGGATATCATTGCCTTTATGCACTCGCACCAGTTCGCCTGGCATAACGATGAGATCTTTGACGGGAACGCGGCGGAGATGCTGCGCCGGCTGAACCCGGCGCGCATCATCCGCGAAGGATACATGAATCTCCGCTGCACCTGGGCCCCCGGGTGTCCCGACTGGTTGCACCCCGGCACCCTGGAGGAAGACGAGTCCAAGCAGGAGGAGACCATGTTGGCGAAATCGTGGGGTGAGATCTTCCCGGATCACCCCATCCCGGACGTGCTCGCGCAGCCCTGCTGTGCGCAGTTCGCCGTCTCGCGTGAGCGCATTCTGTCTATCCCGAAGGCGCGCTTCGTCTACTACCGCGACTGGATCCTGCGGACGGAACTGAGCGACTACATCTCCGGGCGCATCTGGGAGTACCTCTGGCATGTGGTGTTCACCGGCGAGAACGTCGTCTGTCCGAAGGAGAATGTCTGCTACTGCGATGGATACGGGATCTGTTTCGGCGGCGAGGACGAATACGATGCATACCGCGGGCTGGGTTTCCAGAAGAACGACCTGGAGGAGGAGCTCAAGCATTGGCGGAGCCGCGCAGAGTCTATTGAACTGGCACGAATGCGAGGCACTCTCGGTCAAAGCAGCAAATTGAATGTCCCTGAGCCCGGCAAGGACATCGAGTTGGAGGAAAAGATTGTCGAAAAAGAAAGCTTGATCGCGGAGCTATTGGTGAATGCCACCCTGCGCGGAGAAGATCCAAAGGCAAGGGCAAAAGAAGCGGGAAGACCATGGAAAGAGGGAGATGGATTCTGATGATCCACGGTCTCCTGATCTCCAGCCTGATGGTGACTGAACACCACGGCTTGTTATTTCTTGTCTATATTTCCGCCTCTGCATTGGGATCGGGCGCACCATGGCTTGCCCTTTATAGATACGGTTGCTGCTTACAGACCTTATGTGCTTACTTTGTGCTTTTGCTTGGGTCTGGTGTTGATACGGCTGGGTTGCTTGATATGTATGGATACCTATAGCGTGACAATTTGGCAGGCCCCAAATTGATAGGGTGATGTTGAATAGATTATGAGAATACCCAACTTGGATGAGAATATAGGACTCTTCTCGACCTAACAATGAGTATGGTGGCACTGATCACGTGCTCGGAGTTTCCCTCCAAATGGAGCGTCTCCGGAATGCGGAACGGTTGCTTGGGGAGCGTGACTTCCATCAGAGTTTGCACTGTCTGCCCATCCTTCAAACCACGCAAACAACGTCATCCGCGCCCCAATCAAGCAATCTGATTGATTAACTTATCGCAAGTCGCGCGATCTATTTGCGACAAGACCCGGGGTGTCTAGCTGCCATAGTGCTGCAGGTATCGTTGTGACCGCGCATAGTGGCCGTGCGAACACCGAACCAACTTCCGAGGTGTTGTTTTGGTCTTTGACTACCAAGGACCTAGTGCGGACTATTGCGCATCGAAGACCGGCTTCATCTATGGCAAACGGGATTTGAGAGCGACGCGTTGTCGAATCGACAGAGCCTGTGCCATAGGTAATTGCGATTAAGAGGCGATCGGAATTCTTCGAAGCGTCTTGGTCGTCGCGACTTGTACCGAACCACGTCGTCAATATCACCGCGCGGATCGCCGTGTAGCTGATTAGCAGCAAAACGATTGGTTGCGCCTACAGCTGTATGAGCGCTATCTTGAACACCGACGACGCGATTTCGTGAGATATCGATATTACTCCCCACCATCGGCATGACGTCTACACCAACATCCAACCAACACCCGTCGACTACGGCCGCCGACTTCGCCGCCACTCAGGCGCCGTCATCGAATATCGACCCAAATACAAACCTGGGGAATACGGGGTACGCACCGAATGAGAACCAACTCGCAGGGCTGGTCGAAGCTGCCACTGCGGCGGCCGGTCAAGATGTCTCGGAATGGGCTGCTGCGGCCGCCGCGGCGGCTGCGGCCAATGCAGCTGGACATCAACACCACCTTGATGGGTATGCTGCGGAGATGCACATGGAGGATGACAGTTTCGACACCAACTTCAATCCGGGCTTGAACGCTGGACGGCATCTGCGGTCTGCGGGGAATGACCACGCGTCGTCTGGCTTGTCGAGGAGTGTGTCGAAAAAACGGAAGAGAGGCGACGGACCCCTCGACCCGGCGTTGACGGCGTCCGCCGCCGGGATCGGGCACCCGATCTCCCAGCACCAGCCTGCGCATCATGCGCCTCCTCATCATTACGGCGAGAGCCTTGCTATGCGCACCGAGCCTCCGCCGCCGGAAGCCTTGAACGAAGCTCGTGCTGTGGGGGTACATTCCGCGGCGGCCTTGTTCCGTCAGCCCTCGAGCAACAAGAAGTATACTCGCCCGCCGATGTCGAAGTTGTTTGCGTCGCTTGAGCTATCCCCAGAGAACTTTCTGCATCTACAGGCTGCTGCGAAGTCGTACATGCTGGACGACAAGCACCCGGAGCGGAGAGAGTGTGTTGGACAACGGGGGAAGGGAGATACGGAGATGGTGAAACTGCGGCTCTGGAACTGCGTGCGCCATTTCCTGGAAGTGGAGGGGCATGGCGAGCGGTTCTTCGGGGAGAACGTCGTCAATGAAGGCATGGGCCCGAGGACGTATGTATGGCCGCGGGATTCGCAGAAGATCATCTCCTTGGTCATTCCGCTGCTGAGGCGGATGGTCACGAATGAGCGCCAGCGGCAGTACGCGGTCGAGACGAGGAAAGGCGGCGCAGAAGAACGAAGACGACGGAAGACCGAAGATAGTCTTCAGAACTTCAACAGCGCCAGTCCGCCGAAGTTCCCCGTCGAGGACCACCTCCAGATGCACACGCACCACCATATGCACGAGGGGTATCCTTCTTCGCAGTCTCCGTTCTCCACCACTCACCCTGCACTCTCAGCACCGCAGGCTTCTCTGTCTTCAATACCGTATCCCATGCGCGCCAGCTCTCAGCCTCCCGAGATGAACCTGACCGACCTCTTGCTCGACGGCTACCCTACTGACTGGAACTCCATCGCCAAGTCATACGACACATACAACCAGAACTACGAGCTCGACAATCTGTGGCAGTTGTCTGGTCTGCAACAGCCCGACTGGCGCGGTCTCGTCGCTGCGGTGGACAGCCACTACCAAGTGGTCCACAACGGCGGTTACGACTGTCCCACGCCGTGTGAAGACGGGAATCTGCAACGAATCCTGGAGTCGGAGGCAACCCACGACCTGCGGTGGCGGATCGGAGAGCGCAGCCGAGCCGCGCGCAACGAATTGTACGTTTCAATCACCGTCCGTTATGACTCTCACTAACCCCCTCCAGTGCAAGCAGTATCACCCGCGACGTCTCACGCATCATCCGCGATAACCTCGCCACCAAAGACGCCTCCACCGCCGCCCCCGAAGACCAGACGCAGCCATTCCAGCCCTCGGCAACCCCCTCGCTCCCCGGCTTCGCCAACACCTCCACCAGCGCCCCGCAGGGAGCCATCACCCTCCGCATCAACATCATGCAGCACGGGAAACGCATCCTGCCGCGCGTCGACCTCTCCGCTGCGCAGTGCTCTGACATGGAGACGATGAAGCAGCTCCTGATCCGCCGGTTCGGCGACTCGCTCCCCGGCATCCCGCCGGCGGACTCGGCCCTCGCGCAGACGAACTGGAACCCGTCCGCGAACTGGAAGGTCAAGGTGTGGCTTCCGGATGGTCTGACGCCCGTGCAGAACGACGGCGAATGGACGATTGCGCTGTTATCGGCGGGGAATATCGACTGGATGGATGGGGATTTGCGGGTGCTGGTGGAGATTGAGCCTTGATGGGTTGTGTGGTGCTGTCTTGTTTGTGATTAGCGGGTTATTGCCTAGTGGTTCTGTGCTGGGGTTCTTGGGGGTAGTGTGGAGTAGGTGGTTACGGCGTATGGTGCAGTTAGTCGTGTCTTTATATCTTTCGGATGGTGACTAGTGGTTCACGGCGTTCACAGTTCACAGTTCTTGATATCAATAGCAAATGCACGAACTCCTTATACCCCACACAAACATACCGGACATGCCATGCAATTATTATTACCGAATTAAACAATATGAACATGCAGAACACCCAAACGCTGAAGCCAACCCACCCTTACAACAGAATCCTAAACCCAGCAAGGAAACCCCCGACAACAACCGCAAGCCCATACACCTGCCCCATACCAGCCATATACCTCACAGCAGCACCCTCATCCGGCGTGCCAGTAAACGGCGGCAGCGAGGTCGTGGCGGCCGGCACACTCGCCGAGGTGGAGGTAGTGTTGTACCGCTGGGGATTCTGCGCGCCGCAGGGATGGTCGGTGCGGCAGGCCGACTGGCAGGCGGAGTCTGCGGCGCTGCAGCGGGCGACGCACTGGTTGTTCTGCTCGGTGCAGATGAAGTAGGGGATGGTCTGGCTGTATTCGGAGGCATTGGGGGATTGGCCGTTGCTGCAGATGCAGTTGTAGGAGAGGGATTTCTATCGATTGATGTCAGTATTAGGAGTGATGGGCACAGATTGGGGGTAAAGGGAAAAGCTTACGGAGTCGCAGGTGTTGGCGGAGGGGTTGCTGGATGCTCCGGGCATCTGGAGGCAGAGGAGGGGGCAGGTGGAGGTTTGTTGTTGGCACCAGTAGGCTTGATGAAGTTAGTTTGGGGAATTGGTAGAGAGGTGGGAGGGATGGTAGGTACATCTGGTGGAGGAGTCGATGTCGCCGGCGTTGAAGGTGAAGTTGGTCTGGCTGTGGGCGAGGCCGACCACGCCGAGGACTGTCAGAGATTGGAGGAGACGCATTGTGCTTGTGAGGTGGGTGTGAAGGTGAGAGAGGTCAGGGAGGAGGGTTCTGTTGAGAGTTAGGAGAATTGAGACGGATCATTTATGGTTCATGGTCTTACCTGTTTGGGAAAAAGGGAAACAACCGCTTCGGTAGCCAAGATATTGCTTTGTCTGTCAGAGTCAGAGGTAGTGAGAGGGAAGAGATGAGAGGAAGATGAGAGGAAGATGTCTGACAATGGGCAGTCGATGGGTTTTGAAGAAGCGTCCAGCTGGAAAGAAAAAGACAGTGCGACGCCGTACCACTTGACCTCCGGCCTAAAGAGGTTGGGGTGGCGGCGCTATTTTCTCCTAAGCTCCAAACGAACCGACGGCTTCATGTAAACTAGATGGTTTGAGTGGATTCCCGGAGTATGTCCTACTCTGCCCCTATCCGAGGACATCTGAAACCGCTGGCTGGGCTAGGGAGAAGGGAGATTGGGGAACGTGAGTCATTTCTTCATTTCCTTCAATTAAAAGAAATCAATACAGTACAGAGTACATATTCTGCCTAGCTGCCTACCTAGGTATGTATCTGTCTCCAGCAGGGAGATACGTCGATCCGGAGCCTGCCGATTGACGGACGAAATCCTTCGTATCTTCGTGCAAGTGGTCTATCTTTAGTAGCAAACTGCATATCTCGGGCATTTTGCCTCCTCCAAGGCATGGCAAAGGCTCACATGAGAGTGTAACGGTTGGAATGTCTTGGAATGCCACCGAGCCGGCAAAAGTTGGAAGACGGACGGACTGATAACTAACTAGACAGCTGGGGCATGTCTCACTTTTCACGCTTGGTCGGGCCGGTGCCATTGGACCCTGACGCTCTTGGCTTTTGCTAGCGTAGACCCTTGACACCGCATGATGGTGCTTTGGAGTCAGGAGTGAGACACAAGACAAGAAAGATGGTGGTGCGTTCAATTCATTTCTTGTGAAAGAAGATAGAGATAAGAAGAGTGCATCGACGTAAGGGTATAAGTCCAGTACTCTGAGTAGATACATAGATAATTGTTAGGAGTACTGTAAAGTAGAAGTGTGGTGTGTGGGGAAGAATGAGTTGCCTCTTTGGGCCCTTGGCGTCAGGTGACTCTCCTGCTCCATCCGGCAGATTCCTGTCGGCTCCATCCTCCTCTCTTCCAACTAGGTATCTTATCAGTCTCCCTCAGACTCCGCATCTCCTCTTCTCGTCGGCTGCATATCCCGCTACGTCTGACACCAAACACAGACCCCTCGTGAACCACACTTTACTAGCCCCTACTCTCTACCGTACTGTACGGAGTGCTCTCCCATCAATTGTTGATCCTTGCAGTTGCCCGCCGCCACTGCTGTTGGTTATTATTAGCAATCCGGCTTCCACACTGCCGCCCCCAACATCCATCCGTCCCATCCATCCCATTGCCTATCCCCCACGTCGGACATCTAGATGGATGGAGCCAGCGAATGAGGTGACTGGTCTGCCGCCTCGGCTCCCATCCTCCTCGCCTCCCCGCAACGCCTCCAGCCCTCACCATCCGGCCGATCCCACTGCGAACCCAACCCATGCCAATGGCTCCTCCAAGGACCGTCCGGTCTCCGGCATAGTTCCCCCATACTGGAGCCATCACCGCAATGCATCGCGCACCTCCCAAACCTCCCTCGAGCCCCTGCCACCCATTACCCTAGAGGACCACACCGAGGATCCCAATTCAGAGACCAGCCGCGGCCTATGGGCCCGCAGCGTATCGGTCGATGACCACGTCGTCGTGCAGGGAAAGACTGGCATCGGAGCATATGTGGTCTGGAACTGCACCATACAAACTCTGGAGGTACGTTGCCGCAAACCAACCTCTCAATTATTGTTTTTATCTAACGATAGCTAGGGAGGACCCATCACCATTCGCATGAGGTATGCCTCACGACTGTACATACACTTGACCGCCTACTGAGACGTCCAGATACTCGGAATTTGATGACCTACGACGCCAGTTGGTAGCATCATTTCCCTATGCCAGAAATGCTCTCCCTGCCCTTCCTCCGAAAAGTGTACTCTGTACGGCACCAGAGCTCCTCATATAGTCTCAAGGGCTGACAAGTTCCAGTCAAATTTCGTCCCTCTTTCCTCGAATCCCGTCGTGTCGGACTGGAATATTTCCTGAAGTGAGTACAACGGTTTCCTATGCTTGTACATGGTCGACTAATTCCCATGCAAGTTGTGTCCTCCTCAACCCCGAGTTTTCGAGTTCCCCAATCGTGAAGGATTTTCTCTTTGGACGGATGTGTTGACATCGCGACTACTATTATTGTATATATATTTCTACCTTACGATGCCACGTCTTTTGCATTGGAGCGGTTGGAGCAATATGAAGAATTAGCTGATCTGCATAGAATCTCAATAATCAGCTCACCCGGAGCGCTAGCAATCTCATGTCGCAGTGTTAACTTGTCCGAGTCACAAGTTTCACTTCTAGGTTCCATTCCTTATCCACTCTTCTCCCCCTCGGCGACCACCACCGCCTGATTCTGCTCTTCCTTGGCCTTCTGCATGCTCTTTGCATATTTCTTCCCCGCAACCACCCACCACAGAAGCTCGATGATCAAGAACCCACCAACACATACACACGTGTAGTTCATATTCGACGCTGCGTTGTCAGCACCTCGCCTCGCCTCCCAAACACAAGACTAGAACTTACCGGTCACAGGCATATAATACGGGAACGAAAAAAAGACAATGGCAAACAGAAGCCAGAGCACCGTGACAATGTTGACCACCATCCCAACGACCGAGCTCAGAGCGAACGGTCCACGCTGCATAGTCTTTCGGCCGAGGACGACGTTCGTGAGGATAGGTACCAGGTATGCGAAGTTGTTGATTGTCCTGTGGCCGGTTAGAATATCTCTGCACATGAAAATAGGTTAGAGTTAGAACCACGTACACTGCCGAGCTCATCATCGCGTTGAACGCAGTGGTTGAACCGAGATAGATGCACCCCAACAGGGCGATGATCGTACCCACGCAGAGCTGTGCGTTCAGCGGGGTTCCCGTGCGTGAGCTTACCTTCGCCCAGCTAATATAATCAGTATGCTCTAACCACACACACGGGGCCGGGGCAGGTACATCTTCGAGAAGGGGAGGCCGTCGTCTCGGGCAAAAGCCCAGAACACGCGTCCGGTGCCTGTTGTGAGCCTAGTCAGCGCATGGCAGGCTAGAGACGCAATGACGGCACATACTAAGCTGCGAGCCGATCGTGCATGGCCCCAAGGCAATCCAGAGGAGAAAGACGAGGCCAAACGCCCCGCCGCGCGTCTGCGTCGCTTGCTGGAATATCTCGGCGAGCGGCAGGCCTGTCCGGCTGCTCGCGAGACTCTGGTAATCTTGCACCGAGAACATCAGGCTGAGCAGGTAGGTCAGGCCCGTAACGAAGGCTATGGTGAGGGTGCAGGCTAGCTCTGTCAGTGCCTAGGGGTGTAATGCGGGTTATGCAACTGACCTAATGCTAGAGGAGCGTTGCGTCCAGGCTAGCTAGGGTTAGCATGTTTAGATAGTGCACAATGGCAGGGCGTAGCGTACATTCGGCATCTCCTCGGTGATATGCTATATCCGATTAGGACAATGGAAGCGTGTAGGTCACCAGACGGCTTACTGTGATCCCGTCCAATCCACCCAGAGAGTAAAGCGGGTTCACCAGCCCCGTAATAAAGCAGATGACGTTGTTTTCCCAGCCGGTCTCGTTGATCCACGTCCGGAAGACGAATTTGGAGTCGTTATGAGCCGGCGCGCATGCGGCGACGGTGACCATGATGACGAACCACGCCAGCTGGAGGTAGCACACTGCAGTCTGCATGAGCGGACAGAAGACGACAGACGAGGGTCAAGGCATACAGGAGAACTTGTTAATCAGAGGGATATAGCGATTGCCAAACATGACAATCCCCGATGTCAGAAGATTGAGCCCCTGGTACGCCACAAAGGTCATCCACGGCTGCAACACAAGGTCGGTCTTGTAGATGGCGATCAAGGCCATGAAGTTGGTTGCGTAGATCAGATTCGTCGACGCGGTCGTAAATATCCCTACACAATCGATTAAGCCAGAGCTCGATCCACGTACAACGCAAATAGTGCTTACATCCAAACACTGTGCTCCAGCCCGTGGCAAAACTGAGTATGCTGTTGAATCTCTTCGGCGCAATCGCCGCGATCCAGTGGTACATGCCGCCTTCGACGGGGTACGCAGAGACGAACTCCGCCAGCGAGGCGCCCAGGAAGCATTGGAGGATGAACACTAGGATGAAGCCATAGATAACTGCCGTGATCAGCTGCGCACTCCAGTCTCAGACGGAGGGAATCTTACGCGCGCCTGGACCACCGGCGTTGATGGAGGTGATCAGCCCTAGACCGAGTCCTGCATAACACCATAAGAACCACGACCAGCATGCGTCGGGGGTGGTGTCAGACATACCCGTCCAGGAAATGGTACAGTTCGCCGCCAACCCGATCAAACTCCATACCGAAAAATGCCTCTTCAACTCTTGCTTGTGGCCTAGTCCATCGTGAGAAACAGCCCGACACGCAAAAAGAACCGAACAAACCCATCTGCGCCAGCCGCAGCTCATCCGCGTTCTGCACGCGTATAACATCGGCATCAGCGTCGGCACTCTTGGAGCTCGCGGCATGGGCCGCAATGTCGTCAGGGTTACCCATTCTGCCTCGCTACCCAAGCACAAGGTAATGGGGGATGTCAGAGTGGAAGAGACCAGGTTGGTATCGTGCTCACGCTCTTGACTAAGCTTCGTACCAAGAGAGCCAAGTCGACAGGACTGGACAGGATCATCCCGTGCGTCTGTCCTACTTATCTGGGTTATCAGTCGGAGTTTGGCCGGCGTGTGCGTCCACTTGGGGCTGTTGTCTGCATCGCGCCGTTTGTTTAGCGGTATTTTAGTATGTAGGTAGTGAAGAGGGGCTGGGAGTATAACGAATGATACGACACTCTCCGTTGATAGGCATGGAGTAGTCTGAGGTTGCAGTTGGAGAACCCCCGCAGTCGTATCATGGTGGATACAGTATTGATAGACAGGCAGAGCGCTAGTCTGGACAAGGCTAGTGATCTTCATATACAACAGAACCGATATGACCACTTCGTATGCTACATGATGCAGGCATTCTCTCTATCAGTCTCATTAGATGTCTATCTATATAGTGGCTAGTATTCACACGGAACCTGTCCTTCGTCAAACTTGTATAAGACAGAATCGTTAGTCGTCAGTCGCGCGTTGTTGGCATGTATAGACAGGGAATTAAAATCATAAGGCAATATATAGGAAGGAAATGGTGTTCAAGAATGGTCGACATGAGCGCTCAATTTCACGAGATCAAACTCCGATTAGCGCCTCTTCCGATTGACGGCTGTCATGAAGTACGGGGCATTGCTGAATTGTGCCGTAAGTGCGTTGCGGAATCGGATCTGCCGGCGAGATTGAGTATATAATTCCGCATACAATCAGGATCTAGTGACTTTTCAGGCCACGTTTGGTGGGATCACCTGAAGGAGACTCCGTCCGCTCGCCGAAGTTGAGGTAAGCTTGGTCTCTGGCGACGGACTTGTCGCGACGGATGGTCAAGCAGTTGATTCCCAAAAAGGTGGTAATCCGGTTAATCACCAAGAACGCCCAATGCATATAAGCCACAAACGCGAACAGGAGGTAGGCGCGGAGGTACAAGACTTCAAACCACCCGCTGACCATCGGCAGTCCGAATCGGGGCAGGTTGGCCAGGATGGCGCCGCCGATGAGAGGGGTCTGCAAAACAGTCCAGTAGGGGAATGGCTGTCTTAACAGATGCGCCAGAATGATCTTGGTGGTCATGCGTCCGAACACAAACGTGATCGCCCAGCAGTACAGGACGAGTCTGCCTTCGGCTAGAATGGTCGAATAGGGCGAGAACAGCCAGGCAATGTTACTGGCGGTGAACACGATCATCGGCACCCACTCCTTGAAAATAGGCAGGACCGGGAGGTTTTGTTTTCTCCGCGCTTCGATAACGTTGAGAACGCATCCCGGAAGGTGGCCGATGAAGAAGGACAAAAGGAGGAACGGAATCCACAGGTCCTTCACCGAGTTGTTGCCGAATATCTGCGGATAGTTCAGGAATTCGACAATCGGCCGGGACCAGATCTGGGGGCCATAAATTCCAGAGGCGATCATAATACCGATTGCAACCAGAAGACCTTCGGTAGGGCCATTGATATAGCCGAGGTAAAGTGTATGCGTATGATATGTCTCCCACGTGGAGAAATACATCGCAAGACACGGCACCAATGCGGTGTAAGCTCCGAGTTGAGTAGATCCAAAACCCATTGCTGCAGTTTCCAGCAGGCTAGCCATGGTGCAGTTCAGCGAGTCAATTCCGTGGCTTTCAGGGTTAGCATCATCCGGTGACTGCGCATATCTGGCTTGGTACTCACTCAAACAGTTCACCCAGCCCGCTCGACGTCCCGGTTCTCCGAGCCTGTTTTCCATCAACGTTGTCTAAGGTGGAGTACCTTTGGATCTGTTAGAACAAGCCCAGAAGCTCAATGCGACCACGAGACTCACATCCACATGCCAAATGCAAAACTATAGTATAACCAAGAAGGGCCCTTTTTACTCGAATATTAGCCTCACACTGTCCGTTGTAGTTTGCAATATTATCATTCTCACCGGTCCAATCAGATCAGGCATCAAAAGTTCTATAAGAATGACGTTGCCTATAATGAAAAAGAAGCCCAAAAGCGTGACCATGTTGGGGGCCAGCCACATGGGCAAAACTTCGACGAATGCATTCCACTGGGAGGCGCGAAACCATGTCAGATCAACATTGCTGAGGGTCTCCTGAAAGATGGGATTGGTCGTACGTAATGTTTCAGTATATACCGGGAGATGAAAGACTTGTCGACGCTCGAATACTTGTAGCTCTTGAGGGGCAGGAGAACGTCATCCGAAAGGGAGTCTTGGATCGCTGGAGAAAATTAGACCGGTTAGCCTGCGGATAACGATTTCAGTGTCTATGACCCAATTGCTTACCTTGGATCCTCTTGAATACCAGACTCATAACGGCAAGGAGGGCGCACGGCGCACGGGGAATGAACGGTCAGCGGGATGAGGAGTATACAAGTCGCAATTAGTGCATTGCGCGGTATGCAACGCGACAGGCAATAAAATCAAGAGGGCTGACAGCTCCACAAGAGCTCTGATATATTCCGACGTGCGACGGTGCGTCCGGCGTGAAATTCTCCCAACCAGGCGTAAATGCGACCCCGAGCAGCAGAAAAAGCAGAAAAGGAGAGAGCAAAGTCTTCGGAACGGAGACGGAGAGGATCAGCGGACGGCCGAATCACGTGCCCGCCGCGAGCTCCGCAGCTTTCGAACGCATCTGACGCGACAAAAGTGTCGCCAGACAGTTGGAGATCGAGGGTCCGTCGCTTTGTGTTTGTCCTTGCTCTATATTCACGGGTATAATCGCTTTCTTTACCCTGGTGGGACATACTTGTGTTTTCTTTCCTCCCTCTTATAAGAAGAACTACGCTCTTTCCCTCCCTTCGACCCTCCTACCCTCGCGCCGGACCTGATCACCATTTCTTCTTCGCCAACAGAACCGATTTCATTAACCCTCACATTCACCTCACGCTCGTCTTTGTTGTCGCCAACCCCACAGCTTCATGGTCGCTCCTCGAGCTCGGACATGACGGTAGATGGTCAGAAAAGCGCTTGCGGCGCAGTGCACGACTGAGTATTTTGCGCGATGCCGGGCGTCGTTGAGGCCTTCGCCGGCCCATCCGCGCCGGGCCAGGGATTCACCGTCGCTCACCAGAAGGTGGAACTGGAAATCGACTTCCTCAACAAGAGTCTCAAGGGCAAAACCGAAATCACGATCCATCCGCTTTACAAGGACCTCCGCGTTATTCGGTTGAACTTCCGTCAGGGCGAGCTGAAGCGTTTGAATATCAACGGAAAGGCACCTACGATTAAATATGTCGACCCCTACGACTCGCTCCAGCTCTATGGCCCTCACTACCATCAGCGGCTCTCGCACAAGATAGATGGCCTGCTCAAATCCCCGCCGGAACCTGATCTCCTCCTGACAATCCCCAAAAGCGTCAGGATCGACGAACTGGACCCATCTTCGATCGAAGCGCAAGATCAGATGGCATTACGTGGATCCGGATCTGTTGATGACCTTGGTGGACCTCTCAGTTCGACAGGGATACAGTTCGCGGCGCTCACGGTCTATATTGAGTTCACCATTGACAATATTCGGGATGGTCTTCAGTTTGTCGGAGTGGAAAATAGTGACCGGCGATATCCACATGCATACACAACAAACCCGCTTGGCTACGGTGTCGGGTGCCCCCTGTTCCCATGTGTTGACGATCCCTCTTCGCGATGCACCTGGGAAATGTCGATCAAATGCCCGTGTTCCTTAGGAGACTTGTTTGACCGTAAAGGCCGCGACTCATCCGGTGGGAACGCCGCTAGCCGGTCAAAGTCTAGCAGCCGATACATCTCTCCGGATGACGAGAACTTGGATATATCTGTGGTCTGCTCTGGAGATATGACGGACGAGATTATTGACCCAAGAGATCCCAGCAAGAAGACTGTTTCTTTCGCCTGCGCGTCTCCTCTTTCCGCACAGCAAGTCGGGTTTGCGGTTGGGCCATTTGAATACGTCAACCTTGCCGACTTTCGAGAAAGCGATCAAGACGAGCAACTTGGTCAGAACGCAATCCCATTACACGCTTTCTGCCTTCCTGGAAGAGTGGATGAGCTCCGAAACACCTGTTTTCCGATGGCCAAAGCCATTGACTTCTTCTCCCTGACCTACGGTTCCTACCCGTTTTCCAGCTACAAGATGTGCTTCGTGGATGACACGCCAGAAGATGTTCTGCCCACAGCCTGCCTGTCAATATGCAGCAACCACTTGCTGTTCCCTGAAGAGATTATCGATCCAACGTACGACTCTACTCGCGCCATCGTATACGCTCTAGCATGCCAATGGATGGGTGTCAATATAGTCCCGAAAGAACCTGCTGACACCTGGGTCACGGTCGGTGTGGCTTGGTACATCACCGACACTTTCATGCGAAAGCTCTGCGGAAACAACGAATATCGCTTTCGGTTGAAACAGATGTCAGACCGAGTGTGTGATCTGGACTATGAACGCCCATCCATCTACGATATGGGAAACATTTTGAGGATAGATGCGTCCGAGATTGAATTCATTGCTCTCAAAGCCCCTCTCGTTCTATTCATCCTGGAACGGAGACTGAACAAGGCTAGCGGCAAGCCTACAATGACCCGTATTGTCTCGCGAGTCTTCCTAAATTCCCGGATGGGTGACATACCGAATGGCGCTATCACGTCTTCACACTTCCAGAAGACTTGTGAGCGCCTGGGCCACGCCAAACTGGACACATTCTTCCAACAATGGGTGTATGGGGCCGGATGCCCCAGGTTTCAGGCTACTCAGCGGTTCAATAAGAAGAAGCTGGTGGTCGAGATGGTGATTCGACAAATTCAGTCTGAACAGCCAAGTACCCGGGACTTGGACAGGAATACGTTCATGCGAGATGTGAAGGAAGAAATTCGCGGAGTATATGCAGGCGCCATCCAGCCTGTGTTCACGGGCTCCATGACAATCAGAATTCACGAGGCCGACGGTACGCCTTATGAGCATATCGTCGAAATCAAGGAGGGAGTTACCAAATTCGACATTCCCTACAACACCAAATACAAGCGACTTAAGCGGAATAAAAGACAAAAGGAGCGCGCCGCAGCTGTCACTGGCACTGACCCCAATGCAGAGACGCAAGAAGACGTCTTATTATACTGCTTGGGAGATGTCCTACAGAGTGAAGAAGAAATGCAGGAGTGGAGACTTGCTGACTGGAGTAAGGAAGAAGAAGAACGAATGGGACAAGAATCCTACGAATGGATTCGGATGGATGCAGATTTCGAGTGGATTTGCAAGCTTTCGTTAGTGATGCCAGGTTACATGTACCTTTCCCAGCTCCAACAGGATCGGGATGTTGTAGCTCAACTCGAGGTAGGTTTCATTACCTGGTGTTTACCAACACATGGCTCATTTGTCTACAGTCCCTACAATACATGGCGGCTCAACGAGAGCATCCCCTCATCTCCACGATATTTGTCCGCACGCTCATGGACCGAAGGTACTTCCACGGCATTCGAGCTGCGGCAGCGCGAGCTTTGGTAAAGCATGCAAAAGAGGACATCAATTGGCTGGGCTTGTTCCACTTGGAGCGAGCCTTCCAGGAACTGTTCTGCATTCCGGGCTCCCCAATGACCCGCTCGAACGACTTTTCAGATCGAGCTGCATATGCACTGCAGCTGATCATCCCCGAAGCTATATCCAAGGTCCGAGACAACAATGGCAAGACGCCAATGCGCGTGAAGCGCTTTTTATATGACAAACTGAGGTTCAATGATAACTCGAACAACGAGTATTCGGACAACTTCTACGTCGCAACGCTGATGCAGTCGCTCTGTCATGCCCTGCTTGGGAAAGTCGAGACCCGGTCCGAAGATCTGGACGACAACTTTGACATGGAGCGCGTACTGGAAGCCCAGGCGGAAGAGCAGCTGGAAAGGGATGCTCTGGCCGAGATTGATAGGTACCGAAGAATGGATGAATGGTCAAGTTCATACCAAAATGTCTATTCTCGGGCTGCCTTGCGTTGCCAAATGCAATTGATGCAAGCCAACATCCTCGACATGGATGTTATGCAATTCTTACCTTACACTCGCGCGGGCACCTACGATCTCCTCCGCTTGGACGCATTCGAGTGCCTTGTGGAAACAGATGTCTTCAGGAGCCCCGAGCTCCTGAAATGGTTCATCTTTACCATGTCCAGTGATTCCTCAGCTTGGCTCCGACGACGACTGCACTACTTGTTCGGAAAAGCACTTGCTCCAGTGGCATTCGGCCGAGAAGAGCCAAAAAAGGCGGATGCCCCTGGTGATGGCTTGATCATCGAACAAGAATCCTCCACAGAAGTCCGTCAAGCCGACCTAGCACGGCGACAGACCGTGACCGGGGCAATCGCGGCATTAAAGATGGAAGTATCCGGCGATCAGGTCCTGAAAGAGTCTCTCTGGGCTGCGTGCAATTCCCCCTTTATTGGCCTGTTGGAGCTTTCGGAATTTACCGATCTCTCCAGGGTGCTATATGACCCGATTACTTCGAGAATGGTGGCACTGAAGTATCCGCGATACTGGCAAGTGAAACATCTCGGAAAAGTACGTTCTATCCACCACCAGGCGCTGATATTCCTTTCTAACTTCTTCCAGGGTCGTATGCACTTTTCCAGGTCCAACAAGATCCGCACGACGCTCCATCCCCAAAAGGACTCAACGTCGGCAAAGCGCAAACGCGAGGATCAGGGAATGCCTCCCCCCGGCCCTCGTATCACATTCAAACAGTCGAAGCTTGGCCCCAGCACTCCGTCTACGAGTCAACCCTCAAGCCAACCAATCCCCAAGTTACATATCCCCAATTTCCCTCCTCCTGCACCCCCAACACAGCCTCATCCGGGTACACCCTCCACCCCATCAACTCCCGGTGGCGGACTGAAGTTGAAGCTGAAGTTCGGCCAGAAACCAAAATAAATATTAGTAATATGGATTTATTCACCCATTGATTTCACCTTGCATTTCTCTTCGTTTATTTGGTTGGAGGTTGATATACGGACTAACGGCGTGTGGGTGGACTGATGCTCGATTTGAACGTTCATGTTTTCCACTTTCTATTCCCCTATCCCTATCCTAAGGTTGCATTGGAAGTGAACCCGGTTCACCGGATTTTTTCCCGTATGACGCTGTGTCTGCGGTGTGTCATGAATGACGATATCTTGCATAGCAATCGAGCTGTCTCGCATCGTTCCTTCGGACGGTAATACCTAGGATATCCCAAATCGACGGATTATTGAAGCTGGATTTTTTGGCTCGTAAAACTTGTAGAAAAATCGAAACGTCTTCGATCGTTCATGGAAACAACCGACCCGTGAACTCCTTGTTGCGATAAAAAGAAACCGATCCCAAAAGCAGTGACACCCAGATGTATCGAGTCTATTTGTCGCTTATCCGCTCCAGAGCCTATAATAGGGCATTCGTATTAGCCACCTGCACGGGATGGGGAAGAGATGAAAATGTACTCACCTCGAGCATGACGACCGAGTTACCACGAATGACCTGTGTAGAGCAATTAATATGCGTGATTACCATAACCAAGCGCCATATTTTCTGTACATACCACCATGCCGATAGCGACCTTCTCTCCACCCTGCTTCTCCTCGAAAGCCTCGTCGAGAACGATGTTCATGAACACCTACATCGCACAAGGATCAGTTTTGATTCCGGATGGATGTGCGACTTCACCATAGTCGCCGCGTGTATAAAGCGAACACAGCGAAGGGAGGAGTATTGGGATATTATAACGTACATCGTAGCCTCGCAGGACACCAATGACTTTGCGGTTGCCGTTCAGTTGGCAGAAGACCCGCTTTTCCATGTACTGGGAAGAATATGTGTTAGTTTCATGTTGGGCGCAAAAACCGGCAAATATAAGAGTCGCACGACATACCTTCTTGAGTTCGGGCTGAGCTTGAGGCATCTTGGCTGGTTGATTCTGGTGAACTTTCCCGCGTGATATCGAGGAGAGTCGCGTTGCGGACTTTTGAGATGTCTCCGTGGGATGGGCAGCTGTCGGAGAAATGTTGTTCCCGGAGCTTCAGCAAGGTAGATGTGCTCTTCCACAGCCAGTCGAGGTAGTTGAATTGAGATCTCCTTAGGAGACCTGAAATATAGGATAGTATCTAAACTACCGTCTAATCTTGTGCAGACGTTGTTAACCCTTCGAGACCAATACCTCTTCAGCTAGAAAATTGCCTAGATTAGTTAGCTGTCACGTGATGATAATGTCAGATTTAGCTTGGGCCTGTAGTCGCGCTCCATACAATCGATCATTCGCCGTTGGAATTCATATCATTCTCTCACAATAGAGCTCCCAACTATTGAGTTCACATATATTGACCGATATGAGCTCGAAGTTCGCAAATCGGAGAAAACCGCGCAAGGTTGGCGGTGATGACGAAGAAGATGGAGGCGACGAAGGTCCGTACGAGCTATCACCAGTTATGCGATTCCGTGGTATGATTCTGACATATGCAGATATTGGACCGGTTGTGAAACGCCCCCCTCCCAAGTCGAAGCAAAAGTCAAAGTTGCTATCGTTCGGTCAAGGCGAGACATCGATGGCTGAAGATGGGCAGGAGAGCGAGGTGGTCATGCCCAAGCGACGCGGACTAGGAGGACGCGCATTACTAGAGAAAAGCGCCATGCAGCGATCTTTGACGCCGTCGGGGAATCGCCTCCCACTCCGAACTGGTCCAGATCAGGACAGACCAAGTTATAATAAGGATTATTTGAAAGAGCTCCGCGATTCGACACCGTCCACACCGAAGACCTTTACCGATGACGACAAAGAAATGACCGACAGAGAAGGACCAGAGGCGACAAAAACGGTCGATGTCGCTGCCAAATTTGGCGAAGTTATGACCGTATCCGCGCCGTCTGTCATCCCCAGCGAGGCGGAAATAAGAGAGAAAAAGGAACGGCGAGCGCGTCTAGCGAAGGAGCAAAAATACACGTCAACCGAAGAGGACTTTATCTCCCTAGTGGATAACGATTTGTCAGATGCCGAGCAAGGTGCGAAAGATACTAGGCTGATCCGGGACGATGAAGATTTCGCGGAAGGTTTCGACGAATTTGTGGAGGACGGGCGTATATCGCTTGGACGGAAAGCGGAGCGCGAACAGCTTCGGAAACGGCGAGACGAAATGCGGGAACTCATCGAAGACGCAGAGGGACTGTCGGACTCGGAGGATTCGGATCTGGAGGAAAAGGCTGCATATGAAGCTGCGCAGGCGCGAGCCGCGATGGGCAATTCTGGCAGAGATGCAGATCGACCCAAGACGCCTCCGAAGATGACCTCTCTGCCCCGTCTCTCGAACTGCTTAGATAGGCTACGTACCACGCTAGCAGTCATGGAGCAGTCGAAGTCACAAATCATCAACAGGATGGAGGAGCTGCGGAAGGAGAAGGCCGATATCGCCGTTCGTGAGGTTGAGATCCAGGCTCTGATTAAGGAAGCCGGTGATAACTATGAGAGGCTGAAACAAGAAGCTGGAGCTGCGCCTGATGCTGAAGCTGAAGCAAACGCAAATTCACGCGGTTTGGAGAATATCGGCAACTCGATGGAGGTGACCACGGACAATGCTGGAGGTGAAGCCTGACATGTCTCTGTTGAGCTTCCAGTGCACCTTCCAGATGGAATGTCCGACAGTTGTCCGCTGCTTTTCTCTCCGCAACAGCCGAGTGTCATCTCTGCCAACCTACATTTGTCCATCCAGTTAGCCCTTCCATGATACCCAAATCAATTTCTTTCCTGGTACATTCAATGCCGCGTACGCCATTTCTCTCCTTGTTTCGCCCACCCCTACGTAGGACCGCACGTGGCTCTGTGCAGTATGTATATCCGCTCTACTTGACATGCTTATGCACTGACGGGTTCCTGAAGCCAGCATGCGCATCTTTCGTTCATCGAGACGCCCGTTGACTGCAGCGATCCAACTGCAGGCCCTCGTCTCTACCGGCATACGGATGCGACTCCTATCGAATTGTTTTTCGATCTCTTTTTCGTAGCGAGTCTGTCCGTCTTCACGGCTACGCATGAGATCTACAACGTCCAAGGTAATATGCATCCCTCTACTTGGCTCTCCGTACTGACTTCGCGAGGTAGCTTTAATGGCATACATTGGCTTTCTGGGAATGATATGGTTTACCTGGCTGCAAATAACTCTGTACGATATCAGGTTCGCGCGAGACTCGATTTTCGAGCGAATTTGCAAGGCCATTCAGCTAGCCGCCATGGTTGGGTTCGCATCTGCAGGCACGCGGTTCACTCCTCACATACAGAACGAGAATGTTTGGGCCTTTCAGTTTTTGAGTATCTTTCTGGGAGGGAGTAGGGTTTTACTGGGCGTACAGTATACTGTCAGCACTGTCCTTGTACGAAGTCACATGAGATCCGCCGCAAGAGGGATCAATATCTCTGCCGCAACGCTCTTTGCGTCGAGCTTGATATATCTTGGGGTAGGGTGATTATACATTAATCAGGCTCCAGCTGACGAGTGACAGATGTTCTTTGTTTTCACCAATCCTGTCCAGGTCCGTCCATACATATGGACCGTTTGGTTTGTCTTGTTCGGACTCGAGATGTGGATTATCATGGGGATATCCTGTTTTACTCCCGAGATCGGCCTTCAAAACACTCACTTGAACGTCAGAATGGGCCTTCTCACGCTGATCATAATAGGGGAGGGCGTAATCTCCGTCACTAGGATTGTCAATAAGACAGTACGTCCAGCTGGCTGGACCAAGTGGTCGTTTGTCCATATCCTCGGTGTCACGACCAATGTGGTATGACTGTTTCTCTTGCATTCGAGGCCACCATCTTCGACCTACTGACAGCTAAATATAGTATTTCGTATGGCAGGCCTATTTTGACCTGACTCCCAGGGGTGCTCTTGGACAATACTCCCAACAAATCTGGGCCCAGCTGCATTTCCCGTTCCACGCGGCCCTGATTCTCCTCCTGGAGGGATCTCAGATCTTGGCTCTAACTTTGGACATGACACTAAAACTCGGGGATCTGACCGAGATGATTGTGTTTGCGTGCAAGAACCCGCGGCCCGCCCCAGAAAGAGCCATTGATCTTCTTCGATGGACCATAAGCGACATGGAGATCGATTATAGCCACGGAGCCATCATACAGCAGATGGCTATAGACGAAATTTTGAATGATCTGCCCTTCGGCCCATTATGCCCAGACGATGGCTCAGACGAGTACCCAGTTACGCGAAACCGTCTTAGCTCCCTGCTAGGAAATGTCACCGCCGCGCTGTTTACCAGCATGGGGCTCGTCCCAACGGAGGATACCAACATCGAAGAGATGAGCAGCTCCCAGCTGCTAAGGATGTACGTAGGACTTCTCGGGTTCGTCTACGAATATTTCTTTATCATCGCATCCATAGTCATGTTTCTGTTTGCTACTTTCGCGTTGCTGGGCCATCGTCATAGCAACCGCACTGCTCTCGCCATCGCAATATCAGTTCGCCTTGTTCTTGGAATGGCCTCCGCAGGCTTTGTTCTGTTCATCCAAGACTTTGGTCTTGCGTATTCATTCATGACGTCGCCAGTGATCTTGTACGCCTTTACGTTCATACTTCTGACAGGTTGGTCTTCAAATTTTCTTCCATTTCGTCTTTCTGATTGGATTACAGTCCTTCTAGTTGACCGACTTTTGGACCACTACGGGGCCAGGCTTGAGGCAAGAGCCCGTCGGAAGCAGGGAAGCGAGACGAACGCGAGGTCTCCGAATCTCTCAGGCATCCCACCAGCGATGTGCGAATACGAGCGTAGCTAAGTTGGGTCTATGTTACAGGGGCCAATATGCCAAAAGAACCTCTGACACAAGCCAGAAGCTTCTCGGGGAGATTCACAGGGTAAGATAAGGTCTGTGCTCGAAACATACATCAAGTTTGCGGAGACAGAGCACGCAAGCGGACGGGGAGACGGATACGTGCAACCAGTTTTTGCTACACGCGGATCCATTGGCGAGAAGAAGTACGGGTTGTCGTTTCCTCATCTGTTTGGCGTAGGCTCTGTACATCGTGCATACAGGAACCTCTGCTCCACAATTCAGAGACAACGGGACGTTGGCAAACCGGATGAACGGCTGCGGGAGCAGACATCAACCGACGCTATTTATGTACGCAAAACGTATTCTTGGATTCATTCATCCTACCTCGGACATCATACAATCCCTTCGTACTGCCACCAGCGGGATCGGCCCGAACGCCTAGAAACGATATATATTAAAGCCGCGGCAGGCCGCCGTGAAACAAGCCTACTATCTTATGCACCAGCCACCCACGACAATCAAGTAGACAGCCAGTGTCACCAACCCTAACCCATCCAGACTAACCCGAGGGAGCACTACTGTCATGAGGGAATTAGCAGTGTAGGTATGCGTGCGTGTAACAAACCCGCGCAGACGGGTTGACCTCCGTATACCACAGCGTGGGATTTCTCGCGCGCGATGATTTGGCCCGCGACTAGCGCACCTACGTACGACGTCGTGGGGATGATCCGCGGGGAAAGAAAACATGGCGGACAATGTTGGCGTATGCTTGCAGCAGTGTAGATAACGGGGCGAGCCTGCAGCGAGCCATAGGTTTGGGTTTTGTGGGGATGGCCGGCTCACTTGATCTGGGCTTTTTACCCCCAGATTTCGGTGTTATTCTTTATTGATTGAGGTGTAGAGCCGCCGGCTGCTGAAGGGTATGCATGCAAACCGGGAGTTCGTTCTTTGCTAATGGGGCAGGTTGGTTTTGGAATTGACTGGTAGAGGTATGTCGGTTTGCAGATGGGATGAGTGCATTGGACCTACGTCTTAGTGCATGTTTGATCAAGAGAGATGGGGAGCAGCCAAGTTTGCACCTACCTAGATCCCTAGGCAGGACTATACCGCTATACCGCTTTTTACTAGATGTGCCCATCTGCGAACTTTCAATTCCTTGTGCAGAATCCGAGAACGACCGGAGAAAGCGATCCAAGTGGCATGCATATGCAGCCATCCAGCACAGCCGCTTAAGCTTTTCATTTTCGTGTCGAGCAGCGAGACGCCGTATGATAATGGGGATACTGGAAGACGCCTCTGGGGAGAAAATGAAACTGTCCGCCGATCTGACGGATCCATCCACCCGGATGCTCCGATCAAACGTCCCGTGGAGAAGCCTAGTGGGGAGGTCTAGCAGCTCCTGCAGCAATGCGGCGGCCGGCGATGGGCCCCGAGAGCGAGGAGTGGACAGTCGGACAAAGCCCTATGTGGTTACCCGGAACATTTCAGCGTCGTCGTCGCCGGACGGACCAAGACAACCCGCGCCTAGAACAGGCGGGATGGACAGAGGATGGATGGTGTTGTCTGTGCACGGGAAAGGGAGAAAAATGCTTTTCTTTTTCTTTCAATCCTGCATGCTTCTCCCGTCGTCATCCTGAGGCGTGCGCCACCCAAGGGCAAAATAGTCCGACGATGCTCCAATTGGGCGGACAGTGCTCCTCCACGAGAAGAGCACAAATGAGACTCGTCGAGTGAGATCCATTTTCTGCAGTAATGCTGGTGTTCTATGGAGACCTTTTGCCTCTTTTTTGCCTCCGGGATCGCGTCACACCCATGCCTGTTGATCACCACAAAGGGAGACATACGGAGCTAGCTCCTTTTGCCATAACGGTTTAGTCGGGGGGAGCAGTATCTATCTTGCACCGGACAAGGAACATGGATCCGTTTAGGGGATTGCTTTGATGGGCAACATGAGCGCCTACAGGGGTCGCCAACATTCGGCACTTATTAAAGGGGTGCGTCACTGGAGGCCGGGTTGGAAAGATGCTCTGCTCAGGATTTCTGTCATATCGGCTTGTCTCGGCGTGGTCTTTCCCTTAGTGCTTGGAAAATTGCATGGCTGCTTCATCCAGATGAGACATTACCCCGTCGACAAAGCATCCAACACACTGTGCATCATATCGAAATCCTCTGATCACGTTCCGGGCGGTAGGACTTTGACGAAGTCGAGCATCTGCAGTCTGAGACTAGATCCGCCTGTCTAAGATAGAAACCCAAGCTCTCTACGAGAAGGCCACATCTCACTCGCTCATCGTTGGCTTTGGATGTATGGCAACAGGCCCGGAAGCCACCAGAGCATCCCGAACCAGATCGCCATCTAAGACACCCCACTGAATCCAGACAAGCAGCCGACTGACCGCGATATTGTTGGTGAGTGAACAAGCCGGAACCGGAGTGAAACCTCTCCATCTGGAGGCCAGAGTGCTGAGCAGACAAAAAAGGCCCTGCAGGTGTCCCGATCAGCCCAACGGCACGCATCGTTCGGAACCAGCAGCATCGCTGGCCACGCCTCCCCCACGGCGTGTATACGGGACGACAGACGACAGGAGCGGTGAGGACTGACAATCAACGAGAGGGATTGACTGTCTCATTTTAAAGCGATGCTTCGCATGTGTGCTCCTCCTCAACAACGCCCTGAAGTCGGTTTGACCTTCGAGAAGGACTTTATCTCGCCCGTGTTTGATCCGGATTGTCTATCCCTCAGTCAGTGTGTGGACCTCCAGCCTGGTCTCTATTGTCCGTCGACAGTGTCTCTACCGTCGCATCAGGAGCTTGCAAACTTCGACTGTCCCCAGATGTTTCACTGGTTTCCTGCTGACAGGCGGGATCCGAAAGCCGTCCCGGACATGGGAAGCAAGAAAGCAACACCCGGGGATGCCATGAGCGAAGACCATAGGTACTGGTCTGAGCCTTTTGCGTCATATGGCTCCGACGAGACGAAGGTGTTATTGTATGGCCTGCGGAGCCACTCCGCTCTGCAGAGTCATGAATCCCCGGTGGTCCAGACCAAAGAGGACATCCACCACGCTCCCATCCCCAACGACGCCCCTCTCAGCCTAGCCCAGCCAGTCCCCAAACCCCCGGGGCTGTACATGCTCAACCACACCCTCACCCCGTTCGCCGGCTGCAAGAACGAACCCGCAAGCATAACCTCCCTGGCGACGCCGGGTGTGCCACAAGAGGGACATCACGTTGAGAACGCCCACGCCCTCCACCCCGCGCCGACCACTAACCCCATCGACGCCGGCACTCTGTACCAGCGATCCGCGGAAGAAAGCTCTGTAGCCACGGCAGACAGCGACTTCACCTCCATCGGGAGCACATGCGGTCCAGCCACGCCTCTGCCGTGGTCGAGCTTCGGGGCCCAAACAGCATGGGATATGCCTCCGAGCACCAACAGCCAGACCGACCCCGTCTGGCTCACATCGCACCCTGCCGGCATCACTCCAGCATACGGGTCCAGCAGCGCAAGCCTGGCCCCGTTCCCCGCCCTCCCCGACACGCTGCACGAACTCCCAGATCTCACCGTCGAGAACCCGCGATTCATCACGCCGGCGGTGTCCATGGATCTGTACAGTCCCGAGTACGCGCCCGCAGACAAGGCCCTACCCATGGAGAAGCAGGGCATCAGCCCGTTCCATATGTCCACGGACGCGTACCCCTACTGCGAGACCCCGTACCGCCTCAACCAGTATATCGTCCCCAGCGCCCCGATGGACCGCGACTTGTTCCAGGCGGAGCGGTCCGGCCAAGCACCCTGGCACCGGGACACGAAGAACGCGTTCCTGATCGAATGCAAGCGCCGCGGCCTGTCGTACAAGGACATCAAGCGCATCGGCGGGTTCAAGGAGGCCGAGTCGACGCTGCGTGGGCGGTTCCGCACCCTGACCAAGTCGAAGGAGCAGCGCGTGAGAAAGCCGCAGTGGCATGAAAACGACGTAAGTCTTGACCACCCTTCAAACTGTCCTGACGTTGCTGACAGAACAGATCAAACTTCTCTGCGACGCGGTGCGGGCGTACTCCGAGTCTGACAACTCGGACATTAGCTATGCGTCGTGGTGTCGGCCCCGGGCCGTCACGCAGCCGCCCAAAGTCTCCTGGAAAAAGGTGGCCCAGTACATCTGGACACATGGCGGATCATACCATTTCGGCAATGCCACATGTAAGCGGAAGTGGTGCGAGGTACATAATGTTAAAATATGAATAGACGCGACGGAAGAGGGGGGTCCTTGGTGAATGAAAAGCGCAATCGGACGGGCGGTGTCATGTTACCGAGAAACTCGTATCTAATAGATGCTATCTAATGCAATTCCTATGTTATGCTTCAGTCCCGTTCAATCAATCACAACAGCGAGCCCCCCCGCAGCTCCGGATGCGGATACCCAACCGCCTCCAGAACCCTCGCCAGCGTCTCCGGGTTCCGGCGCAGCTCATCCCACTCCGCCTCAGCCTTGACCATCAGCGTGCCCGCCAGCAGCGTCCCGTTCAGGGACACCAGGCCGGCCTCGACGACCTCGCGCGACGCCGCCGAGTCGACGGGGATCCGCGCGCTCTCGCTCTTCCGCGGGCAGATCATCATCGTCGACGCGGTCATGGCCAGGTTATAGCTCACGGCGGCGGGGCCGGACGTGTGGCGCTCGCGGTCCACCGCCGCGGCCGCTAGCGCAGCCCTATACAGCGACAGATAGATACTGTGAAGCGTCTCCGGCGAGGGGTCGGACGGGATCGGCAGCGCAAAATGCGCAAAGGGCAGCTGGCTCAGGCGTCGGTACTCGGCTTGCCCCTGCGCCTGCGCGACCGCATCGATGAGCGGCTGCCAGCCCCCCTCACCGCCACCGCCGCCCTGCAGCATGTCCTCGACGGGGAGGAACTGCAGATGGCGATGCGGCTGGCTGGCGCCGCTTTCGTCGCCGGAGTTGAAGAAGGCGAAGAGGCGGCGTCTGCCGCTGTTTTCGTGGTCCCAGGCCGTGACGCAGGCGTAGGCGGCGTCCAGGTCGTCCTGCTCGAGGAGGTCGGTCTGGGGTTTCCAGGACTTGGTGGCGAGGATGAAGTGGTTGTGGATGACGGGGAATTTGTTGAGGACGAGGAGGTGCGAGGGGTTGTCGCGGGGGATGTGGGCGATCAAGAGGTCTGGCGACGGGTCCTGGAAGGGGTCGGGTTTGGGGGCCTTGGTGTCGGGGTTTGGGGCGCCAGAGGGCTTCTTCGCCAGGGCGGGACAGTAGCGGAGTTGGTACTAGGAGGCGCGGCGAGGTCAGCGAGGGCGCTATTGAATGGGAGGAACATGCGCAGGGCTGTCTGTACCGGGATCCCCGCGACGTTGACGGTGGTGAGATGGGTCTGCGAGAACAGCAGGTGGCCTGCGTCTTTGGCGGCGAGGAATCGCCTCGCCACCAGGGCGGAGAGGTTTTCGGACAGTCCCAATTGCATGGCGCGGAGGTTTTATCCTGGACCGGACGAGGGCATGCTGGAGACGAGCTGGGCGGTTGAAACAGGCTCGCGGGCGGAATGCGGGGCATGTGAGCGGGTAGCAGATGAACCGCCGTGTTGGGTTAGCTCAGATTGGACTGAAAGGTACGAAGGGCAAATTGGCTACGGGTTGAACATCACAATTATTAGGCATTCGCTCATCGTCCTTTTGATTCCGCTCGACTCCAGACGGGCCCAGCCCAGTCAGATCATATATAAATACAGCACCCAAATGAACAAAACAGATCAATGGTATCAACTACCGAGTACAACAGATGTCGCTAGAAATGCCACATTTGCAAAACAGGGGAGAAATAGAGTGGTATCTTAAAACATGAACTCGTCGAAGGTCGCCTTGCCCTCGAGGGCCGGAGGCATCTCAGACATCATCGCCGATGGCCCAATCATCTGGGTGAGCGGCCCATCTAGCCACGGGCCTCGCTCCTCGTCGTTGGCGCTCAGGACGCCTTCGGCGCGCTTCATCGTCTCCACATCCAGGTCGGTGATGTATGCCTCGCGGTTGGTGCCGTCTCCGGCACCGCCGGGGAGCTTGAGTCGCACTTCGAATTCATTATCCAGCACCATCTCGTCCTTCCACAGGCGGCGCTGGCCGTCAAAGACGCAGAGCACGCGCTTTTTGGTCTTGATGCTGCTGCTGGGGCAGCCCCACGACTGGGGGTACCGATCACGGTTGTTGCGGCGTTTCGTAGCCGCGGAGCGCTTGGTCACGGCATTGTTGCCCAGGATGGGGCGGTTGTTGGCGGCGAAGGCGCCCTTGGTGGACTTGAGGGAGCCTTTGCCGGCGCGTCGGAGAAACGATGCTTCGTTGGAGTCATCATCGTCGTCATCGTTGTCATCGTCGTATCGCTCAACGGTGCCAGCCGTGTTCAGGTTGTGCTTCTCCATGGTCTTCTTCACCTCCTCGTCGGACTCCACCTCGGCGAGGCGCTGCTCGTTGATGGCCTCGCTGGGCTCCTTCTGCTGCACCACCCGGAGGACACAGTCGTCCAGATGTTCGTAAAAGTCTTGGGCGTTGCTGAAAGTCTCCGAACAGGTCGAGCACTTGCCTGTCGCGTCTTGGGGATAGCCCGGCGCAGGCTTGCTGGCGGCCGCGGGGCTTCTCTTCCGGCAGTTGGGAGGGGTCTGTTCCACACCGTGCACAGAGGTCAGATGACGTTTGAAGACATCCGCCCGGTTGAAGCTCTTCTCGGCCGGCGACCCGGATCCCGGGCAGAAGCCGCAAACCATCGTTCCCTTGTAGTGGGTCAGGGTGTGGCGGTTCTTGTCGTACTTGCGGGCAAACCCCTTGGTGTGGTACTCGCAAGTGACAATGGGGCATTTCTCCGGACGCTCCGACTGATGCGTCAGCATGTGCGCTTTCAGGTCCCGGAAGACTCGACCGCAATCCGGATGAGGGCATCGGCCCTTTTCCTTGGCGTCCTCCTCGATCTCGGCGTTGCTGGCCGCCGGGCTCAGCTGCGAGCGACGAGACTGCACGGAAGAGACCGAGGACCGACGGTCGTAGAGGGAGAGACGACGGGGCGGGACATGGGAGGGCATCAAAGATGGGGATGAGGCGGGCATGGGGCATGGCTGCTGTGTGAATGGACCATAGGGATCCGCAAATTGGAATTGGGAAGGGTCAGGGGACTGAGGGAAGAATCCGCCGGGGACCAAGCTATAATCAGTCTGTTCCGGGTAGGAGATGGCCGGGGTCGACAGATTCGACTGCTGCTGAAGCGGGATCAAAGAAGGGTCTGCCACGCAGGAGGGCATTAGCATCCGACTATTCAGGTCATCACCCAGCCGGGACATACCAACAAAGCTGTCCGCGCCTTTATTGGCAAAGTAATCGGGGTCCAGGGTCGTCCCCGTGTAGTCGTTCGGAAACAGATCCCCCATCACCGCGGCGGGAAGGCCCAGGCCGTGGTTCGTATCGACCCAGTTCTCCTGGTTGGCATGGGCCGTGCCGGAGTACGGCGACCCAATGGCCGAGGAGGAGGCGCTGGCGACAGACGGACCCGACGGGGCGGTCAGGCCCGGAACGTGGGAGTCCAGCGGCTGGGTGGAGGGAAGCGTCGGGGGCGTACCCGGCATGGAAGGAAACCCAGGGGCGGTCTTATTGGAGTCGGAGTAGGAATCCGTGTAGAGCGGAGGGGTATCATAATAAGAAGTCTGGGGGCCTCGAGAGGAACTGGCGGGCTGCCCGAAGCTAGCAAAATTGTCCACCTGGAATGCGAAAGGGTCCGTGAATGCAGGATCCATGGTGAAATTCTGGAAGAATGGGGTCTGCTGCTGGCGGGACGAATCCAAGGCGATCATTTTGCTCCCACGCGTGGACTGAGTCGGGTACAGTAGAAAGTCGGGTGGCTGCTGGGGGCTTTGCATGTCCACTTGGGACAGGTGGAGACAGGAATGCGAGGGGATAAAGGAGAGAGAGTCAAGATGATTGAAATGTGAGAAGCGAGATCTTCGGCGCCAGAAGAGTCAGTCAGTATGTCTTGTGGGGTTGATCTCAACATTGAACATTAAGCATTGGCATGGATGTACCGACTGCAGGGAACATACTCGGTGGGTTCAATGCAAGGTCGGTATCTCCGATAGGGATGGGTGGTTGCCTCGCAGGGAGAATGGGACGTTGCAATCCAGGACTAGTGCGCATGTACCAACGTACGTACGTACAGTACAGGATGTGCGGAGGATGTCGGGGGATTGGTGTGCACACACCCTCAAGAGGTAGTGGGAGGAGGGAGAATTGGAGACAGGAAGAGAGTCCGAGGAGTATAAATGTCTGGGGCCGTCGGTCTGGGGGTGGCGACTGCAGATAGTCTTAACGCCGATTATCTTAAGAGGCGCAGTGAAGGATGAACACCAAGGGACCAGAGGCGAAGGAGGAATCAGAAGGGACTCTTCGGGATTAAAGAGCAATCACCCTGTCTGAGAGGAAGAGGAGGAGAAGAGAAGAGAAGAAAGAGGTCTGCACGGGAGTAATAATAATGGAGGAGAGGGGTGGGAGTAAAAGCATTGTTAAATGTTCAGTGATTTGATTGCTGGCCCTATGGGAGCAAAGTGTGGCATCTGGAAAGGCAGTGGATTTGACTAACTACGAACGAACTAAGTCGCGACGCTAAAGACTGGCCATCCAGACTACTGGAGGTGAAATGCGCAGCAGGGAAGGTCGTTAGTGCGGTGTCCAAACCGACTGGGGTGGAGAGTGGATGATGGGTGGATGATGCCGATGATGGTGGTGGTGGATGAGGGAGAGAGGGAAAAAAAAAATAATAATAATAATAATAAGTAAATAAATAAAAATCTAGATTAAAAATAAAATATAAAAATAAAAGTAAAAGTAAAAATAAAATTCATGGAATAAAATAATCGCAATCAATCAGAACAGGGGAAGTGGGGCAGTCGGGCGTGCAGGGGCAGGGCAGTGAACAGCGCCTAGTATTTTTGTCTGTGTATTATCCTCTCCAGGTAAGGTAATTCTACTCAAGCCGGGGAACTGATTATTATTATTATTGGTATTATTAGCGATCGACCAGATTCCTTTTTTGTTTTTTCTTCCTCCAGCCAGAAAATAGAAAATGAAATCATGGGTTTGCTCGGTTTCTCTTTGCTTTTGGATTGCTTTGTTTCTTCTGCAGCCATCGATAGATCGCCTAATGCTGGTGAAGACCCTCCACTCTTCCTCTATGACGCCAGACAGCTCCATCTTTCAATTCATTTGATCTCCATATTTTTTCTCGGAAATCCTGACCCTCTTCCGTACTACGTATGCAGAAAATCATCCATGGATGTCAGGCTCCCATCTGACCACGATCCACTTGGGCCGGACCAATCCATTTACAGAAGCCCCCCAAACTCAGAGCCCTCACGCTTTGGTGGTTGAATCGGTCTGGATTAGTTAGGCCCTATGAGATTTTGTTTCTGGTTCCTGCGTATTGAATATAATACCTAGATTATAATAATCATCAAAATAAATAAACAAATAAAATAAAAAAAAAACTCTGGATCGAATTATTAGAATGAATCAGCATAGAAAACAACACTACCACCCCTGCAATACCTTACATGATCATGTATTACCCTGCATCACGGAGACGCCGTTCTCCGGACGCATCGCTCCGACATTCCTGACATTCGTATCCGCAAATGTCATCGGCAAGTCCGTGGCACTTGGACCATCGACAACTTGGCATCAACATTAGTCTCTTCCTCTTTGGGAAAAGAAAATAAAATCAAATCAGCAATCAATATTGTCTCTGATAAGATGGTGGCAAATTTCTCCGTCCATCTCACTAATCCCGCCCGAAAGAGGAAGTCGTGGTACTTACTAGTCGTCCGTCACTGAATCCCGGATTTGAAATCGACATCATCGCACTCGGTCCTCCTCTCGACGATAATCCTCAATAGTCGCTGCAGCCTGCACCATCTTATCACGGGGCGGATAGGCTTTCACCGGCCATGAGGCAGTGGTGATCGACCTGGACGGTAAGTTAGTAACGAAACAAAGAAAAAAAAGAAATGGCTGTCAACCTGTCAAGAACGGGCTGATCGACTCCCTCCGGGGGGTAAACCTGCTCAGTCCAGATGCAGGAGGTGAGAATGCTCTTGGCAGGGTAGCGCAACTCCCCCGTCCCGTCACTTCGGTTCCGATCACCCTCCTCACCACCCTGAGAGGGGGAGCTAGTCGCGACGAACTAGAACCATCTGGGATCGAACCAGCGGCCGCCGGCTCCGAGTAGTGAGCAGCGCACCGCAACCACTGGTCTACTCCGTCACCTCTGGACGACGATCTTACCCTCGAGTTCAGCTCCACCGTATCCGCGCTCTCCACCCCTTTTTCGTTTTGTTTTTTTCTTCGTTTTCGCTTTGGGATGGTTTCAGACAACGTGCATTGGGTGGCATCGGAATGATTGGCCGACAGACCCTGACGCGGAAAATGAAGCGGCATCGAACTACGAGGCGGAGGGGCCAATCACCGCCGCCAGATGGTTCCAGACGGGAAGAGGATTCTCATTTAGGGCGGTCGCTGGGGTCAATCATCTGCCTTTGTTGATTTCTTTTCTTTCACAGAGCCGCACTTGTCCCGAGGGTGGGAGTACAATGCCTGTTTGCTCTTCGGAGGGGAGGTTACGAATAGCAAATAGCCTGTAAGATTGGGATCATTCATGCAGGGCCAATAATGATCGCCATGACATCTTCGTTTTGTCCTGTCTTCTGGAAAACAGGACGCCGGGAATGAATGACACGTTCCGTTGTCGTGGACGACTTTCCCTTCTCGTCGCCATGTGAAGTGGATATGTCAACTCCGACGTAAATCCGTTAGCGGGTTGGCAATCATCGTGGAAAATGGGGTCACCTTCATCCTCTGACAGCCTATTCCCCGATCGTCCAGGCTAAGCGAAAGGCACCACCACGCATGTCAAACATGGTGAGGAATGTCTGGAGTGGGGTCGCTGTGGCTGATGCAAGGCTGGAAAAGATTGCAGTCGCGAGATATGGCGTCAAGTCGTCTGGTTGGGTAACGATCCGTTTTTCCGGGCAGGGTAAACACGAATGACAACACAGCGGAGACCCCGAACAATTAAGCTCCTTTGGCTCGTCCGCGCTAGTCGCATTGGGAAGGCCGCATACGGAGTTCCCCTAGCGCCTGGTCGGTGAGGAACCCACGCTCATCCTCGAGTTAGCGCCACACCTCCCTCTCAGCCACAATAATTGAGCCTATCGCGTGCCAGCGCGCGGATCATCCCGGGCTCCTATTGGCAGATCGCCGTGCGCTAGGGAGCCGAGACGCCCACCGAGGCGCAGCAGGGTTATTTTTACACCGCTTTGTTGCCTGGTTTTCCGGCGAGACCCCGGCAGCATGCAGGGGACGTTATGTCATGGTTCGTGCCCTGCCACACCGTCCACAAGCGCCGTGGAACTGACCGACGGGTCGGGTGGGTTTTGTAAGGAAAAGTCTATCTTCCGGTGGAGGAATGGCGGTGCATGGGTGCCGGATATTGTCCGGAGGTTTTTTTTTTTTCACCTGCAGTCTGGCGGTGACTGGATCGACATCGTGCTGTTTCTAGAATGATGATGTTATGGTGACCTGTCGATTCGGGGATTAGTTCGGGGATTAGGCGATGTTCGAGTCGATGTATATATTTCCGCTGGGCAACAAACACAAACACGGATTGAGACTATTGTACTATAATGGTCACTACTACTAAGGTACCTTAGTATACCCTCTCCAACTTGACATTCCGATTACCAACGGAGAATGGTCTCACCCAAGCCATTGGCGCTTCAGTGCGTACATTCCAACACGATCATCGAACCACCCCAGCATCTCGTACATTTACGAACATGCAAGGTCAGCAGTGAGCACCAGAGTCCTCGCACGTGGCGGACCCAATGTGTAACTTAAATGATCCAAGTAAGATTGCGGGCGTCCATGGATACCTGCCGTCTGGAACTAAGATCCCACCAAGATCTCGTGTGTCCTGTACCAAACTTTATTGATAAGGCTCTGGACCACTGCATCATTCGAGTAGGAATGTGTTGGCAGTCCAAATCGGAAACACCAGAAGAAAAACACAAGCCGCCCAGCCACTCGCCCGACCAGATCTGCTCCGTACCCATGAGCGTTGTCGTACAGACGGTGCACTCCTGGCATGACTGACAGACGAGCAGCAACCCTGTCCCCATGTGTTGCGACCAGAGCCCTATTCGTCCCAGAGAGGAAACAGATCGCCTGTGTCTCGCCAGATAAGGAAAGGATCTCCACGCATCCATCGGACATGTCCATTGGCGGGCGCTGATTCGACCGCACGCCCTGGAGGGAGTCTCTAAAATTAGGAGCCGAGCCCGACGTTGGGGATGGGTTCCGAGCCGCGAGTTTTTTTTGTTTTGTTCCCATCGTGAAGGTTTCCTCCCAACCCATTGCAGCAGGAGCCTCGAATCCAGGGACATCCTGCCCTATACAACATCCCTATTATTGCTCGAATATATAATTACACCCTGATAATTATAGCCTCCCCCCTGTCAGTTGACCGTCAGGTGACGGAAAACGCCCCCATGGCCGACATGTCAAAGCCTCCACACTCCCCACCCCACAACCGCCTCGCAGGGAGCACCGCGCTGCGTCTGGGCCAGGCCCATGTGCTCTCGTATCTTGATACAGGGGTCTGCGTTGGTCGCACCGGTCGAGGTGGACGGTATTTGGCCCCCAACTGCGTGTCGATTCGCACAAGGTAAGGAGCAGCCGCTAGGAATGGTGTCGGCAATGGTAGCGCGGAGGAAGCTCCCGGCGGCCACGTCTCGAGCGGTCCCCTTGTTTTTGTGTCTCGTGGCTGTCTGAAAGGTGGAGATCCGGATCGGCCGCTGATCCACTTCATTCCTAAACAAGTGGTTGAGTGCTTGCTCCGTTGGGTAAATCGTCAGGAGGAGGGTTGATTTTTCCTTCTCTCGGACTGGCCGTCTCAACTGAATAGTTATCCTGTCAGTCGTGTTCCCCGTATGATCCATGGCGGTGGATGCATGGCGTTGCTGGGATGCGACCCCCTGCAGTCGCCAGTAGGATGCGTAGGAAGGCTTCCAGAACACAGTCCTGCATCGGTGAAACCGAGGCGAAACCAGGGCATCCTGGTCGGCGTCATTCCATTCTGTTGGGACGGAGTTTGCAACCCATCACTACGAAGTACTGCAGTGTTTTAGGGGATGGTTGCCAGAGCGATGCAGACACGCCGTTGCCTGCAGAGGACTCGGGATATAGCAATGTTACCTATGTTACCTATCAATTGTCAGAGTGGGTAGAAGGATCTGACAGCAAACCGCCCCTTTTTCCTCCTATTGTCGCTCAGGGGAAATATTATCCTACGGAGTACTCCGTGGGATTTTCATATCATCCAACGATCAGATAGCCGTCCCGCGGCCCTAATCGGACCTCCATGATGTATCCCAGGCAGTATTCCAAATCACCCCCATCTCCCCGGCATGACAAGAAATCTACTAGTCTACCCGAACCGTGCAACTGACAAGCGGTCCGTCCACGTTTCCCATTCCCCTGACAGCTTGTCCTGTCCGCGCGAATCCAAGCTCTGACCGCTATGGCCCCTCGGACTAGTAGATCTAGCGCCCGCATGGTGCTGCCATCGTCCCAAGCCGGGGGACGCGCTAGTCTCCAGACTTGATTAATGGCCGCGTCGGCTGTCGTGCACTGATTGCGTCTATTTCCCAGTGTGGAAGGACCATGCCCGGCGCAGATTACATTCCGTGGCGGTCGACATTAGTCTCGACTGCGGTTGTTGATGATGGTCGGCCAGCAGGGAGGGCCTGTAAGCGAGGGGCGTCCGCCCAGCGATCGGCTGACCCAGGTGTCTGGATCAGTACCTCCCCCCTGGGACCGCCATGTCTCTCTTCGTTCGTATTGTATTCCGCATCTCCATTCAGATTGCACCGAGACTCTGACCATGGACGCCGCAAGCTTGACGGCTGGCTCCACCTGTGATCATCTTGGATGCATGCACCGTGCACTCCTGGATTCACACCCCCGACCACTGTAAAGTGGGCAGAGGCCTCGCAAGCGGGGCCCCGACTGCACCGGGTACATTGCCTTGCTGCATGCCGCGGGTCTCGCGCGTCTCCCAGTCTCCTGCGGTAGCGATGCAGACGATTTGAATTCTCACGCATGTCGCTATTGCCTCCGTCACATCCCATGCAGAACCCCATCACATGGGCCCCCTGCGTCTGGCGCGCCATTGCCGGATTTGCGCAGGCAAAAACATGTCGAGGGAGAGGGTGTCATCGTGTCGTCATTACCAGGTCATCTGGACCTATCCAGGCATCTACAGACCTGGTGGTCGTACGCAGCCATGTGGTGAAGACAGACTATTGAACCCCCTCCCGGTCCGGGAGCAAGCCCAGACCCGTCCGATCGATCGCCGGGTAGACACATTAGACTCGCGCCAATGCACCGCGTCGAATCGGGTTCTCGTGGGCTATCTGGGGTTGCATCTGCCGCGACAGTGGCGGGTCGAGACGGCCGTGAGGTGAGACAGTGGGATCTTGTCGACGGAGGACATCCGTGTGGTGCCAGCTCCTACCTCGGATGGAGTACACAGTAGTCAGAGGACGACGTGCGGGATACATCGAGGACTAGGACTGGAGCGTCCTGATCGACCTTCCAGTGCGCCGGGTTGATCTGCATCGTAGCCGAGGGACTGCGGGTGGGTAGCCAGAGCCTATCACCTCCACGCGAGTCGAACCAATCCTGCGAGCTGCGGCATTTCTGCCGTCCGTCGGGGTCCTATGCGGACACATGATTAACCTAGTCGGGGATGAATGGTGGATAATATTGAGACAGGTAGGAACATGATTCAGGTTCGTCGATATCACACAGTAGTTCCAGCGGTCCGATCGTATATCGATCGGAAACAAATTCCGCGAGCGGCTACAAACAATAGGAATTGGTCAATAGTACGACCAGGGGGAAAAAAATCATCACATACTTTACCTTACCTAGGTGGCTAGATACTGCGCTCCACCCGTCGGACGGATGGAATCCCCTTCTGTAAAGAGTTAACACACACTACTCCAGAAGTAGATTATCTCTCTACCGATCTAGGGAAGTGGTGATGCATCGCCGATGACCCCATTGGCCGATCACATCGAGCAAGCCCCAACCCACTCCCACAGCCAATCACCCTCCTGGACCGAGCGGATCCACCGCCGATCTGCGATCCCATCGTGCCGTCGATTCCTGCGCTAACCGCTTCCAGACACCTCGCTGTGCACCCTCGGCCGATCGGCCCTCGATACGGGCTAGGGCGTGGCTCAGTCGGCCTATGATGGCCGGTGCTCGTCGGGTCCGAGATCTGTCGCCCCTACGGAGTAGTTAGTATTATGTACTGTACCTAGGTACCTAGGTATTATTACGAGGGGGGATGTGGATGAGGCGGTGTCGTGGGTCGGCTCTTGGTGTCAAATGACTCTGCGGTTTGCTTAGCGTCGGCTTTCACCGTGTACCTGCAGTGAGCGATCCTGGAGGAAGACATACTCCGTACGGATCAGAGAGTGTCGACAGGATGCGGACCCGGGGACTTGGGTCGGATGACAAACAAGATATAATGCACCTAGGTATAGGTAGCTATGTACATAGGTAGATGCGCCTCGGAACTAACTATCTAGGTACTGTGGCAGTTTATATATATAACGAGCCCCTTCAAGTACATAAACCACAGCACCGATACGAGCTCTCGCCCACAATGGTCTACCACCCCCAACCTAACCGTACAGAGTACATTCAAATGGCATGACCCCGGCTCCCATCTCGTCTGGCATGCCCCTTTCCGGCCGGATAAGCACAACGGTCGCGGGTCAGGCCTCCCACGCTGCCTGCTTACGGCGCTTCGGGGCCGTCGATTGGCCAGCGTCCCCTGTCGGTCGGCTGTCAAGCGAGATGACCGTCGACTCGACTCGACTTGACGAGAGGATAACCTAACCCCTCCAAGTGGCAAAGTGTCCCCCCGACTGTCCGTCATGGCATGCATGCACGACGTCAATCCCACGGTCCATGATGGTCTGTACAGTCGATACCTACCCGTACCTAAGGATGCACAGTCCGGAGGATGGTTCGCGGCGCACGACTCGGCACAATGCATGCAGTCTAGACCCAAGGTGGTAAGAGTAGGTAGGGGGGGATGGAGGATGCGCGCTGGTGATGTGGCAAGCGTCGACAAATCAGTGCGGCGCGTTTGGCTCGGAATTCTCGGGGTGGTCCCCTTGGTCCCCTTGGTCCCCTTTGTGTTCGATAGGACACGAGTCCTGCTTTCATCTGATGACGAGAGCGTGCAGATTGGCGGGTAGATTTGGGTTTGGACTGGATAGTTGATCGCTAGTCGCTAGTAGTGCGGTGACTGATGGACTCCCGTATTGGCTTGAGGGTACAATGCAGGGCGGGCGATATGTTAGGTAGAAGTATGGATATAGAATGTACGGATTTAATGTGTCTACCACCTAGCTAGATGATCGCCATCGCGTCAAAACTATAAACCCATTACTGAACAGCACTCTGGTTCCGGTACAGATCGCACGCGTGCGGGTGCTGCAGGCAGTACTTTGGCACCAGCGCCGTCGCCATCACCCCGTTGGCCACCAGATACTCGCGGAAGTTCAAGAGACGCTGCGTCATCAGGGTCGTGCGCTTGTGGCCGGCCGCGTCCCGGTTGCCCGACCACACCAGCTCGGCCAGCGCGGCGGCGCGCGGCCAGAAACTGCTGGACACGGTCACGTCGTCGACCTGCTCGCTCCACAGGGGCGCGGTCGCGCCGACGATGTGCTTGGCCTGGGCGTCCGTGAGGTTCGTCGTAAAGTCGTAGTCGTAGATGCGCTGCCACGTCTTGTACGGCGCGCACCACGAGCCGCCGTTGCCCTGGTAGTTGAAGTTGGGCGTGCTGGGGTCCGGGTTGGCCATCACGTCGTAGCGCGGGTCGTTGGTGACGAAGCCGCCCTTGCCACAGTCGAGGTACAAAAAGTCCGACGAGGACACGATCACGTCGTAGCCGTTCGCCGTCAGGTTCGAGATGTACTCGAGCCCGTTGTTCCAGCTCTGCATGACGATGTTCTTGGGCACGTGGTGTGCGTGTTCCGTCGACAGTACGATGTCTTCCCACATGACGAGACGGCGGTCCTTGCTGACATTCTGGAACATGGGCACGGCATGGTCTACCCAGTACTGCGACAGGTCGTTGTAGGTGCGCGAGGGGTCCTCGGCGAACCATTCCGTCACGTACCGGCTGAAGTTGAAGCAGTTGGGCTGGATCTCGTCCGCGCCGACGTGGAACCAGTGGTCGGAAAAGATTTGCGACAGCTCCCGGTACACGTTGCCGACCACTTCGTACGTCTTGTTGTTGATGATATCCAGCTGGCCCGGGTTCGGCTCGACCGCCGTGTGGAGCGGCCAGTCATCGTTCGACCACCAGGAGTGCACGCAGGTGACAATTTCGGGGTCAACCTGCTGCCAGCCGGCGGCGGAATGGCTGGGCATGTCGACTTCGGGGATCACGCGAATGCCGCGGGCGCGGGCGTACTCGACGACGCGACGCATGTCCTGCCGCGAGTACGTCTCGCGCGGCGAGTACGCATCCTTGATCATTTGCGGGTAGGCTTGGACGACCACGGGCCACGACTGCGTGTCATCCAGATGCCAGTGGAGCACGTTGAGCTTGGAGAGCGACATGCCGTCCAGCTGTTCGAAGATCTTGGGGAGCGAGATGAAGTTTCGACCGGTGTCGAGCATGATGCCGCGGTACGGATACAGCGGCGCATCTTCGATATGCACCGGCTGCTCCACGATCAAGCCCAGGTTGTTGTCGGAGATGATGATCTGCTGGATGGTCGTGAAGGCGTGGAGCGCGCCCCAGACGGTTTGGGCCCTGACCTTGATGGCATTCGAGCCCTCCGCGATGTCGAGGGTGTAGGACTCGTCCACGCCGTGCTGGAGATCGGCTTTCTTGTCTTTGACGTGCACGTCGACGTACTGCAGAGATGCCGACGCCCGTTTGGCTTTGGACGCACTGGCAGTGGCGGTAGGAAACGGCTCAAATGACGAGATGGGGGCCTCAACGGCGGCGGGAGTCCATCTCAGGGCGGCAATGGAGTGCCACGCGCGATTCCAGCCGTTGGAAAGAATGGAATCATGCGTGTCGCCGTTGGACCGCAGGGTGAGCGGGCCGGCCAGATGTTTGGGACCTGACGATCCCCAGGTGATGTTACGCGGCGCAGGCAGAGGATTGACCTTGACGGCGACGACCGAGGTCGCGGCCGTCAACAACACGGTCCCGAGAGCAGCGAGACGCATGATGACGATAGAATTAATGATGAAGATGAAAAAAGAGCGTGTTCTGCATGAGAGAAACAGAGAAGAAGAGGTGAAAAGGGGAGGGCTCGAAGGTGAGTTCAAGGGGCGATGATCATATAAATAAACGAGCTATAATGACGGGAATGACGGAAAGTCAATGAAGGGATCGGAGGTTAGGCATTCTTCCGCGATCTCCACTCCTGTCGCAGAGTGATTGATGAGATTGTGAAGGAGAATCCACGAGGAAGCCAGGGGAATGGAATGTTTTGGTTCCATCGATTGGGGAAGGTTACATATGTACATGCGGAGAAGTGTAACCCACGTAGATAATCGATAACCATCAGGATCACTAGCACCGGCACCGTAGGATCGATTATCCATCTTATCGCCAAGTTACATCATTCTCTACATACCTTACATAGAAATTCTTCATCTTGCAGGATCTAATTTATTACCTCTTGGCCGTCCACCCGATACTACCAATTTTCCTCCATACTGGACCCTCTCGTATAGACACTACCTCACTGTCTTCCTGCGCTCGACCGGATGCTAACTGACCACCTCCATATCTCCAACCGAGCTCTACACTCGCGCGAATCCTACTCAAAACAGTCAGGAAATCCAGACTCACTGACACCACACCCTCAACCGCACATACTAGGAATCATCCGATCACGCCGCAAACCCCGCTTCCAACGCCATGGCTGCTTCGCACGCTCTCCATCCAGACCAGCTGACTGCGACTTGACTGTGAGTTGACCAAGAAAACCACTCTGAGAGCTGAAGAGCTATCTGGCCAAGGATGAGCGACCTGAACCACGCGGACGTGACCACATCAGGCGGTCTAAGTTTTACCTCATCAAAGCGTTCACAGCAAAGTGTTACTGGAAAGTATGTTCATTCATAATCTCTTTAGGCAAGCTTTTCTAACGACCTCTCCATCTCCATGCCCTCGCTAAACGCCTCCTTCAACGCCGCTGCCTCCGCCGCCGTCGGCTCCACACAGGGCCGTCGCGGCAGTGCTCCGTATCCCCGGTAGCTCTGCAGCGCACTCTTGACCGCCACATAACCTCCCTTGATCGCATGCCAGTCGGCACGCGCCACGACCGCCTGGAGACGCTGGGCCTCCTCCACCTTGCCTGCACGGTAGAGATCCATCACCCGCACACACGACCGCGGGATCAGGTTCGCGACGCCGCCGATAATCCCGGCCCCGCCGGCGATGAGTGTCTGGAGTGTGAAATCGGCGGATCCGCCAAAGGTCAGGAAGCCCGGTTTGGCCTCGGCCGCGACGCGCGCCAGCTTGCCCGTGTTCCCGCAGGTGAGCTTGACGCCGACAATGTTGGGGTGTTGCGACAGCGCGAGAATGTCGTCGGAGCTGAGGTCCAGCCCGGAGCTGGCACCGGGGAAGTTGTAGATCAGGACGGGGATCGGAGAGGCGGAGGCAACAGTGCGGAAGTGCTCGCGGAGGGCCTCGGTACTAACGAGACCCTTGTAGTAGGACGGAGGGAGGACGAGGGTGGCGTCACCGCCAGCCTCGGCGGCGTCTTTGCAGAACTGGATGGTTTCGCGGGTGGACGAGGAGCCGCAGCCGACGATCAAGGGCATGGATTCCGCGCCACTGGCGTCGAGGGCACGACGGGTGGCCGCGGTGATGGCTTTGCGCTCTTCGCGGTCCAGGTGAACGGCTTCACCATTGCTTCCCTGCACGACGAGACCGGTAACTCCGGACTTGGCGAGGTAGGCGGCGTGCTTCTCGACGGTGGGGAGGTCGACGTCTTCACTGGGGCTGGCGAAGAAGGCGACGGTCGGGACGTAGACGCCGGGAGTGAGAGGGCGCGGTGCGGAGGTTCCGTTGATGGCCATGATGGATAGGTATATGATATGATCTTGATACTGGTGAGTTGGAGTCGGGGTTTGTGGAAGACGTGGGCCAGCCCTTACCAGTGGGAAATGCGGGGAGAAGACAAGACAAAGCGGCTCAGGCTGAGGGTCCCCCGGGCTTTAAGAACAAAGAGGATACGAGGCGACGACCAGAAGTTGGTTCCAAGGAGGGGAAAAGCATTGAGCTCCGTTTAGCATGACCGGCTATGGACAGAATGTATACGCCGTGGTGGGAATAAGAAGGTGGACGAGCACAGTTGAACCCCCACGCACCCCACATAAAGAGGGGGAGAGGAGCGGAGGCAGACGCTGTTTCGAGGACGGTTTTCGGCGGAGAAATGCTCGGAGAAATTGCCATTGATCATCGAGGGAGCGTACAAACGCCGACTCCACGTTCATTGTTGGTTATGGAATGGAGCTGTAGTATGTCATCGGTGGATGAACCGGAGAAATGTCCGTGAGACGGGACAGGGTGGATTGATACATGATATGACGGGGAAACTAGGAGTTTCGAGACTCAGAGAATAGTCGATGTACTATCGAGGATGAACGATGGATAGAATCAGAGGAACAGAAGAAGAGAAGAAAAGAAGAAGAAGAAGAAGATAGGAAACATCATTAGTATCACGAAGAGACAGCGTCGTACCATACCGTACGGTCTTCAACCCCCCCGGCACTACCAGTCATCGCGTAAATAACGTCACCCGGGGTAATCTCCCAAATTGTCGTCCACGCGCAGCTTCAACTTCTCCGATCGAATGGAGGAATGCGCTTCAGTCGTCCAAACAGACCTCCTCGTCTCCGAGTTCCAGATGCACTCGCGCATTGTCTCCCGCTAAGTCTGCGAGGATCATGCCCGTGACGGTTTCCCGCCTTCTTGCCGCTTGCATCCCCGTCGATTCGCCCCCTGTGATGTCGTGATGGCCATGCGATCGAGGTCAACTCTCCGAGTCCCTGTGCGACGAGAAGAAGATCACGACCACGACCCCAGCGTCAACAGTCATCCTCCTCTGCCGCGTCCTCGTCGTCCGTCCGTAGCGCCTGCGACTTCCTCCCCACATCGTCCGCGTCGTCGGCGTCAGAGCTCGCCCGATCTGCTGGACACCACCACGCCCGACCTGCCGCGCCGGACATCCACGCGCCTCTCCAACGCCCCGGAAAACCACCACCACCACCATCATACTCCCCCACTCTCCAAAGGCCGACTGCTTCCTCGCCATGTCACCCCCACTGCCACCACCACTACCACCACGACAACTTCCGCCTCATCCACACCCCCGACCTCCATCTTCCTGCGCGGTGGTGCCCGTGAATCCCCCGATCCGCTAGATACCATCTCCCCCGCGACCTCCTCCAAGCGTCCGTCCGGACCAATTCCGTCCTCCGTACCTCGACACACGCACCACCAGAATCGCCTGGCTCTGGCGCAAACAGAATCCAGCCCTCCTCGACATGGACCAGTCGCAAGAACCAATGCGCGACTCTCCACCGAGCGCGCACCTACAAACAGCCCCAAACACCACCCACCGCATTCCCCCGCAAAACTGACACCACCAGCCTCAACATCAACGCCAGCGCCCGCAGACGCCGCGAAGCCCGCGCCTGAACAACGGCGCTCCCTCCGTTCGCACGACGGCGCATCCAGAGGACGAAGTGAACTCGCTCTCTACTTTCCCAACTACGAACAACTCCTCAGCCTCGAGCCCCCTAAACCAGGTAAGCCGCCGAAGAGCATACCTCCATCATGACAACAGCGCACACGCGTCTAACCTACCACGCGCAGAATTCCTCACCGGCAACACCACCATCCGCCTCATCAACGACCTGACCGAACCCCCCGACTCCGCCCTCACCTTCGCAGACATCAACCCCGACACCCCCTTCGGCAATCCGCTCCTCCACCTCCACGACTGCGAAACAATCGCCCTCCCCTCCCAAGCCCACCACAAACCACCATCCAAAACTCGCGATCATAAACCCCGCAAACAAGATCCCGAAGATGAAGACCCCCTCAGCGAAGCCACCTACTTCCGCGCGCACCGCCGCAACGAACGCCAGGAGAAACAGCTGCGCAACATCGAGCGCGACCGCGCCCAACACGAGAAGCAGCAGCTCGACCGCCTCCTCGACGAGCTGCAGAGCCAGGACTGGCCGCGCGTCATGGGCATCGGCACGCTGACCGACCACGAGGAAAAGAAACAATACGAGACCAAACGCGCCTTCTTCGTCAAGGAGATCGCCGCCTCTGCTCTAGAAATTCAAAATCTGGAAAGAAGAAGAAAAGCGACGCAAGACCGAAAAGGACCGCCTCGCCGCCCTCCACCCCACCCCCATCCCCTCCGACCAACCCAAACGACGTCCCAAACGCCGTCGCGACGGCTCCCGCCCCGCCAACAAGGACTCCGACTCCGACGACCGCTCCTCCCCCGGCGCCGCCGCCCTCTCCGACGCAAACAGCTGCGGCGAACCCCCGGACATCAACGACGTCGACGCCTGGGCCGCCCGCCAGCTCCTGCAGGAAGCGCGCTCCGCGACCAACCCCGCAAAGAAGAAACCCAAGCCGTCGTCGACGGGCGGCCCCTCGCCCCGGAGAAAGAAGGGCAAGGGGAACGCAACCCCAGAGCCGCAGCCGCCGCCTCCGTCGACACCCCCGCCCGACGGTAAACCGTTCACGTCGTTCTATGCGAAACCGCATCTGCGCGAGACGGCCCTCTCGGCCCATCGCAAGGGTCGAGTGCGCTTTGCCTTTGGACATCCTGTCCCCGACATGGCAGAGAGGGAGTTTGAACTGCCTGCGGAGCTCCTGACGCCTGAGGCCATCGATGCGTGTCGACGGAAGCGTCGACGCATGAAACGTGCCAGTCGATCGGGCGGATAGTGTATTATGTTGTGCATCAATAGCGTTTAGATCTTACGTATAAATGGCATATTGTACTGATAGCGTGTCATTAGCCTACTGGTCGTTCCTAAATGTGCCAAGGTAATCATTAGGTATCAAATGCAGAGTAAGCAATACTGAATGTATGCTTGGCTACTAATGCAACATGCAAAGTCTATATACATGCATATGGTATGCCGCAATGCTCCCAATGCCAAACCCATAAACCAAAAGACGCCGAAACCCAACATTCAAACGTGTTATATTACAGACATGAGATAAACCAGATCATGCGTTATTTGCGCAGGAGAAGCTGGCACTGCTGGGGTTATCATGCAGGGCTTTCCCAGACACATACAGACCCAGACCACACTGAACATGCGTTAGACCCGGTCGAATATAAGAAGAGACGCAAACGACTTACCAGAGTGACACCGATCCCGAGAATCACCAGATTCAGCACGGTAAGGAAGATTTTCCGGGGAGAGGAAAACCAGAGACCCTTGTTCATGTACAGCCAGAAAATTGCGCTCAGGCCGTAGGTGAACCAACTGGCAAAGAGGGCAGTCTATCCCGGGTTAGTGAGATGCATGCAAGACAAAAAACATGGTAACGTACGATCAAGCTCAGCAGGTTGCTGAATACAGGAATGGCTTCGGCGATGATCCAGGCCAAGATCCACAGGGCCAGGGCAATGCCCACCCAGGAGCTGATGGCAACCCAGTCGCGCTTGTGCATGCGGTCCGTTCCACGGAAAATCCGAATGTAGACATACTTGAAGGCAATGTGGCCGTTGATGACACCCGCAATGATAATCTAATACAGAGGTTAGCGTGAGATGATTGTATGAGACAAGAACTGAACTGACAGTTGGCAGCGCAATGCCGTAGCGACTTTGGAAACGATGGGGCTGGCAGAGCCCAGGGCGGGAGAGGCAACGTCGGCACCACCAAACCGATAGATGACCACGGCAGCGATGAGGTAGAGGCAGATATCGGTGCCTTGCAGCAGCAGCAACGCCTTGGGAAAGTCGCGAGGGTTCTTCAATTCAGCGGCGAGACCGAAGAAAGCAGCATGTCCGCCTAATATGTGATTAGCGGGTTGGTCTATGAATGGAGGAACGGTGTTGCATACAGAAGGCGAAGACAATGTTGGTCACAGCAGTGAAACCACTGACAAAGTCCGTCTTGACGACAGCCTCCACTTCCTTTCCTGGATGCAGGATCCCGACACCGATCATAGTGATGATGACAGCCGTCAAGATACTCACGAAGGCTGTTGCAAGTCAGCTGCTTGGTATGATCCAAGAGGAGAGAAGAAACACGTACAAACCATAGACAGCCAGGACATCTTTACCAGAGTACGAGGCAAAGACAGGATGAAAGAGAGGACCATACCCACGACACCGAACACGATCGAGCAAGTGCCGTGCCCCGTAATGGTGTTCATAGCGATGGTGAAGGTGAGAAGATGACTGGCCATGATGAAAACCAGGAACAGCATCTGGGCCACACCCAACACTTCACGACCAACCTTACCGGCAAGCACTTCACCTGCATCGGCCATGTTCGAGATCTGAGGGTATCGCCACTTCATCTGACCGATAACATAACCCGTATATGTCGCCAAACCACCCAAACCAATCAGAATGATAATGGAGCTATGACTGAGTCAGTCGTGTCACTTGAATATATCGAATTGCCATCACATACGGGACGAGACCCAGACCAGCGACAGCGGCAGGCAGAGAGAGGACACCGAGGGAGACGGTTTCAGCTACCATGAGCAAACCGCATTGCCTGTCGACTCCATTAGACATGCATTTGTGACCGTAGACAAACATGATACATACCACCACTTCAAGACCTTGTACTTCACCTCGGCAAACTCTTCGTCACCAAAGGCATCCTGCATGTACGGTGGCGTTTCCACTTTCTTCTCATCCATAGCGAGTGACTCTTCGTCGGCTGGGATATTCTTCTCATGTTGGGGGTAGGTGTCCGCCGCGTCGTGGGAGACGGGCATCGGCGAGATGGGTGCACTCATAGTGAATGTGCGTGTATCAAGCAAATGACTCGAGGCCAGGCACAGGGATGGGGATCGGCGGAATATAAGCGAAGCGAAAGAACGGTCCCGAGGCCCCAAGTGAGAGGTGCAAAGCCCGAGCAGGGAAAAATGTAATCCGAGGTGAGGAGAAAGAGGGGGAAAAGAAGAGGAGAAGAAGGTAGCGTTGTTCACAGGCGAAAATTCGTCGTGATTGCCTCCCCAGGGTCTGTTCTTCACCGCGGTGCCATAGTTTGAGATTGGGTTTCGGCCATCCTTATTTGCTTGTCCGCCACCGGAGCAGATCGCGTGGTTGCAGTGGGCCGATGGGTCCCAACTCGGGCCGACTGGAACGAATGAGCAACTGGGACGTAACAAAAACTCCTCGCAACGGGGCTGTCAGAGCCTAACGAGATCATGGTGGAACTGGGGAAGAAGACCAAATGGAAGAGTTCGCGCCGATGCCGGGCTTGGCCGTTGAGCTGTGGAGGAGGCCATTATTAATGCAGCTTGAGGCAACGGCCATGGAAGAAAGTGGCATTATTCGAGTCGACAATGTAGCTGTACGCCGGATAGAGGTTGATTCTAGAAGCTCTGGAGAATGCATGCAAGCGGCGACGGGTCCGCCAGCGATCAATTCCTTCCGGGGCTTAAGCTTTGGCATGGTACGGGCGTGGCTAGTCGCGTCACGGCTAAGGCCTGGGCTTGAGGCTTATGGAAGACGCTGGAAAGACATCCGTCGCATAAGACGGCGTTCCGCCACCGTCATAGAAGGTATGTAATGCGATTGTTCTGGATTCTGGAGCAAAGCTGGTACTGGGCGGCACTAGTAGATCAGCCGGGTCTGCAGCTCCGCATGTGTAGTCTAATGATCCGTTCGGCATGTTTTGATGCCTTGAAGTGTACAGGTTGGCATTCCAGCTGTACGGAGAGGATATCTTGTGATGGAGAGTAGTCTGTAAGAAGCGAGACGAAGAGAGATGAAGAGGACGAAGTTGAGGTCGACAAGATGGACTGTTTTGGCAAGTGATCGACCGCAATCCTTACCCGTTGGGGCAGCGTTGCATTGACTTACATAATACGCTGCACATCTCGCACTCCATTACCTCATTACGTGATGAATATTATCGTCGGATTATGATCATCCTCCGGATCCTCGTCTTTTCAGAAGATCAATGCGGGGGATTTCTATTGTGTATGGAGTAGCTACATTATCCTGTAACCTCTTCTAATCGGTCTCGCCACGACAGCGCTCATCCCGCGGCTGTTTCGGGTGTGGCCATGAAATCTCTTCATACAAACGGTGACTCGCCGGAGAAAGGAGCCATCTCCGGCGGATGACTCACCCGGTGAGCGTGTCAATTGCGGAAGTCTTCCGAACATGCGGAACAGTGCCTGGAACAGGCAATGATCGAGATTCTCATCTCTATGTCCGATATCTAGATGGAGTACTCTGCAAGACTAACAAACGGTCAAGGACATCACTCATTATTTCAAGCACCATTAACATCTATTCATAACTATACCTTCCGCTCCAACCGCTTCTGCAACACTTTCGCCCAAATGAAACAGATCAATCCCGCGGCATACGCACACCCAGCAAACGCAATCAGGCCCCAGTACTCCCCATGACATCGATGGATGATTTCACCGGCAATCGGGACACCAGTCAAAGCCCTAGGGCTGTTAGCATCATCGTGAAAACGACCATCAAAGCGAGTGAACGTACCCAAGACTAACAATCGTATAAACCGTGGTATAGAACCGCCCATATGCCTCGGTGGGACACAGCTCGCCCACACAAACCGGCACCAAGCTGATATTACTCCCACTGGCGAAGCCAAACATCACCGCGAAGGCAATCACCGCCGCGACATTCCCCTTGGCCGGCATCCACACCCCCAGGATGGACACCAGGCTCAGGACATTGGTCATGATCAGGGTGTTGGCGCGGCCGAACTTGTCCGCCACGATGCCCGGCAGCCAGCGGCCCGGGAAAGAGCCTGCGTTGAGAAAAACGACCATCAGATAGGCCAGCCGCCGGGAGATGCCGTTAGCCAGCGAGTACGAGGCGACGTACTCCAGGGGCACGAAGAACCCCCACTCGATGAAGAAGACGCCGGCGGTGGTCAGGACGAGCCGGGCATCCTTGAGAATCGTCAGATCAGGGACCAGCGTTTTGATCGCGAAGGAGGAAGGCTTGGGGGAGAAGTTGCCTTTGACCAGGAGACAGCCGGGGATCAGGAGGACCAGCGTGATGAGGCCGATGACGCGCGTGGTCCAGGCAAAGCCGATGCGCGGCGACAGGTTCTCCAGCACCAGCGGGAAGATGACGCCGCCGATGCTGCCGCCGGCCATGGCGAGGCCCGTGGCGGCGCCGCGGCGCCGGTAGAAGAAGTGGCCGATGCTTGCGACGGGGACGATAAAGATGAAGGAGGTCCCCATCCCGCCGAGGATCCCGATGACTACTAGAAAGTGCCAGTATTGGGAGCAGAAGCCCATGAGGACGAAGGTGAGGACGAGCAGGCTGGACCCCGTCCACATGAGCAGCCGCGGACCGTAGGCGTCGAAGATGGGGCCGATTTGGATGCCGCAGAAGAACACGAGGAAGTTGTAAATCCCAAAAATCCAGCCGATTTGGCCTTCGCCGAGGGACGCGAGTTGGTGCGTGGATATCCAGGCTTGGTATATCCCGATGCTGTTCATCAGCCCCAGACCCCCCATGATGGAGGTGAAGCTGCCCAACACGACCAGGTTGGCTACGAGGCCGCCCTCGGGGTATGGGCTGGAGGTGTCATGCTGAGACTCAATATGCATACCGTTCTCCGGATTTGAGGCAGATGGAGTAGGAGTAAGATTCTTGCTATGAGAGACTACTGACATACAGGTCATTCCAGCATACACACCTTGTTTATATAGCTATCCATCTGTCTAGGCCTATGGGTCTGCTGTATAGAAAGAGATAGAACAGATGATGTCCGCGGCAAACTCGCAGTATGAAACAAGCACCTCCGGCGTGGACATCAAGTATGGCCGCTGGCCATGGGTCTAGATGAGGCACCCGCCCACCAATCTTAAACTTGATTTCATGCTTATTCGCCTGAAGACCCGCAACGAGCCATGGATATGACCAGCAAAGTCGTCCCAATATCCACCTGAGTCTTGTCGGCCGTTGTGCACGAATGCCGGTGGCCGATGGCCGCATGAGTAATCGGCCAACTTCAACAACACCGTCGGCCGGCTCCATACGGCATCATCTGTGAAGTTGCTGAATGCCGAGACGACACAATATACTTGTTTATTTGGCTTGACTAGTGCAGGCCAAGGATGAATTGGCTCTGTTGAGTCGCGAGCCGGCTCCCGTTGTTCTCCGAGACCCTGGTTTCGTGCATTAGCCAAGGTGATCTATGAGCTACTGCGCGAGTTCTCGTGCACAGACAGAATTTTTGGCCGCATAGCAAGTCGAAGGTATGCCGAGAGGGTTCCTTAATATTGGCCGGACATGTGATATTGGCAGCACGTCAATGAGAGGGTATGATGCATGATCACGGCGGACGGAGAATTTGTATGCGCCCACGTGCCATCACTCAATCATGCTTCATAAGATCTGTCAAGTCCTGTGCGTCTGAGCAATTGAGCGGTGCCTGTTGGAGGCAGGACGAAGGAGAAGTTGTTGGACTGTTGATGTCAGCTGCTGTTCAATATAGTATTGTTATCAAGGATATTGCAATGTGTACCTCTACTTCTGGATTTAGACATGACAAGTCTAGTAGACAACATATGCCTCCGTACGGTCAACAGAAAGCAATATACCTACTGTAGATACAAACGCCTAGAATCAGGGTTCTGGGGCAGTCGGGCGATTACAGGACGGCGTACGGGGCGACCATGCTGAAAGCGGCAAGACTAACCCGGAAGGGAAATTCACAGGTGCCAACATTACAACAGCGCTGCGTCCAGCATTCTTGCGCAACAATTCTACCGCCCGCTTCATCCCGCACCGTTTCGCCATAGAAAGATATAGAATAAGGTACCCTCGCAAGGCAGCTACCCCAGCTCCGATAGCAGGCACCATGCCGCGTAAACGCAAAGCGTCAACTCCATCCCCAGAGTCCGAGCTAGAAGGTGCTGCCACCGAAGAAGCATCTACACCAAACAAAGCCAAGCCAGAGGACTCCGCCAGCCCCGACATGAAGACCAACTCCTTCGAGCCCTACCCAGCATCTAAAGCCTACCGGCTGATCGAACCAGGCCCTGTTCTCCTCGTCTCGACCGGATCACTAGCATTATCAACGCACAATATCATGACCATCGGCTTCCACATGATGCTGCAACACGACTCGCCCGCCCTGATCGGCGCATGCATTGGGCCGTGGGACACAAGCTTCACCGCGCTGAAACAGCACGGGGAATGCGTGCTCGCCATTCCGGACGTCCGCATCGCCGAGACAGTCGTCGATATCGGGAACTGCTCTGGCGATGACGTCGACAAGTGGACGACTTTCGGACTCCCCGCGGTCCCCGCGGAGATGGTGCAGGCGCCACTTGTGGGCGGACCGAGCATCGTTGCCAATCTCGAGTGTGTCGTTGTCGACCGGAAAATGGTGTCCAAGTACAATTTGTGGGTACTCGAGGTGGTGCGGGTGTGGTTGAATCCTGCGTTGGACGACCGCGCAAGGACGTTCCATCATCGCGGTGACGGGACCTTTGTAGTTGATGGGGAGGTGTTGGATTTGCGGGAGAGAATGGTCAAGTGGAAAGAGTTTCAGGATTGACGGGTGTCTGCTTCCGTGGTTGTTTGTTTCTCCTTTTTTTCCTTTTGGGGAAATTTGCCCGGCTTGCTACACCCTATCTTTCTCGGACGCCATGCTGTATACAACAATCTGGGAGGAGGTGTTCTATTTCCTGAGGCTGGAATTGCTTCTACTGCGTTTGTTCGGTCAACTGCCCCCTTCTTTCCGTGGCAGCCGTTTTCAGCTTACTGAGCCACTGAGACGAAAGGTCATGCTGTGCAAGGCACACCCGTCAACATAGCATTGGGTTTACGAACTCCAGGGCCACCTGGTCGGCTACCTCGCGTCAGGAATTAAGCCGCCCTTTGATTTTGTAGACTACACGTCATGTCTCTCATTCCAGTATGTTTCGAATAGAGGCAGTGTGTTTGTCTGGGACTTCGTTATGGACTCCTAGAGTTCCTCTCGCGCCCTTCCTCCGTTCCATGATACCACGGAGCGGGAGCAAAGACTGGCCAAGTGGACATGCGAAGCATCAAAGCTATTGCCAGAACTACGTGGTATCTCAGCGGCCTTATTTTTCTTCCCATCGGTGATGGTTGCTGAAAACCCGCCGCAGATAGGACAGACATGTGCCAGAGCCAGTCCACTACTTCAAATTCGAGACTTGATTATACTGCATGTCAGAGGGGAGGTATTTACAACCATCATAGAACGCTCACCCTAGAAACGAAGCGTTCAAAGTCCCCATATATTGCAGAGGCTGAAGGGGCCATGGAGCCCATGATTGATATAGTAACTTAGCATGTAGATTTCAATTGCCCGTTCCTAGGATATGAAAAGTCCTTCTGGACGGAGAAGTTCTTCGAAGTGGAACAGGCGTCCATGGCGGCTTTGACAGAGCCCGATTCTATGGACCATACAATATGCCTAAGATGCTTCCCCTGATGGAAATCAATCGGGCAGTGCAGGCGGAACATCGTAGGTGGGCTGTGGAGACAATGTAGACGCGGGGGAGTAAGGATTATGCCATGCTGGCCTCAAGTTGGAGTCCTCCAACCCACAACTGCAATGCCAGAATCCTTAGTCTATAGGCGTGAGAAGTGCTCAATTAACCATACTACTCATAGTCTTACTGAATGTTCTGATATATATATATGGACACAAGGCCAATCACTTGGCTCGAAGGATGACTAGAAACCCCCACGATACACCCATATGCACACATATCAACCCCGCTATGAAATTCCTACTATGAAAGGCACTTTTCTGACTAAAATCTACCACACGCTTACCCCTCTGTCCGCCAAGCCGTTGCAATGTCTCGCTTGATCTTCGGGATTACCCCCACCAGAGAGGCGGACACCGTTTACGGCATAAGCCGCGTTATCCTGGTAGAATGACCGAACTCTCGTGACTCGACGCCAGAAACGACTGAAAAGAGTGAGACGATAGCCTGCAATCTTACCGTCGACTCTGCAGACTCTGAACGTCAAGATGGCAGACACGGAACATCAACGGGAGAACGCTGGGAGCGTAGAGGACTCTGGAAGTCCCTCCCCAGAGCCGTCGTTCTTTGACAAAAAGGATGCCCGTTCTGTGTTCGGAAAACTCCTGAGCACCAACCTCGCGATCATGGGTGGCGGCATGAATGGTAGGTACCACCGTCTTCGAAGATCATCGGACATCCGTCCTAATTCACGGCAGATGCGGCCACGGGAGTCCTCATTCCCTACATGCAACCCACCTACCAGATCAATCTCCTGCAGGTCTCCTTCATCTACCTGGTCAACTTTGCCGGCTGGGTCGTGGCATCGTTCGCCAATATCCATGTCTGCTCTCGGCTGGGAACGGGCGGGACTTTGGTCATGGGTGCTACCATTCAATGTATCGGATACGCACTGATGTTTTTGGCATCCGCCTTACCCTCTCTTCATGGCGGCGTTCTTTTTCACAGGCATGGGAGTCGCCTTCCAAGACTCCCAGGCCAACGCGTTCACCGTCACGGTCAAAAACTCCCACCGCTGGTTGGGTATTCTGCATGCCGTGTACGGCGTGGGGACGATCATCGCTCCCGTCATCGCCAATACCATCGCCTCGCGCACGCCGTCCTGGCATCTCTACTATTTGACCACATTGGCCTTTGGCATTGTGAGCATCGTGTTGCTTGCGTTCACGTTCCGGAAGGGCCTGTTCCGACCGAATGTGCAGAACGCAAAGGACACGGCGGGAAGCGAGTTGCGCGCCACTATCTCAAACCGGACAGTCTGGATAATCAATGGATTCTTCTTCCTCTACGTCGGCGCTGAAGTGGCTTCCGGAGGTAAGATACTTTACGCTCGTGGTTGAGCTACCGGCTCTGACATCTCGGTGGACAGGTTGGCTCGTCCAATTCCTCGTGTCTGTCCGGCACGGTGACCCCAAGAAGGTGGGATACGTGGCCTCCGGATTTTGGTCTGGCTTTACGCTTGGCCGTGTCGTGTTAGCAGACATCACTCACAAGTTCGGCGAGCGGCGGATGATTTTCGTCTATATTGCGTTGGCGATAGTTCTGCAGCTTATGTTCTGGTTGATTCCGAGCATCCCCGTCAATGCTGTAACGGTCTGCTTGTTAGGTATGTCTTCCCATGGAGATAAGTAACTCTCGTAGGCAAGCGTCGCTCATCATGGCAGGATTCTTCATCGGCCCATTCTACCCCGTTGGTCTGTATGTTCTCACAGAAGCCATTCCACAGGAACTTCACGTCGGGGCAATCGGTTCGTATTTCATTTCATCCTCCATTCGCTTGAATCGTGGGAGTTGACGATGCTGATCATACTTAGGCTTCACGGCCAGTCTGGGACAGGCTGGGTCGGCGGCGTTCCCCTTCATGACCGGAGCTATAGCTTCCAAGGCAGGGGTCCAGGTCTTGCAACCGATTATGGTAGGATTACTCGTGGGAATCGCGATATTTTGGGCCTTGATGCCTCGACAGGGTCAAATCAGACTCTAGGTGACGACAAACACTTGTTGCATTCACGGGGAGTATAACGAAAGAAGTTTTATTTGACAAGGACAGATATGTTCTTGCTGCAAAAGGGTTGATGTTGTGTCGGCCATAGTTGAACCTAGGCATATTTGCGAAACTTCCTCCAGTGGGTCCGCTGGAAAACATTTTCTCTTGCGTGCCCGCGAGATGTTCTTTTAGCAGCGGCCATATATGGTTCAACGGACTTTAGAGTCAGATACCAAATTGTGGGAGCTTCTTATGAGGCAGATCTGGTGAGTGCTTGGGGACTAAACAGCGCCCGTGTAAATGGATTTGAAGCGTTTATATCCACATCGTTTACGACGCGACTGGCCCTATCATTCGTTAGCAGAGAACTCGTTGCACAGTCCAAGTAAAGAAATCGGTAAACCAGCTCAGAGAGAAGATTAAAGTCGTCAAAGCCTTACACATCCGCAGATGGTATGGCGTTCCGACTAAGGATGACTGATACGAAGATTTCATCATTGCTGGGGGATAAGAAATAAGAAAGGGACTTACCATATCGGAAGGATAGTCGTGATGGATCCCCTATTTCAAGGGCAACCATGTCTACTATCGTAACTTGATACCGGAAGCATCTTCAATCCTCGTACGAAATTATCCTACGGCCAGCAAAGTGAGGAGGCCGCTCAGGCCGAGCGCGCGAGGTCCTTGTATCGCTCTCCTCGTAGTTCAACGCAGCACTGTCATTCTCCGACTGCATCTTCGGCGTGGCATGTTCGGAACTGCGTTCCATCTGCGCCGCCGCTTGTTCGGCAGGGCCATGGGTAGAATTGCCTGGGATGGGACCGGCATCTTTCTCCGCGTCACACTCCTGCATTTTTTCAGCAAGAGCTTCCTCTTTCAGCTGCTTCTCTCGCAGGAGCGCGTGGATCTCGCTGTGCCGGAATATCTCGATTTGTTCGTCCGTGAGGGTACGCTTGACGCCATCTGGGTAGAATCCCAGGTCATCATCTCCTTCGACGTACTCTTCGACTAGCGTGGCATCGTTCGGATGTGCGAGGCTGGACGCGGGCTGTGTCCAGGGGAAGTGCTTCGCGTGAAAGGCTTGGAGGTCTTCCTGACGAAGGTGGACATGGTTAGTGGCTAGTCGCGAATAGGAACAGGTTGAAGACTTACTAGTGTCACCGGGGGAACCTGTAGGCCTGACATGGTGAGGCGCTACAGGGGCAGTAGAAGAGTAAGGTAGTGAGCCGTTGTTGGATCTAAACTAGAGTTTGATCACGTGATCACCACATTAACATCGTCACTTTTCAGTCATATCTCTTCTTACATTTTTACCGCTGGCGACCAAAGTGAAAATAAAAGAAGTGCAGACGGCCCTCTTATTTTATTTCATATTTTTTGGGATGTTGAGCAACGCCCTCTCCTACAGCATTCCACTCTAGTCTCATGAACCCTGCTCAATCGCAGATGTAAGGAGAGCACACAGCATAAGAGACACATCCTATTTGTGTGCCTACCTAGGTAGCTGCTAGAGAATGCACCCATATCAGCTACCGGATGGCCTACTGGTAAATATCGTCGGGACCTCACGTAATTTCATCGCTATATGTGATTGACACCATGTAGCACATGAGAATAAATGCCTCGGTCCAAGACTATACTACCAAAAAGCGTGCTATCTACGCGGGTGGCCCAATCAGGAATACCAGCGTCTATTCGTAGAGAACGAAATATACGATGTTTGACGACCTGGGTCCATTGTGATCATGACTTGTCCCTTTCGGAGAATCGCATGGCGAGCTAGCAGTTAGCCAGCTGAGCACACTTGCGGTGAGCCCCATGTACTCCGCAGTAAGAGTCCCCTCGCGACATTGAGGATGCCATGTATGACAAGCGTGGATGCCGTGCAGATAAGTAAGGGTTTTAAAGGATACCTCTCATTTATAAGTATAACCCCAAGCCATGTAAGGGCCCCTGTCGCTAGAAGGAAACGCGCTCAGAACGTCTATTGAACTCTATTAATATCATAAAATATCACACATAACCATGTTCTCATCCCACAACCCCAGTCGACAGCGGTATACTCGTGATGTTATTACCAATCTTTGCCTTCACGCAGTCAAAGCCGATGCGGAGACCGCTTAGATTTTGAAGGTCCAGGTTCGCGAGCCGCTCTGTATCTTCAGCTGACGGGGCTGTCAAGCTCCACGCAATAGAGATATGGAAGCAGTCTGAATAGTCCGCACGACTATCCTGACTGTTCGAAGGGTGTTGTCGTCCTTTAGCCTCATTCGATCGCGAACCCTCGTACAATGGTGGCTGGTCAAACCGAGCCAACGAGCGGTTCGAAAGTTTCAACAAGCGGTTCAAGCTATCTGATTCTGGCTTTTTCACCCGTAGAACGAAGAACCATCGCGTCTTTTCGTAGTTAGAGACGCAACGAAGACTCTCCGTGGAAACATCAAACCTACTCTGGGTCAGTAGGTCCTAACTGTGCTGCTCGTAGTGACTTACACTGGAATGTTAGAGCCTTCAAGGCTAGATTGGAACAGCTCCAAAAAAGAGTGGCGTTGTTCAGTTCGAAGCACAACCGGCCTAGAAAGACTAATGTGGAGCGGTAATTGCACGCCAAGGTCACTTCGAAGTAGGCTGTGTATCTTCACGCAGCTTTTCGAACATATACCCTCCAGTTGCGATACGACATCTTCGAGGACGCGCAGCTCTTGTTTGGACGGATACCCTGTCCATGTTAGTCCACAGGAGATGGGAGACAGGAAGCCCCGACGTACATTCAAGATAGATGTGTGTAGGCCAGTTACCCTCGACATGAGGAATCACGCGCTTCCGGCCACCGTGGAGACTGGGATCGTCTCTTACGCTGACACGTGTGCTCGTGGCGTAGAGGTCGTGGAAAGCTCGTGGCAGTGGGGGGAGAGAGGAATGGGCGCGGTCTGTGCGAGGGGAGTCTTGCCGCTGCTTTTTGGCTGGTCTCGGAGGCGACTCGTTCAGTGGGTTTTCTTCCTCCGATTCCGAGTCTGAGTACTGCACCAGAGCCATTCGCGGGTTGTTTATGCGAGAGGATACCTTACTGAAGTCGGAATAACATGTTGTCTGTGATGGGTCTAACACGAGGGTAAATTTCGGTATTACGATGACAGTGCCAAGACAGGTTCTAAGTCAACCCATTCCTAAGGTTAGTACTACCTAGTACTACAGTGGGTTGCAGTATCAGGCACAGGTGGATAGGTACGAGGTAGGGTTGTCTTGAAGGGGTTATACTTTTCATCATCGTTATGAACCATGCTCATGGTGAAGTAATCTACACAGGCAGGATTATCCACTGGGGGGAGTGGACATCTATGAGCTTGAATACCAACTGGCTCTATACACTATGATGAGCAAACCTTTCATGTTAAACAGGAACAAAGAAAAGAAAGAAATATATCATAGATGTGGGAGGTGACAAAAGGGCCGAAGCGAGACATCGAGAGATATGATACTCCTAGAGGTCAAGAATGCACATCATCCGATATATATATATTTATCTTTGTAAATGGATCAGAAAGTGAGGTCGCAACGCCCGCTACATGATTGTTCATCGTCAACGCTGATTTAAATTTGCGAGTCATCGATTGAAGGGAATTTCGTCAAGCCAGGCAGCCATAGTGGATGACGTTGATGGTGGTGGGCTAGCCGTGGGAGTCCGGTGCACTGGGGCTGGAAGACCGAAGAACCTCGATAGAATCAGCCTTACCCGATCGGTCCATGGTGAGGTAGGATTTCATTGTTAGCGTAGCCGAAGTGTTCATGCTAGTCAGTCTAGTCAACTCTACAACCAGACTAAAATAAGCTTAAATAGGTCGAGGTGATTTTGAAACAGACACTAACTGATCTCTTAATGTGTCTGTGTGACAGCATATGCGATGAGGGGTAGCCTGGCACGTTAACGATGCTGATCAGGTGGTGGTAAATGAAGATCAACATGACGCAACAGGGACCACCGTTTGTGCTAACTTTACTCAGCAATCCACTCTTTGCTTCAGGGACTGCCGTACGGATTCCGAGTAAGGTTTTCCAAAGTATTGACCTCCTCTAGGCACACACAACGGACATGTCATATTCTTCAAAAAGAAAAAGAAAACGAATAAGTCATCGACTCTATGCTAGTCTGTCTCTGCTGGATGTAACCGAACGGGTCTAGTCCTCCAAGCAGACCGTCGCACTAGACCCAAGCAGGTAAGGGGGGCCCTTATCGATAAGCCCCGGATCTTGTGGAATCGTCATACGCAAGTCGTCACGTCACTCTTGCCCTCGTTGCTCGTTAAGCTTTTCTCGAGGTTCAAATCATCCGGTGCTCTCCAGCCGTTCAAATGACTTACAACTACTCACTCCCCTTTACCATCTCCCGATCCCTCATCCTTCACTTCTGCAAACCACCACCAGCTCGTCCCGAACCACGCCGATATACACCGTACGGCACGTTCGGCACTCAGTATATGCCAGGTCATCTACCGCCCCACATCAGGCAGTGATTTGACGCGAGGATTCACTAGTTCTCCAAGACTATTAGGAACTACAGTCATTCAGACATATCCGCTGCATTTTTCTCCGATCTCTTGAACCGTCCTCCTGGCTTCCGTCCATCAGACTCGTTCACCGTCTCTTTCTCGCACGATGACAGCCGTCCGAGACAGCGACAGCTTTTATACCACGTCCCACCCGTCCGATCGCACCGGCAACTACTCCACCGACTCGGACAGCGATATGGACCGACGCAACCCATACTATCGTTTCCTCTCTCCCTCTCCTTCTCGGCACACGCCGAGATCGCAGCGCTCGCGCTCCACCTCTGTACCCTCCGTCTACTTCAACGGGTACCTCGAGCACTACCCGATCGAGTCCCGACGACGGAAAGAATACCCAACCTACTTCTACCAGCATGGCCACTCTCGCCGGCACCACCGCAGCGGTCGTCAGCCGCAACGCTACCATCGCAACTCCCAACTCGTCAACCCCGATGTGATCGATCGTCTCGACGACGCCGTCGACTTCCACTATCACCACGAGGGGCCATACGATGCCGTGTACGCCGAGAGAAACCACAACAGCAAGCTCAGCCCCGTTCAGGCTCTCAGCGAGTCCAACGCCGAAGCACTCAAGGCAACGCCGCCAGACAAGATTCGCGACTGTCTTGACAGCCACCGCCCCTTGGACGGCGTCGCTTATTATCCCCCTGGCACGACCGACCGGGAGGGGCAAACTTACGTATACGAGGAGGGCCCCAACATGATGAACGAGTATGGAAATTTCATGCGGTGCCCCGGAATGGTGTGTAACCGATGACCGCCCCCCTTGCATTTCCCTTGTTGGTGCTGACCAGCGAATAGAAATTCACCGATGAGGATTTCAAGAACGACCCTTTCTACAACTCGCCTCTTCCGAAGCCTTTTGCGCAGCTGCGGAAGGCGCTGAGTATCCGTCGCCACTCTCGCCGGGGAACCACCTGAGCATCGTATGATTATCGTATGTTGTGTTTTCGAGTAAGCCACACAAGTTGGATGTGTCTTTCATGTATTATACTATCTTGATCGGTATAACGAATGACTAAATGGGTAAGACTGGGTTTCTAGGCGTTCCGTTCTATTATTGGTTTGGCGTTTCTGCTCCTTGCTTAGAAATGGATGATACTTTGCGATCTTCCGGTGACCTATCGATCCATCGATGGAATTAAACAGTAGATGCCTTCATGCGGGAAGTCCACAGGTCCCTTCATACCTCGCTTTAGACTATAAGTCTATTGTAATATTAGTCGAATTATCGTAGAATACATCAGCTTGTGCATAGCAATACCTGGTAGAACAATTTCCCATCTAAGCAACCCGTAACAAACCTGGGATACAGGATACAGTCGGCTGAACCGCTAGACCTTTCACCTACGAACCAAACGGATCCTCCCACAACTCCGGCCCAACCTCAAGAACATTATACAGCATCTCCGGATTCCCAATCTGATCCACAATCGACAAGAACTCATACGACGAGATCCCGGTAACATCATCCAGCGAATCGACATTCACCGACGCAGACGGGTCTACCGACGGCGACCGCGTCCCATTCACCGATAACTGCTGCGCTGCAGGCACCTGTGCGGGGGGTTCCCCATTTCCCGTGCCATTTCCAGTTTGAATGTCAGTATCCGTCGCCCCAGACCCAGATCCACCATCTGCATGTCCCGCCCCCGGTCCCGAGCCCGACAACGTGAGCACGCGGAGCCCGCCTTGCTGCACTCGTTGAGCGAACTCCTCAAACAACCCCTCGATGCAGCGCAGCTCGCCCTTGCGCGCCGCGGCGACCTTGTTCCCACCGCGGATCATCTCGTCGAGGATGGAGTGCGCTGTGCGGCTGTAGGTGTTAGTGTGATCGTCGGCGGGCGGGAAGAGCGCGTTGGCCATGGTCAGGTGGAGCGCGGCGGCGTAGGTGAATTCGAGGTCAAAGGGGAGGAAAATTTCTAGGCGGGATTAGCTGATGTAGAATGGGGTTGTGGAGGGGCAGCGCACCGAGGTGGCAGTTCTCGTCGCTCAGGATTTGGAGCATTTTGACGGCGGATTTGATCCCGATGGAGATGAGGGATTTGGGGAGGGCGAGGCTGTTCTGCCATTCTTCCTCGGCGCGGTTGAGTGTATCGAGGCGTTCTTTCAGGACCGAGAGGAGGAGCGGGCGTGTTGCGATTATTACGCACTGGGTTTATGTTAGAGGATATGATGGGAGTCGTAGATGGCGGAGGGGGGATATGTACCTGGTGGTAGAGCAGGATGATATGGCGCGTCTCTTGCGGCACGTTGTCCATCGAACCTTGGAAGTTCACGTGGAGCATCTTCTCAATCTCTTCCGCGTGTTTGGCCATTGTCTGTAGGACGTTCCTTGTAATCTCGAGGAACCTGCCTAACCGGGTCTTTTCTGTCTTATAGATGGCTGCGACTCGAGTCAGGTACCACCCGCAAGCAATATATCAATATTAAGCTCACTGTTTAGAATGTACGACAGCATCTGCGTCAGCCTGATCTGAAGGCTGAATATGATGTCGTGTAGGCTGGCACTCGGGGTATTGACCAAGGTGGTTATGTCACTGTCTTGTGTGGTCATCGGGAGCCCCAGGGACGACGAAACATGTCTGTCCATGATGTACAGAGTCCACCAGAGATTCCTGCACCGGGCGACTGTGGCCGCGCCGAGTTCCTCCTCCGGAAGCTGGGTGTGCAGTCCTTCCAGTTGTGCGATGCGTATGGCGTGACCGACCTACGCGCAGCAAGTCAGCAACGTATGTGACGAAGAATGGTAGTACTCGCCTATGAGACTCACATGTACATGCGCGGCCTCCCGGTGGTCAATCGAATACAGATATACCCCCGCCAGGGCCAACGTCTCAATGGCCAACAAGCTATCCTTCCCGGTAGCCGTCCCGCTCGGCATTACGGACATCGCGCGGGCAAAGAACTTTGACCCAGGCGGCCCGGAGAGGTTCCGCGGCCGGGAGCAGAATGCGTTTCCCAGCGCAAGGACCAGGAGGAACTGCACGAACCAGAAACGCGGCTTGGTTGCCTCCTCGGGCGTGGTGCTAGCGTAGAATTTGTGCATGTGGGATATAAAGGACTCTTCGTCGAAAAAGCGGCATATCTGCCCTAGATGGAACTTGACTATATTGAACAGATACAGAGCGTAGTTCATCGAGGGTAGACCGCTGATATCTGGGGGCTCGCTGGCTGTGGAGCGGTTCCAAGAAAAAGGGTAGATATCGCCATCTAGATAGAAATTGGGGGCGTTGATGGCCGGGCTCAGGTTGAGCTTCTCGGTCATCATGACAATGAGTCGGGCAGTGAGCGACCACGCGGAGGTCGGCGCCAACCAAACTGTTGTCAAGTTAGCCTGTCCAGCGGCGCTGGATAGGGGTCTACAAACTCCAGTTGCGTTGTTCTGTGTGCTTGTTTTTGATGACCGTCGAAGGCAGTGTAAAGGGACTCGTCCAGATGCTGCAACCGAGCTCGTCCTGCGGCGCAACAGCACCAGACTCGGCGCCTACCAAGTCCTCGGCGGCCTGAACATCATGGGCGACATCGCCCCCATCTAATTCGCCATCCGACCCGAAAGCAGTCTCCCAAGACCGTTTGTTGCCGGTAGCTCGTTGCCAATGATAAGCCTGTCTCTGTAGCTCACGCAGATATCTGATCCATGCTCCAGTCACTATGACAGCTCCAGAACGTAGCGTAATCAGCGACAAACCTTTCAGACACTAAGATCTTACTATTTGCCTCTGAAAATTGACAGTTGAGCGAGCGTCGCTCGCAGTTGGCACAGGGTTCATCGCCGGAGCATTTTATCTTGCTCTGGCGGCACGCGACGCATCTACCTTGGTCAACCACACATTGAATCATGAAGAAGAAAAGAAGCATCCTTACGCGACGGCAGTCCTCCGTTGCCTATAGCCCTGGGATTGCATCCCTGCGTGTCCCGGAGCACTGATCGTAGACAAGCCATCAAGTCTGCTGATACGGAATGAAGTTGGGGTTATCTGGTACTAATGGAGATATACCCCGCACGACGAACGCCTCCCCATTGTCATGCATCATGTGACGACTTGTGCCCTGATTGACCCAGAAAAGACTAGTGCTATCAAATCTACTACTTCAGACTCATGCTAGTAGATATGTTACTGAGAACAGCATACGGCTGATGGATCTTCCATAGTCTCTCCAAGACATCTCGCGACCCCCCCGAGGAGGTGAACAATTATACTTTGCTGGGATCTATACGTCCGGAGTATCTCGTTTGGCGGTCAGGGGATACAGCACACCGGCACGCAAACCATTAATACCTGTCGCATGTGGTCCGAAGAACCGCATCAAGGTAGCACAAGTTAGGCTCCCCCTCCTCGGCAGGGACCAGGGTTCCAGAAGTGTCACACCGCCACCCATTGGCCAGGAAGAGGCCAACCAGTCTAGCGTCTTCCATACGCTCCTTATCCTTGACAGAGACGTCTTCCATGGCGTGGTACAGCTCTTCGTAGAACAGGCCCCGCAGCTCCTGATGGTTGGCGTGGTAGGCATGGCCGTTCAGTTTGGCGATTCCGAGAATATTCTCGACCCAGCCGAGGGACATACCGAACGGGCTGATTTCCGTCCCCGCCAAGTCGCAGATGCCCACCAACTTACCCGTGCTCGGGTCCACGTAAATGTTGTTCTCCAAGAGGCCGTCGTGGTTGGGCACGAGGGGCCAGCCGGCGCCCATGAGACATGGGAGGTGTTGTAGGAGCCCATCCAACACTAGCCCAAGCGCTGCGGTAGTCCCTACGAGAGTTGCACGAGCTGAGACGCGTACTTGGAGTACAGAGATTGGCGATCTGGTAGCGGCAAGGCCTCTGGGGTCTTGTTCCACGCCGAGGCAAAGAATCTGAGTCGACAGACGTCAGCTGGGATCAAGCCGGGGAAGGACTGGGTTAAATACCGAGCAAAGTCTGTTGGGGTCTGTTGCAAGAGATGGCAGCCATTTCCGTGCAAGCTGTCCCGGGCCAGGTACATGCAGACGCCTCCCACATTCTGCATCGTGTAGACGTAGAGATTCCCCAATGTGCCCAAGGCCCTGTGCCATGGAATCAAGCCGTCGTAGGCTTTCTCGATGAATCCAAGGAACTCCAAGTCGAGGGCAGCTCTGGCGGCTCGAAACTGAACAACGTATTCCCCAGCAATGACGGTGTAACTGCTTCCACCCTGGAGGGGTGTTGGCGTGGGATACTCTCCTGAGAGACTTCTGGCCTTTTCGTCGCATTGCTGCTGCGATGGACAGCCGCTTGCTGAAAAGAAGGTGGATATTTGAATCCTGGAGAGGGATGCAATAGAGCTCTTCATTGTGGATCTGCTCTCCATTGATGCGGTGGGTATTGTGAGTGATGGTTGGAATGAAGTTGTGGTCTGCAAAGAGAGGGGAGGATGGGGGGTGAGGAGCAGGCGAACAAAGGGGCCGGGAACCGCTGCCTGAGGATTCCACATGCTCATATTGCATTGCAGCAATCGGTTCGTGGTAATAGATTTTATGTAACACCAGCGCAGGCCGATGCCTCATGATAGAGGCTTCCTATCCTAGTGCCCCCTTCCTGACCAGGCAGAAGAGCCATAGCTACAGGGGACCAAGGAATAAAACATTAGGTAAATCGGCTTGACCCTGCCTCGTGGGCTCCATCGTTCAGGCTCGCATCATCATGTCGATGTTAGATCAGATCGAAACGGAGGTGATGGCACCAGGCCTGTAAATGTGGCTGTACGTCCAGTATAATGCGCTCAGGATGGAGGTTAAATGATTCAATTGAGAGTAGGACGTATGTGTATAACCTTTATCAAAGGGAAAGCGGGGTCTATATTGACAGCTTCCAACGCGAACATAATAACCACGAGGGTTGTACTGAAAGGAGCTCCATGGTACAACCGTACCGAAGTCAGAACCTAGTCGCGACTTTCGAATTTTCCAGGTCGAATGCTAAATCGGCCATCAAATACCACCACCCAGCCCATCACCAACCTAGAAGGATACCGCTGCGTTGCGTCGATTAGCAGCGGGGTGCTGGAGATCACATAATGCAGACTCAGGTGAATCGAAGAGAGCCGACAGTCTATTTACCATGAGACGCATGAGGAAAGAGACCAGAGCTTTCAATAAGTACGTCAGGCCAAATACTCCTCTCTCGAGGCCGCTTTGTTCTTCATTGGAACAGACTTCCTGTACTCATGAAGGGCAAAAAACATCGTGAGGATGATGCCAGACGCAGCAAGCCCGACGCCTAAGTACCAGGCTCCTCGATAGCCCCTCAAGAGATCTGTTCCGTTCTTGTTGAGGTCCGTCTCGACTATTGCACCAAATCCGAGACCCAAAGAGATTGCATAATTCATAATCGTTGCAACCAAGCTGGCTGAGACCTGTAATCACAATGTTATCAAACTGAATCATCACACAGCATCAACAGACTTGGAAGATCCAAGGCATTTTGGTACGGTTTGGGTAGAGAATGGACTTACTCCTTGATGTTCTTGAGGCATCGCATTTGAAAGTAGAATATTGGAAGCCGGAAAAGACATTTCCCTGGTCGCGGTCAGTCAGCACGGACACCAATACGAAATATAGTCATGATGCAACTCACATGCCCCAAGGCATCACTATTATCGACACAAAGAGCTGCGCCCAGTAGCTCTGTGCGATAGGCATGGTGGCATAGAGGGTGTCGGCTGTGCAAAAGGCCGCTGCAGAGATCATCATGACCACACTGGCAGGCAGTTTTTGAAGGATCAGCCCTGTGGTGAAGGAAGCCACAAACCCGCTGATGGCTGCAGGCGAAAACTGCAGACAAGCAAATAGAGGTGAGATGCCTCGAAAGTTCTGAACAAACTCCCAGCCATAGAATACCCAGACTCCAAAGGCAGCCCATCCGCACGCCAAGGTGGCCAGGACGAAGCTAATGTCTGGTGTGATGGCCGAAAAGGGAATCAAGGGGAAAACTGCCTTTCGCTCAATGTATCCAAATAGACCGAAGAACACCAACGAAGCGATTAGGAGGATATAGATGTATGGGTCCTGCCATCGCGCTCCGGGGGCCATGTTCAAGGCAACATTGAAAAGAAGGAGGCCGCTAATCCCTGTGACGCATCCAGCGATATCCATTCTCGCCCATAGACTGTGCGTCGTTTCCCTTCGCGGTGTTGGGGTGCGTGGAACCCAGAATATGGCAGCAATACCGCAGACCGCTTCCAAAATGGCCATAAACCAGAAGCCCCAAGGCCACGATTGATATTTGGCAGCGAGAGCGGAAACCAGACCGCCAAAGATAAAACCACTGGGTGCCGTAGATCCGAAGGCGCTGAATACCATTTCCTTGCGTGTCCCAGGCTCATATGATCTCGCCAAAATAGCCATTCCGTTGGGAAGTAGAAAGGCAGGGCCAATACCTTGAAGAACCCGGCAGCAGCAAAAAAAGACAGGCCCACTGGATTCCGCGAATGCGGCAACCAGTGTCCAGATCGCAAGCCAGAAGTATCCGGCCGTGAAGAGGAGTTTATGGCCGTACAAATCGCCCAGACGACCGGCGCCTAGGATGAATGTTCCCACTGTCAGAGAGTAGGCTGCCGGAAACCACGAAAGTTGACTCATGTTGTTGCCGATACCGAATGAGTCTCCAAGAACAGGGAGAATTGATATCACTTGGCCAAGACCAGCTTGGCTCACAAGCTGGGCCATGCAGACCACGACGATGAATGCAATCTCGCCAGATAGTGACTGAGGACGTTTGACGTCTAGGTCCTCATGGGATCCTGTTAGGGTGGACGAATCGTCGTACTCTCCATGAACTCCGTGTACCTCATCGTCAATGACATCGTTGCGTGACATGATGGCGCTGGTGTTTCCGTTTCGTTTCTAGAGACTGCTGTTGTGGTTTCTCTCGCTGGGTGCTCGAGGTGTGGTGATTGTGTACACACCAACATGCAATGGTGCCTGGAGAGGGAATAGTATGCTGTGATTGTAATATCTGACTCGATTGATGGTCAATGCGACGGCACCCTTCATGCGCTGTGCCAACGGTTTTACCCTTGGCTGGCTGAACAATCACTCTACTTGAATTCTGACCTGTCCTACCTCTATCTTCTTGGCCCGAAGCCGTCGGGATGGGACAACACGTCGTTGGTCTCGGAAATACCCCAGCTGTACGTATAGCACTCAACTTGAGTACTTTTGTAGATAACCATATTGAGACCATTCTACGCACCTGTCCGGATTGGTCCGGATTTCGGCTATTGAAGATCCACAGGGCCCCATTTCAAAAGTCCTGAGGCTTCGGTAATTCGGTAATCTTATCGTTTCCGAGGCTTGTTATCAGATCCGAAGCCCTTGCCTGATAAGGCGTTTGGCCTCTTACCGGTTTGGTCCATCTCATGCTTTTGTGCATCCGGAAATGCTCCCTGTCGCCAATGTGGTTATCTCGTGAGGGAAATTTGCTTGCCATTAAAATCCGCATCTGATTAAAATCCCTGCCATGCAGGATGCCATATCTATCGAACGGACTAACCCGAAAAGTCCTTTGCGTTCCTGAATCCGCCCCAACATGGGATTCGTCATTTTTGGGCATCCCGTTCCCCGTCCAACACTCCTGCGTCAAGGACGCTGTTTACCGATGGAATTGATGTACGGTCGGCTGACAAGCAGCACTCGTGCCCCGTCAGGATCTCTCACCGTGGCATAGGTTGCCAGAGGTTCCGAGCCAAAACTAAACGTTGCGATGTGAGGTTTCCCTCCCATACCCAACCGGTCCAAACGATCCAAGGTGGCATTGAGCTTGTCCCCCATCCAGAAAGATGTCAGGAACAAACCCGTGTTTGGCGGATCGGACTCGTCCGTAGGAATTTTCTTGGCATCTGGAAACTCGACAAGGTAGATCACGCCATCGGTTCCGTTGTAAACAGACGTCGTGTCGCCGAGAAAGTAGCCGGGTAGAACAGAGGTGTTGGTTCCGAACAGAGTCGTCAGGTCCCCCTGAAAATTGTAGTTTCGTATGATGTCGAGCCCGAGTCCATCCACATAGAACTTCAGACTCTCCGACAAAGAGCTGGCCGAGACTACAGTATGGTGAACTGCATACTGTTGCGCGATTAGATTATCTAAAGACAGGCGTTGGAGCAGATTTCTCGGTCGAGACTCACATGAGGAGTATCCGGTTCTTCTAAGATAGTCGGAATTTGCGCCGGGAATGAAGCACCAGTTAATCCTGCTGCCAGAGGTAGGAGAAGCTGTAAGACCGCAAATCTAGCCATGTTGAACGAAGCAAATTCAATCCGCATGTAATCAAATTCGTCAACGGGGAAGTCTCAGGGAGACAACGACCGCAATATATGCCCATTGTATCGTGTTTGTTCGAATCAACCCATCGAAAAATGATGTAAGACGGAAAGAATGTCTCGGATAGACGATACCCACTCTCGGAGGCAGTCGGGAATACGTGGTCAGACTGATCACTGTCAGAGATCAACCGGAGTCTGGACCGATTGAATCCTATCCGCTCGCCAGATGTCCCTGACGTCTCAGTATCTTCCCGAACACAAAACAGCGCAGATGTACTTAGCCGCAGACCGGATCACAGATTATAAGAAAGGTCTCATCTATAGCTTGCCTGTGTAATACTCTAGTCGCCGATCGCACGTCGAGACTGGAGTGCCTTTCTTTCTTCAGCTGGAGTATTCATTCCTTGCTGCCATATCTTGCAGACACGACCCTACCGTCTCGCGATCTCTCACCTCTATTTCGAACCCTTCCGTCAGCAATATGACCGTATCCTCCAGCATAGTGCCTCCGGGAGGCCTGGTACTCGTCACTGGCGTCACCGGTTTCATTGGCTCGTACATTGCGAACGGGCTGCTGGAGCTGGGCTACCGAGTGCGCGGAACCGTCCGCTCGAGTGAGAAGGCAACCTGGGTGACAAAAGCCCTGACCAAACGCAACCCTTCCGCAAATTTCGAGGCTGTCATTGTACCAGACCAGAACGCCCCCGGCGTCTGGGAGGCAGTTCTCAAGGATGTCGATGGCATCGCCCATGTCGCAGGGGACGTGAGCTTCGGACCCGACCCGACCAAAGTCATTACGCCAAGTGTCGAAGCTCTTCGAAGACTTCTTGAGGCCGCCAAGAAAGAGCCTTCCGTCAAGCGTTTCGTGTTCACCAGCAGCGACCAAGCGGCAAGCAATCGCTCGACTACTCGAGAGATCCTGATCAATGAGGATACCTGGAACGAAGAGGCCATCGAAGCTGCGTGGAGACCACCCCCTTACGAGGCGGAGCGTGGGTGGGACGTCTATTCTGCACTCAAAGCGCAAGTCGAGAAGGAAATGTGGAGGTTCAGCCGGGAGGAGAAGCCTAGCTTCGTGGTGAACTCTGTGTTGCCAACTTACACGATCGGGGCCATCTTCGACGAGCAACAGGCCGGAAGCACGGCAAAATGGTTGCTGGACTTCTACAAAGATCCATCAAAGGATGGCTTCATGAGAGGTTTCGGATCCTCGTATTACGTTTATGTTGGAGATGTGGCGCTCTTGCACATTGGTGCGCTGACTCTGGAGGAGGTACAGAACAAGCGCTTGTTGGCGTTTGCGGGCCGTTTCAACTTTAATAGTTGGCTTGAGGTTTTCCGCAAACATGACCCTAGCAAGCCTTGGCCTGAGGATGATCCTACCCAAGCTCTGGATACGAGACGAGTCAATGGTGAGACGGAATTGTATATACTAAAGCAGTTTGGGAAGGATGGCTGGACGAGCTTTGAGGACAGCGCCTTGAAGGTATTGGAGAGTCCTTGATATCTAGACATGAACATATCGGGGGTGTGAGGTATGCCTGGTGCAGAACTAATTAGAAATTGAGTTGTGGTCCAGGCTTTTGAAATATTGTAGGGGTTGGTGTTGACAATTCGAAACCGGCTCATAAATTTCCTTGATCAACTACTCGCGTGTTGGTGCTATTCCTATTCTACCAGCTAAGACATGATAAAAAAATCCCCTCCCCGATCATCTAACTACCGCCGTTCATCTTGGTTTGGGGAAAGTTGATTGAGCTCTTGACAAACGGTACACGCAGTCCACTCTTGATGCTCAAGACCTGAGCTTTCTCCCAATCCCAGACTTTGCCAACAGTGAATGGATCACGCTGAAGAAGATTCAAAGCTTCGTTCTTGTCATGAGCCTGAACCAGAACCCAACTACCACGCTCTATATTCTCTTCATGATTGTCGTACATAGGGCCTTGATTCGCAGCGCGTTAGCAATCACTATCTTCCACACTTCCGCATTGTATATTACCTCCGGCAAGCCAGTATTCTGATTCTCGTTCGACGAAACGTTCGTGAGGGCTAGAAAGCTTTAGAACCGTGTCATATTCGGATCCGATTAGGACTCACTCGGTCCAGGACTCTCGGTTCTTGAGACCTTCCGGGCCATCTGGTAAGATGAACAGAAATTCGTGCTTTTCAGGCATGTTTGGTTCCAAGGTGTTGATTAGGTGAACAATTCAGGAACTTGGAGAAGTACTTTGCGCTTCGCCAAAGCTAGAAAGTGATATCTTCCGCTTATGAATCAGGCTGGTCGTTGACCACCAAGTTGTTGAGTCCCACGTGAGATCACTGTTCCCGACGCTCGGCTCCGAACATGATGGAGATAGCCGACAACCAGATGTGCGGATGACGTGTACCGAGACCCTGCATATTTCCGAGCAGCGTGGTGTGTTTGGTTTAGCGATTGCCGCCGTATAGCTACATTTAGATCCGGTGTCGAGGCCGGTATGGACTCGTATATACAATATACCGGAAAGCAGGACACGGTTGTGTGGCGTCACTTTTGCTCCACGAGTGTATCCACTGGCATCTGCCCTATCATAAAGTGGGGCGGCGAGATGCGCGAGGGTAATCTCGGAAATCTTGGATGGCGTATCCTAAAATCCTGCGCCGTTCTGTTTTTGTCTTTAGGCTCGGGCCGATCCCGGGTCCAGAGGGTCCAGACTCTATCGGTTATCAGTCCGAGATAACTCGGACGAATCAAGAGCATTAGTAATACTCGAGAGAGAAAGTGGCCGAGAGAAGGATCTCGAAATGGTAGTGTAAGTTCTTAGTGTCATCTAGAAGGCCCTACTGGCTCAGCTCTCCGCCCTACGGTGTAGGTGGCGTGAACTTCATTATTGAGACACATTTTCGTCGATTCACTTCCAAAACCCGCATTGCGTGATACTTCCTCAATGCTTGGCAGTTCCTCTACCTGGCTTGGCCCAGGAGCAGCTCCACGAGTGCTAATCCGGAGACATTATCCATTCGACCAAGGCAATTTCCTGAGACTTCTAGAGCCGGTACCTAGGATTGCGATGTTCTGGTTGAGATCGATGACCTGATGATCGAGCTCGGAGTGGTGAGCGAGGCACTCTCTAAACCCCTACAGCGTGGCGACTACTTGGAATCTTGCCATCTAAGAGCACTTATTGCATGTGGAAGCCTTCCCTCTTGCTTCGCCGATGATTGAGATGATCGACGCGCTTTTGGTGGCGAGGTGGTAGTTTGAAGATCAGTAATAACAGCTAGTTATGCGCGTTAAACTTGATGAGGTGGGTTATGTAAGGAGGTCGGAGACTTTTGCCCACGGACGGTATCTTTGTTCTATAGTAGACGGTATTATTTTACCCCGAAACTGGGTCCTGACAAATCGACACCAGGACAAAGACACCGATTAGGGTTCGCTGTTACTCCGTAGACAGGGGGGCTTCCCTAGCTTCATCTTCTATAAATTCAGTTCTCTTGATTTTTCCCTACAAACCTCTCGCGTCCATGATTGCAGTCAAGTACCACTCAATTCCAATGCACAATGTCCTCCTCAACTCTAGAAGGGCAGGAAACTGCATCGCATCATTCCAAAAATTCACCATCGAGGCATGGGGATGGTAAGTTACTTAGTTCTCAAAGATATCCTGCCAAAACTGGAGGCCTTTCGATCGCGTTGACTAACTTATACAGATGGAGGTCTACAGACTGCCGGAGATGAATACGTCTACATTGCCGATCACTACGGCATGGTTCGGCGGATGATTTTCATCATGACAGTGTGTTCGTCCATGTTCACGAATCAGTTGGGCCTCTGCAACAGCCTCTCGACGCTCGAAGAAATCGGAGAGTCCTTTGGTGTCACCGACCCTGGCAAACTTTCGTGGACAATCTCTGGCTACGGCTTGACTCTGGGCACATTCATCTTGATCGGAGGACGGTTGGGGGACGAGTTTGGCAACAAGGCGATCTTCGTCATCGGTATGGGCTGGCTTGCTCTGACCAGCATGATGGCAGGAGTCTCCGTCTACGCCGGCTACCCTGTCTACATCCTTGCTCGTGTCCTGCAGGGCCTTGGTCCCGCCTTAACGGTGCCCAATGCACTCGCCATCATGGGCAAATGCTTCTCCGAGCACCCTCGAAACATGGGGTTCGCCTGGTTTGCTGCATCAGCCCCGGTCGGTGCGATGGCCGGTCTCCTCTTTGGGCCCCTCTTCACCATGGCTTGGTGGCCGTGGATCTACTGGAGTCAGGCGCTGGGGGTCGCCTTTGTCTTCGCTCTCTCCATCGTTGCCATTCCGAACATGCCCGCTGAGAGCGAGCAGAAACAGCGACGAACGATTCTCGAAATCCTGGAGCGAATTGACCTCCTGGGAGGTGCCTGCGGTGTGACCGCTCTGGTTCTGTTCAACTTCGCCTGGAATCAGAGTCTGGTCGCTACGTGGAAAGAGCCTTACGTCTACGTGTGCCTGATTCTCAGTTTCTTGTTCCTGGCGGCATTCTTTTACGTCGAACTTCGCGTAGCTCGCCATCCAATCCTACCGGTCGCCGTCCTCACTTCCGACATTGCCTTTGTCTTTGGTTGTACAGCAGCGGGCTGGTCGACATTTGGCATCTGGGTAAGTACTGGCCTTTGCTCTGGAATTTTCGTCAAACTAACAAAGTGTCTAGCTTTTCTACGTCATCCGAATCTGTCTCAATATCGGTGGCCAAACTCCCATTCAAATGGCTGCGTGGCTTTCTCCTATCCTCGTCACCGGCATAGGAACAGCATTGATCGTTGGCAAAATCATCACCAAGGTTCCAGCCTCGTCTATCATGTTGTTTGCAATGCTGTGCTACTTCATCACGTCCCTTCTCATGGCCTTGCGACCCGTCCATTCGATATACTGGACCTACTTCTTTTTCGCCACCATCATCGCCACCTTTGCAATGGATTCGTCGTTGCCTGCTGCCACGATCATCTTCGCGAACGCAGTGCCTCGACAGTACCAGGGCATGGGGTCCAGTGTGATCATGACGATTGTGGTCTACAGTATATCGCTCGGTCTTGGTTTCGCTGGCACCATTGAACTTCAGATCAACAATGGCGGACACACCAAGGCTGACTTGCTTCATGGTTACCGGGGTACTCTGTGGTTTTCTGTCGGGTTGACGGCATTTGGCACTGTTCTTGCCCTTATTTTCCTACTCAAAGATCTGCGAAGACGCAAGTTGGCCAGGACTCAAGTGGAAGAGGAAAAGGGCCATTCAAGTGAGGCTTGAATGGATGAAGGGTTGACCACTTGTCGATCATTCTTTGAACGCTCCAAAACGACCAAGCATAATTAGAGGAGTTTGAGGCTTATACAACGAGTTTTGAGACTGGTGGTACTTGTGAAATCATGGTAGTCAGGTTGTGCAAAATCTAATGTTTAGTGCAGATTATTTACAAGGTATTCATTCTCTCTTGTCCGTCATTACATGCCTGTACCCGTCATCTATCATTTATGGCATCACGTCTTGTTATCTGTTGTGTGTCGTCTATCGTTCGTCAATCAGACGCTTGTAGCCCGTTATCTATCGTTGATGGCGTTGTGTGTGTCGCGTATCATCAATCAGTCTATCATCCGTCACCTAAACTCCGTCATACCGTCTGATCTTTCCAATCTCAGCCCATCGGGGTTGCCAGATTTTTGGGCGAGCTGCGTAAGCTTGAGAGCATCGGCTAACGGCAATTCGTTGTCTAAGCTCCAACTTCCGAAAATTCCACAGCTCATACTTAAGTATGGCAAGCTTTCCTTGGAACCGCTACTCACAATATCCAAGAAAGTCACACAGATCGACACGGCGATCAGGTTGCTCAGCTTGCTAGAGATCTAAAGTTAGCCAACTCATTCCCCCGGGGTTGGATGACCTTGTCTCACCCGCCGAGGATGTCACAGCTTGTGATTCGAGCCGCGATGGCCAACACAGCTTGGGCTGATTTGACGCAAAGCTCCATACTCCTCTTGCGATAGTGTTCGGAGATCAGTCCTTTGGACTGGCTTCCGGTCCACGGGAAGAAAATAATGAAGATGGCCTCGTGATACTTGCCAACCATGGTCAAGGTCAAATGGCGCGTCTTCTGGTCGTCGAGGGCGACATATCCCGTTTCGTGCCGATGGATATTCTGCAGATGGACTGGAAGACTGGTTCTCCAGTTCTCGAGGAGCTTGTGTGCCTGCATCATATTTCGCTCTCGCTCGGCCACCGTTTGGCAAAGAGCCCTTGGACTGTAGAGCGCATTGACCGCTGAGCTGAGAGCGTTGGCATGCTGACATTGAATGAGCAGCCAATCGGTATCGGTGTCCTTGCCGACTTCGGGTAGCGCATAGTCGGTCCAGTCGGGGGTGAGGATCTGTTTCGGACTGTCAGAGAGCAAACAGAAAGGGTGGCGCATCCGGAACTGACCGGTGGCATTCCATCGCGTATGGAATGGACGACTTCCATCGAGTAGAGGTACCACATGCTTCTTCTTGCCAAGTATTCTTTCTCTTTTGTCATGGTCATGTATACCGAGTCACGGTGCAGAAATCTTCGGGATCTGGCACAGCTGACGGCGTATGACAGAAGTTCCGTGTGGATTTTGTGATCGATTTGCTCCGAAATTGTCATCTGGAGGTTGGTCAGCTGCTGGAGGGAAAAGTTCACACCCGCTATCGTACCATTGCTAAAATCGTCTGATCAATCAGTATATGACCAATTCCACGGGAGGACTTTCCGACTTACCTGCAGTTTCAGGAGAGTGTCGGGCGAGCGCTGCACGGCATCGCGAGAGCTTAATGCCATTCTTAATCGAGTAATCGCCTTCCTGCTCACATCAGACCCTGCCGAGGGCTGTGATCTGGCGGCCAGAATGTGAAAGCCGAAAGCCATCACTGAATCGATCAGTGGTCTCACTGCTAAGCCCTGAATTGATGGCGACTCCCTTGCCTGTTGGACATAATCGTCGAAATGTGATCTCGTCAAAAAGGTGGAAATGCTGCCATGGGTCAGTCTGATCGCAATGGATGATCCGGACCTACACGTACCCGAGGGGTTCTTCAAAACAAGCTGGTAAAGTCAGTCTCTGACAAGGTGATCCATACGGCGCGGACCGGACACTTACCAGATTTGCACTTTTCCATCAATGCTGTGTCGCTCCAATACCAGCGCGAATGGGAGTCATACTGCTCGCCGCCGAGACCAAATGACATCTGAGACTGAGCGTCGGAGAGCCGTCTGAAAATTGCCTCTACTTCGTCTTGCTGAGTCGGGCTCAGGTTACCGAGGCGCTGACGCTGTGGCGAGAAAATGGCCGTCAGAGAGAAGTCGACTCTTGGCCTATGATCTGGGCTCTCAGACCATTAGCAACCGCCTTTGGTTAGAGTAGCATGGATGGTACCTGGAAGATTCCCTACTGCAATCTACAGCGATTGGGTTAGCCCATCTGGTGTTCATACGGTCACTGGCGGTAGGTGCCACGAATGGCCTCCTGATCAAAGCTTACCTTTGGGCTAACTTCTTCCCACATCTTCTCATCATACATGTCCCTCGTGGGTCCAGCTGGAGACAGCGGCAAATTCAGCTCGAATTGTGAGATTGAAGGCAGGCTGGCTGATACATCGGTGGTGTGTTCGATTGGATACGGGATGTCCAGATTCGGTTCCGAATACGCGGTTTTCGGGGGTGACCAAGGTAGCGTTCCCAGCGCGTTCAGATTGCCCATGTCGACGGAGAACGGTGCTGCTAGACTGTCACTGCCAACCCACTCGATAGGCGAGGCCGAGAAATTGTCGTGAGCATACCCATCAAACATGACCGGCATGCTATGCCGGTCATTTGTGGCCAGCATCATATCTTGGAGAATATTGCCCGCATTTCCGGAACCACGGTTGGCTGTCAATTCGGGCAGTACCTGGACGTCACTCGGCGAGGGAACCTGTGTAGTGACGCCGGAGCCATTGTTTTCTGCGTACGACGGCACTATTGAAACGTCCTCTGCTGCTGACGCCACCGGAGGCTTGTTGGTCTGCTGCTTCTTCGAGAGCTGGTACTCGCACCGCAGATCATGCAACTGATAGGCGAGTTAGCCTGTGCTCGCCCGTTGAGGGAACCTTGCTCTCACGTTACAGTAACTACATGGCGTTCCACCATCGCCTGTGTCACACCCAGAATCAGCAAAACCAGATCGGCCACCGGGGTGGAGCTACGCACAGCGGACTTTCTTCGACTTGCACATATCACATGCACCTCTGCGCCGAGACATCCACTTCTTTTTCCGGACAGAAGAAGAGGTTTCAACTCGGTCTGCCTGCATCGTTGTACAAGATGTGGAGGACAAATGCTTCAGCAGTTCGTTGAATTGGTCCTTTGCGTTAAGTTCGGCGAACATTCTTGGAGGCATTCAATAAGCCCCCAACGGCGGCGCTTTTTTTATATTTTACGCTATCAGCTATGCCGTGCTGATAAAATGTGGCTACATGCATGACACCCCTGCAGCTACAAAACCTGGCGGTCCTAGTGCTTACTGAGTATCAGGATAATGGGGCCGGGCGGTTAGGCGGCATGTCCGAGCTCCCTAGTCTCCGTCTCTTTGGCCTGAACAGGCAATTGCCCCCTCTTCAGGAGTCAACTGAGACAGCCTGGTTTGCATTAGCTTCGCCACCGTGATATTCTGCAAGTTTACAGTCATCGGCTCTACTAAGCGGACCCTTCCCGGGGGGAACCGGGGGGTGGGTCTGCTTACTAGAGCCGATCTGCAGACGCAACGATTTCCATGAATGGCCGTAGACTTACTAATTCAAGTTCTACCAGACCTAATTCAAATTTTGCCAGGACTAATCCCAGTTTACCAGAAGGGATGGGAGTCAGAGAGAGTGATTAAACGAGTACTCTTGCATTCTAAACTATGGTTTGTCTTCGTGAGGGGGAGTACATAAGTTACCAATGGCACCAGAATTGCCTTGCCAGGACATTTTGATGATTTATTCAAGGCAGCCAACCGAGAAATCATCTTTTGAACAGCATCCAGGGCAAGTCAAAAACAACCCGATATACCATGACCATCAGCGGCATGCTCTTCTCGCCCGAATCCGGGAGCGGAGGTTGGAACGTCTGAACGACTGGCGTCAGAGTCGCCCCTGTCACGATTCCACCGCCCGGAATCACAATCTCACCCTTATAAACCACCGCATCAGACCCATGAACAGGCAGAGGCATGTCTGCATAGTCGACCCACGTATTTGTTGCGGCGTCGTAAGCCTGCATCTCAGGGAAAACGGCAGTGGGCGTCCGGCGGTCCCCTTCTCCGCCGGCCGTGAATATCAGAGAGCCGATAGTAGCAGAAGCGACTCCCCCACGCGCAATCGGCATGGGTTCAAATGCCGTCGCCCATTGCTGAGAGGTGAGGTTGAATCCAAACACCGTGGAGACTACGTTCTTGTTCCCGAACTCCCGTCCCCCCAAGATGTACAACATGTCCCGATAGATGCCCTTACCCGCGTGATCGCGCGGGGCCGGCAGGTCCGGTAGGGTCGTCCACTCTTGGGTTCTCACGTTGTATGATGAGAATCGGGAGACTGTTCCTTCCTGGTCGTAGGTGATGTTTGTGTAGGCGAGTCCACCGGGGAGGTAGATGGTGTCGTCAACGACCACAGTCGCTGCACTGCCGATTTCTCGTCCTTCGGGCATGCTAGGCAGCACGGTCCACTCGTCCGTGGCCGGATCATAGACTGCGGACTTGCCGGTTGCATTCCAGTACGTTTCGTCGACGGCTTCCAAGCCGCCAAGATAGTAGATTTTGCCATCGACGACGGCGACATTGGCATGATTCAGAGCGGCAGGCATGGGAGCCGTCTCGGTCCAAGTGCCGGTGATCATGTTGTATTTCTGCACGATATTGGTGGTGGCGTATTCCTTGCCATCCCACGGCAGGATGCCGCCAAGAACGAAGATTTCGTCGCCCACCAGGGCCGCAGCGTGCTCCTGGCGAGGGTATTCAACGCCATTGAGTGTGATGTTGGGCAGGGTTGACCATTTACCCGGAAGAGGCGTCTGGTTGGTGGGCAGAGCCTCACAGCCAGAAGCCAAGAGCAGGAGCCCTGTAACGACGGTCGAGATCATCTTGGTGGTATGATAGGAACCCAAGGAGCACCAATTGAGTAGCGTGTAGAATCCCACGGTGATGATTGTCAACAATGAGCGCACAGGGCCAGCGGCGTGATTGACGGTAGCCTGGAGAGAGCGATCCAGCAATGCCTTTGTGGTGTGGAGGTCGCTGAGGAATCGATGGAGCATCTGGCGGATTATCAGCTCGTATCCCGCTCGACCGAGAGGTTGAGCACACGTGAAAGATCGGACAGTAGTATCATCCGATATCGTTGGGGGCATGATTGTAGTGTGTCTGCTCCAAGTACCGGAAGTTGATGCGATCGCCGACACCGTGCAGGATATCAACATCTATAATCTGACAGCTCCACCGGGCGTGCCGATCCAGCTATAGCAGCAGACACATGGCCAGACCGGGGTGGGTCCATTGTCTCTGATAACCGGATAGCCGAAGTGATGCCGTGTTGACAAAGTACTTGTTGGATCCGAACCCCTGGCTGTCGAGGTTGCATCGATGGGCCTATCTCTTATGGCGATCGGTTTCTGCACGGAGCATAAGACGTCATTCGCCTCGCAACAGGATCAAAGTACCTATCTACGACATGGGGCTAGTGGCTCCTCGACCGATTTAATTCGTGCTCCGTAGAACTGAATGACCTGAGTGCCACCTGGCCTCCGAGTCTCCTCCGATCTGCCAGATAGAGGGTCCTATTCGATCTAGACACACCAGATAAGTCATGTCTCCAATTCTGGAGGTCTGCATTGCGTTGGCAGCTCTTTGTTCGACAGTCGCCTCGCGGTACATCACTCATGGTCCCGATTTCCAACCCGATCACATACTCCGGGTATCGGAGCAGGTGTTTCCTGTAGCTTGCGTGACGCGGCCTAGCACGTTAATCAATGGTTAGTTTAACCCTGGTTCATCATTGTTGCCCGGAGTGAAGCTCATGAATGGTCAACAGGAACATCACCAGGTCCAGCCCTCTACCTGAGGGAAGACCAAACCACCTGGGTGAGAGTATACAATGATCTGGAATCAAAGAATACTACTATAGTATGGACAAATCCTCTTAAGCTATAAGACAGAGTATGATCTGACGGGTTCCGACAGCATTGGCATGGTCTGAGTCAGTCCACTGCTCCGTTCTCCGATGGTTCACCCCAGGCAAGTCAATGGCCCATCAAGGTGAGTTCATTCAGAGACCAGAATGGGGGAGGAGAAATTACTGATCCAACACACAGCCGGGAGAATACTTCGACTATGAAATCAGGCCGAACGTTGGTGAGGCTGGAACACATTTCTACCATTCCCATGTCGGATTCCAAGCAGTATCTGCAGCCGGACCTCTCATTGTTGAAGAAAAGCACGGTAAATCGCCACCTTTCCCGTACGATGAAGAACGCATCCTTTTCATTTCCGAGCTGTACAACAAAACCGACTCGATGACGGAGACCGAGCTGCTCAGGCCCTATGATGTGGTCCGATGGTTAGTCACAACTTATACCGTCAACCCACGGCCGAACAGGGTTCAAACTGATCTCTAAATATTTTACTCACATATTCTCAGGACCGGCGACCCCTCGACGATACTGATGAACGGGAATAGCTTCCCTGGTATGAGTGCGAACGAGACCGACACGCCTGAGCCGTGGGTCATGCCTGATCCATCACTCGTGGAAAGCTGTGGGCCTGAAGTAATCCAAGTTGACCCCGACAAAACATATCGCATGCGAGTCATTGGTGGACCAGCTCTTAACCTCGTGACCATGGGGTTCGAAGACCACCAAGAGCTGTCGATCATGGCTGCGGATGGGAAATACACCAAGCTGGCGAAAACGGAACGCATCCAGATTGCCTCCGGCCAGCGCTTTGATTTCCTCCTCCACACGAAGACGGAGGACGAGCTCCGGCGTCTGGGGAAAAGTGCGTTTTGGATCCAGATGGAGTCCCGCTATCGACCGATGAACGTCTCTTCCTACGCGCTGCTCTCGTACAACACGCCCAGCGATCTTGCCTTCAACCAGACCACCGACTTGGTGCCTCCCGAGAAACAGCCCCTAACCCTGCCGAACAAGGTCTACGACTGGCTGGAGTATGTTCTGGAGCCCTTGGAACCCAACGGGTTCCCAACCGCCGATAAGGTGAACCGGACGGTGGTCCTGACATCGCTGCAGCTGATCGCGAAGGAGGGCGTGTATGCGGCGGTATCGAACCGCACGTGGACCGAAACCAATCAACACCGGAATAACACTCCATTCTGGAAACGGGAGCACCAGGCGGGCACCCCCTATCTGGTTGACATCTTCCGGCGCGGGGACGAAGCCATACCGGATTACGAGACCACGGTGCAGAAGCACGGCGGGTGGGATCCCGATCTCAACGTGTATGTAGCCAAGGTCGGCGAGGTCATCGATATTATCATGGTCAACCAGCCGAATGGTCTGGACATCGGCTTCGACCTTCACCCATGGCATATACACGGCGGCCACATCTATGATCTGGGCAGCGGGCCTGGCTCGTACAATGCGACAGCGAACGAGGAGAAGTTGAAGGGGTACAACCCTGTGATAAGAGATACGACCATGCTGTACAAATACACCCCGGGCCAGTATGTGGGTGAGAATAAGAATTTCACGGATCAAGGATGGCGGGCGTGGCGATTACATGTTCAGGACCCCGGGTAAGTCTCCTTCCACCCACGTTTGTGGAAAATCTTTGTGTGCTAATACCATGTTTTTGCTTCAGAGTGTGGATGGTACACTGCCACACACTTCAGCATATGATTATGGGAATGCAGACTGTGTGGATGATGGGCAATGCATCCGAGATCACGCGTGGAGTATCGCCGGAGTCTTTGGAAGGCTATCTGAATTACGGAGGTGATGCTTATGGCAATGCTAGCTACGATCCCATTGTGCAACATCATTTTGATTATGGGTTGCAACAAATCCTTCAATGAAGGGAGGGGGTGTCAACTGGATTGGAAGAACACTAGATGTTACCTGAGGGTTATCAACCCAGCGAGAAGATAATGTAATCTATGCAGTAATTCCGGAAGTTGAAGAGTACTTTGGATTATGAACCTCGGTGGTTTCCTTTATCATTCGACAGGGTCAACTCTTGACTCCATATTGCTCCATAGCGACGCCTGAACAGAAATGGGGTAATTGTGTATAACGGGCCCTCAAGCTCCAGGCGCTGCTCCCTATAAGGGTGGTGGTACTGTTTCCAGTCTCCGGCCGGAGTCGAATTCTAGTCCGTGCTTACGCAGATCTGGTCTTAGCTTCCTCCGACTTTAGTAGAGTATGGATTGCGTGTCTCTCTAAGCTAGATACCCTCTCGGAAACTCGGAAAGCCAAAAATGGGCCGGACATGCAGGGGTACCGATATCAAAACTGACATGCGATACGTCGGAATCAAGCATGCAGGAGTCATTGTCGGCCGCGTCTCCTAGCCGGCATATAGAGGGCTCAATGACTTTCAGTATGAGTAACGGCTTGCTTCTACTGACTACTTCTCGGCGAGTCCACAAGTGCAACCAGGATCTTCGGCGCTGCTCCCACATGGGCTGTACCGAGGAGCCGCCCCCAGGCATGCTCCAGCATCTTACAACACCGTATCTACCGGCTAAGTCCGGAGAACATGCCACCCAACGGAACGATCGGTAGGCGTAGACCTGTCTGCTCACTAGCAGCTGTACCCGGCATGTAGGTTTAGTTTTAGCTAGGGCAAAACAATGCCAAGATCAGTGGTCAGCCAAATATGAATGCAACGAGTTGAACGTAATCAGCGCCAGCCTGTCTTCTCCCATCTTCCCATCAGTCTACCACAAGATATCGCGACATTCCCTTTTGAGTAGCATCCAAACCACGACGCAATGAGTTCGAAATTCGACGTTGTCATCTGCGGCAGCGGAACCGCTGGTTTAGCCGCCGCGACATGGCTGGCACAATACGGAGTTGACTGCAAGATCTTGGAGTCTCGGTCAGGCCCGCTGGATGTTGGGCAAGCCGATGGCATCCAAGTCCGATCTGTGGAAATTTTCGAAAGCTTCGGCATGGCCGAGGAGCTGCTCCGAGAAGCCTACCACAACATTGAAGTGGCGTTCTGGGGCTCCAACCCTACCAGCAGTGGCATGGGCATCGTGCGCAAACGAAGCGCGCACGCCACGACCCCGGGCCTGTCGCATATGCCTCGTGTTATCTTAAACCAAGCACGGTTCAATGAGATGTGGCTGGAAGCCATGAGGCGCCGGAACGGGCAGGAAGTTGACTACGGACATAAAGTGACGAAAGTCACAGTTGATGAAGAGAAGGCCACGGATCCAGACGCTTACCCGGTGACCATTGTGGCTCAGAAAGATGGTCAAGAGCAGGTGTTCGAAGCCAAGTATTGCTTGGTACATTGTGATTTATCCTACTGTTAAGAACACTCTAGCTAACAATCTGCAGGCAAGCGATGGCGCTCATAGTGCTGTCCGAAAGTCATTGGGCTTCAACATGGTCGGAGAAACGTCCGACTCGGTTTGGGGCGTGATGGATGTCTTTCCACGAACCAACTTCCCCGACATCCGGAAGCAATGTATAATCCAATCGGACGCCGGCAGCATCATCACCATCCCCCGCGAAGGCGGCTCAATGGTACGAGTCTATGTCGAACTTGCGGCAGGGACCAATGCAAAAGAGGTCACGCTTGAGCAGATACAGAATGCTTCGCGTCAGGTGTTTCATCCATACGCGCTCGACGTGGCCGATGTCTGGTGGTGGTCCGCCTATCCTATCGGGCAGCGTATCGCGGACCATTTCTCCAAAGCCAACCGCGTCTTCTTGACGGGGGATGCGTGCCACACGCATTCTCCGAAGGCAGGCCAAGGCATGAACGTCAGCCTGCAGGACGGGTACAACATCGGCTGGAAATTAGCCTCCGTCCTCAAAGGCCATGCGGGACCCGAACTGCTCGAGACTTATGTCCTGGAACGGCAGAAGGTGGCAGACGTGCTGATTAACTGGGACAAAGTCTGGGCGAAACAGATGTGCTCGATCGCCAAGGAGGACGGTGGGGTCGTCGACGCCAACGGGAAGATTGACTTCAGCGAGGTCTTTGTGAAGGCCGAGGCTTTTACGGCCGGGCTGACGGTCACCTACGGCGATTCGATCATTACTCAGGCTGGAGACAGTAATCAGCAAGCGGCCACCAATCTCAAAGTGGGGATGCGACTTCCGGCTGCCCAGGTGGTTCGATTCTGCGATGCAAAGGTAATGAAGACAGTGAATGCTCTGCCTTCTGATGGGCGGTGGAGGATCATGATCTTTCCAGGAGACATTCGACAGCCGTCGGCCTCTACAAGGCTAGCTCAGGTGAGTCATGCTTCGACCGAAAAGCACATGGATCCTAATACGCAGCGCAGCTTGGAACATACCTGTTCTCCAATCATGGTCCGATACGGAAATACCTCCCTCCCGGCGCAGACATTGACAGCTTGATCGAGGTCATTGTGATTCTCTCTGGTGAGAGACTTGAGATACAACAAGACCAGATACCAGATGCGTTTTGGCCTACAACCGGCAAATACAGGATGAGAGGTACGGATGGCATTTATGTCACAATGGCTTAGCTTGCTAATGAGGGAACTAGATCTGCACAAAATCTACATTGATGATGAAACTTATCACAACGGCCACGGTCATGCATACGACTTTTACGGGATCGATCCTGAACGGGGAGCAGTCGCCATTGTCCGCCCAGATCAATGTAAGTATCCTTGGCTTAGTCTCTTCTTTCAAACTCAATACTGACCCGTGCGCGGCAGATATTTCCAAGGTGCTCGATATGAAAAATCACGAAGGGATTAGTGCCTTCTTCGAGAAATTCCTGCAGAAAAAGGGACAGGCGAACGGCTCGTTGAATAGTCACGACGAATGGACCCTTGCGTGAGCATGTGGAAGATTAGTGGAAGATTACGCGAGCGGATCAGTCTATTGATATCCGAGTGGCTACATAAATGAACATGTGAATAGTTACGTCGATGGGTGCAGAAGGATATTAAACCCTGAATGTATCTATTCTCTCGTCGTATGTTAGAAAATGACGTCATACACCAAGGCCTTGTCTTATCTTCCATATGAGGTTGCTCCCTCCCGTACTTGCTGGCAGTATTGATGTCCATAATCTGTGACTCGAGGCCCAGAAAAGCCTGAAAACGCTCTCGGAGCCTAGTAGATACAGCTGACGTGTGCATATCCGTGGGGGTACTAATTTGTGACACGCGACGCAGAAGGCTAGTCGAAATAAGCTAGTAGTGGGGGCTGGATTCGGAGACTCCGTGTCGGAACTTGCCGCTAAACTTTCCGGACCGCCCCTTCCGGCCCGGCCGGCTAGAGGCGCGCCAAGTGGAGAAGCCGGGCAGGGGCCATATAGTAGGCTGGTCTAATAGTACAGTGTCTAGGGAGTACACCGTCTAGGCTACTGCCCCATGCCGACTGCTTTCCTTCATCCGGTCCGTAGCACTAAGGATGTCCGTTTGTACGGACTTCTTGCTTTTAGCCGCTCTCGTCGACATAACTCAAGACCATGCCGTTCAAAGTGGAGTAAAGCTAGCCGGGGTGGCGTGCATTCCCGAGTCCGTATTGCCGAAGAGGTCAATGGAAATCCGGCCTCCGAAATTTTGTCCAGAATATTGCATATGCGAATACTACCGAGTGTCATGGAATGCCTCATGTCCGTGACACCACCCAACAGTTGCAGAACGGCATGTATGATGCTTCGAGGTTGGCTGAAGGCTTCGCGATTAGATCGGAGAGCTAGGTTCACGAATGGCATAAATCGAAGCTGCAGACCTTGGTGATCTCAAGTAGAGCAATCAGTTGGTCTGACGCTGTACGTACCAATCATCTCCTCCCATATCAACCTGCCACTTGCCATGCATGTAAGTCACTTTCCCCCTTTCACACATAGACAGTAATGGACTTGTATCAAGGTCATCGTCGTTGGAGCCGGTCCTTGTGGCTTTTCCTTGAGCCTAGTCCTGGCCCGGGCTGGCATACATGTGACACTGCTTGACAAAGCGGACGGCGTAGGTTCTCAGCCACGGGCTGCACACATCTTTGCTCCTGGCATACAAATGCTCCGGCGTGCTGGAGTCTTGGAAGACGTTCGGCGTGCTGGCTTCGTTCCCAAGAATTGGTCGTTTCGCAAGGCTGATGGCACACCGATCGTGACAATCGAGGACTTCGCACCGTCGAAGAGTCCAGATGCTACGACCGTACTGCCCATAGACACTCTGGGAAAGATCCTATGGTGTCATGCGCTGAAAAATGACCACATCTCGGTGAGATGGGGATGTCATGTTGTGGACGTTGGGCAAGACAAAGACTCTGCATGGGTATCAGTCCGCGAGAATGGTGGAACCGAGAAGATCATCAAAGCAGACTTTGTGTGTGGCTGTGATGGAGCAGCGAGCCAAGTACGCAAGTCGCTGTTTGGCGGGGAATTCCGTGGGAAGACCTGGACCGACCAGATGGTTGCAACCAACGTAGGTGGAGAGACTTGAGACGTCGAATTCTTTGCTAAGCGCATACAGGTCTACTATCCATTCGACGAATGGGGCTACGATGATCTTAACACCTTAATTGATCCCGATGACTGGCATATCGTTGCTCGCCTGACGAAGGATGGACTCTGGCGTGTCTCATACCGACAAGACGGTAGCAAAAGTTTGCGTGAAGTGCTTGATGAGCACCCTGCCCGCTTCGAGCACTTGCTCCCCGGCCACCCCAAGCCTGATGATTATACGATTCTCAACATCAGTCCGTATCGACTACATCAGCGATCTGCGGAGAAATATCGAGTGGGCCGTATCTGTCTGGCAGCCGATGCTGCACACCTGTGCAATCCGTGGGGTGGCTTAGGCCTGACAGGAGGCTTTGCAGATGCCATAGGCCTATCCGAGTGCCTCATAGGTATTCATATGGGTCGGGCTGATCACAGCATTTTGGACAAGTACGACGAGGTGCGTAGAGCCATTTACTGGAATTTCACAGACCCGATCTCAACGAGCAACTTCATGCGAGTCTCGACTTCGGACCCGGAAACGATCCTCGAGAAGGATCCGGTTATGGCTACTTTTGCTCGTATGCATGAAGATTCTAAGATTCGGGAGGATTTTGACAGGGTATGTTCACATCCAAATATATTTGTTGACTTGGCCTCACTCTCGCAGCACATTTACGGGATCCTTCATGACTTTACTCAATACTACAGTACTGGCAAGGGACAAGCATCACTCTGAAAGGGGCTATATAAAACCCGTTGGTTTGGCGGTTATGTATCTAGAAATCTAGATTCTTCTAACCTCGCTGTCTTCCTGGGCTTTACGGTCGTAAATAATAAGCCATTGCTGTGGGACAAAGACCTCATTGATAGAGGGATGGCTTTTCTTTCAAGAGTGACCTATAGAGTGATGCGACCATCCATGCATGACACTGTGCCAGATATTTCCGGAGACTTACGTACATTGATCGCAACACTGGGGCGGATATATGAGACTAACGCCCCTATAAGTGAAGTCATGAAATACCGCTTCAACATGTAATGAATGCTTAATGTCATTTTTGAAACAGTAGACAAATTTGACAAGAATGTTCCAATCTCAGTCGTTCCCGGTCCTAAAAGCACAATTCAAAAGACTCTTCACTTCCTGATGCCCAATTCCACCAATAGGTTCAAAGTGATGTGAGATCGCCATCCGAGAATCCTTCTTCCAAGCCACACGACATGTAGCGGCGGCCATGGGCTTTGTCGACCGTATACCAAGACCGAGCTGACTCCGGTGCATGAGTCGATCGCCGCTAGGACGGGAATGCGCCAAAGATATAGTCAAGGCGTCTATGAGGTGGCGCTCATTGAGATAGTAATACCCGCTCCTCTTCAAATTCTGCACGAGAGCTCCGCTCTGCACGGCCATACCAATGCTTCCCATGAAACCAATATCGACGACTGAGGCTGGAAGATTCTGGCCATGACGATAGTTGACGAATGCGTCTAAGAACGAGTTTGCCGCGTTGTAGTTTCCCTGTCCCCACTGGCCTGTGATGCCGCAGATCGAGGAGAAAAGCAAGAAAAAGTCCAGGTCAGCCGAAAGGGTAGCGTGATGCAGGTTCCAGGTGCCTTGAACCTTTGGCTGCACACACGTTTGCCACTCATCGAATGTCATATGTGACATCAAGTTATCCTTCAATACCCGTTAGCAAAGGTTCAGGATCAAAGGCAAATATACGTACCCGCATAACAGCCGACATCTGAATAACGCCAGCGACTGGAGCCGTCGCTTGCTTGATAGCTTCTTCAACATCTGGCAGATTTGTGACACTGCCCACAAATGGTGTGACCGTACATCCTTGGGCACGAAGTCGGTCAAAAAATGGCGTAGTCTCAGGCCCTTCCTTCGCAGAGCGAGAAAAGAAAATGATGTGCCGAGCCCCATTCTCTACCATCCAGGCCGAGATCATCCGACCGAGCCCCCCCAGTCCTCCGACTAGCAGGTAGCAGCAATCTGGTCGGAACCGGACCGTAGCGGCCATGTGGCAGCTTTGAGGACCAGAATCTTGTTCAGCACGGAGGGAAGCTAGATGAGCATACTCTGCTTCAGCCGTCGTCCATTGGAGCCTCGGGGTCTTGATCACTCCGTCAACAATCGCGTATTCGTAGTCAGGGTCGAGGTCTTTTGACTTGCCGCGACGGCTGAGGCCTTCGTATATTTGGAGGAGCGACTTGCTCAGGCTGACATTCATCGTGCGCTTCGGATCCAGTTCCACCGTGGTAATGTCCTTTTTGAATTCAGATCTCATTGTTCTCATCAGGCCGAGTATCAGTGAGGAGTTCGGATTCTTGCAGTAGATCTGCGCACTTGGGGTAACCCAGATCATTTTGCCTTTCATGCCTGAGACAAGCTTAACAAATTTCGACAGTTCAGCTTCTGTGATGTTGTACACATATGGCTCGTCAAAGTCGACAAACACCATGATGTCTCGGCCAGGCGGTATGTCATCATCCATCGTGCTTTTGACGCACTTGATGTTATGGTCCCCGAAGGTCTTCTCAACTTCGCGAATGAGAGGGAGATGATATGTCGGACCGACCACTGTGATTTCCGAAGAAGTTTCGGGCACAGGTTGTTTCAGTCTAGCAAAAACTTTGGGTGCTGAGGTCAATTTATTATCCGGATCTTCAAATACGAAACCATTCTTTGTCAGTGCCGCAGACACATCTTCAAAGGAAGACTTGGTTTTAGACCCCGTTGACGCCTCTGGAGACTCTTTGGTCAAGTAGTCCTAGAGATCATAATCAGCACTATATATCTTGTGTCATGTCCCACATACCTTCAGTACCAGTAACCATTCCGGCTCTGGAACGCCCTCTAGCAGTAGGACATGCCCTTGAGGACGAATCAGTCGTTTGAGGCTTTTTGCGCCAAGCGCTGCATTGCTCCCCAATGCCGCAACCTGGATATCGGTTAACGGAAGCCGTTTTGAGGTTTCGCCGCTCTTACATCTGTGATGATTATGAGATCATAGGATCCCGCCTTCAATCCTTGCTCTTCAATGCTTTTCTCGGCGTCAAAAACCAGCGGCTGAACATGGCCGTTTGTCCTGGAACTCTCCTTTGGGCCGGTCGTAGCGTCCAGTGACGCCGAAGCTGACAGGTAAGAGGAATACAATTGCTCATCAAATTGTGTTCGTAGAGCTTTAAGCACGAGATTTGAGCTGTCTTTCCTGCCGCTTCCGAGTTCGAGGACGTTCATCTTCGGGTTCTTATAAGCTAGGAGCCGAAGTGACTCGCATAGCGTCCCACTGTTGCGAATGAGTGGATGCAATTGATCAAGTAGCAGCTGTCTCTCTCTGTTGCTCCCCGAGAACGGCGTATTTTCTGTGAGACACCTCTCCAATGCATGACCAAGGGAGGAGAGTTCCGTGCCGCTGATTTGAGCCTTGAGCAATTTAATCAGCTCTGCGCGGCCGCTGGGCCCGCACCCAACAAAAGGAGACACATCGGGTACTAGACCGAATCTTCCCTTTCTCTTGGTGCCAATCTTCTTCAGAATTTTCTTCGAGTACGGTTGGCTTTGTGCGCCAATATCCTCTGACCGCAGCGCATAGAGTAGAGCTAAGCGCTCGAGGGCAACAGTCGAGTCTAGATCTGACTGAAAGGGTGCCAAAGATTGATTCAAGTTGTGGAAGGTGGAATCAGTGGCCCAGTTGATGAAAGAAAACAGCTTGCCGTCTGATTGCCGTTCCAGGTCGGGGATTGGAGTGATGTTGCACTGTCCACTCAGGATCGGGAGACCATTTTCATTCACAGCAGAAAAGTTGCACGTCAAATTCTGAAGACGGCCTGGGGTCACCACGCTGTTGACTCTGAGCTTGCTCCACGCGTTGTTGGAAACGACAAGGTGCTGGATCGATGTGACAACAGACAGATCGGCCAAGAGCCGACCTTGGCCCTTGCAAGCTGCGACCATCGAGAGTTGCAAACAGTGGTCGATGAAGACTGGATGAGCGACAGAATCCGTTGTGTCGAGCGCGGGCAGAATCGTGGCACTCGCTTTGTTCTCCGTGAAGTCGACTGAGATATCGTTGAGGCCTCGCTGTGAGGCGCCATACTCGATGCCGCGATCTGCGACCATGTCATACCAGTAGTCTGGACTGACTGGCCAGTTGGAATCTCCGTGTCGAGTAAGATCTGGCAATATTTGTGTGTCGAGAACCTCCCTTGCTACCAGACCGGTACACAGCGCGGTCGATTGGCCTCCATTACGGGAAGCTATCTCGATCTCATACCACTGTCGATTTTCCTCGTCCAGGCGCTGTGGTCGAAGCGTCGTGTGAAGTTCAAGCTTGTCGTCTGGATCGAAAACGAGGGAAGAGCCAATGGAGAGATCCTTCGTAGAGAAGAACTCCAACTTCGAGTCTGACAACTGTCGCATACATTCGCCCGCGATTGCCACGTATCCAGCAACCGGAAACGTCCTGCGGCCGAATAGTATCTGGTCATAGAGCCATGGATCCTCCTCCGAGTTGAGGACGCTCGTCCATGATAGCTCATTGTCATTGCTTTGAGGGGCCCTTGAACCCAGAAGCCTCTGACTCGGCCATTGCTCCGCTTGATGCATGTCCACTTTCATGATCCTCTCTCTGATATTGTCGATATCATCGCTGAATGCTGTGTCTGGTATGTGCGCTCACTTAAAGACTGAACTGCCGCGTAAGGCCTTCTCAACGTTCCTACTTACCCCTGCTTGTCAGGTTCTACTCAGTCTCCCGTCCCGGTTAACATCAACCGAAGCGGCATACATCCCTGTAAGACAAACATTAGCAGGGCTTCAATGACAGTTCTTCAGGCAACCCGAGTTTCCGTCTCTTATCGGACTTTCGGATTTCCGACAAGCAGTACTTTTCCCTTGTTTTATTCGGTAGTAGGCTAGCCGAGATGCAAAATGCCTTATCGCAACCGCCGTAATGCCGACTCCAGAATGTTCCATAATCCATTTACCGGCTATCGGATTTTCTAGGCTCATATCAGCATGGACAGAGTCCGAGCGGCATGTGGCTAAGGATGATTTCCGGGCCTAGTCGGACAGCTGCTAGGCTATGCTCCCTGTCGGATAGGCTCCATATGGGATCCACCGCAGATTACGAGTTCTCTACGATCCGAAGTATTACCTAGAGGGCGTTTCGTTTCAGTGTGCAGGATGTGAGAAACGCCACTGGCCATAGCCCCTTAGGGTCAGCAGCGCAAAGACACATGATGTGTGTGGTGAACTACATTGATACGTATTTATATCGGACGGATGCGTCAGAGTTTCAGTTCTGGACTGTCAAGTTTCCCTCCAAGAGAGATCCAGACAATTAAAATCAATCCGATTGTTTCTCTCTTGATCATTTAACAAACTTCTCATCACAGCACCATGGCTGGATCATTGAAGCTGTATGTATTTGGGGATGAGGCCGGGGACTTCGCAGGGCCACTCCAAAAGCTGTGTGAGCAAAGGAAGGAAGTTCTTTTCCTACACTTCCTAGACGAACTCAACAAGGTCCTGAGAGATGAGGTGCGCCGACAACCTCGTGACGTGCGCGTGCAGATTCCAGAGTTCACAGATGTGCTGGATCTTGTCCGACACTACCGTGACTCAGGATCCCGTAACCAAATCCTCGAGACTACTCTGACTTGTGTGTGCCAACTGGCAGCTGTCATCAGGTATCTGCATTGGTACAGCCTCTATGGTCATAGCTGACTGGGTATTTAGCTTTTTCGGCAACAAAACCTCTCAGTCCTTTGCCTCCTCTGACAGTGTCTTCGCTGGATTCTGTACTGGGTTGTTGTCAGCCTCGGCTGTCGCTACCAGTCAAGACACGTTAGAGTTGATCTCTAACGCTTTGACAACCGTCAGAGTGGCTTTCCGGATTGGCGTCAAGGTCCATGGAGCTGCCCAACGATTGTCGAAGCATGGCGATGCTGCTGTCGCCCAGAGCTGGACAACACTCATAATAGGGGCCCAGAAAGAGGCCTCGATAGCGGCGCTGGCAGAATTCAACGAATCGAAGGGAATTCCACATGCCAATCAGGCCTACATCAGTGCGAACAGCAAAGATGTGGTTTCGATTAGTGGACCCCCGGAAACTGTCACCTCTCTACTCCAGCATTCAGAATACCTTCAGAAGTTCAGGACAATTTCGCTTGACATATTTGCACCTTTCCATGCACCACACTTGTACAATGATGATGATGTTGCGGAAGTCTTGCAGCCATTCTCTGGCAAGAACGAGAAGAGGAAGTTGTTCATCCCCGTCATCTCAGGCCTCGGCACTCTATACTCTCCAGATATGGATGTTGAGACCCTTATGGCAGATGTCGTGAGAGACATCCTGATCCGACCGCTCTTGTTTGAGAATGTCATGAAGACAGTCACAGAAACGACGACAGCATCGTCCCACCAGAATTGCCAAATCTTCTCCGTTGGGCCGTCTCAGGCGATCAACAGTCTTGCATCAACTCTGCGAGCAGATACCTCTTTGAATGTGACAACAGAAGGACCAATTCACACGGGAAGCCCCGACTACGAGCCTTTGAACGGAGCTCAGAAGATTGCGATCGTTGGAATGGCAGGCCGCTTCCCCAACTCCGACGATCTCGAAAGCTTCTGGAGTACATTACAGCAAGGATTGGACCTCCATCGACGGGTTCCTCCGGACCGTTTCGACATCGATGCACACTACGATCCCACTGGGAAGAAACTCAATTCGACGCATACTCCGTATGGATGCTTTATTGAAAAGCCAGGTCTATTCGACCCACGTTTCTTCAATATGTCCCAACGGGAAGCCTATCAAACCGACCCTATGGGAAGACTCGCACTGGTGACAGCATATGAAGCTCTCGAAATGTCAGGTTTCGTACCTAACAGGACACCTTCTTCCATGTTGGATCGGATTGGGACATTTTATGGACAAACAAGTGACGATTGGCGGACACTCAACGCTGCAGAGAAGATTGACATGTACTACATCCCGGGAACGATTCGAGCTTTTGCTACTGGTCGAATCAACTATCATTTCAAATTCAAGGGACCGAGTTACAACGTTGACACAGCATGTTCGTCCAGCTTTGCTGCGATCCAACTGGCTTGTACGTCCTTATTGGCAAAGGAATGCGACACTGCTCTGGCTGGCGGACTCAATGTCATGACAACACCAGATCTGTTTGCGGGTTTGAGTCGCGCACACTTTTTGTCCAAAACCGGATCTTGCAAAACTTTTGACGATGGCGCTGATGGTTTCTGTCGTGGCGACGGAGTTGGTACAGTCGTTTTAAAGAGGCTGGAAGATGCCGAGGCTGATAACGATCCAATTTTGGCTGTTGTTCTAGGCACAGCAACGAATCATTCCTCTGAGGCTGTCTCAATCACCCGACCGCATGGGCCAGCCCAGGAAGCTCTCTACAGAAAGATTTTGAAGCATACTGGTGTGGATCCTGTCGATGTTAGTTACGTGGAGATGCACGGCACAGGAACGCAGGCCGGTGATGGAACTGAAATGAAGTCTATCACCAATGTTTTTGCTCCACGAGACAAAGGTCGCCGCCAACCAGATCAACTGATCCATCTCGGTGCGCTGAAGGCAAACATTGGTCATGGTGAAGCTTCTGCCGGCGTGGCATCTCTGATCAAAACGGTCATTATGATGCAAAAGAATGCTATCCCTCCCCATGTTGGCATCAAGACCACCATGAACAAAACGTTCCCTCATGACCTGAACGAACGAGGTGTTCGAATTGCTTTCAAGGAAACCCCCTGGGTTCGTCCTGATGGAGGCAAAAGGCGTGCCTATTTGAACAACTTCGGCGCTTCAGGTGGGAATACTGGTCTCCTTCTGGAGGATCGTCCGGCTCCTGTATCAACAAGGGCCAGCGATCCCAGAACCAGTTTTGTGGTTTCGCTAAGTGCCAAATCAGCTTATTCTCTGGACCAGAATATCAACCGACTCGCAACTTATCTTGAAGGAAACCCGGACACATCTTTGCCAGCGCTGTCATATACAACCACTGCCAGACGAGTGCACTATCCACACCGTGTCTCTTACGCGGTGAGAAGTATCCCAGAAACAATCAAGTCGTTGCGATCAGCCCAGTCGAAGGCGATCAAGCCTGATCCGGCAAGCTCTGGCAAAATCGCTTTTCTGTTCACGGGGCAAGGCTCGCATTACACAGCTCTCGGAAAACAGCTTTTTGAGGACTGCCAAACCTTCCGAAATGACCTGGTGGAATTCAACAGAATTGGTCAGAAGCAGGGCTTCCCAACTTTCTTACCTCTCATTGACGGCTCTGAGGACGTCGCATCACTCTCGCCAGTTGCACTCCAACTGGGACAATCATGCATTCAGATCGCACTTGCGCGGCTTTGGAAGTCTTGGGGCATCACTCCCAGCAGCGTTCTTGGACACAGTCTCGGAGAGTATGCTGCACTGAATGTAGCTGGTGTCTTATCAGCCAGTGACACAATTTACCTGGTTGGACGAAGAGCTCAGCTTCTCGAAGAGCTCTGCACCCCAGGCAGTCACAAGATGCTAGCCATCGCGGCATCTGTGAGCTCTGTTAAAGAGATCCTCGGTGATAAGGACATTGAAGTTGCTTGCATCAATGGCCCCAATGAGACTGTCATCAGCGGTCTGGCAGAGCAAATGGAGTCTTACTCGAAAACACTCAAGGCCACCGACGTCAAGTGCTCCTTGCTGTCGACAGCTTATGCCTTCCATTCGGCACAGATCCAGGTCATCGTTGAGCAGTACAGAAAAGTGGCAAGCTCAGTCCATTTCGGACCTCCAAATGTCCCCGTTATCTCTCCTCTACTTGGGGACGTTGTCACTGACGGCAATGTCTTTGGACCGGATTACCTGTGCCGCCAAGCTCGGGAAGCTGTGAACTTCATGGGTGCCCTAAAAGCTGCCGAGTCCAAAGGAGTTGTTGATAACAATGTGATCTGGCTTGAAATCGGTCCCGCACCTGTCTGCTCTGCTTTCGTCAAGTCATCTCTCGGGAGCAAGGCATTGACTTTGCCGTCGCTCCGCAAGCAAGAAGATGTATGGAAGACATTGTCCGGCACGCTGAGCAACCTTTACTCCAAGGGACTTACCATCGAATGGGAAGAAGTCCATCGTGAGTATGAAGCCTCTCACACCGTGCTAGCTCTTCCGAGCTACTGCTTCGAAGAGAAGAACTATTGGCTCGACTACCACAACAATTGGTGCCTGACGAAAGGTCAAAAGCTTGTCGAGTCAGCCGCTCCAAAGCGTCGGGGCCGCCATCTGTTAACACCATCCGTACAGAAGGTGATCAAGGAAGACTTTGGACAAACAAAGATTACTGTTGTTGCCGAATCAGATCTGTCTGATCCTGATCTCAATCACGCAGTGACCGGTCATTTGGTGAATGGATCAGCTCTTTGCCCAGCGGGTGTTTACGCTGAGTCGGCGTTGACTTTGGCGGGCTACATTTACCATAGGGTCAAGAAGACAGAAGATATCGGCATGGATGTGCGTGCTCTGGAAATTGTGAAACCCTTAATCGCCAAAGGTCGCGATCAAAAGGAGAAGCAAGTCTTCAGAATAACTGCCACGGCCGACCAACCACTGAAGCTCGTGAAGATCAGTTACAACAGCGTCTCTGCTGACGGCAGCCTGGGGGTGTTGCATGCAACCTGTCATGTTGAGTACGGAGACATCAAAACCTGGCGTGCAGAATGGTCGAGATTGGCATATCTGGTCCGATCGCGCATCGACGTTATGAATGATGGTGTCAAAGGTCGCCAATATCAGAAACTCGACCGCAAGGCAGCGTACGAAGGTTTCTCGGGCTTCGTTGAATACGACAAACAATACCATGGGATGAAGGAGGTCATCATGGATCAGAAGAACCTCGAAGCTACCTCAATATTGGAATTCCAACCGTCCAATGACTATGGAGAATTCGAGATAGATCCTCGCTTCATCGACAACATCTCCCATCTTTCAGGATTTATTCTGAACGGATCCGGCGCTACAGACACCAGGAAGCAAGTTTTCGTATCTCACGGATGGGATCATCTTCAAATTGCTGAACCCCTATCAAGCAGCAAGTCATACAGCAATTATGTCAAGATGCACGAGATCGAGAAAGCAACCATGGCGGGCGATGTCTATATCTTTGACGGAGAAGAGATGGTTGCGCTCGTGGGAGGTGTGAAGTTCAAGGCGATCCCCCGAGCTGTCATCAATCAACTCTTACCTCCTGTCAAGGGCTCGAAAGCACTCGAAAAGTCTGCGCCTCGACAGAACCCGAAGGCGACTGCAACCAAAACCACACAAAAGCCACAAGCTCCTGTTCCTGTGCCTCAGAAGCAGAATAAAGCAATCATTGATGATTTCCTGGCTTTGTTATGCGAGGAGTTGGGCGTGGAGCTGTCGGAACTCCAAGATGACACGGCCTTTGCTGATATTGGCCTGGACTCACTCATGTCGCTCTCAATCACAGGACGTATGCGCGAGGAACTTGACTTGGAAGCTATCCCGTCTTCGGTATTCACGGATTACCCTACAGTCGGCCAGGTGAAAGAATTGATCCTGAAGCTGGCGGGCTCTTCTTCGGATGAAAATACGACAGATACCCCAGATGAAGAAGAAGACCCGGCTACGGCAGATGCAGATAACACTGAGATGATCAGAGAGAATCCTCTCGAATCCGTGTCTCCGAATGTATCTTCCAGCGAAGCTATGGATGGGTTCCTAGCAATCGTCTGTGAAGAGGTAGGTGTAGACCTGGAGGAGCTGCTTGAGGTGCAGAACTTTGCTGGGGCTGGTGTTGACTCTTTGATGTCACTTACCATCACTGGGCGAGCTCGCGAGGATTTGGACATGGACATTCCGTCCTCGTTCTTCGTGGACTATCCTACTGTCGACCAGGCAAGGTTGGCCATTGCATCTCTTATGGGTGGTGGCGATCAGACCGGAGCCACTACACCATACAGCGGCAGCGATGATGCGAAATCATCAACGAGCTCTTTGACTGCAGGCTCGGTGCTCACGCCTGACGACGACATGGACGCGCAAGACATCAGCCAGTTGACCCGACCTGCAACCTCGATCGTACTGCAGGGCAGTCTTAAGACTGCCTCCAAGACTCTATTCCTTCTACCTGACGGATCAGGTTCGGCAACCTCATACGCGGCTCTTCCCAGAGTTTCACCTGATACATGTGTGGTCGCTCTCAATTGCCCCTTCATGAAAACGCCTTCCGAGTATACGACCGGAATCGAAGGTGTTGCTGCACTGTACCTTTCTGAGATCAGGAGAAGGCAACCTGAAGGTCCGTATGTTCTCGGAGGATGGTCTGCTGGCGGTATTTTGGCGTATGCGGTGGCATGCCAACTGATCGAAATGGGAGAAGAGATTGAGGATCTCTTCTTGATCGACTCGCCATGCCCAATCAATCTGCAGCCACTACCATCGGAGCTGCTACATTTCATCGACTCCCTGGGACTGCTAGGGGCCCAAGGGTCAGCACCTAAATGGTTGATCCCGCATTTCGAGGCGTCAATCAAGAACCTCACCGCGTTCGTACCGCATGCCATGGACCCGGACGAAGCACCACGAACACACATCATCTGGGCCCGCGACGGACTCGTCTCGGAGTCGGATGAGAAGCAATTTCCGCGATCTGATGCCGAGGCGAAGAGTGTCAAGTTCTTGCTTGATGGTAGACAGAACCTCGGGACCTACGGATGGGAGAAGTTGATAGGCTCGGAAAACATCAGCGTGGATTTCATTGAGGGCAATCATTTCACAATGATGCGTGAGCCAAAGGTAAGTCCCCCGTATCTATCCCTTACACCCAGGCAGATACTAACACTCCAGAGCAGGTGAATCAATTGCCAAGTATTCTAGATCGCTTGATCGGTGCATGAGGTGTTGGATCGATGTTTGTCAGAGAAAAAAGACCGGAGGCTGTAGACTTATTCTCATACGCGCCAAGATCTCGCACTGATAGACATTTATCTGATATTTGAACTACTGGTTGCATGTTAAGCTTATGCCATAGATAGAAGCGTAAAAGCTGTACACAGATGACGATGCCTAAGGCAGGTAATAAAGTGAGACCGACAGAAGGCGAAGTGACTCCTCCTCTTGAATCAGTCTAAGCCTGAGATATGAAGAGAAATCGGTCCTATGACTGGTCGCACTTGGTACTATCCGGGGAGCCGAGAGAATCATTGCATCCCCAGTCATACAGTTCACGGCTCATTGATCCATAGTAGATGCCACGTATGTAAATCTTCACTGCCTGACTATAGTGTTCCCATGAGCTCATCTGTTAAACCACAGGATAATACAGCCGACTATTATGGCTATCCCGCACCGCATTCACGGAACGTCCGCCGACGATAAGTCCATCGAGCGCCTCTCGGGTTCGTTCCCGGCCCGCTTGTCACCACGTCTACTTGATCGGCTTTCCCGAGGGCATCACAAAGAGAGTCTCCTGACCTAGACATGATGTTCCCAGATGGCGTACATTCGATTTTGGTAAAGCTATCCGGACTGAGTGACTTCTGTATGAAATCAGCCTGGTGGAGCAATCCAGAACCCATACGGAATACTTTCCTTTGTCTGGCCTTCACATATCCACCCAATGAAGACTGGACGTCGCAGCAGTATCAATCCGCCCAATGCATGGCCCCTGCATATTTGCTAGAGACTATAAGCTTCTTGGCCTATGGTGTTCACGGCTTACTTGATTCAAGTCTCCCCGGAGGCCGTGGCGCACGGTAACGGCTCCGATCATCCTACACTCTCGGCCCTGCGTACCGTAGTCCAAGGACGATGGGTTCGTTTCCTGAACTTGGTAAAAGGACGCGATTGGGCTGTTACTCAACAAGGTTATCTCGTACCTAACACATGGTGACGCATGACCAGCAAGCATGCATCCGAAGATATCAAGCAGGTGTATAGGACATAAAAGGAAGTAGACGGTACCATGGAGCGTCTCTACCAAGCTCATCAGCACAGTTTTTTGCGAGACATACCTTAGCTTGCTCCAGAACCCACCATGGCTGCCTCAATGCTGCACTACTTCCGCTACGGAAACAACGCCCCCTCCAAGGAAGCGCCGCCAGACGGCACGGCCCCTGTGCGTGCTCTGCCCGCCTCCTGGTACACCTCGCAGGAGATGTACGAGCTGGAGCGCCGCGCGATATTCTCCAAAAGATGGCTCTTTATCACCCACAGCTCGCGACTCAAGAACACGGGCGACTGGCTGCGCTACGAGATCGCCGGCTTCGATTTTATCATCACGCGGGACCGTGATGGCAAGATCAATGCGTTCCACAATGTGTGCCGGCACCGTGCGTATCCGGTTGTTGAGAAAGAGGGCCAGGGAAACAACAAGATCCTGGCGTGTCGCTACCACGGGTGGTCCTACGGGCTTAACGGGAAGCTGGCCAAGGCTCCCGGGTACCAGGATCTGGATGGGTTCGACAAGGATCAGAACGGGCTGTTCCGGATTCACGTCAAGGTCGACATCAACGGCTTTATTTGGGTGAACATGGACGCAAAGGAAACTCCCGAGGTCCCATGGGAGGAGCACTTCAAGGACGTTGACAAGCAGGAACGGTACAAGCCGTACAACTTTGACGAATACGACCTCGACCACACGTACCAGCTGGACGGGAACTACAACTGGAAGATCCTGGCTGATAACTTCAACGAATGCTACCACTGCCCGACGACACACCCCGACATCCCTGACTTCATCAACCTCGACTCTTTCGACAGCGACGTCAAAGACGGGCATATCCAGCATCACTGCAAGTCCACGCCAGAGCAGCTGGCGCAGGGCCTGAACGTCGCCAGTACTTACTACTTCCCCAATGCATCCATGACTATCTCGTGAGTTCTATATTGATGTCGTATAGGAGACTTTCTAACGCGTACAGGGCACATTTCATCATGGTCCAGAAATTCCTCCCAAAAGGCCCCAACAAGTCGACCATGGCCTACGAGATCTACCGCAACCGCAACTCCTCCGACGCCGACTTCAAGCGCATCAGCGAGATGTACGCGCGCGTCATGGGCGAAGACAAAGTCCTTTGCGACAACGCACAGAAGAACCTCGACCGCGGCGTCTTTGTCAACGGCCAGCTGCACCCGAAGTTCGAGAAAGCGCCGCTCTTCTTCCAGAACACTGTGCGCGAGGTTATCACGGAGCATTTCAACCGCGAGAAAGCCGAGGGACGGCAGATCTGGCCTGCGAGACAGAAGCTGCCTGGCGAGGCGAAGGTGAGCGAACAAGATGAGAACCTCTGCGCGAGTTTGGGCTGTGGAGCGCAGAAGGAGGTTCTGGCTTGGTGATGGTCCTGACATTGTGTTTAGCATTCTCTCTTTTGATTTGTGTGTTGCGAGTTGTATCGGGTCATGGCGTCTTCGGTGTAGCTAGTTTATGAATCAGATTGTCCTTGCAAGATTGCAGAGCGTTACAAGCATGTACGCACATACTATGGAAAGCTGTGCGGACCCCGTCCGACTCTGCATTGGCGGAGGTGGGCATTTTGGCCACTGACGATGTTGGAGGGCGGTGGTGTCGAGCATTGGAGAGGTGGGTTTTTGTGAGTGACAGGATTGATACTAAGGCTTGTGGAAAGAATGATATACCTAATGTTGCAATCGTCCGGTAGTGCTTGATTCATGTTACTAAAGTTCCACATATGCGAGCAAAGAAAACAATTCATAAATGAACAACGCAAGTACGCTAGATATTGATATACGCCTCTCATATGCGGACCGTCAAGCTCGCGTATAGGTAGCTTCCTCATACGTGATCTGCATCTTATCAGGAGGTGGTGATGAATCCGAAGCAGCACTCTCATCTTGAGCTTTAGAGAGAGACTGGTCAGACGCAACGCCATCGTACAACACATTGATCTCCTCGAGCGTCTTCTTAGCTGTCTCCTTCAAACAGAAAACCGTGAACAACAGGATTAGCACGTCCAACGCGCCGAATAGTAGGAATGTTCCCCAATGCATAGCTGCCATTATGTACGGCGTGGAGAAGCTCCAGACGAAATTGAACAGCCACTGTGTGCCGACGCCGAAGCCGACCCCAGGCTCACGGATACGCGTTGGGAATATCTCACTGGTACACGGCCATGGCAGCGGGCCCCAGCTGAAATTGTACGCAATGATATCCAGATATATCAGCGCGACGGTCGCTATTCCCGCCGACGTTACCGGCCCCTTATCCTGCGGCGGATGCGTCTTGACGACAGCCGCCGTGGCGACCATGCAAGCCGCCATGAAGACGGCACCGCCGGCCAGCAAGGGCTTGCGCCCAAACCGATCGGACATAAATACCACGAAAAAAAAGCACGCGACGACCTTGATCGCGCCGAAAATCCCCGTCAGCAACAGGTTCCTGTCGCCCGGGCCGACCAGGATGGAGAAGAACTGTGGACCGAAGTAGGCCAGTGCTGTCGAGCCAGTCGATTGCTGGGAGAGGAACAGTCCACCGGCGATGAGCAGCCTGTGCCTGTTGGGTCGTTCAAGCAGTTCGGCCAGCCGGAAGCCAGCCGTTGCGTGTCGCTCTTCTTCGAGCCCGTGGCATATCGCCGCAAACTCCTCGGCCACGGCCTCCCCGTCGCTTGCGCGGATCCAAACGATGCTGCGCCAGGCCTCGTCCGTTTTGCCCTGCGCTAATAGCCAGCGCACGCTTTCATCCAGTGTGAGCATGCCCAGTCCCATCAGTGCACCGGGAACGAGCTGTAGACCGATCGGCACCTGCCACTGGGAGGCGCTGTCGGGCATGAACTTGACGCCGTAGTCCACCCAGTACGACACAAGGATCCCGATGGTGAAGGTTAGTTGATAGAAGCTCCCCAGGCGGCCGCGGATCTCTTTCGGGCTCATTTCGGACATGTAGATAGGAATGACGGTTGCTGAGCCACCCACCCCCAGGCCACAAATCACCCGGCCGACGTAGAACGCCGGAAGAGAGTGCGTGTCGATGACCTCGAGCACCACGCCGATACAAAAGATCAATGAGCAAGCCATCATGGCTACCCGTCGACCGAAGCGGTTTGTTATAGGCCATACTAGGAAGCAACCGACGAGCGCGCCAGCCTGTTGGATACCGACGGCGATTGAACTCACTCGTGTTTCATTTTTGGCGGTAAAGCGGAATGAGTCTTGGAAAGATCTGAACGTGAGGACGCCGCCTGATGTGAATGCTCCGTTAGGATCCCTGTTCGAAGGCAGATATGAGGGGACACTGACCGATGACGCCCGAGTCGTATCCGAACAAAGCCCCGCCACAACACAGCACGGAGGCCAGCCAGTAAGCCCGAAACCGCGCTTTGGAAAATCGCAGCCACTGCATGATGCGCAGCTAGAGGGTTTGGCGGAGGAGTATCACCGGAGTGCGGCGCAAGGAATGCCAGGGTCAGAATACAACTCTGGACTTGCGGACGTTTGATGATGGGTGAAGAGAAATAAGAACCGCGAGAGCGGAGATGTAGATATACTCAAGCGAAGATCTGGGCATTACTTCATCCCGCATGATCAGGCACAGCTCAGTGGTTGTTCGGTTCAGGGAGCGGCGGAGGTCTGAGCCCGGATGCGGAACACATGCCACTCAGCCAGTTTGCTTGAGAGCGCCGATCCCGCAGTGAAGCCAGACATGAGGAAATATCGGTGAGTGATGATCTTTGACAGGTTTTCAGCTAGATGCTCCGTATGTATGTAGATATATTCTACATAGGGTTAGGAATGGCGGTAAGGGTGACTTCATATACTAACCCTCTCTAATCTCTGGATGTCATCTATGATCGATCGATCTATCTATCTACTAGAAGAAGCTTCTGCTGCGGGGACTTCCCCACGCGGCTCCACGTGTACATTTCCACTCCATGTAAGGAGTATGGGTCATATCACCCAGATCACTATCTAGAGATTCCAAAGGACTGGATTTTATGTGCTTATGTGCCATGATTCGCATACGACCCTGTAGGTAGAAAATAGCCTAGTACATGTCAAGTGACAAAGAGTACTAGAGTCAAGAGAGCTACGTGAGGGCCAGGGTCAAATGAGTGAACTCGGATGAGGGGAAAGGTACAAGCTGAGCATTTTGATGTGCATCGTGCATGGAGTTGAACCCTAACAACATGCACAGCATCATTGACCTCGAAAGTCGGTCACCGATTGGCTACTCTGGAGAAAAGCGCGAAGCGGTTCTACCAAGCCCATCTCATCGGCAGCTCGTCGACAGCGAACAGTGCTCAAAATCGACAACATGTGAAGAGAAATATCCTAATGTATCAATGCACAATGACGACCTCCATGTGAATACGCCTCGTGGAGTAGGATTTCTTCCACGACAGCTCGTCGAAGTCTGTCTTCGCAGTGGCCGACAACAGAATCACCCACCTTAGGACAGCGCCAAAGGCTTCACGAGATATTTTCTCTCGGGAATGGCAAGTATCGCAGCCCCTTCACTACATAAATCATTATCAAAGACTGCCACCTTCACCCACACATCTCAAAGAGATCATTCGAATGACAGCACATCTCTTCTTGTCCCAACTATAAAGCTGTTTAATCTTATTGCTGCGCCGTACATAGGTACTTTTTAAATAACATGTCTGTCGTGTCTCTACTAGGATGGCGGGCATGTCCCAAGGCTATGGGGCAGTGCTAAGGCTCCGTCTAGACTCCAGTATTCTCTTTGGGAAAATTTACAACAAGCTTCATCATCGTAGAACAGCGTATCACTGAGCTTGTAACGGATCTTGACAGGTTACATTGCTTCATAGACTATACAGTCACCTCTGCTTATGGGGTGATGGGTCAGGTGGGATGATATATTCTTGAAACGTATGACTCTGAGACCACATAAATATTGTCTTGTTTTATAATTTACCATCAGCTAGTAGACACTCGTTCTAGGCCCGTGAAGCACTCCCTGGCACAACTATCTAGATATATCTGAAGATAAAGTGAGCTGGCAGTTGTGGGCTTGTCTTCTACTGTAAGACCAAACACCTCGGCGCGTGTCACGTGACATACCCTGCAAGCTTGGCGTGCCAAGCCTTTCTATTGATAATCAATCGGGCGATACAATCAGTCAGGCCATGCAGCGCCACCAACAAGGACAGCTTGTCAACTTTATGGTTTCAAATCCTCCCAGCTCGGTCATTCCCTCCAGCCTGTCCATTCTGCCCACCATTCTCTACTGCTCGCTTGATTCTCCATTCTTTTTCACCTTCACTCTTTGATCGCATGAGTGTTCTGCATATATGAGCCGTTGCATCCGCGCGATCTAATTGTTCTAACTTCTGGCCCACTCGATGATTTCCATGTGAAGATCTACCACTTGTCCTGATCGCAACATACATACATATCTACAATATCTACATTGTCCACCCACTCCTATTTGATACCCACTCATTTCTGCTTTCTGCTGCACAAATAGACGCTGCAATTGCGCATCAGACACCATGCGCTCTGCGGCCAAACTTTTTTATTTGGCCGTGTTTGCCTTGGGCTTGACCAACGCCGACTCTCAAGATGACCACCCCATCTGGCGACATACTCATGATACCTGCGCGGTGAGCATGGACAAAGCTTTTTTTCATCGTGGGAGGTCACTCACTAACCCGCCCTCTGTGTACTAGATCAATCCCAATGCCATGGTGTCCGATACCTGCCTCTCCTACGCCACCGTCGATCAGCTCAATGACCAAGCCTACTCGCTCCTCCAATCTATCACCCAAGACACGGATTTCTTCTCCTACTACCGTCTCAATCTCTTCAACAAAGAATGTCCGTTCTGGAGCGACTCCAATAGCATGTGCGGTAACATCGCCTGTTCGGTAAACACCATCGATTCGGAAGAGGACATCCCCTTGACATGGCGGGCGGAAGAACTTAGTAAACTGGAGGGCCCGAAGGCGGGCCATCCGGGACGCAGCGTACAGAAGGAGAGGCCTGTCAACCGGCCTCTCCAGGGAATGTTGGGAGAAAACGTCGGGGAGAGCTGTGTATTCGAGTACGACGACGAGTGCGACCAGCGGGATTACTGTGTGCCGGAGGACGAAGGCGCCAGCGGCAAGGGTGACTACGTTAGCCTCGTCGACAACCCGGAGCGGTTCACGGGCTACGCGGGGGCCGGCGCCCACCAGGTGTGGGATGCGATCTACCGCGAAAACTGCTTCCTCAAGCCAGTACCGCAGCAACTCGAGTTGTCGCCGATCCCGCAGGCGGGCGGCCTCCAGGCGGTCAACGATTTCCGCAGTGTCCTGCAGAAGGAGTCCAAGCGCACGGAAGGCCTGCCGTTCGACAACGAGTGTCTGGAGAAGCGGGTGTTCCACCGCGTCATCAGCGGGATGCATGCGTCCATCACCACCCACCTCTGCTGGGACTACCTCAACCAGACCACGGGCGAATGGCACCCGAATCTGCAGTGCTTCAAGGAGCGGCTGCACGATCATCCCGAGCGCATTTCCAACTTGTACTTCAACTACGCGCTGGTGTCCCGTGCGGTCGCGAAGCTCCGCAAGCACCTCCAGAATTACACCTACTGCACCAGCGACCCCGTCCAGGACTCGTTGACCAAGGAGAAGGTTTCGCGTCTGACGGCGACGCTCGCGGAGCGGCCGCAGATCTTCGACGAGAACCTCATGTTCCAGGACCCCAGTGCCATCGGCCTGAAGGAGGACTTCCGAAACCGCTTCCGGAACGTCAGCCGATTGATGGACTGCGTTGGCTGTGACAAGTGCCGCTTGTGGGGGAAGCTCCAGGTGAACGGCTACGGCACGGCCCTGAAGGTCCTGTTTGAGTACGACGAGACTAAGAACGGCGAGAACCCTCCCCTTCGGAGGACCGAACTCGTGGCGCTGATCAACACTCTCGGTCGGATCTCACACAGTCTGGCCGCCGTGCGGAGTTTCCATCGGGCCATGGAAGTCGGAGACGGGGAGACGTTTGCCATCGCGGCGGGGGCGCCCTCGGGTCATGGCCGGTCTGGCGCTAAGACGCGCCGTCTTCTCAAGGATGGTGGATCTACCTTCTACTACGAAGATGACGCCGATGATTTCCAGTATCTGACGGAGAAGATGCCGTGGGAGCGCCGGGAGCGGCGTGAGACGGATACCATCATGGACGACATCAAAGCCGAGTTCGCCGTGGTGTGGGATACTTACGTCTACGTTCTAAAGAGTTGGATGGCCATCCCAAGGACTTTGTAAGTGGTTCCCGCTGATGACTGGTGTCCATGACTGACGGATGATGTAGGTGGGAGCTGGGTGTCCTCGAGGCGAACCGTCTGTGGAGTTACTGGCTCGGATTGCCTGTCCCTCCACGCTCGTGGAGAATCCGACGACCGGGTCAACATGTAGAGCTGCATCAGGAGCTATGAGAAGGCATGTCGGGTTATACGTGTAAAGACAGATTCTCTCTTCTGGGAAGACCCAGGTGTGCATATGGGAGTTATCGGCGATATTGCATGAATTACGGGCGTTTGATTATAGGATAAACCGGGATATAGTTCTGAATGAGTTGACTTGTTCTATCGACATGACCGAGGTACTATACATACACACTGCAGTAGATGATCTACACCGGAATACCTTAGATATGCTGAGGACGAAGACTGCCCGACGGAGCAGAACTGACCGGAAAACGTCCGTCGGGGATGAAGTGAAAATTAGCATGATCGAACCGATGAACTCATGTACGCTGAAGAATGCATCCTGGGCGGACAAGCAGTTGTTGATATACCGGAGAACATGCTGGGCTAACCGGAGATCGCCGTCGGCAAAGTGAGCCTCGGCCCAGCAGGCACATGCACGGTCTCTCTCTCTCTCTCTCGGTCTCCCCCATACTTTTCCTCCGCTTCCTGACTAACCTCCCGTCTTCCCCTCTCGTCTTCTCCCTTCTCTTCTCTCTTCTCCCTCCTTCTCTCCACCTCCACCTCCACTTCAGTCCTTCACCCCCCCGACTCTACTTCGTCTCATCCGTCTCTCGACTCGGCCTCCTTGGCTGGCTCCTTTGTTCGAGTCGATTCCCATGCGACGCTGGTGAGAAATCCTCTCCCGCATTGCCATGGCGTCGGTATCGCCACCCAAACCGTGGGAGAGGGCTGGCGCTTCGGCCGGTGGTAGGTGTTTGACCACCATGTCTTTCTTCTGTTTCCGATTTCTGTTCGTGTATACTGATTGCTGTGACTAATAGGAACCTCATTAGCAGCCTCATCCGCCGCTAGCCCGGCCGCTCCCACGACCATGTCCGCAACCACAAACTCTTCGTCGGCTCCGACCGCGACGGCCTCCTCCTCCGCTCCCGATCTCCCCTCTCGCCCCAACGCTCTCAACTCCGTCGTCAACCGGACCGCCTCCAACTATTCGCCATACGGGGCCTCCCGCTTCGGCACGAGTCCCTACGGGGGCTACGGCGGCTACTCGTCGCCCTACTCCCGCTTCGGCACGATGGGCGGGATGGGCTCGATGTACGGGGGCTACGGTGGCTATGGTGGCATGTACGGTGGGATGGGAGGCATGGGAGGCATGTACGGCGGTATGCCGGGCGATCCCAATGATCCCAACAGTTTGACGAATTCCTTCGGTCAGAGTACCCAGGCCACCTTTCAGATGATCGAGAGTATCGTCGGTGCGTTTGGCGGGTTCGCTCAGATGCTGGAGAGTACCTATATGGCGACGCATAGCTCCTTTTTCGGTATGTATCTTGTCACACTCTGACTTGCCATGGAACCATGCTAATCGTCTCCAGCTATGGTCTCGGTCGCAGAGCAGTTTGGAAATCTGCGCAACACGCTGGGCTCCGCTCTCGGCATTTTCACAATCATCCGATGGTTCAGGACGTTAATCGCCAAGATTACCGGACGTCCTCCTCCCGCTGATGCGACCGCCCTCACTCCCTCGGCCTTTGCCGCGTTTATGAACGGTCGGTCCTCGCCGGCCACCCTCCCAGACGGCTCTCCGGCGCCCCCCAAGCCGTCGAAGAAGCCGTTCTTCATGTTTCTGATCGCCGTCTTTGGCCTTCCCTACTTGATGGGTAAGCTCATCAAGGCGCTTGCCCGCTCGCAGGAGGAGCAGCGCAAACAGCTCATGCTGGGACCGAACGGCGAGCCCCTGCAAGGCCAGAACGCGCCACTGGATCCCTCCAAGCTCGATTTTTGCCGCGTGCTGTATGACTACTCGCCCGAGTCGCAGGAGAGTGCCGGCATCGATCTGGCGGTGAAGAAGGGCGACATCGTTGCCGTGCTGAGCAAATGCGATCCGATGGGCAACGCCTCGGAATGGTGGCGGTGTCGCGCCCGCGACGGCCGTGTCGGATACCTTCCCGGACCGTACCTCGAAACGATCCAACGCAAGCCCCAGCAAGCGGCCATCACGGCAGGCAGCCAACCGGCCAGCCGCAGCAACAGCCTGAAGGCGACGGTTGCCGATGCGGCGCCCGCCGATGATGCCAAGAAGCCCCAGCTCAGTGGTAAGATGGGAGACATCTCTCCCGAGAGCTTCCAGAAGAGCGCCTTTTACACCTGAACGATCTACCCCTGATCTTCCTCGCACATATTCTTAGTTTCGGCACGGGACGTGGACTCGCTGTATCTTATTCTCTGGAGACTCGTCATGACTTTTTTCACCTATACCATCACTTCTTTGCCTTGTTCACTATCGGATGTTAAGCGTTGGGTACCTGGGTTATATGGACTTACATTACCATGGTTGTTATTCTTTTTATTTTTCCGTCTCTATCGTTTATACGTTCCAGCGGCAAGCCGATGATTCTCATTTCTTTTTCTGATTCGGTGTCAGGTACTAGTTCCTGGTTTGGAAGACAAAATTGTAGACCGGACGTTTCCTTGCAGATGCTCTGTAATTCTTGTAGACGCTGATGATATATCACACCTGCCAAGCAGAGAGACGCGCACAAGCCCCTTGAGCTGCGGCACGATTCTAGCAGGGACCAAATCTCGACGCATGCACGATGTACATCATGATGCACGGATGATTTGGGCAGCAACGGCCCAAGCTGGGCGACCTGAGCGTGGGATCTTAGTGATGGATATTATCTCTTCAAGATAGTTGATTGATGCTAGGCAATTGTGAATGAACGTTTCCCCAATACCAACATCCGAGCAACCAACTAGGTACCATGCGTGGCAACCCACAGCTCCATACATACTCCGTAGACACCTAGACACTAAGCACGACGCAAAAGAAACCCCTAGTCCACCATAGACGCACAAAACCGGGAACAGACAGACAGACAGACAGACGCTGTCCATTCTCGCCATAATAAACTTTTCAAGGCCGCCCTGGGATCTCGATCCTGCCGTTGGTTGCCTCGCCCCCGCTGGGGCGCGGAGATCGATCTCCGGCGTCTGTGCTGCATTCCATTCTTCCAAGCAACCGACCGCCCCCATGTCCTGTCTGCCTCGCGCCCTCGCTTGCGTACTCTGTCGAAGGGGGGCCCGTATGCAGGATGGCTGGCACCTGCAGAGCGCTAAGCTTCGCGCCCTCGATCCCTGGGTTCGATCTCCGATAAAAAGGGGGAAACGGGGAAGGAAGGAAGGAAAAAGAAAGAAGGACCCCGCATGGCAGGCCTCGGTTCGCTCCGTAGAGTCAAACGGCCCTTGTCTTGTCAGATGCGGCTGTCGGAGCTGGAGCTGGGGTGGGTATAAGACTGGACGGTATAACTCTGGGGTAGGTAGTCAGGCTTGCTGATCATTTGTGTAGTAAGGTACACTGAGTGGTGCGTGAATGATATGATTTGGTACAGATTGGGATCGTCCTGGGGTTTACACAGGACAGATCGACGAGGGAAGACGCCATGCCCATATGCCCCTTTCTCAGGGGTACCCGGGCATAGTACACGGTGTTGTTGGGTGAGGACCAAGCCCATAGATATGGATCGGGGTCATGGTCTATATAGTTGGCAATCTGAGGAAAAAAAAAAAAAAAAAAAAAAAAAAGAGAAGTAAAACAGAGACGCAAAAAGGAAAACGGGCTACAGCGCAGCGCAGCTGGATGCTCTGAATCATAAAAATGCAGGTCACGTCGAGAAGGAGCTAACATCATGTCGGGGCCTCGCGGCTCCTCGCTACCGATTGGCGTTGCCGTCGTCCGTGGCCGATGTGAAGCCGGACATGGACTTTTCGAGCGTCTGGTGCAGGGCTAGCAGGCGGTCCTGGAACAGGACGAGCTCGCTCCAGGGGTCTTCCTCTGGGACGGGGTCGGCGGCGGGTTTCGGGGTGTCGGTGGGGAGACTGGGGCTGAGGGTGGTGGACAAGGAGCGCGAGTCGTCGATGTCCGCGTCGGGGATGGGGTCGAACTTGGAGTCGTCTGGAAAGTGTCAGTACGCGGGATGTTCCACCGTGATTAGAAAGACTGACGGGGAAGGGATTGGAGCTCAGGCAGCGGCGAGAGGGTGGCGCCGCGCTCGTCGGGGTCGGGGGTATAGCAGCTCATATCGGATGGGGTGTCTGGGCGCGCCGTTAGTCGATCACGACGTCACCGGGAAACGGGTCAGCGTCCGAGCGAGACGTACCTGGCTCCGGGCTGTTGGAGGGATCTTCTGGCCGCGGGGGATGGTGGTCCTTGTCCCAGTTCGTACCGTATCGACGGACGAAGCGGGCGATGCGCTTGGAGTCGACCTCCTGGCCGCCGACGCGAAAGGCCGTCTGCTTGCCGCGGGCGGCGCGCTTCTGCTGTTTGCGGATCATCACATGGACCTCTTTGGCCTTGATGTTCTTGCGAACATGCCATGCGGCGAGCCGGTCTTTGTACTGCTTTTCTCTGCGGCATGTTAGGGGGTGTCTGTGCTTTGCGAGATTGGTCCAGATGAAGAAAAAGAAAACATGACAGAACCTGACTGTCCTTGGTGCTGGACAGATGCAGCATAGGCAACGGGGAACAGGAAAAGAGGGATCAGTCAAGGAAAGAAAAGGAGCTATACGATGCAACGAAATGATATTCTCGCTCCATGATGCGTTTGACATCGCGGAGCTTCAGCTGGTCATCGCGATAGAGCTTTTCGATGACGGGACGATATTCCTGCCAGTCCTCGGATCGGCGAGGACGAAAGAGAGCGGACGAAGAGGAGGATGAGGAGGCCGACAGGGCGGACGTTGGAGGGACGGAGCCATCCATCACGAGGAAATCAGCCTGGGCTTGTGGTGCGGACATTCATAGTATTGCGGTGGACGATGGAGGGGTGTTGAGATGGAGGTAGTGGGCTGTGAGGAGGGACAGGAGAAAGGAAGAGAGAGGAGGAGAAGAAGATGATGAAGAAGATGAAGCTGTCGAGAAGAAGCCGGTGAAGTAGTGACAGAGGTGGATGTAGAGTATGGAGATACTCCAACCAGACGGTGCCAACAAAGAGCCAGAATAATAATAATAATAATATCAATCAAGGTAAGCAGCATAAGGCCTTGCCATCCGGAGTAACCAACTAGGTAACTAGTCAGTTAGACAGAACAGGCTGACTGTAGGGAATAATATTAATGAATGAAGGAATCATAAAATGATAAAATAATAAATAACCAAATAATAAATAGCAAGAAAACAAAAGAAAAGAAAAAGCAATTATGCAAGAAATAACAATAATGATAATAATAATAAAATAAGAAGAAAAAAAGAAATAGTCCCCGTATTAATTAGTACACAGTACAAATTGTACAGTACCTCAAAGTACCGGGCAAAGTACAGTCCGCCAAAGTACCTCTCAGTACCTCTACAGTACTGTAAGTACCCCCTGTACAGCCGCCTGCCGGATGCGGCGACGTGCGGCTGGAAGCGCCCGCTTTCCTGCTTCCCCGCGCCAATGACACGCGGCTGACCGCTCCCTCCGAGGTCCGTGTACTTTTGTCACGTTCTTCCGTTCCCAGCTGTCTCTCCATCCATCCTCTCGTGTCCTATGACTCCTCCTATCCCTATCATCGACATCATGGACAGACTCTGTACTGTTGAAAACAACAGGTATCAAGTTCTGCTCTATGACACCTCTTCGTTATTTATTGAAGAGATACAAGGACATCCCCCGTGGGTTGACAGTCCATCTCCACAAGACGCAATAGCGTGCACTGGGTCGACACACTGACCTCCTGGAGTCTCCGCTGGAAAATACATCCACTGTCCGGCCCCAAATATAGCAAACACCACGACATTTCACCGAAAATGAATGAGAATGGGAAAAGAGAGAAAGGGGGTCGCTCCTAGGGTCTCCTTCCCAAAGGACCCTCTCCGTACTACGGGTACTACTACTACTACTACTACCACAGGATCCCTAACCCCTACTCTCTCGTCCGTCCACTCGAGGCGAGTGATATCTTAGTCGTCCGACCTGCATGCGCCATTTCTGCAGGTGCAACTCTCGAGGATCATGCCCAGTCCACCACCAGTCCTTCCCTGACCGATCTTTGCCAGGCCTGCTTAGGGTGACTGACCAGAACGGTTTCGTCGCGCTTCCATCAAAAAGAAATAATTAGCCATCATGGGAACCATGGGAGGAACTGTCAGGAACGTCTTCTACCCAACTTCATTCTCCACATCCCGCCGTCGACGGTCTCCGGAGTTCGCCCATTCCTTCCTCGGACGACCTTAATTTAACCCAATCAAGCAACCTCCCTTCCCCGTCCAGTGGCAAAGATCCGGTCTTGGGATGAGGCCTGAGCTCCCCTAATCCTCCCATTTCGCTGAACCTTCGCCTCGACTGCCCCGCTAATGGTCCATACCGCGGACTCCATCCCGGACCTCGTTTGCGACGTCGTTTCTATCCCGTCCAAGCGTCGACCGACGGTCAAGGATCGGAAGCAGCCAATGAGCCTCGACAAGGTACGATTTGACTTCCGAAAGTACCCCTAGTCGCTCAATGGACGCACGCCTCTACTCCGTAGTGGAAGGAAAATCAGGAACGTCGGCCCGTCACCGTAGCCGTCCGGATCCATCCGGTTAGCGTCCGTCCAGGGTCTGCACAAAGCCCATTCTTGGACCAGCTCCTCTCGTTAGTCGTTAGATCCGGAAATCGCCCCCCAAATGACAAATTTGGACAGAGTAGCGTCCTGTGAACCGTGGCGTTCGTTGTATATCGGTCTGTCTCACAACTGCAGACTCGTTTCACCTTCAAGTATCTCCCTCAGTTGCTCATTCTTGACCATGACTAGCTGAACCCAATAAAGAGGTCTACCCCTCCACATGGACAGGACAGCGCGATGCAGCGTCCAGGACGCTACTCGCACAAAACCACCCAGATCCCGGCTGACACACAGCGGTCTCCAACCACGGAGAAGTGAGACAAGAAGCGATTGGTACCCCGGATTTCCCCAGGTGGTATCTGGTATCTGATATGTAACTATATATCGACGACCGTCGCGGAGACAATCTGTTCCCGCATCGGCGGGCTCGCCAGATCTGTCTCACATCAATTATTTATTCATTCCGTCGGCCATTATGAGAACGGTACAGCCACGCCACGTTCAATTTCTTTTTTACTGTTTCGGAGTAGGCTCCAATCTGGGAGTGCTTAACGCTGTATACGGAGTACACCAGTGGCAATTGGGCGATCCCAGGTCAGGATGGCATTCCTGCGTTGAATATCGCCGACGGACATTGGTTCGGCCATCAGAAAACAGGCGTCTCTAGTTATCACTGCAATGTGGCTTGAGTTCAGCTAGCTACTCGACCATACTAGGGGCTGCGCTGAACCGAGGAAGTAAGCATCTGTCAACACCCGTGAATCCCCCGTATAATACAGTATCTCTGCACTCCTATGCACACCAAAAGCCCATTCATGCGACACAAGTTTCAACAAAGAACACGAAGTACCTCACTGCGCCAACCACGCACCAAGCATGTAAGGGCCTCCGATCTACCTCAAACCCCCCGACCACCGCGGGAGCACTATGCGACAAGGCAACCTGACAGGAGTTTCGCCCAATGTCAGGCGAAATGCCCGCGCTAGCAGCAAGACAGGGGGAAAAAAAAACATTAACTTTGCTCGGCTAGCGAGGTATGGAGCATGTTTCTGTTTCTCCACGACGCCTCCCCACCAAATTCCCCCCCGACGGCAGGAAACGGTGATTTGCGACGGAAGATTTACACGGTTCACCACCAATTGGCCAGGTGATACACCGGCCCAGAAGACAAACTCTACCGGACTCGGTGATCGCTCTGATCGGTGTTCGAGGCGACCAACCATCCGCCCCCTGCGCGGCGCTAGAGATAACCGGCGCACGCAGGGATGATGATGAACCGGCTGGCTCGCCCTCGTGTGGCCGGGAACGGCCCGAGACATCCAACCATCCATTTCGCGTTGACGTGTTGGATCATCCTGGCCCATCTGTATAACATTACGGACCCAGCACCATGGGTCTGCGGCATGTCCAAACCGTGGTGGCTGCGTCTAGTCTCGCCTGGTCCCCTCTTTTTTGCCTCGGGTGGACGCTCGGCGGACATTTGCCATCGTGCTTTTGTCTTCCGCGTGGCTTGCAGGAAGTCAAAGGCGTGCTGGGCCGTCCGCCCATTTGGCAATAAAGCTCGAGGCGAGGGGAGATGGCATGCCCTGGTATCATGTGGATCGCGCATGACCCGGCTAAGAATGAAAGAGAGGTCGCGTTCTCATCAACCTGCCCTGTTACGCGAGGGAATGGATGGGTCAGGTTGCGCAGAAAAGGTGTAACTTGTCGGACTAATGGACGATCTCCCGTCAGCACCGAGACCGTCTCATGTAAGAGCTCGTGGAGATTTCAGATTTCGGATTCCAGAAGCCATTGTACACGCTGTCATCCTTGCATTGACATGTCGTTTGTTTGTTTGCTCGCATCAGATAAGTCTAGCCTGGAACTGTTTCCTTGCGCTTTCTAAATTTGACAGGCGTTGCATCACAAGGCTCCTTGACAAGAATTCGCAGAAAATGGTAGTATTAGATGATAGGTGATTCATGCACTGGGCACAATACCGGCTACTGTAATGTGATGTTGTTGATCATCTGCCGTTCCACGAAGAGCGAAACAATCATTGACGGAAAGAGGAACAGCTACGCGAGCGTGACGCAAGGGCGAAGGGGATCGGACCGTTAGATATCACACGTCCGGAAGGAGACCGGACATGTGCTGCCCAACCTGTCATCCAGCAGGATCCGCTCGGTTGGGGGAACGGATAACGCGACGGGGCCAGCTGTGGGCGTCGTGGATCGACCCCTGGAAGCTGTGAGGCAGGGGCTACGATCCGACATGATTGGCCTTGACGCTGGAAACGGCATGACTAGCCGGCGACAGGAGGGTCGCGCTAGTCGCAAAGTCAAGGTGCAAGGCCCGTTTGGGAAACCGTGTAAGAATCACCTAGGGCTGAGGCGTGACCGTATCGCATCGAGGCGCGGTGTCATCTAGCTCTTTGCTGGGCTGGCGCTCCCCATCCGGGCTTGTTCTCCTGCGGCGACCGCTGCGGCCGCAACTGCGGCAGAATTACTTGACCCAGCGCTAGCGACGTTGCTCACATGGGCCAGTAGGAATTTGCAGCAGGTGAGTGTGTACTTGCACGCACGCGTCCAGGTTTCGTCATTCTGGTTGAAGCCCAGTTTGATACTGGCATCCCCAATCTTCTCCCGTCTGATGACGTACGGGAGGGATAGCCCGCCGGCGGCCATGCCTCCATGACCACGCCGGGTCGAAGACACAGGCGCTGGATTCTTCTCCACGAATTCCCCAAGTTGACGTAAGCATTCCAGAAACGCCACCATTCCTGCGTCAAAGCGGCGGTGTAGCCAGGGGAGACTCAGCGGCAGGTCACCAGAGGAAAAGAGGTCAAGGACGGTGATTTTGACTGGTCCTGATGTCGTCGCAGTCAGCCCACTGATAGCGGACTGAGCCGGCGACGCCTGCGGGTAATCGATCTTTTCGATCCGCGACATTGACCCCATCGGTTTCAGCTGATAACCCTGGAACTGGAACCCCAGTTTATCGGCGATTGTGGCTAGAAGCAGTGCTGTCTGCCCCCACGCGGCATTGATCTCAGGCCAATCTACCGAGGGGTTGGTGAGACGTCCCAGCCGCAGGCCGTTGATCGTTCCGAAATATCCGTCGTGGCCAATACAGAAAGCATCGTTGTAGACGTTGGTCCGCTGTAATCGTTCGAGTTGTCGCGCATCGTGGTCGTATCTCATATTCAGTGCATCACGTTCATTTTGAAAGTCGGCCAGAGTCAAGGCAAACGCGTTCCGATCACGCCAGAACTGTTCCTCCTCCATATCCAATTCGCGAGATTCTTCTTCCAGGCGACCGATTTCTTCGTCCAACGCGGCTTTTTCTTTTTCAAGCTGGACCAACTCCGCAAATGCAGCCTGCTCCGCCTCCAGGGTCTCCTTCAGAGACCTTTCGGCAGCCTCAACCTCCTCCGCTGACGGGACTGACGAATTGATATTGCGCAGGAACGAGATGTACGCATCGCGCTCTTTTGTCGCATCCACCAGTCGCTTCTGGAGGCCATCCACCAGCATCTCCGTGCATTCAGCGCAGATGGGGTGATCGATGTCCGAACGGGAGGAGATTATTTCAAACAGCCGACTCGTGCGTTCTACCTGGTCAGAAAACGACGTTTCTTCGGCTCCACTCTCATTCTGCTGAGCGCCCTTTGCGCGCGTTCCTTTCGCCGACGAGCCTCCTCCGTTACCCCCAGCTTGAGTCACAGGAGGTCCAACTTGCGACTCTGTCAGCATGACAAAAGACATGTTGCCGCTGTCGCCGCGTCCTACCCGAGGAGGATAGTTCTGGGGGCCGCGACCCTGGCGAGGTGCGGGAATCGACCGCCGATAGACGGGCGAGTTGACATTCTTGGACACGCGATCGTACAGCTCTCGTCGCTCTGGTGGGTATGAGGATCGGGAAGAAGAGACACTTGTGTCTTCTGGGAGCGTTTTACCCGTAGAGCCTGGATATAGCAAGTAACCTAGTCAGTCACATCGTAGAAATCCATAGACGGCGATGGGTACTGTACCGATAAGCAGGTCGAAGGCGGCTGGATTGAGCGACTCCAAGGAGCCATCCAGCTTCACAGGAGTGCGACACTTCTGACAATACATCGTGAGAGAGCTCCAGGTAGGTCCTCTTAGTCATTATTGGGCGTGGTGGAAGCTCAGGCGATGTTCCTGGGAAGTTGGAGATGGAGGTTGGACCAGAAGTGGTGATTGCGGGAGACGGACGTCATGCGGCAGATCGCGCGTGTCCGCCTTTCGGAGCTTAAGATTTGCTCCCACCTGTTTACTGTCGGTTTTGAATATCTTACGCACGCACCTTTGGTCACAATATAATTCGCCTCGGGGAATTATTGAAGGTATATACTTGTGTCTTGGTGTCTGAGATAATTGAATAGCTGCTATCGCGTTGGTGTCGCGTTGATCGCCATACCTGAAGACCCGCGTCGTCGCAAACCCTGCAAGGTACAGTTACCAACTACCCACTGCGACATTATTTAAGCCTCTCCCATTCTATTTGAACAGTTCTGATGTGTCCAAAGGTGATGTTATTCCTATCCGACAATCTGTTATCGTCAAGTCCACTGGCCAAACTGCACAACTGAATACTTCCGACGCCCGTGCTCCGAGATACAATTTCCCATCCTACCAGCACAATGGAGAGTCCGACGAAAAGACCGCGGCTGGATCGCAGTCCAGAACCCGAAGTCGACCCCAACGAAATGGATCTGCAGGAAGCCCGGGCCCAGAACGATCTCCGTTTGAAATCCATCTTCGAGAGCATCTTTGAAAAATACGGCAAGGATTTTACGGAGGTGGGAGACGAAATAGATCTGAATACGGGCGACATTATCGTGAACAATGGCCATATCTTCACGATGGAAGGGGAGGATGACACCGGTGAAAGGGTCGATTGGATGTCTGATGATGCGGACTCGCCGGCTTCGATATCCCACGGACAAGACAGCGAGGAGGACCCGGACCAACAAATCACGGCCAGGGGCATTGCCGACTACATGGAGTCCAGATTTGGAAGCTATGGGCCCAGACGCGACGATATACAACCTGAGGACCTTCCCATCAAAACCGAACCGGAGACAAAACAGAGCCCGACCGAAACAAGGGGCCCGCAAGATGAACCCCCGCTGGCAGATTCAGAAGCAGACGACGACATGGATTCGGTAGTGTTTGTTCAGATGAATGTCCAGAGCGCTCCAAAACATTCGCAACCGGAGACAAAGACCACTGAGACTGGCACAGAAAAAGCAAAATTCGCGCCCGGAACGTCTACCCAATCCCTGAACAGGCTACCTGAGCCTGTGGAGTCAATTTGGCGCGTTCCTGAGATTGACGCAGACTTCTCCACGCCTGTGCCACGGAGGTCGCGTCCAACTTCCTCCTTCAGTGCTGTACGCTCTGCATCTCCACCCGGGAGACGCTCCCTTTGGGCACTGCCCTGGACGAAACAAAGACGCAGTACCGATGCTACAAAGAAGAGAAGCGCCAAGAAGCCTCGAAGGACGAAAAAACACCAATCCAGCCCCGCCGTGTACGACTGGTCCTTTGCAGAGACCGCCGATGCAAGCGACTCGGACGACCCGTTGCAAGACAATCACCAGCCTTCTCCCACGCCCAAACAAGCTCTTACGATCAGAGGGAAATGGGAAGGTTCGGGCACCCCGAGTCGCACAACAGATCGATGCGACTTCTGTAAGAAGACGTTCAGTCGGGATGGTTACATAGCCCACCTCCGAGCTGTCGTGGAATCTGGTTCGCCGGACGACCAGCATGATGCAGCAAAAGCATCGAAGAGGTTAGGTGCGATTTCAAAAGACGTTCCGGAAACGCCGAAAACTGTTACGAAACATGCTCCGTCGAATACTGCTCAGATGACAGACATGCAAAGTCTAGACGATGCAGCCACGCACCTGACACCTACGAAGCCCGTTGGACCCGCTTAGCCCTCTCCGGATGAAGTAATAGCCATTATCATTATGAGGCAAGCTGATGGAAGACCATGGGATATGACCCTATGCAAGTCTCACACAGGAAGACCAGCTCATCAATCAGAGTCGAATCCATTGGACTGAGTGCATCGGCAATCCGCCACCTACTTCCGGTCTTTGGCCAGTGGCGATCAGGACACGCTCGACCAAATAGAAGACCATGTCTTCTTTGGCCAGATGCCCGTGCCTCCATGCCAGGTCATTTGTTTGTCGATATCGAACTTGAGTTATTGAGACGACGGTAGGGGATGCTGAGTGGACCGACCAACAGGAAACGGGAATAGCGGCAGAGCCCGACACAGGTGGCCCGCAAGGCAGACAGGCAACTGAATCGGATCCTCCCCGTCACTGCAGCCAACTTGGCCTCTGCGATAAAACAGGCGCGGATGCAACTCGACCCACTCCGACTGGTCTGCGGCAGGACGTTTCGAGGCTAGAAACCATGCCTTGCGCGAGTAATATACCGGACGCTTGCTATAACAGTACATCCAGCACATCCTTGCGTAACCCCAAACAGGCCTTGATTCGTAATGTCATCTGTCATTACGGTTACTGCTCATTGCGCGTTCAGGACATCTTCAAGTTTCGTGTCGACGGCGCCGCCGACATCTCCTGCCTTGGCCCAGAACCTGGAAAGGTGCCTTGAGCCTGAGTCTGATAGGACCGTCACGATGCGGTGACCGGGCCCGAGCTTCATTGCGGTCTTCACAGCCGCAAAGCCTTTGTCATATTAGTCAGTAATATGGAATCAATGAAACAAGGAGCCAAATGGCACTCACAGTTCACCGCACTGCTGCTTCCAAGGAAAATCCCATCCTTCTCCACTAACCACCTGGCCATCGCTAGAGCCTGTGCATCCGTGACTCTCACAGCATCGTCAACAAGCTCCTTGCCTACCTCGAAATTCGCCGTGACGCGATTGATCCCGATTCCCTCGACAATCGTATCAACCTGTCTCCGTCTTCTCGTGCCCTCCCGCTCCTTCACATCGAACATCACGCCGTAGCGAACTCGGTTATAGAGACCACTACCTTGCGGGTCAGCCAGGACGACGCGGAGGTTGGGGATTCTCGGCTTCAAAAAAAGCGCCACGCCCGAGATTGTACCCCCGGTCCCTGCCCCAGCGACGAAGGCATCCAGCGCCCCGTTGCACTGAGCATAGATTTCAGGTCCTGTCGCTGAGTAGTGGGCTCTCCAATTGGCTTCATTCTCGAACTGGTCGGCGAAGAACCCTCTGCCGCGCTTTGGCACCGGCAGGTCTGAAGATTCGGAGTCGGACGTGGCCAAGGAGGACGCGGTGTGAGCATGGGCAAGAGCCCGCGCACGATTCACGAAATTATCCTTCTCCACGATAGGAGCTGGCGGGACGCGGTCCACAATGGCGCCGAGCTTGAGAAGCAGATTGGACTTTTCAATTGCTTGGTCCGACGGCATGCAACTGGAGTCTGTGAGTGGAGGAAAGCTAGGAGAGATAAGCCATTTGACATACATGTGAGCGAGATACCCTTTCGCCCTTGCCAAAGTAGCAAGAGAGATACCGGTAGAGCCGGAGGTTCCCTCGTAGATGGTGTCGCCGGAGTGAGGCGTCAATATGCCGAGCTCCTCGGCCTGCAAGAAGTTAGACGTCTTCTGGAAGGTGAGCGTGGAGACGCACAATTTCGATCATACTCAGGGCTACTCGGTCCTTGGAGCTCTGACCAGCACCGTTCAGGAACTATATCGTATTTAGTCAGTATAGAATGCTATAAGGCGGTCCTCAATCGCAGCCTACCTCGGCCTTCCCCAGAATTTCACAACCCGTCGCTTCGGACAAGGATTTGATCCGGAATAGAGGCGTATTTCCAATGCAGCCCTCGATTCCATCCACAATCATGGGAGGTCCTGGCCTCGCAGTCAAGATATCTGTAGAATCCGCTCCGTTGGACTGAGAACGCCGCCGAGCGCGATATTCCCGGAGACGCTGCTCCAGCTCCGGATAGAGAAGATCTTTGAATCCAATGGTCAGAACGACCCCGGCCAAAAAGGCCGTGCCGATAAAAACCCGGGAATGGTCATTCATCTTGGGGGTAATGTGCAATCGCTAAGTAGGAGGTGTCGCGAGAGACAGTTGAGGTCATTGAAGGTCGGCGGAAAAAAGCTCGGGCCACCCGCGCGCATTTGCTCCGCCCGTCATCTCGCTTTGCGACCTCCGAACTTCTTCCTCCTCTCCCTCTCCGCCTCCCACCTTCATCCATTCGCACATGGATTCCCCAGTGCTGAACCAGCTGTTCCGACAGCTGTTCCGACATCCTCACTGCCAATACCTTCGATCCCCCTCCCCTCTATCTGGTCGCAGACCGAACACCATCCGGCTGTCGACCCCCTCCCGTCAACAATGTCGGCCGTTCCTCACGCGACGAGCGCCGAAAAAGAAGAGCGCGGATGATGGCAAGCTGTGGACCAAACGCGGGGATTACCCCAAGGATATCATGGAGGACTGGAATTCCTGTCCGATGGTCACCGCGAAAGAACTGCGCCATTTCCGAGAGAGACCGCGGCAGGTGAAGATGTTGACGAGAGAGTTCATTGACGGTAGGTAGCCAGATACGATATCTGGGGATTTGGTCGCTGACTGTTCGTCTTCAGACAGTTTATACAACCCCCATTACGGGTACTTTTCGAAACATGCAACTATCTTCACGCCGGGAGAACCATTCGACTTCAACAGCATGGCGGATGGGCCGACATTCCATCGCTTGCTCGAAGAGCGTTATACCGAATTTGAAGATCGACTAGATGAAATACAGCCGGATACAGCGCGTCAATTATGGCATACACCGACGGAACTATTCAAGCCCTACTACGGAGAGACAATTGCTCGGTACCTGGTGTCGAATTACAAGCTCACGTTGTACCCCTACCACGACCTCATAATCTACGAGATGGGCGCCGGAAACGGTACCATGATGTTGAACATCCTGGATTTCATCCGCGACACCGACTACGAGGTCTACCAGCGGACCAAGTTCAAGATTATCGAAATTTCGCCTGCTCTCGCTAGCCTGCAGATGAAGAATCTGATGGATTCCGCCTATGCAGCCGGCCATTTGGATCACATTGAGATTATCAACAAATCCATCTTCGACTGGGATACTTATGTGCACTCACCCTGCTTTTTCCTCGCCCTCGAGGTTATCGACAACTTTAGCCACGATGCCATTCGCTACGACCGCAAGACGGAGCAGCCTCAACAGGGCGGTGTGTTGATCGACGCCGATGGCGAGTTCCATGAATACTACAGTCTTCAGCTCGATCCGGTGGCGGCGCGATTCCTCCGGGTGAGACAAGCTGCTGCGCGACGGGAATTCCCATCTCCTCTGGGTCCGAAGGTCTTGCGCGGCGTTCGCGGCTCCTTGCCGTTTCAGGAACCCTTCACGCTGCCGGAGTACATCCCCACCCGGCTCATGCAGTTCTTCGATATCCTCGACACCTACTTTCCTGGCCACCGGTTGGTAGCCAGTGACTTTAGCAGCCTCCCCGACGCTGTACCGGGCATCAATGCGCCCGTCGTGCAGACCCGGTACAAACGGCGAACCGTGCCGGTATCTACGCCTTTTGTAAGTATCTTTGGTGGAAACTTCGGGAATGAGTGCTGACCATTATAGGTTCACCAAGGCTATTTTGATATCTTCTTCCCAACTGACTTCAACGTGGTCGAAGACCTCTACCGGGCCATTACCGGGAAATTGACCCAGGTCATGAGCCACGAAGACTTTGTTCGCCGTTGGGCATACATTGAGGACACCGAGACGAGGAATGGGGAGAACCCGCTTCTGAGCTGGTATAAGAATGCTGATATGCTGTTGACGGTGTAACTGTACCATTAGTTACCATTAGTTGAATAAATTAACTGCCCATATGTGACTATTAAAGCTCTTTCTCAGACACCTTGGGTCACAGGATTAGCAAACTACATCTTGTCTTTCAGTTATCCACATAACGTAGTTGCGTCAATATCTGGTTTGTGACAGGGACCGGGAAGCTGATGGCAACCCACCACTCTAAGTAGTCGGTTGATGTCTTTAAGAAGAGCGGTAATTATTAAACAATATGACTACCTGGGCACGCTACTGAAAGTGTTTAGACCCCTAGTGGCACGTATGGTGTAATATTGAGGCCTTCTCTCAGGTTGACAGTATCCTTTCCTTCTCATTAGTCTGTATCCTCCATAAACACAGGCAGCGCTGACACCTAGACTCGGAGCACTGGTCGCCAGAATATCGCGTTGAGTGACGATCAGACGATCATGATGCGCTGCACCTCGCGCAATCCAATCTACTGATTCCGAAGGAGCCTCCCGTTTAGTGATACAACTTTAAGGTTCCCTGTGTGAGCCTCCAAGAAAGAGGTTAGTCAACGACAAGATAGCATCCGTCGTCGATTGGTTTCCATCCAGCCTCATCCTCCTCGTTGGAACTCGTCATCGTCCTTCTCAAGGGCAGGCTTGAAGAACCAGTCTATCTTTCCCTTGATAGGCTCCCCATGTGTACGTCTGCCCCCGCGGAGTGCCACCTTTTTACGAGTGCATCGTCTTCCGGAAAAATTGCTGCGTAGAGGTGGCCAAGTCCGAGAGCGGCTCGCGGAAGTTAAAGGCCTAGGTGAATTGCTGCCTGTCTCCACCAACCAAGTGGGCGCGTAGTCCATTGAGTTCGACGGGGGAATAGATCCTTTCTGTTGACGGATTGCGACCCATATTCGAGGCACTCGTAATCTGTTTCGGTAACTCCCCACTACAGGAAGCATTCAAGCTGACCACGAAGCTAAGAAATGCTAGCATAACGAACTTCCCCAACTAAGAAAGGAAAAGAGCCACGTTGTAAGAGGTATCAAAGATCAGTGAACTCGGCAGCGATAGAACGGAAAATGTTCGCGGAGATTGAGAAGAGTCGATACGCACTCACGCCCTGGGGCAGGGGTGGAAGGTTGTCAAATATGAGGTGAATTGGTAAGAGCATTGGGGCTCCACGAACGGTAATGTTGCTAGGATTCGAGAAATTCACGACAACTTCTTCCACGCGACCTGGGACGATCTCAGTCAGCGAACGGGTTCGCGTTCCTGGCTGTTGGCTGGGTTGATGCACACGCTCCCACCGCTCGAAGATCAGAGTTTTGGCATCTTTGTCGATCTTGATCAGGAGGACTAGACGCGTCAAGTCATTAGTATTCGATAGCCATAACCTTGCGTCAAGGCGTAAAGGGTTCAAGGATTCCGATGCCCCGACTTCTACCACAAAAGATGGAAAGTCTGTTCTAGAGCGTGTGTCGGGTGAGTAGGACTCATCAGGCTCTTTGTGCACGTTTCCTGGCATCTCGCAGTTTCCACCTCCGTAAGCCTTCAGCATGTAAGAGGAGATGCCATAATCCGCGCAGATGCGACGGAATTCATCATGAAATAATCGACTGAGCTGCGCATGCACCGTGCCTACAGGTCTGATTAGTTGAACAATAGGTATTAAATGGCACGACGATGGAGCTTACCCGCTAATTTGATGATGAGGGTGGTCTCATCAGCGAAGTATGTGAGCTTCGGGCTTCCCAAGTTTCTCTCTTCGGTCCGAATTCGTTCAAGCTGTTTGACGCACTCAGGGGTGATGTTGGTGATGACAAGACACTGAGCGGAATCATCTCCATTGAAGAATTGGGAGCCCTTGGCCTTGATGAAGTTGATTGTAGTCGTGATGTCGCGGGATTTTTCTCGGTTGCTGGAGTGAACAGAATAAAGTCGAGAATTGACGATGGAGTCGCGTGGGAGTGAAATTGTTCCTCTGCTCGAGGAGTCAGGGAGGTAGGTATATATCAAGCAAGACCCAGGAGGAAGCACTCATCGGTGTATATATAGCTCGCACAACTTCCGATTCACTCCTACCTGATGGGTTCAATGAATGGGTTTGGTGGATAAAGATGTCAGTAAGAGGAAGTCAAGTCAGTGAAAGTCAAACGACTCTCTGCCGACGTAATCATTACCCTTCGCTTTCTGGTCCCACGCCCCCTCCTCTTTGTAGCGTACTGGTTACTTTGGTCAATAGATATCTGTCAAACCAGATGTAGACCATACAGGGCCTCATTAGTACGTTCACGCTTTCAGTGGCCTAGCGGTCGTTTTACGATTGACAATATCCTGCGAGCTGTTTCGAAAGCAGGACCCATGGGAGACGGTCTGGACGTGGAAGTAGAAAGGAAGAAGCTGACGGGGCCCTTTGTAGGGTATTTATATAGCCTAGATAACGGAAAATTCCTTGTCTACCAGATGTATCCAGTGAAAGGCGACTTCAACATAGGTGAATCGGAAGCAGAGGGCTTCCTCATGACTCCACTGTCTGACCAACAGTCACTCCCAGTACCCTGCTTGAATAGACATAAGGCGCTAACATTGACAGGTCAATAGAGATAATGGAAATGAAAGCCAAAGGTCTCCATATTGTGGCCTCACAAAGAAGGCATTAGAGGTTTAGAGAATCGTATAAAGTACAGATGCCATGTCTGTTACCTGTATTCACAATATCGTAGACGACCACAGTATTCACCTCAGGTTGGAGCATCGACGCCATATTGACTCGTATTCCAAACCACCATTCGGAATTCGTTATTGTGGCTGAGAACAAGCGTTGACTCCAAACGCATTATAGTTCTGTACCAAAGACATTACCCGGCTACTCAAATTTCCCCACCGACCTTCCCCCGCATTCCCTGCTTCTTTGCCCTTAATGGTAGCTCTTCCTGTGGGACAAGCCAACAGATGCATTGGGGCAGGCCTCTCCCATCAGACAGGTATAGGGGCTACTAAGCGAGCCATTTGCTCTAGTACCACTCAATATGCCCCGAAACGCCTGCGCCGAGTGTAGGTGAGTTGTCCTGCCCCTTGAACCTCCCCCGCCCATTGCCACTTGCTGTCTATTGACCATGTATGAAGATCACGGAAAATAAGATGCTTCCCCGGTGAGTTTGGCCAGCAATGTCAGCCATGCGCCGCTCGGAAGTTGGTCTGCTCCCACAGGCCTCCGTCTCGGGGCCTTCCTTTGCATCCTTCGGACGGGAGAAGGTCACCACATCTATCCATGAGTCAAGTGGCCTCACTGTCGCCTTCAGCGTTTGAAGATTCAACACCTCTCTTTCGGACGGACCAGACTCAAAGATTCGTGTTGCTGGATAGTAACGCTGGTCTGGATCTAGGCGCTGGGACGCCTTCCGAGTTGCTCCGTGAGGCTGAATTTACGCAGACACTGCTCCTATTATATTTCAGCAACTTTGATGATATCCATGTTATGTTCGACCAGACGTCGTTCATGCGGCAATTTGTACTGGGGAACGCCTCGAAACCACAGCTCTTTGCCATTATGGCTTTAGGCATTCGGTCCGTATGATCCGTCTGTGTGGTCTTCGCTCAGCCTGCGCTCATCTTCTAACTGACATGCCTCCAGGTATTCTCATGCCAATTTTAGCCAGCCAACCTTGCGGCCTCACTGGGGTGAGCCGTTGTTCCACGAGTCCCGGCGCCTACTCAAGGAAGAATTCGACCTCCCATCAGTGGGCACCGCCCAAACGTATGTCTTGCTTGCGACCTACCAGCTCACCTTTGGAGGAGCGAGGAAGGCGTGGATGTATTTAGGTAACCGTGACCCATATGCCCACCTTGAATCCCGCGCGGACGTGTCCAGATAAACTGACCGCTGCCTCCAAGGCTTCGCGCGGAATATAGTGAGCCTGTTCAAATTGGGGGTACGGCGTGATGGTGCGAGTGTCTTCGAAGACGAGATGACCCGCAGACTAGTGGCCACTATCGTCATAATGGAGAATCTCTTCACGCCTTCGGTCAACATTGAACGCGGCCTTTCGCCGATGCAACTAGCAACGAAGCTCAACGGCGAATTAAACGCAACGATAGGCCGGACGCGCATCTGCGGCCCCGCTGAACCAGGTCCGAGCCTGGCCATCATGAATGAAATACTGCATCTCTCTGAGGTGCATTATCAGATTCGACGAGCATGGCACACACAACCCGCCTCCTCACTGCAACAGGATTTCGCCGCGACCCTGCAACAGTGGCAGGATGCCTTGCCCAGCTACCTTCGGCTGGCGCCGGAGAATTTTGAATACCATCAAGAGAGACTTTCCCTTCGAAGATATGCGTTCATGCATCTGCTTCAACTGCATCTGCGACATTTACTTCTGTTTAAGCAGCTAGAATGGCCACCGACTATACATAGCACAGCTACGAGGGACCCGTCTGCAGTTGAAGCATATGAGCACGCGTCTCGTATCACAAGTATTGTGAACTGGCTCTGGCATACATCACAGCTGGAGATGCACAACGCCAGCTTTGGGCAAATTGTGACAATCGCCCAAGTCATCCATATACATCGGCTCCTATCTTCCACGGACGCCGATACAATCAATTCGACCCAGTCTGAAATTACCGCTTTGCAGGAATATTTACTGCGGGTCAAACGCCATTGTCGTCTCTTCAATTGGGTTGTACGTTGCCTATAACTAACTAATAGTGCCTCATTGATCTGCTTCACGACCTTGACGCATGAACTAACACCCATGGTCCCTAGGTTGCGCAGCTAGAGTGGTTCATGCATATATGTACCCAGCCTGATTTCTGGCTAGATGAGAGGTCCTGGCGGTCTGTTATCTACGATCAGTTGATGACTCTGGGTACTAGCTTCGAGCGACTGGATTACGACACAGGTGGTAAGTGCTCCCTCCGACTAAATCCTTTGCATGCTGGTACTAATTTATTTTTGTGCCCTTTCAAGGCCATATGAGTACCATGGAGAGTCTGGCCGACTTTCAAACTTATTCTCAACAGAGAGCACACCAGACACCCCAGATTCTTCTACGCGGCTTTATCCCAGGGCCTTTGGGCCCTCTGTCTGATACGAATGGCTATACATGAGGAATGATGTCGACGGCCATAGCTTAGATATCATATTGTCAAATCTGATGAAATCGCAGAGAATATTCCTAGACCTCCATGGCAATCCCTCCCTGGCCCGTCTAGAGGCCCTTCCAAGCGAGTGGTTCCCGTACAACAAAACTCACTGTCCCCACAACGTCTTGAGAGGACGTACCCAAATGCACCTTGTATACACCCGGGTCCGCTACCCAGGAATCCCTTTCGGCGTTGAAGTAACTGATGCTGTACTTATCAAGCGTGATCTGCACCTCTCGACTTTCACCGGCAACTAGATATACCTTTTGGAATTCCTTCAACTCCTTGATGGGCCGCTTACAACCACCAGTGCCTGCTCCTAGAGGAGGCTGCACATAGTACTGCAGTACGGCCGCGCCGTCTCGGGCTCCCACATTTTTAGCATCGCAGATGAGCTCCACTGACACGTCCAATCCCGAGAAGACCGTACGTTTCACCCGAAGACCAGTAACATGGAACTGCGTGTACGAGAGACCAAAGCCGAAAGGGAACAGGGGCATGGGGCTCTCCGGGCGATCATAAAAGCGGTATCCAACGTCCAGCTTCTCCTCGTAACGAACGACATTGTCTTCATCGCAGGGGAAGTTGTGAAAGGTCGGATTGTCCTCGTCCTGACGTGGCCAGGAGAATGGCAGCCGGCCACTGGGACAGACATCACCACTGAGAAGTCGAGCCAGCGAATGGCCGCATTCTTGTCCCGGAAACCAGGCCTGTATTAAGGCGGGTACTTGATCGACAACTGCCGTCATGGTGACGGGACTACCACTAAAGTTGACAACAATTGTCCGGCTATTTGCAGCCGCCACGGCTTGGATTTGCTCATACTGCGAGCTGGACAGGTCCATTGAGCTGCGGTCGAATCCTTCCGACTCGATTTCGCTCGTCGTGCCGACGCATACCACAGCGTAATCGGACCTTTGCGCTGATTCGCAAGCCTCGCGAATTCGCTGGTTCTCGTCCACGAATTCTTGGAACCGCAAACTTGACCCCTGGAACATCCGGCCATACAGGGGCTTGCCATGGAGGATTTCCTGATCTGTGTTCCACGATTCCAGGACGAGCGTATAGAATTTACCAGCCTCCATGGGGTAGGTAAAGCGGCGTTCCAGTTGAGATTTGAAGAAATAAAAGGATTCCGGGCGAAGATCCGTCTCTTGAGGCCGCTCGAAGACGCGCTCTCCATTGATGTAGCAGATGGCTGGTCCAGTGGAAATGACCGAGAGCAGATGTTCGCCGCTTGAGGAAGGGCAGACATCGTAAGTCATGCGGGTGCAGTAAATCTGCTCCAGATAGGACGGCCACTTTTCCTTGATCATGTATTCCGGTAGTGCCTTCGTTTCCTCAAGCGCCAGCTTCTCTCCGATAGTGCATCCGTTGAACCACTCGACCCTCACTGGCTCAGGCATCTTGGTCTTGGACACAGAGTCATACATGAGGGCGGCATCGGGATGGGGAAGGGCTCCATACACAGGAACCCCAGGGCAGGCGTCAACTTCATACCCAGCTGCCCTGAGTCCCTCTACCGGGCTGACCGCATGAATGGCGTCCACACGCGCACTTCCTCCACCACCTAAAGCGACGTGCAGCGCATGGTAGCCCACAACCGTCACGGTTGATGCCTTTGGCAAGGGCAGAATGTCACCGTCGTTCTTTAACAACACCATCCCAGCGGCGCTCGCATCTCGGATGAACAAATCACGGCCAGTATTGCTTACACTTTGTTCTGGCGGTTCTTCGGGGTTTTCGAATCGACCCAATACTCGTGCAAGCTCGAGAACCCGTCTAGCCGAAGCGTTGATTGTCGCATCACTGACTTCGCCCTGCTCTATGGCCTGCAGGAGCTTCTCTCCACGCAATTTTGTCGGCCCCGGCATTTCCAGGTCCACCCCTGCATTCAGACATTGGGCCGTGGAGTAGACGCCCATCCAGTCTGACACCACCAGGTTTTGGAACCCCCACTCACCGCGGAGGATGCCATTCACCAGCTGCTCGCTGTCCGCGACATAGGTGCCGTTGACGCGGTTATAACTGACACACGCGGTAAGCCTGGTACACGCATGGGTACTAGAACCAAAGTCACTCACCTTGTCATAAGGCACAAAGGACTTGAATGTTTCATCACAAGCTGAAATGGTAGAAGGTATATTTCCCGCAGCGTTTGTGAATCAACATCAACCGTGAGAATCGTGCGATTATTCTCGGTCTCGTTCGCCACGAAGTGTTTCGGCGTTGCCGCTATACCTTCCGACTGGCAGCCTATGGTTTTCAAGTTAATAATACGACATGTCGATATGGACGAAAAATACCCGCCCACACAAGAGACGCACCATTGACAAAAGCAGCTGCAAGTACGCCCAGTGCAAACGGATCTTCCGAGTATGTTTCGTAATTCCGACCACCTGAGAATCCCATCCGTCAGCTTTACTGAATCCAGTCCTACCGTAGCGATCGATGAGAGGGCACGCACCGCGGGGTGAGCGAATGACATTCAATGTCGGGGCTAGCAGCACATTCGCTGATTTCGTTTTCGCCTCTCTTGCGATTTCCTGGCCCGTACGGAAAAGCAGGTCGCGGTCGAAGCTGGCTCCCAGAGAGGTTCCGCATGGGAAACAAGCTGCCTTGATCCCGCTGACGTAGCTCTCGCCGCGCGCTCCATTTGGTCCATCCGTGGTCTAGCACGAGCATGAGATATTAGATGTCTTGTCTTTCCTTCTGTCAATTGGTATCTCACCTTGATGTGCGGAATGGTGAAGCCATCGCGCTGGATTACGGGTGTACGCCACCAGTCTGTCGCACTGAGGAGGGAGACCTTTTCCTCACGCGTGAGCTGGCTCAACAAGGAATCAATATCAACGTTTGAACGCATGGAACCCATCATGAGGCGATGAAATCAAGGTGGCTTTGTGTATTGGCAGATGGGAATGGGATGGAGAGTAGGAAGTGGTTCGTGCTCTTTCTCCGTTTCTCGGGGGCATAGATTAATGTGAGTGTAACTAGTCATGTGCTATGACTTCTGTAGAAGAGTAAATACCGAACCACATCCCGATCTTTTCATAGATCAGCGAGCTTGCGTGCTCGAGATGGCTGCCAGGTGCCCTATGGGGAAAGCGTACTGTAATTACCGTAACTTTTGTCTCGGCGTATATGTACGCTGATTGGGACAAATTTAAGTGGGGCCGCGGACTTTTCGGCCGGTATGGTCTCTGATTGGTGCCCACGCCGGAAAGTGCCACAAACCCTAACCTTAGAAGTTCTCAACGTGTGGACAAGGATACCTTAATGAAAGACTGCTATTCATAACTCCCCGCAAACTCTGGCGTAGGCAGGCTTAGCTAGATTCCTCGTGTGACGATGGGCCCATTGGACCAGGCCTCAGAGGAATCGTTCATACTCCGCGTGGCTGTTAAGTTTTGCGGAGAGTCCCACATATCGCGACTTCATACCTCTTCCACTATGACTTTCATATCCCGATATCCTGATACCATCATACCCTCGTATTCTCGTCATACATACCCCAGTCGCCGCGGCAGTCGATGACGGTAGCGCAGATGGAGTTAACGCCTTCGAAAACAAGACGTCTTTCATCACTATAAGAGTGCCCATCTGGTCGGGAACCCTTCTTTCCTCCCCTACTTTCCACATAAGGCTCTTCCTTCAGATCTTTTCTTTTGGCTTGTCACTTTGACGTGGAGATATCCATCATGAACGACCTGGAGAAGATGCAAAGCGCTGCAGATCAAGTCGAAGACATCAAGGAAGCCCAGGATGTTGTCGACGTTGATGCCCGGCTGCAAGATCTCGCCAGAGAATCTCCGCCGTTCTATCGCAAACGCAACCTCACGACATTGTACCTGTTGATGGCCCCAGGGTGCTTGGTTCCGGCCATTACCCTTGGCTTTGACGGTGCCATGATGAACGGACTACAGGCCATATCCACTTGGAATGAATGTATGATGCTACTGCCCCCTTTATTTCCACTCAATTGCTGTCTATCCAGTTGAGTTGGGATTCTCTGCCAATGCTAATATCAGTACGAGTCAGATTTTAATAACCCGTCCGGTCCAATTCTCGGAGTCCTGACTGCGATTCTTGCTCTGGGTGCCATCTGTGCCACCCCGTTCATCAGCATGGTCGGTGACCGCTGGGGCCGCCGCATGGGTATAATCCTCGGTTCAGCCATTATGGCCGTCGGTGGAATTCTGCAGGGCTCTTCTGTGCACAGTAAGGCATGACGTCGCCCCGTACCTCAACTAATATTGACCTCTCCGCCTGGACAGTCGCCATGTTTCTCGTCTCCCGATACCTGATCGGATTCGGCCTCGTCTTCGCCAACGCATATGCCCCAATTCTAATCGGGGAACTATCCCACCCCAAAGACCGCCAGGTGACCACATCGCTGTACCAAACAACTTGGTACTTCGGCGCCACGCTCGCCGCTTGGACGACGTTCGGAACGTTCACAATGCCTACGGAGTGGGCATGGCGCATTCCGTCTCTCCTTCAAGCAGCTCCGGCCTTGGTCCAGATCGTGGGCGTCTGGTTCGTTCCCGAGTCGCCTCGCTGGCTGGTCGCGACGGGCCGCGGCGAAGAGGCCAAGGCGATCCTGACGAAGTACCACGCCGAAGGACAGGAGAATGATGAACTAGTCGAGCTCGAGTACTTTGAGATGAAACGTGTGATTGAGGCAGATCTGGCTGCCAACGAGATGACCTGGCGCGCCTTGGTGGCGTCTCCCGGGAATCGTCGACGCTTACTGCTAGTCCTCATGCTTGGGGTGTTTTCCCAATGGTCGGGAAATGGGCTTGTCTCGTAAGTTTTCCTTTCATTCTTCCGCTTTCTTCGTTTTTGAAGAAATCCGTATAGCGAAAAGTGTGAATTAACGACTTGCTTCAGGTTCTATCTTGTCCGAGTCCTCCAAACAGTCGGCATCGCCAATTACAAGACCCAGAACACCATCAACGGCTGTCTCATGATCTGGAGCTGGATCACCGCGGTTGCGTCCGCGTTCCTGACCGCGCGAATTCGCCGTCGGACACAGTTTTTGGTCTCGACCATCGGCATGTTAGCCGTCTTCGCGAGCCAGACTCTCTGCGCAGGACTGTTCAATACCCAGCACGACGAGGCAGCCGGACTGGCGGTCATCGCAATGCTCTTCCTCTTCTACATGTTCTTTAACCTTGCGTTCAATGCGCTGCTGTACTCGTACCCCGTCGAGTTCTTACCATACCCGATTCGCGCGAAGGGGTTCTCCGTGCTGATGTTCGTTGGGAAGGCGGCGAATTTTGTCAATGCGATGGTGAATCCTGTCGGCCTTGCGGCTATTGGATGGAAGTACTATTTCGTGTATGTGGCTTGGTTGGTGGTAGAGGTCTTGTCTGTTTATTTCTTTTTTGTGGAGACCAAGGGTCCTAGTCTCGAGGCCATTGCTGCTAGGTTTGATAATCTTTGATTGCGTCGGGAGTGTGTTTTTGAATGAGGATCGCGGAGGATGGGAGAGAGACTGGGATCGGTACTAAACGAATGTCTAGTTGTTCTTTTCGTCCTCGTCTTCTATGGTTGTATATTTGACCCAATTCATAGCCAGTTTACTGATCGTTCGCATTGATCGAGAAGGTAGGCTGACGATGCTATGCTAATCCAGCGGTACGAGAACTACACCACGGATATCCTTTCCGAAGCAACTTGCTCGGCCTTCTTCTCCCTGCATCTCGGGCGATTACTCCGTGTAAGCTGTCAGTGCGGGACACTTGGACCACAGAGCGGGTAATATCCGGAACCTTGTAGACAGTCACGAATGGACCCTTTTCGGGAGATAGCCGAGTGCTCGGATGCGAAAGAGTACAATTACTGAGAGACGCGTCTCTGGAATAATGTCACCATCCCTTCAAAATATCTATTACAGTTTTCATTGTGGCACTGTCCTGTACAGTACGGAGCATTCTCGGTCAGTGTCAAATCTAACATGCTAAATTGCGTTTGGAGTCAGGCTAGGACATCTGCCCTCCGGGGTGTTCCTCGTCTCAGCTGTCGCAATATAGTCCAAAGTCGTCACTGCCTCTCCACAAGCTCGCATCCAAATTCGAATACAGGTTGTCCACCACCAAAATCACCATGGACACGAGCCATCCTGGGGACGGCCGTCGGCTCCTTAATCACGGGCACAATCTTCTACAATCTCCCTGAGCGAACGCAGAGTGGAACTCGTCATCAGCCATCCTATGCATCATCCAGCCAGACGATCAAAGTAAGCCCCTTCGCCCCCAAGACTAGAAACTTGGAGCAGCCAGATAACCACAGCCTAGGCGATTCACGAGATACGTCAAGCTCTCGGGGAGGACAGCGTCAGTGCTGACGAAGGAGACCTCGAGTCACATGGATTCTCCGAGTGGTCCTCTATCAACATAGGACGGTTCCCTGATGTCGTGGTCTATCCTCGGTCGACGGAGGAGGTCTCGACAATTGCAAAAATCTGTCACAAATACAAGGTTCCCATGAGTGAGCTCTTCCCCAGAATGGTTCTATCTGATTTTTTCAAGCTGACGGCATCTAGTCCCATTTTCAGGGGGATCCAGCGTGGAAGGCCATTTCTCGGCACCTTTTGGCGGCGTGAGCGTAGATTTCATGAAGATGAATCAAATAGTTGCATTCCACCCCGAAGAGTAGGCCACCCTTTTTGATGCATGAAGACAATTATTCGACAGTACTAACCATCATCAGTATGGACATTGTGGTGCAGCCGTCAGTATCTTGGGTGGACCTCAACGAGGAAATCAAGGACAGCGGATTGTTCTTCCCCGTAGATCCTGGCCCTCCGGTGAGTTCGAGTCCACATAATATAGTTCAGGCTCCGGCTTATCCAGGTACAGGCAAAAATTGGGGGAATGATTGCCACAAACTGCAGGTATGCCACCCCAATCCAACAGAAGAAGAGTCTCACACCAACCGCCATACAGTGGAACGAACGCGGTCCGCTATGGAACCATGAAAGACTGGGTCGTCAACCTGACGGTCGTTCTAGCAGACGGGCGGATACTTCAAACACGGAAGAGACCAAGGTAACGGAATGTGGTCAAGTGGCCATAAGACTAGGTGCACATATCTCAGGAATTATGTTGTTAACCCGTCGCAGGAAATCGTCAGCGGGCTATAACTTGAACGGTCTTTTTACTGGCGCAGAGGGGACTCTGGGATTTGTCACCGAGGCCACGCTGAAACTGGCACATATACCTGAAGAATACGGAGTCGCAGTGACTACATTCCCGTCAATGAGGTCTGCCGCCAATGCAGCTACGGAAGTGATCCGCTACGGAATCCCGGTGGCAGCAGTGGAACTCCTCGACGACGTCCAAATGGACGTTGTCAACCGGATTGGAGGCACGGGACAGGAGTGGAGAGCGTTACCAACGCTATTTTTCAAATTTAGCGGGACCCGTGCCGGCGTTCAGGACAACATTGACGGGGTGCGGCGCATAGTGCGGGAGAATGGAGGCAGCGATTTCCGGGTGGAACGAGATCCGACGAAGCAAGCGGCCCTCTGGTCGGCCCGTAAACAGGCGCTCTGGAGCATGATGTGTTTGCGAGAAAAGGGCTCGGAAGTATGGTCTACCGACGTAGCTGTTCCGCTGTCCAAGGTTCCAGATCTTGTCGGTATGTGACAATCCACCCCCTTCCTACCAGTGGGCCAAGGGCCGCAGAACAAGCCCACTCATTCGCTAACGTACGATACAGAGATCTCCAAGAAAGACCTGGACGACCTCGGTCTGTTCGGCAGCATGCTGGGCCACATTGGGGATGGGAACTTCCACGAGACCATTCTATTCGACGGAGATGAAGAACGCGAGAAAGTGGCCAAATGTGTCCATGACATGGTCCACCGAGCTATCGAAATGGACGGTACTTGCACAGTAAGCGCTGCTTAGATTCTCACGACAGCTGAGGAACCAGGCTGACGAAGAATGTAGGGCGAGCATGGGATTGGGCTGGGGAAGAAGGAATTCTTGGAGGAGGAAGTCGGCGAAACATCCCTGACCGTCATGAAGACCATCAAAGCTGCGCTGGATCCGCACTGGCTGATGAATCCGGGGAAGGTCTTTGATCCTTGAGTTCAATGCTTGTTGATTGTCGTGAGCAGTAGTACATAGATGGGAAGTTGGGACGGTGGGAAATGAGGCCGGCTAATTCCCGAACCCAGATTACCGGTATTTGGGATATAGATACGGTACGGTATATAACCCTGAGCTCCCTACTATATCGCGCTTCGTCCTGGTATCTTACCATTGCCTTACCCGTAACATATCTCCCGAATCCATATCCGGTCCAACTCCGCCTCGGGACCTTCCCGCGACGGTCATCTACTCAGAGTAAAGGTGTAGAACTACGCAGGACTTGTTCCAGCTGACCCCGCCTATCCGTCTACTTCCTCGATATAGGTATACTACTCCATGTGATACGTCGGACCATGTCGGTTTCTTCTGATAGCGTACGTTTGGACTCCACCATGCATGACTTCCAGCTGAACTTGTCATCCGGCGCAGTGTACGCACGACCAGACCTCCGTCTCTCAGCCCTCGCCGAAGCGACGACGCGTTGCATTGGCTTGCCAGAGCTGTAGAGAGCGGAAGGTTCGGTGCGATGGGTTGAGGCCAGTATGCTCAACCTGCCGGCGACGAGGCATACCTCCTCAGCAATGTAAATACCTGGTAATTGCAGACACGGCCAAGTATCAGTCCGAACGAGCGTGAGTGATCCAGGTCTCACGTTCAGCTGGAGTCCGCTGATTCGGACGATAGATATGTGCAGATGCTGCATGAGCAAATCTCGCACCTACAGCAGCAGGCTTGTCAGTCTAATCGCAGGCCTGGGAGCCAAGTCTCAGATTCACCACAGTCCGGAGAGACGCACCGGCCAACACAAAGTAGCTCCGACGTTGCGGTGCCTCCTCTGGCCCCCGCGATGTCGCAAGAAGAGATTGAGATGCCGGATTCTCTATACTCCAAACTGACAGAGCAGCATGCGCCGCAGCTGGAGAATACAGAGTCCCTTTCAAACTCTATCAACGCCATGGGAGCTGCCGTGCCCGATGTCTGTGACATCCAGAGTCGCGATGAGTATTACGGCCAGTCCTCTCTCGTTGCATTCATTCAGCAGTGCGCCCCTGTGTCAACGTCAACCTCTGGGCCTCGCCCCCCGTCACGATCCACTCAACCTATATCACCATCGACTGCATCTACAGCCCCGAGTCAGAGTTCTTTTGGCTCCCGCAAGATGCACTCCTATCTCTCTGATGACTACTCACTTCCGCCGCGCCAGGCTGCAGACTGGCTTGTAGAGATCTACTTCACCACCTCTCATATGTTCTACCCCTGGGTACACAAGGAGAGTTTCATGAGGCGGTACGAACAACTCTGGTCAAGTCATGACCCGAAAAATCTGCACGAGCTGCCTGACGTAGGCCTTGGAGGACGAGGGTGCTCTACAGAGGTCTTTTACTGTGGCCTGAATGCGATTTTTGCCATCGCGTGTGAATTCTCCAACATGCCTGTCCAAAGCAAGCGCTCCTCATCCCTGTTATTCTATGAACGCATGAAGAGTTTATTAAACATTGACATCTTCGACAGTGGGAGCCTGGCCCATATCCAAGCGCTCCTTCTCGTCTCACTCTATTTGCAGTGCACGCCTTATCCTCGGCGGTGCTGGAACACGGTGGGGATGGCATATAGGATATCAGTTGGCATAGGGCTGCATCTGAGTCGATCTTCAAATAAGTTTAAGCCCTTGGAGCGGGAGATTCGCTGGCGGGTATGGTGTGCCTGTGTGCAGATGGACATGTGAGTCCCCGTCCCAATTTCTGATTCGCACTTCTTCCCGTTCCCTCTCCCACTCTCTCTGGTCAATACTTAAAGGATTTTTTTAGTATTGTCAGCATGACAATGGGACGCCCGTCCATGACACGGATTTCATGCGACTTTCCCCTGCCGTCTCCTGTTGACGACAGTTGCCTGTCGGCTGGAACCGAACCAGACGCACAATCAGAAGCAGACGCAATCTCCCACAACCAATTTCTTTACGAGAACATGAGGCTCATAGGAATCCTCGGCAAGCTACTGTCAACGGTCTACCACAGCACAGAGCCAGGTACCGACAAAGGTCATCTTCAGCCGCCCTCCTGGGATGCACAAGCTATCATGGATATTGAAAGGGATCTGGAGAACTTCCAGTCGTCATTGCACCCTGGTTTGCACTGGGACCCGAGCCAAGCATGGACTAGGCCCATAGAGCCCATTTTCAAAAGGCAATCAAATACTCTCCATGCCCGGTAAGTCTCCCACCGTACGATCATCTGGGATGGTCCGATTCTCATTGGATAACTCATAGATACCTTCACCTCAAATTACTACTGTACCGGCCAGGTTTCAGCGGTCATCGCTCGGGCATACTGTCCGCACGAGATAGAGCGCAGCATCAAAAACCCGAGGCTAGTTCGTGGTCCCGACTATATCAGCGGCGCTGCGCAGAGGGTTGTGTTCAGGCCGCCTGTGACCTGATAGAGTCGCTGTCAAAGGCCACTGTGCAGGACGCCACAGGAGCTTGGTGGTATGGAGTTTTCTGTGAGTCCTTTCAGAGCCAGAATCTACCGGGCTACAAATCCAGCCTCACGATATCACTAATGGGTGGCGTTCATCTAGACCTCATCAGTGCCGGCATTGTCCTGGTTTCCGTGGACGCTATCAATACCGAATTTGATGGCGTGGGTAGCAATGAACTAGACAGAGCCTGGGAACGTTGTCTGCAGACTCTTCTTCGCATGGTGGATGTCTATCCCTCGGCTCGTGATTACGCCGTCGCATTGAACGGACTGAAACAACGTGGGTCCTCGACACAACCAGGTAGACATCCTCCGATCTTCTATACACGCGCAAATATGTATGCTGACATTTGGACGAAAACTAGACGTACTTGGCGTTGGACAAAACGCTTCCCGTGCAGCAGAACACACTGGATCAGACAGCATTCGGGATTCGACCTCGCGGGTGAGTATGCAACAGGCTGTTCCAACCGCCACTTCCGACACCAACTGCAACAACGTGGCGTCATATACTGGTTTTAGCCCTCTCTTGGCCGACTGGGACTTTGGCCTGGAGGACATCATGCTCCCCCAGTGTCTACAGGAGGTTGACGAAGGCTTGTTGCCAAACCTGTCCTGAGGCGACCCGTGCAAGATACAGCATACTTCCAAGTAAATTGGTCGAGCCTGGAATCGGTCAGCAGAGGCTTTACAGATCACCTTGGCCGTCCTGCCTCTATGCTCCATACAGTCACGAGCAGTCCAACCGGCGTTTCTGAGATCGAATGCCACGCGCACGCGGCACAACCATGGTCGTTCCGCTGTCTGTCACCCACAGTTAATCTCATCGTCGAGCGAGGGCCCTGGTATTACAATGCGGTTTTCCAGTTGTGAAGTCATATCTGGATTGATTGCCCTAATGCTGTGGACTGTGTGGGCAATCTCGTCATATTGCGTGCTGAAAAGGGATGATGAGTAAGTGTGAGAGTGGAAATTACCTTGGCTTGTGGCAATACCTTACTTGCCGGGAGACTTTACAACTTGCCGCTCTCCGCCGGGAGTCCAGGTTACTTCCACTTCAATTTCGACATTCGACACGCACAGTCCATCGGTCAGCTGGGTGTAAGAGGACAATGAATGTGTGACCCCTTACTGGATTGCTATGTACTACCGGTTCTTTTAAAGAGCCTTCGCGCAGTTCTACACCTCCCAGCTGTCTTTGCTCAGTCCTGCTCTGTCGAATACCGGAGAGGGAGAGAGAACGAGCCTCAGACTTGGTTGAATGGTGAAGTGATTGCGACGGAGACATAGACCACAAGATGGAGGTCGAACACCCCAGCAATGCCTTACCCACAAAACAATCTCTGGAAGGGCACTTATTCCCAGACGTGAACCCAATCATCAGTCCTACAGACAGCCTCACGATAGGGGCACATGTTCAGGACGCGACCTCAGACACGATCATCCCAAATGACAACCATCTCATTGCTTCGCCATACACCGACCAGGCTCACCTTCTGGACCTCACCACGCTGGAAAGACCCAATCAGCTCCTAGCCAGAGCGTTGTCGGTTCTGCAACCAACACGGGACGACTATGCAACAGCGTGTTACCTAGAGTCGTTCAATTGGCCCGAGGTCATCGACTCGATTCGTCGTCTATGTTCGGAGACAGGCTATTCATGGACGAAACGTAGCTTCTATGTGATCGTATTTCGATCACAACTTTATGCAAATGCGAACTCGGAGTGCCTGTACGAGCTAGATGCTCAGTCCCATCGCGAAGCCGTCGCAAGTGGCGGTCTGCTAAAGTACTGGTTCGGAACGACGAATGCGAACAGAGAGAACTTAGCTACGTGTTTGTTATCCCATTTCCTCTTAAGTCTGTCCGTGTGGGCTCCACTGACACGGCCATGACAGGTATCTGGCGCAGCCAACGGGATGCACGACTTGGTGGCACAGGGCCGTGGCATCAGCGCGCACGCACGGCCATTGACGAGTTTTACGAGCGGATCACGCTGACCAGGTTGAAGTTGGAGATTGGGGATGATGTCAAGTCGTGGGTGTTCTCCGAGTGGAAAGATGAGATTGAAGGAGATATATGATACTGTCGAATCAGTGACAGACACCTTAATCCACACCAATGCATCAAGTTGTATAGAAAATCATCATATGGAAGTTTATCTGCCCAATGCAGGATATTACCCCGCTAGGGATCCGCCTAAATAAGTATCATTCCACGTCCATGTGGGGTAAATCCGGCCGGGGAATATTGCCTCGCTTGCGATATCGCATCCAGGTACATCATCGCGACTCCAGTGCATGCGGGGTGACAGAAATTACGATGGCGCTGGATAGTTATTTATTCGGGGAAATCCCCGGGCGAGAGACTCGAATCGCACGAGCATCCAGTCACCCTCACACAGAAGCTAAGTCAAAATGGTTGGCCTTCTCAACGACACCAAACTCGCCGTCAACGACGGCCCTCTTACGTCGGAAAATGCCGCCTTCCTGCGGGCCTCAGACCCCAGCCTCCCGCTGGACGAGCTGCGCAAGCGATACAACGAAGACGGCTACCTCTTTCTGAAGGGACTCCTCCCCCGCGAGGACGTCCTCGACGCCCGTCGTCGCTACTTCGAGTACCTGGCTCCGACCGAAGTCCTCGAGCCGGGCACAGATCCGGTCGAGGGCGTTTTCAACAAGAGCAAGTCCATCGACGACTATCCCGGTATTGGTGCGGGCCATGCGGCAGGCAACGGCCGTCCCGGGGGTGACAATGCAGCGCAGTTTGTTGACCGCGCCATTGAGGCTCATTACAAGGACTGGTACACGGAAAAGCTCGTCCACCACCCCGACCTTTACAAGTTTATTGCCGAGTTCACGGCCTGGGGACAGGATACGTTGACGTTCAAGCGGACGCTTCTCCGGAACAATATCCCCGGGAGCAAGCCAATCGGTGTCCATTACGACCAGATCTTTCTTCGGTATGGTGAGCCGACGGCTGTGACCGCGTGGGTTCCTATGGGTGATATTAAGCTCAACGGTGGGGGGTTGATCTATCTGGAGAATGGTATCTACCCTTTTCTTTTGGGCATACGAGGTCGCAGCTGTTCTGACAATTGCAGGCGATGGCGTCGGCCAGAAGATTGAAGAGGAGTTCACGAACAAGGCGAGACAGGCTGGCTTGACGGAGGAACAGGCTCGATCGGCCTTCAACTCGAATATGATGGCGACGGGTCTGCTGTCCGAGTTCCCTGCGGAATTTGCAAAGGAACACGGTCGTCGCTGGCTTGTCTCCGCATATGAGGCGGGCGATGTTGTCTTGCACAAGCCTCATGTGGTGAGTCGATGCGAGCGTGTTCCGTGATGTTATTGTTGGCTAATATATATCGGTAGATCCACGCGTCAACAATCAACAACGACCCTGACAATGTTATTCGCCTGGCTACGGATCTACGGTTCTGTGATGCGTCCAAGCCTTATGATAAGGTGAGTTCTCTGTCTACTGTATCTGCACCCGAAGCTAATCATACAGCGATGGATGAACTACTATCGGTTTGGAGACGGGGTATAAGCAGTACTGGATGTGATGTGATACTTCAGATGACACTCATGTATGGACAAGCTATACTCCGCCACAATTACTAGGTACCCATCAAGAGCAATCTTTACTTGTCTCCAAAAGTGCAATGGCAAATCCTAAATCGTAAGCAAAGCCCCTTGTTAGATGCGGGATTCTTACTGCTTGGTGTCGCAATACCCCCCTGTCCACTCTGGTCCCTGTTGCTGGCACTATGCCAGTTAGTTTAATAAAGATCGATGTAGATTGAATGACTTACAGTATTCTTGCATGCCTGATTGGCTATTTTATCGCCTCCCTTGACCTGACACGAAGTCCCTGCGATCGTGATCTCGTTCTGTGCAGGGACCGCCATTGCAAAAGGGACAAGGGCGAGGGATGTGGTGAGAAGGTATACGAATTTCATCGTGAGGTTGGTTGCGTAATTGAGGGTTATTATAGAGTGTCTTGCTCATAGGCTGGGAGTAGAGAAGTTCAAGGTAGAGGGAGCCCCTTGATACGGCGATGTGCAGGTGAGGCCAACATTCCTGCATCCGAGTTTATTCCGACAGTCGGTCACGATGGAGCATACTAGTACTAAGTGGATATATGGTAGACACCCATTCTCCCATTGTGAAGCTGAGATTGATTCTGGCAGACTTCAAATTATCCACGTGTTTGTTTATCTGCATACCGGCCTTAGAAGGGGGCCTGAATGGACCACTGGTAGTATTTCACCGATGTCTCAGCTAATGCAACCCTTTCAAACACCCTCGATATTATGAGGCATATTATCGATCCAAAATATGCCCTCCAATTGACATGTTTGAAGCGTTGTTGTGGTCTGATGTGAGATGTGAGATGCAGACTGTGTTCTGGCATTACGCTGGATGTGGTGCAAAATATATGGGGAGAGACGGTAAGACTGGTAATGCCCATACGACCCCTGCCAACGAGGGGCAGCCGACGGTAAGAATGGTAAGATTGGCCCCGCTGCAAATCCTGCGGGGCTTTTCTTCTCCCCCTCTTTCTTCTCTCCCTCTTATTTTTCTCTTCCTCTTCCATCCTCCTCTCACTCCCTTTCACTCGATCCATCCTCTGTACGTTATATCCCACCCACCCTTCTCGAATTGATCATTCTAACCTCCTCCAGTCTCCTCCATCTCATTCTCCATCACTCACCATGGCTGCCCCCGCTCAGAAGTTCAAGGTCGCCGACCTCGTACGTGTTTTCACCGCTCCTCGCTCCTCCTCCGACTGCTGACACCTTTCAGTCTCTGGCCGCTTTCGGTCGCCGTGAGATCGAAATCGCTGAGATTGAGATGCCTGGTCTCATGGCCATCCGCAAGAGATACGCCGCTGACCAGCCCCTCAAGGGCGCCCGCATTGCCGGTTGTCTGCACATGAGTATGTGTTCTGTGCTACACCAGCTTTCGTCCGAACTTCCCTGACCTCCCTTAGCCATCCAGACTGCCGTCCTCATCGAGACCCTCGTCGCTCTTGGTGCTGAGGTCACCTGGACCAGCTGCAACATTTTCTCCACCCAGGACCACGCCGCTGCCGCCATTGCCGCCGCCGGTGTCCCTGTGTAAGTCTCCGAACAGCCCTTCATGATCAACCCACGCTAACCTGTCGAAGTTTTGCCTGGAAGGGTGAGACCGAGGAGGAGTACAACTGGTGCTTGGAGCAGCAGCTCGTCTCCTTCAAGGATGGCCAGAAGCTCAACCTCATCCTTGACGACGGTGGTGACCTCACCTCCCTCGTCCACACCAAGTACCCCGAGATGCTCCAGGGCTGCTACGGTCTGTCTGAGGAGACCACCACTGGTGTCCACCACCTCTACAAGATGATGAAGGAGGGCAAGCTGCTTGTTCCCGCCATCAACGTCAACGATTCCGTCACCAAGTCCAAGTTTGACAACCTGTACGGTTGCCGCGAGTCGCTCATTGGTACCACCCCCCTTACCCCCTTCCCTCACACAAAAAAAGGGCAATGCTGACCTCCCCACGGACGGTATCAAGCGCGCGACGGACGTCATGGTGGCAGGCAAGGTCGCTGTCGTCGCTGGTTATGGAGATGTTGGCAAGGGTTGTGCGCAGGCTCTCCACAGCATGGGTGCGCGGGTTCTGGTGACCGAAATCGACCCCATCAACGCCCTCCAGGCCGCCGTTCAGGGTTACGAGGTCACTACTATGGAGGAGGCTGCTCCTCTGGGTCAGATCTTCGTCACCACCACTGGTTGCCGTGATATCCTCGTCGGCAAGCACTTCGAAGTGATGCGCAACGACGCCATTGTTTGCAGTAAGTTTTCTGGCTTCGATCAATCCCACGTGAGTACTAACATGAGCAGACATCGGCCACTTCGATATTGAGATTGACGTTGCCTGGCTCAAGGCCAATGCCAAGTCTGTCCAGAACATCAAGCCTCAGGTTGACCGTTATACTATGGCCAACGGACGCCATATCATTCTGCTGGCTGAGGGACGTCTGGTCAACCTTGGCTGTGCCACCGGTCACTCCTCTTTCGTCATGTCCTGCTCTTTCTCCAACCAGGTGCTCGCTCAGATCGCCCTCTTCAAGGCCGAGGACGCCGCTTTCGGCCAGAAGTACGTCGAGTTCGGTGCCACCGGCAAGAAGCCCGTTGGCGTCTATGTCCTTCCCAAGGTCCTGGATGAGCAGGTTGCTCTGCTCCACCTCGAGCACGTCAACGCCAAGCTGTCCAAGCTTACCCCCGTCCAGGCCGAGTACCTTGGTCTCGGTGCGAACGGTCCTTACAAGGCCGAGCAGTACGTTCCGTCCGAACTTCCGCATACTGAGCCTGGCTAACGTTCTCTAGCTACCGCTACTAAATTCGTCGTTTCTGTTCGTTGTTGATTTGGTATACCCTTGGGCCTAGATTTTTTCAACATATCACGATGTTACGACTAACATAAAGAGTTCTGTATCAACTTGGAGCTCAAAAGATTTGTCTTCAACGGCAATAAAAGTGGCATATATGGGGTTCTCAGGGCAGTGTTTTGGTTGCACGGCGGGACCTTTGGGAGTATTTTGCATTCAACAGTGCGTACTAGGGATGTTACGATAAATTAGACACTGTCTTGCCATAATCAATAAATCTATTGTCAGTTGACACTGTCTTGTTTATTCATTTTATTCACCATATGGGATCAACACTAGGTGCTTTCGACTGCGTCTTAAATTTTGGCCGTCACACCTTCAGTCTCGGCAATGCGCACCACATACTTGACGGCACTGGCCTTGCCCCCTTTCAGATCCGTCAACGCCTGCTGTAATCCACCCAGTCCACCGGGGACGACCACATGCGGATGGGGTTTGAACCACCCATCCCGCAGGCCCTTTCCAATCAGCCGGAAAAACACATGCCCGAAGTCCTGGTCCTCCGGCGTGCCATGCACCTCCCCGACAGTCAGGGTCTCCAGCTGCACAGTGTCGGGAATCTCCGGGTTCTTTTTCGGGGGAAGGACTAGTGCAATCTTCCCCCCGGGAGCGATGACGCGCGACAGATTGACGTAGCTCCCATTCTCACTGACAGCGTCATACGCAACCTTCACCTCATCTTGCCCGACAGCCGCCAGTGCCGCCCGGATACCAGAGATCACGGCATCATCACCCTGGCGGTAGTCGATCACGGAATCACCCTTGCTGCGGTCAAGCAGCCCCTCGACGAAGGGGATACCGCGGCCGGCGACAGCGATGATGGGGTGGATGTTGCTGCGGCGGGCGAGCTGGATAGCGTAGGCGCCAACGGCGGAGGCACCACCGTAGATGACCAGGGGCAGCGGGGAGGTCGCGGGCTGCCAGGGCACCGGCAGACGGAGATGTTGGTACAGGGCGACGGCGGAGGTCATGGCGGCCAGGGGAATGGTGGCTGCTTCTGTTCACGTTATAGCAGCTGTGGGAGAATTGGCGCTGATAGACCGGGAATACTATGTACCTTCGAAGGAGATGTTGTGGGGGATATGGAAGGTCGTATGCTGCCAGCTAATGGCGTACTCGGCGAAGCTGCCGCTCGGCTTCATCATCTCGTGAAAGGCGGCGACGCGATCACCGGGCTTGAACTCGGTGACGTTTGCGCCGACGGAGGTCACGATGCCGGCGATGTCGTCGCCCGGGTTGGAGGGGGAGTTGGTCCATTCTGGGACTTTCCTGGGATTTGTTAGTGTTGTGCTGCACTGCGGTGTATGTGGTGTAGATAGTGGGTATTGGTACCAGTCTTTAGGATTCGTGCCCGAGACGACGACCTGGATGAGGACCTGGTCTGGCTCGGGGACGGGGATGGGGGCATCGGTGATGGTCACTGTCGGACCGGGGGCGACGATGGCTTCTTTCATGGTGGATGAGCTGCTTGGGGGAGTAGTACCGTAGTAAGGTAGGTTTGGGGACTAATTCTACTAATTTATACAACATGTATAACGGCAATGTGCTGATTTCAAATCATTATCAAATCAAGGTGGCAAGGTGGAGCTATCCATGCCGCGGCTATACATGGTGGGCTATGCATTCATGAATGCATAAATGGTTCTGCGATTACAAGCTGGATTAGAAGAGAAGGATAGCTCTAGTTGCTTTTGGATGGTTCGAGGATGGACATGAGCATGTAGTGACCAACAGGCATTCTCATCCAACACCAGATAGAATTGAGTATGGAAAGAAAGATCTACTTTTGATCTTCCGGCTGATCCGGGTACCGGCTAACCTGACAGTCGTATAGATCAATCCAGAACATAATATCCTGAAGTCTCTCTTCGCTTAGAGAGGCCTTCACAAAATGCTCTCTTTGGGGCGTCCGAATCCTCCGGTGAACCTCGCCGGCCGTCTTCCAGCCGAAGAATCCAGCCATCTCCCAATCGATTAGTCCCACAATCTGGTCGTTATCAACGATACAATTGGATTGAGTCAAGTCGTTATGCATAAAGCTCAAGTCTGGGTCGGTATTCCTATCTGAAAAGATAATCCCGCCTTCCAGAGGATTGATCCGACCGTTGCTGAGAATGTTCAGATCTTGCACAACATGGGACCGAACCCGGCATCCATCGGGAGGCTTGATAATATGGAGCTGACGGAGGATCCCTCTTGCCTGCTCTTTAAAGGACTCCTTTTGGCCTTGGGAAAGATACGGCCATGCAACACACAGCGCAACACCCGGGAGTCTTTCTTGGATCAGCACTTGGCGGCCCCGGATCTAGGAGGTGTCAGTTGTCGGGTACGAATATATAGGAGAGCACCTCAAGGATCATTACCTTGCCAGCAAAGTAGATTTCCGGTACTCTGATATTCCCGAGGACATTTTTGGCAATCGAGATGGCCTCGACTTCATTAGCATCGGCGAAGGAATAATCGTTTTCGGGTGTGTCATGGAGATGGCCTGATTTGACGATGACACTTCCCAGGGCGAACACATCGCGACCCCCTTCGTCTGCAGGATAGATTCGCGTCGATTCATCACAGAGACTCACTACTGACTCCCAGTATTGCGTTGCATCTGAGGATTGGGAGCCGATATGCTCGGGTTTTACACGGAAATCGCCTGGTTTGGGGCGATACCGTCCATAAAGCGGGATGTCGGCGTACAAGTCAGTGGGCGGGATATGTTCTGGTTCAGTTGCATATGGGTTCATTGTCGGCTCAAGACATAGCATATGCGAGGTTCTAAGTGGAAGGATGTACGGGTCTCTTGAAGTTTTGAGATCTTGATTCCATAAAGCAAGGGAGGGTTTATGCGCGCACGGTCAGCAAATAAACAACTCGGTGATTACGCAGAGAGGTTCTTTGTTCTGCCACTGGATATTAGTTGTCAATGATATCTTGAGGTTTCACTAGGAGGGCAATCTAGTGGTTTTCGCGGCAATATATAATGATCTATGATATGTATCACATACTGTTGATGGACCAAGGAGATGCATCTGGTGGGTGTATTATTACCTAGTATATATTCAGCAATTACCCAACCTAAGGAAGTCTTTCAAGGACAGGTCTTCTCAGAGTAGAGGCAGTGAATAACCAGCGTTTGCCTATCTACACACCACACGTCCAAGTGCGCGCACTTGACACAGGGAACCAGATTCTTCGAACTACGGAAGATAGTCGAGATGTCTGGGGATACTGTTTCGTCTTAAAAGGTAGGTAGTACTTATTTCGCCGGGCCCAAATCAACGTAGCGACCTGGAAAAAAAGAAATTATCGGGTCTGAGGGCCCATGAGTCAGTTCAAGTCCTCTTGTTGCCTTGGTGTGTGTATGTCCTCCAGGGACCAGGGAAGGCTGTTGCAATGTCTATGGCTGACCTGCTGCGAGCCATTGTGCATATGAAATAAGCAGATGGACAGGCCCTGTTATATACCCATATGCCTCCAATGAAAACCCTTCTTCAGCCCACAAGACTTGATTTCATATTAATCTATTCTATATTCTGTTTTCTCTCCGAAAAGGGGCTGCGGGAGGGGCGTAACTAACGATAGCTTGATCATGATGCATACTTTCAACAGACAAAATATAACTGACATGACTCCCTGCTAGAGCTTTACCCTAAACCAAAGAATTGGAAGTAGACTATTTTCCAGACAAATATCAACTTCTTCTCTTCTCTTCTTCCCTGGCATCACCGACTTTAATGGATGGCGGAAACAATTTCCGGCTCCTTGCATGCCGTGGTTAGGGCTTGAGTCCCATGTGTCCAGCCCACGCTAAGCCGGCTGACGCAAATTGGCGAGGCTTGACCGTCGCTTAGCGCTGCTTAGCGCATCCTGCGGAGCATCTCGGCATATCTCTGGACATACCTAATAGTTCATACGAGGACCCCATCCCCTGGAAGGATCGATCTGTCCATCCGCTCCATTGGAACGGATCGAACCATCCAATTTTCCGATTCATGTCCATTGTCTCTCCACAGTCTCCAGATGCCATAGTGACCCGGCATGGCTGCCCCAGTTGGCCGGCACGCCGGCTTCCTCCGCCAGCTGCTCTGAAAAGTCTTCAGGATGTTCCCATGGCAGTGCTCTGGAGAAGGATCCTCAGCTAGCCTCCACAAGATGCGTCTTCTCCTGCAGGGGACTTCACCCATTCCAGTTCCCAGGTGTTTCATGTCAATATGTACATGGGCCACGAGACAAACCCTCCCTGTCGACCTGTCTCTCCTACGAAGTAATCCCTTATTGGGATCGTCAAATACGTCCCTCGCAGCTACCGAGGCGGAGCTGAACAAATTGCCGCTGGGTTTGTGTCTACGAAAGAATCCCAGGATCCACTGGACCCATGTTTTAATCGCTTCCTTCATCCTTTCCCTGCCGTCGGGACCAATCCGGGACCAGCGAGCATGCGATCAGCTCCGAGATCCGTCTACTATCCCTCACAGGGACCGTAGCCAGGTTCGTCAGGCGCATTGCTGAATCGTACCTCGTTGATCTCTGTCCCTGTCGAGCCTGGCTCGCACTGAGAGCGGAGAATCTCAACAAGCGCTAGCCATATCCAGGGCGGCGGAGCCATAGGATGTGAAAACAATGGATACACACATGGACACGGCATGGAAAGGGGCATCAGCCCCGACAAGCGAGGGTATCGCGTGCCGAATGACGGAGCAGGAGTGCACAGTGGGCATATCGACCAGAAATGACCGGGAGACACTTAAAAGGGTGGCTGTCTCCCTCGACTTCCCCGTTGATCATCCACCCACTCCTTTGTCAATCATTCTGACTCGCTCTTTGATATATCACTTTCATTTTTTACACCATGAAGCTCACTGCTGCCGTTCTCTCCCTGGCTGTGGCCGCCTCGGCCTCTTGCATCCGCCATGCCCGTCGGGCTGACGGCGTCGTTGAGACCAACTCCTATAACTACACCGAGATGGGCGGTCCGCTGAACTGGTACGGCCTGGACCCCGAGGCCAACTCTGCCTGCGCCACGGGCAAGCACCAGTCCCCCATCGTCATCCACTCCGAGGACATCGACTATGTCTCCCCGGGATCCCTGAAGTTCGACATCCCCAAGGCCGACTACGCCAAGTTTGAGAACCTTGGGTCCGGCCTCGAGGTCGTTCTGACCAACGGATCTCTCACTGTGGGCAACAAGAGCCTTCCCCTGGCCCAGTTCCACTTCCATACCCCCAGCGAGCACCGCGTCAACGACGAGTACTATCCCATGGAGGTTCACTTTGTGTTCCAAAACAAGGGTATGCAGCGTCCCATGCACTCTACAAGTATCAACCCTAACATCGTATAGCCAAAGACACCGCCGTCGTCGGCTTCTTCTTCCAGCTCTCCGAGCTCGGATACTCCGTCCCCCTGTTCGACACCATCTTCGACCACGTTCTCGAGATCGAGGAGCCTGGTGCCTTCACCCACACCGGGGAGATGGACTTCGCCGGCCTGACCCACCACCTCTACATGCATGGCATCTACCAGTACTCTGGCTCCCTGACCACCCCTCCCTGCTCCGAGGACGTCGCCTGGTACCTGAGCACCGAGCCCCTGCCCCTGACCGTCCAGGACTACAACAAGGTCAAGAAGGTGCTCAAGTACAACGCGCGCTACACACAGAACGCCCTGGGCGAGGACAACCTCCTCGAGGTGGCGGCCAAGAGCCTCAACTAGACATGGCGTTGGGTTGTGATATTAGGTTGTTGCAAGATCTAGATCCACATGTATTATATCTACGTTAGTATTTAATAGACAACATCTACATCTACACCTTCACCCTCCACCTCCACTTCCAATCCAACAACGCCCACCGCGCCAACACAACACTCGCCAGCCCGACCACCAGCACCGCCGAATAAAACCCCACCAGCACCTGCGGCGTCGTCGCCTGCAGCAGCTCCCCCCCAACCGGCACGGTGACCAGCACCCCAAACGCCGCAACACAGTACACCGTGCCATAGAACCGGCCGTACTCCTCCGCCCGGCACAGCTGGCCCGCACACACCGGCGCCAGCGACAACCACCCGCCGGACCCGAAGCCAAACACCGCAACAACGGCATACAGGGTCGCCTCGTCGCGCGATCCGATCGGCAGCCACACGGCCGCCATCACCACCAGCGTGGCCACCACCAGCGCAAGCAGGATATTAAACCGGCCAAGGAGGTCCGCCGCGAAGCCGGGCAGCACGCGGCCCAGCAGACTCATGCCGTTGAGCACGGTGAGCGCGTAGAACTGGACGTCCGTGGGGAGCCCCGCGTACCGCACATACGTGGGGAGCAGCGCCGCGCAGCCGAAGATGATAAACTCGAAGGCGAACACGCCCGTCGCCAGGAAACACAGGCGCGGCGAGCGGAACGCGCGGAGGTCGATGGTTGCGCGGCGGTGCGGGCTGGCCGGGAGGCGCCCCTTGACGAGGACGATGCCGAGGAGGTAGGCGGCCAGGGCGATGAAGGCGATTAGCCGCATGGACCAGGCCCAGCCGTGCGCGGCGAAGGAGGACCGCAGGATGAGCGGGATGAGGGCGCCGCCGGCGGAGGAGCCGGCCATGCAGATGCCCGAGGCGAGGGCGCGGCGGCGGTCGAACCAGTGGCTGAGCACGCTGATGGCGACGGTGGAGAGGATGGCGGCGGACACGCCGCCGAGGAGGCTGAGGGCGAGGAGGAAGTGCCAGTATGCTGTGCACTGGGCGAGCAGCATGTACGAGGCGAAGCTGGCGAGCGAGCCGCCGAGGAGCAGGGCGCGCGGGCCGTAGCGGTCGAACAGGGGGCCGACTTGCACGCCGAGGAAGAGGGTCAGGAAGACGAGGATGGCGGTGATCCAGCCGACGTCGCGCACGCTGTAGGCGGATAGCTGGTGCGTGCTGATGTAGTCTTGCACGGAGCCGACTGGGTCTGTTAGTCGGATTGATTGTTCATGGGATAGGAGGGGCTTACCTGCGGTCTGGAAGCCGAATGATGGGAACATGAGGAGAACAGCGCCCAAGAGGCATGTCCAGGCGTCTTTGCCCCCTTCGGGGAATGCGACGCTGACGCCAGCATTAGATTCATTATCTGGGGGAGCGTTGAACTCGTGGGACAGTTCAATTGTCTCGTTTGGTGATTCCATATTGTGGTGTCGGAGCATATAGATGAAGATGCATAGAATATTGCACTGGACGGTGATTTATACGGTTGGCGTCGGCATGTCAATGTCAACGGAAGGGCGCGGCCAGTAGTGGGTCGATGACTCGTGTTGATGAGTTGATAATAATGTACAATGCAAGTAGAAGTATAGATTGGCAGTAGTTGAGTTGAGGAAGTGATATTGAGCATTGATATCTTGGTTGATGTATATACTCAGTCCTGAGTCAGATACCAAGAGTGTCCATGTATTCTACTACAGCTTTCCTGTGCATATGGGAGACATCAAACTCCAACCAGCTAACTATTCCCTATTTTAAGATATTTACATCTTTATGTTTTTCAGTGACTGCATAAATGCACGTCTCGCACCTCTTGCACCTCTAGTACATAAGCAGGGGTGCCTAAATGACCCCTCACTCCTCCTCTCAAAGGTTACTCTCCCCGCACTCTCCCACCATCATCCCACACTCGCCACCACCATGTCCGATATCCTCCCCAAAGAAACGCCCATTCCAGCGGCTCACGAGTACTTCGATCTCGGCTCCTTCTCTCGTCCGGTCACGACCCAAAACCCTGACGCCCAGATATGGTTCAACCGGGGCCTCATCTGGGCCTACGCCTTCAACCATGAAGAAGCCGCCTTCTGCTTCCGACAGACGATTGCGCACGATCCCACCTGTGTGATGGGCTATTGGGGCGCTGCCTACGCCACCGGTCCGAACTATAACAAGAAATGGGCGGCATTCGACCCAGACGACCTGGGCCGGTCAATTCGAAAGTGCCATCTTCTCGCCCAGGCCGCGGAGCCACATCTCGCTCGCGCATTACCCGTAGAGAGAGCACTGCTCAAAGCTGTACAGAAACGCTTCCCAAGCGACGAGAACACGAGAGAATTTGGCCCCTTCAACAAAGCCTACGCGGCGGCCATGAAGCCCGTCTATGAACAGTTTGGCAAGGATGACTTGGATATTCTCGCTCTGTACGCCGACGCGCTGATGAATATGAGCCCCTGGGGCTTGTACGACGCTCTCACAGGGAAGCCGAATCTGAACACCGCAGTGGTCGAAGTTAAAGCCGTGCTGGAGCGAGGCCTTACATTTCCTGCGTCAAAAAAGCACCCCGGCATTCTCCACATGTATATTCACCTCATGGAAATGTCAGACACCCCCGAAGCGGCCCTGGTCCCGGCAGATCATCTCCGCGATCTCGCTCCCGAGGCCGGGCATATGCCTCACATGCCGTCGCACTTGGACGTCCTTATCGGTGACTACCGCCGTGCGATCGACGGTAACATGAAAGCATCCATCGCCGACGATAAATTCTTCGCCCGTCGCGGGGGAAAGAACTTTTACAGTGTTTATCGCCTCCATGTCTACCACTCCCTGATCTACGCGGCGATGCTCGCCGGACAGTCGCAGGTCGCCCTGGAGTCTACCGACCGCATGGAAGCCACAATTACAGAGGAGTTGCTGCGCATGAAATCGCCCCCGATGATCGAGTGGATGGAGTTCTTCTTATCCCTGCGAGTGCATGTGCTCATCCGGTTCGGCCGCTGGGAGGAACTGAAGCGGCTCACCGTCCCGGAAGACAAAGTCCTCTACTCGGTGACTGTCGCAATAACGCACTATGGAAAAGCCATTGCCTGGGCTGCGACTGGGAATCTGGAGGAGGCTGATCGAGAGCGAGAGCTCTATCACGCTGCGAGCAAGCGTGTTCCGCCGACACGTGTCGACTTTCCAAATAAAATCGTCGACACGCTGAAGGTCGCCACAGCCATGGTCGACGGCGAGGTCGAATACCGCCGAGGAAACTATGATGTAGCCTTTGCTAGGCTCCGCCAGGCCGTGCATGAGGAAGACAACTTGCTGTACTCGGAACCGTGGGGGTGGATGCTGCCCGCGCGACATGCCTACGCGGCGCTGCTGCTTGAACAAGGCCATGTGGCCGAGGCCGCAGAAGTGTATGCCGAGGATCTGGGGTTTTCTGATAAACTTGCGAGTACGCATCGGCATCCGAACAATGTTTGGGCTCTACATGGCTACCATGAGTGTCTGGTGAGGCTGGGACGTCGTGCCGAAGCGCAGATGATTCAACCGCAGCTGAAGGTAGCGTTGGCCGTGGCGGATGTCCCAATCCAGTCGTCTTGCTTCTGTAGACTGGAGACGGTGGGCAGAAAATGCGCAAGCAACAAGGGTGCGTGTCTTTAGCAGCTGGGGTCGAGAACAATGTGATTCGTATCTCGTTACATACAAGGAGTTCATATTACTATGTACCTCGAGCCACCTGACACTAAGTCTGCTGGCGGATAACAGCTGTACATGAAGGAGCGCGTCTATCTCTGTCCTAACATGTTATATTCATGCTTCGTCCGAATATCCGGGAGGCGACGAACCCTGTGTTCGTCGGGGAATCTTCCGTCAAGAAGTACGCCTAATGTATTCGACTTGCACAAGCTTCAGCGGATGGCTGATATGGCTTCTTCCATAGAGGTGACAAGGCGTTGTTGCCTTAGCCCGATCTGTTAAGGCCGTCATCGCTTCTTTTTGCGTCTTTGACGTCTCAAGCTGTCTGAGTTCCAATATCTGGCTCCCAAGGTGCAAGCTCAAGAGTTGCGTCTCGAGGGCGACGCTGATCCATCACTTGACTCCCCAATCAAATGACTTATCTTTTCTGAAAGGTCACGCATTCTGTATGGCTTCTGCACGACGTCGTCCATGCCCGCGTCCAACATTTCCGTCCGTTGCTCGGATCGAACATTGGCCGTCACCCCAAGCACGGGGACATGCTTCGACGTGTCTTTCTCCATATCTCGAATTGCGCGTGTGGCTGCGTTGCCGTCCATCACCGGCATCACCTGGTCCATCAGAATGCAGTCGAATTGCTTCTTCCTGAACTCGTCCAGAGCCTCGCGGCCGTTACTGGCCGGCGTCACGTTGAAACCTAAAGCCCTCAGCTTGCGTGCGACGATCTGCTGATTGATGATATTATCCTCGACGAGCAAGACCTTCTTGCTCTCGGGCTCCGTCTGATTCGAAGAACTGGATTCCACGTCGCTGGCGATCTTGGCTGTATGCTGCGTTCTGCCATCGCTCGTACAATGCGGCGCGACCTCTTCCACATGCGTGACTTCGGGGTTTTCCGGTATCGACGGCTGTGTGAACTTTTTCTGGCCATCGGTTACTTCATTGCTCAGCGACTGGATGTCTCTGCAGAGTTTGTCGATCTCCGCGCTTTCGGGCCCCGACAGCTCACCATCGGATGGCTTCTCGCTGCGGCGGACTGAAAAGAAAAACCCGAAGGTGCTTCCTTCGCCTTCCTTGGAGCTCACCCCGATCTCCCCGCCGTGCAGATGGCACAGCCGTCTGCTGACGTTGAGTCCTAACCCGGACCCACCGTAGATACTCTCCGTCCGCGGGGTGGCCTGGTTGAAGCGCTCGAATAGCCGCTTCTGCGCTTCGTCGCTGATCCCGATCCCCGTGTCCTTGACCGCCACCATGATGTAGACGGGCTCGCCGTCGCCCCATTCGGGGTCTTTGGTTGCGTCCAGCCGCAGTGCATTCTCGTCCGAGTTGAAGAATACGACATTCGGCGGGTACGACGGGGGCCGTTGTTTCGATGCGCCCATGGACACGCGGATCTTCATGTCATTCCCCGACTTGGCCGTGAACTTGATCGCATTCGACACGAGGTTGATGAGCACCTGGCTCATGCGGTCGAGATCCGCCATGACCCAGTCGACGAAGCAGTCCTCGTACGAGTGGTCGAGTTTATACTCAAACGCGATCTTCTGCTTCCGCAGCTCCGGCTTGAACATAGTCAGCGACCGCGCCAGATGGCGGCGCGGCTGCGCCCGACGCGGCGACAGCGTCAGCATCGCCGCATCCAGCTTGGAGAACGTCAAGACATCATCGACGATCTTCTTCTGGTGCGCCACGCACAGGCTGATCGTCTCGGCCGCCTGCGCAATCTCCGCCAGCCGGATCTTCTCGCGCGTGTCCTGGTTGACGGCCTCGAGGATGTCCTCGGTGCAGTGCAGGATGGCGGACAGCGGGTTGCGCACCTCGTGGCTGATCATGTCGATGAACCGCTCCTGCTGCTGCTTGCGCTGCTCGGCCTCCTCCGCGATGCGCTTCTGCGACAGCTCCGCCGACTTCTCCTGCGTGATGTCCGAGATCGTGCAGAGGAACCCGCCGTCCGGGCCGAGGTGGAAGCGCCGCCGCTCCTCGTCGCCCAGCGGCGTGAGGATGAGCAGCCGCCACGGGTAGGGGGGTTTGCGGGTGCGGTATTCGACGCGCAGCGGGTGGCGCGTGCGCACGGCTTCGTGGTAGGCGTGCACGACGTGCTCGTAGTCGTCGGGGTGGATGGCCGATGACCAGGCGTCGAAGGTGCGCGCTGCGGCGCATGTCATCAGCGCGCGGAAGCAGCTGTTCACGAAGACGGTGCCGTCGTCGTGGTCGACGATCGCGACGCCGGTGGGGAGCATGTCTGCCAGCTGCTGCGCGGAGACCGTCGTGTCGATCGCGGCCATGTTGGCTGTCAGTTTGACGCTACCGGCTCGGAGTTTGGTGCCGTGATAGCGCTCGTCTCGGTGGTCGAACAGTATTGATACAGCGGCTGTTCGACCCATAGGCAATCAAAGGCCGCTAACAGCATCAAAAGGTGGAAACTGGTGCTCTGCGCATTGAGAGTTTGGCAAGGAAAGCCATTTCCGCTGTGGATGAAGCATAATGAAGGGGAACCATGTGGTGATATCAGCCCGGGATTTGCGATGACGTCAACACCGTATTTGGTCTCTGGGAGGGCTGCAGTCGGATTTGAGGGGCGGTTCCGATGGAATGGATGGTGGAAGCTCCCCTGGATGAAGTGTGGGTGTTGTCTTTGTCGATATGGATGCATATAGTTAGAGAGTGGTGCGCATGTACTCCATCTATACAGTCTGTCATTGTCGATCTCTCATGAGCTTGAAGGAACGATAATGTATAACGAGAAGAACGCGCTCAGACTATTCAAATAGTCACTGTGTATAGCATCCAGCTATGTATAGCCATCTACTGAATCTTCATCTCCAGCTGTCTGATCCCCCCCCCCTTCTATGTAATGAAGCATTTAAGATGTGCAAGATGTGCCGCCGGAGCCCAAAACGGCAATTTCCCGCCGGTGGACCGCATCGCGACTTTATCCTCTCTTCTGCTCTCTTCTTCTCCATCCGACTCCACTGTCTTCATCTCCGGAGCAATCGTCCTCTGCCAGTTTCCTATAAATCCGCTGCTCCTGGTCGAGTGTCCTCGAGTGCCCTGTTCTTCCCAACTCCCGACCCTCCACCACCAAACATCTAACCTCTCCCCGCCATCTACCCCGCCACCACCCCACACGCAATGGCTCGCGCTCTTGAAGGAAAGTTCGGTATCGTCACCGGCGGATCGCGCGGTATGTCCCATCGTCTCGACTATGGAAAGTACTAGTACGGAGTAATCGTAACTAACCCGCCCAGGCATCGGCGAAGCGATCGCCCGCAACCTCGCCGACAAGGGCTGCAACCTGCTGCTGAACTTCACGTCCGAGTCGTCGCGCGCGCGGACGGACGAGCTCTGCGCCGAGCTGGCGCAGGCCCACTCGATCCGCTGCGTCTCCGTACAGGCGGACCTGTCGCAGGCCGCCGAAGCGACAGCGACCATCCTGGCCGCGGCGAAACAACACTTCACCACCGCGTCAGGCCACTTCCAGATCGACGTGCTGATCAACAACGCCGGCGTGTCGAAAGACCGCTTCCTCAACGACGCAACCAAGGGCCCCATCGACGCGGACTACTTCTCGTGGCACTACACGATCAACGTGCTAGCGCCACTCCTACTGACGCAGGCGTGCGCGCCGTTCCTGCCGACCGACCGCTCCGGCCGCATCGTCAACATCTCCAGCGTGTCGTCGAGTCTGGGCTTCACGGGGCAGTCGGTGTACGGCGGGACGAAGGCGGCGCTGGAGGCGATGACGCGCACGTGGGCGCGCGAGCTGGCCGACCGCGCCACCGTCAATGCCGTCAACCCCGGGCCGGTGATTGGGGATATGTATTTTGCGACGGGGGAGGAGTTCTGGCGGCAGATGCAGGGGTTCCAGGACGCGACGCCGTTGAGTAAGATGCTGGCTGATGATCCGAAGCTGGCCGCGTTGAGCGAGGAGCAGATCCGGTTGATTAATGAGAAGATGGGTGGGCGGAGGCCGGCGTTTACGAGTGAGATTGCGGGTGTTGTTGGTATGTTGTGCACGACGGATGGGCTGTGGTGTACGGGGAGTGTGGTGTGTGCGAACGGGGGGATGCGCATGGGGCCTTAGTATGAGACTGTCTACTATTCTTGCAGCTGAACGAGTCATGAACATTGTCATGCTAAACATGAGACGTAAGCACTAAATTAGTAGTCCAGAATGCTCCTTCTAGCCGCTTACGAATCCTTCAATAGTATTCCAGCACGGAGACTTTTAGTGCACGCTAACATTAGCCCGCATTACAAACGCATCGGACACATTAGTGATCGGTTATCTATACCAAAGGGCAAAAGATGATTAAAATGGGGCCGAAAAGAACGGAGTCGGTAGAATAGAACAAGTGGCTTCATGTATATAAACATGAGGATACGCAGTGCTGTAGACTCCGTCACAACACCACATTCTCTGACTGCAAGACAGCTTCATCTGGAACTATACCCAATCTATACAATCTACTCATCATGCCCTCCATCCTAAGACCACCCCTAAACCCAGAACTCGCCGACGCGCACAAAACCGCTCCCCTCCTCGAAGTCAGCACCCCAGAGCAAAGACACACCTACCGCCAACACATCAACTCCCTCTTCACCGTCGAAAACACCATCAAAGGAAAAGAAACCACCATCTCCTATGAAGAGCGCGACATCCCCGGCCCGGCAGGCCCAATGCGCGCCACCATCTTCCGCCCCAAGCACGCAACCCACCAGCCTGCCGACACCCCAGGCATCCTACACATCCACGGGGGCGGCCTCGCAACCGGCAACCGCTTCCTCGGCCTCACCATGCTCGACTGGGTTGAGACCTTCGGCGCCGTCTGCCTAACAGCCGAGTACCGTCTCGCACCGGAGCACCCGCAGCCCGCAGCGCTGGAGGACAGCTACGCTGCGCTGGAATGGATGAGCGCGCACGCCGCCGAGCTCGGCTTCAACCCGCGCAAACTCGTCGTCTGCGGCGGCTCGGCGGGGGGCAATCTCGCCGCGGGGGTGACGCTGCTCGCGCGCGATCGGTGCGGCCCGCAGATCTGCGGGCAGGTTCTGATGTACCCGTGGGTTGATGATCGTGTGGACGCGCTGTCGATGCGGCAGTTTGGGGATATTGCGCCTGTGACGAGGGCGAATGTGGTGCAGGTTGCGGAGTTTGCGTTCGGGAGGGATAGGGAGTATGCGGATATGTATACGGCACCGGGGCGGGCGGACGATCTGTCGGGCTTGCCGCCGACGTTTGTGGATGTTGGTGAGGCGGATGTGTTCCGTGATCAGGATGTTGCGTATGCGGCGGCGCTGTGGAGGGATGGGGTCTCGACGGAGTTGCATGTGTGGCCGGGGAGTTGGCATGGGTTCGATGTGTTTGTGCCGGATGCGACTGTCAGTATGCGGGCGAGGGCTGCGAGGGCGGAGTGGTTGCGGAAGTTACTTGGTGGTATTGACGGTTGAGATGTGATGGAGATGAAGCAAGAATAGACTATTTTGGATTGCATAGACTGAGAGTACATGTTGTTTTTGCAGTTAGACTTGTTCACTACATCCTGATGGGTATAGAGATAATATAAGGTACTTCATTTACTGCTGGGGTAGCATTTCAAGGAGCTATCTTAGTTAGCGGTTCGACTACGCTACGTACAGGCACCACGTTACGTCAGGAAGGTTGCTTGCAGTGCATATAGAGAATTGGTGAGTATCGAGCCGTATATTAGGCAGTTATCCTCCCCCAACGTCTATGCACGTGTCAAATCCTGATACACGCTGGCTCATAGCTCCATCAATCGTCGACTCCTCGATAATATTTCTCATCCCCTATCACAGTCTCAAGATACCTGAACCCAATGAGAGGTCGTCAGACTTTGACCTGGACACCATCCGCAGTTTGCCTTGTCACCTCCCAGTACCTCGTCGAAGCCACCAAAAACGCTTGCGAGAGGAAGTAGCTGATCATCAGCAGATATGTTGATACTGCGGTGTTCCCATTGTCGAAGATCGAGGCAATTCAAACGAGTTCCACCAGGGGGCTGCCGATATGTCCACGGCGGCTGACCTGGTGGAACATGTATACATTTGCGCATTGTTTTTCTTTCGGGACATTAGCTTCGATCATGACTGAGGCATGAGTTGGAGTGCAGAATACCAGTTACTCAAGGTGTCCGCATTCAATGTATTGGTAATGTGAACCGGATGAGCCGAGGCACAGGAAGGAAAAATCTGTCTAGCGACGGACTAGTCGATGGGCTCATCAAGTCAGAACCTGACGCCCCAGAGTAGGCCATTTTAGCCGTAACAACACAACGACCCTGATGTTTTTGCCCGCAAGTGAACACCATCTATATGTTGTCCTTCCCTCTTTACAGAGAGGACCACTCGACCTCCCTCCGCATCAGCCCGTGTCAGAGCATCTTGATGACACGAGCAATCCCCAGCGAGTCCATTTCCCTACAAAGAAACCTCAGGGCGACCGCCTAATTTTCACCGGCTAGTACTATACGGCCTTCTACCCCGGGCACGGACCGAAGTGAGGCGCTTGCTTAGAAGGCTTTTGCGGTCATTATCCACCGATGACGAGTCGGCTGCTGCTTCAATTGCCCAGAAATAGTGGACATGACTTCAGTCACCCTCACGCTGTAGCCGCATTCTGCGAGTTTATATTTCCACCCACAAACACCACAAGGACAGCCGCATACCTAGGATTCAGTCAGCATTGTGTGACCCTAAAGGGCATCATAACTTACGCTGCAGTAGCGGCGAATATTTCGGCTCGACGTGCATTCGTCATCAAGCCAACGCTCAAAGCAAACGCAGCGGTGAAAGCAGCAATCATGCCGAGCTTGGCGGCATCGTTAGTGATGAAGTAGAGAGCAGTGATGCAGCCAACCAAGAGGACCGCAGCTACAATAATGCTAATTACTGCGACTGCGATAGAGATGGACTTCTCGTTGAATCGCCCAATACGGTGCAGGCCATCCCGGGAGAGCTCTTCCTGTAAGGTATCAGCAAACTATCAGCAGGCTAAGTAGCGGGAGCGCTTGCCTTTGCTGGCCAGTGCCGTCTCAGGAAGAGGGCCAGATAGTCCGTCGCCGGCGATGTGTTCAGAGCAACTAGGTCCTGTGGCGCATCTAGGAAGGTCTTCGCCTGCCCGCCGAGTGCAGGATACGGCTTCTTAAACCACTGGGTGTATGCGTCAAGGACGCGTTGGTTGGGCTTATTCAGCTTTGCAATCTCGCTTTGCAACAAGAGCGCCTCATCTGGCCACCAGTCAGCCATTATTAAGGGGTGTCTCGCGACTGCAACGCACGGTACTCCCTCAGTTTCTCACGTATCCTTACAATCAGATCCATGCGGGATCGCGCTTCTTCGTCGTTGGCATCATACCGCTGCGTTAGCGTCTCCCATGTCCTGATGGCATCCCTTAAATCCATATCATCGCTGTTGGCGTCATTTACGTCCAGTTTGTTGAGTTCCTTTTCGAGAACAAGTATCTCTGCCTGTAGATAAAGTAGATTTTGGGCCGCGAGTTCATCGAATTTGCGATAGATAAATGTCTCATTGTCCGGATCAAGCGCTATCCATCTGGCGACATCTGCAAATCCCTCTTTTCGACCGCTTGCATAGGGTGAACGACAGTCGCTGGAATCTGCGCTTCCATTCATAGGCCAGGCAAGAAGCAACAGAGGAGAATCAGATATTTGAAATTAGTTGTCAAGCTCTGCGGCAAGGCTGAAAAGAGAGACTGAAGAGACTTTTCTAGTTGAGCTGGCCTCTGTCTTTCGCCTGGGGAGACGGCTATATTTGAGCTTTGCGAGATGAGAAATAGGAAGCAATGATTTCCACGGAAAATGATCACTAGGATGTTTGGTGAGGTAACCGACGTGGGAACAGCGCCATCAGCTGATCAGACCTGGGATCCTGGCGAAGAGCCTGCTGAGGCAGTGCAGCATCTCTGTAGTCGGAGGGGCGTGCCACGTCAACATGGAGGCTGTATCGAATGTAGTTAAAATATCCTGAACTCTGACTTCTTCCTTATCCGTTCCTTTAAGAACGAACCCAACATCCTCTCCATCGCACGCGAAGAGACTCAGCGTTTGGTTACCCTTCGAGAAAAATCATTGCTGTTGAGCCGAACCCTCGCATTCGAATACGAACGACCGCAGCCGATTGAGATATAAAAGCGTATTCCCGACTTCGATGACCCAATCAGACGTACTTGCAAAGGCAGCGCTGATGGGATCGTACGATCCCCACAATATAGAGCGGGAGCTGCCCACGGCGGCGGTAAAAAGAGGGAAGACCTGCTTTTCATGCCTCTCCGAGCCCATTAATGATGAGATTCTTAAAGGTGTCGACCTGAGATTACGCTTGCAAGGCTACCGTATTAATTACAAACTTTTCCAACGGTATGACGATTTGCAGCAGCGCCTGCCCTGCACAAGAGTTCCCGGCGAGTGTGAGTCGACGCCGCTAGGCGTCAGGTCGAAGGTGAGGGAAGCCCGTTTCTGGGAATCTACCCATATCCCAATGATCCCTGTCCCAGGGAAAAATGCACCCGAAGTTTCCAGATTTTCTTCGGCGTCAAGGCAATACCTTGTGGAGGGAGATGTCAATGGGACTCCAGTGGAGGCCCTCCCTGACAGTGGTGCGGACATGTGCTTCATATCACCAAAACTAGCCTGTGATCTAGGTCTCAGTCCTGATGCCTGGACACAGAAGAAGATACAACTTGCCAACAAGAAGTGCGTCCAATCACCTGGAATGGTAGAGGTCGCATGGAGATTCGCCAAGGAACAAAAGCCGCACATCTTGAACTGCTGGATCCTGCCAGGATGTGTTCACGATATCGTCCTAGGAAGCCATTTTCTAAACGCGACGAAGACTCTCACCACGTTCAAAAATCGCATCAAATCAAAACTGGTTGATTTGCCGAGGCGATTGCGGCTAAGGCTTCTAGGTGAGGAGAAGCAGCGCTTGTGGGGATACCTCGACGGTCATCTAACCTCAGCGCTACCGGACACGGGCTCGGATGTTATGCTAATCTCGAGCACATATGCACGGAATATTGGGCTGCTCGTTGATCGGGATTTCGGGGAATTGCTTGAGGTCGAGTTCGCCGACGGAACTACCGCCTGGACAAGTGGCGTCATACGAGATGTGCCATGGGAAGTCGGGGGAACAACAGTTCGCTGCGACTTCCATGTGCTGGATGACCTCTGCGTTGATGTTGTCCTAAGCAAGAATTATCTGTTCGACCTGAATGTCTTTTCGGAAAGCAGTGAATACTTCTTCAACGTCAATTCGGACGACGACCTCTTCCAGCTCTCTAACATTCGTCTTATCGGCCGGTATGGGGACACCCTAAGTATATTGGAGGAGGAGTATTTGCAAGACGGTAAGCGTCGCGTACCAGAACCAAGACCATTAGCTGATAATCGATATAGTGGCTTCCCCCGCCGCCTTTGGTCCCGAATCGGTGCAAAGAGAGCTAGCAAGACGAGACCAGATCCGCGATGAGATTTTTGCCTTGCATGAGAACCAACGGAAAGCGGCTACCCAAGCGGAGGCTGAGAGACAACGACGATGGGAGGACTTAAGGCAAACACACCAGACAAGATGGATAACTGCCTCATCAGCCAGTCTCCCATCCGAGGGGTTGTCCGGGAATGATCTTCAAGGGGCGACCACCCGGAGTGGCTTTTGGAAGAAAAAGGCCGGCATAAGATATGTTTCCTTCCGATCCCCTGAGACGGAGCACAAGGCCGTAGTGACACATTGAGTGAAGGGTTTGAAATGTTTTCTGTCACGGGAATTGATCCAGGAGGACTGTTGGGTTTGAATTGTGGGTGAGGTCCTGGAGACCTCTAGATATTAAGGCGTGTAGACAGGCGCTAGGCCTAAGGAGGCAATCTAGTAGCCTGAGGCTCTGAGATTTTATACCTGTCGGCTTTCGTTAACGTCAAAATGTCCTGCGACGGCGGGCGATGGCTCCAGTGTCGCCGAATGAGAGTTCCCCTTTGACACGTATTTGCCGCCCAATCGCACGAGAGATCCGATAGATGATTGACAATCATATAGATTCCCAAGACAATGATTTCCAAATATTCTCCTACATCTATATTATTGACGATTCTCGGATTATCGGAAAGTCGAAGCACATCCAATAGATGTCTATGAGTGTGAACGGTCTCATTGTGAGGGCATGAGCTCCGAACAATCCATGAAGCTTTCCGAGTTGCTGGGGAAAGGGAAATACGGATGGGTATCGGAGCTAGTATAGGAAGGATAACATCAAAAGGAAGGAGAAGAAACAAATGACAGGCTCTGTTCTTGATTATAACCCATCTATGTCTTGCAATTCACGACCACCATATGTCATTTGTCCACCGCAAACTCGATACTGCCATGGAAAGACGAATACATCCCTGCTAGGTACCATTCCCATGGTGAGGCTGCAATAGTCTAACCATCCGATGTCAGGGAGAGCAACGTATGCTGCCCTCAAATCCGCACAAAACTCCTCGCGTGTACGGTAAGCAGGGAATATGACAACCCTACCTTCAGGGGTAAGGCCCAGATAATGCTGTCGCGCAAGGTGGTGTGCCGACTGATGCCGTAATAGACGCTCCAAGAGGGTGAGGGTGGCTTGTATCCCGTCAAGGGTGCTCAAGATGATTGTCAACGCAGAATGAAATGGAATAGGCCCTAGATAATGCTTTGCAGCAGGAGTGTCCGCTTCGCATCCACTTAGCGCAGTTGAAATACGTTCCATCTCCCTTTGAATACCCGCAAGTCGACCTCGGCATTGCATCGTTGCGTCAGTGAGTCCTGTGTCTTCCGACTCAAGATTCAATGCGTATGTCCGGTCGGCCAGTCCAGGAACTTTCACAACCTCTATGTATGCATTTTCTTTCCACGTCCCGAAGACACTTCCTCGACCATTACAACCATCGAGGCGTACCATGCACGGCACCGCTGATATCCACTCCGCTCTTTCGAGGAAGCACGCATGGCCGCAAGCCAGAGCGGCTCGGAGAAGAGGTGGTCTGACTATGACAAATAGCGTCCGTCCGAAGCCCGACGCATACGTCGCGGATGGGTTACCGGTAGCCTGCATAACATTGGCGATGAAACTTGTGATGCCAGCCCACGAAGCTCGAGAGGATTCGTTTTTTTATCTCATAAACGGCAAGCATAAGTGCTGAGGCAAGGGCCTGATCCGCAAGACATTTATCCGATAATATAGGGAGACACCTTGTTGCCGTTATCTGAGAAGCCAGGGCGTCAGCGTACGCATCCATACTCTCGGCAACCAACCTCGGATTCTCCGTCTGTCCAAGATGCAGAATTGCCAAGGCACGTACTGCAAGCTGGAGAAACGTGGGAGGAGGCTGCGCTGGATGCATAACGAAGTCAAGCCAGTTAGGGTCCATGCGTGGTGCATAGCAAGCCCACAGGCCGGAATAGTCGGCCTCCACATATCGAGAAAAGATGCCCAGCTCTTGAGTACGAATCGACTGCGTTGCAAGACTGGGCATCACACGCTTATCCATGCCCGTGGGCACAATTTTTGAGCCCCCCGGACTGTATGTTCTCACACCTTTGACTCTGCGGTGTGGCCCTTGGCTGTTCCACGTATGCACATTGTAGAAGACATATTTTACCGGGTATCCTGGACAAGCGAGGTTCCGTCTGAGGCATGCTTGACAGGCAGGCCTGGTCTCATCACACTAGAGCGCAGCGCGGGGGTAGTGCCCCGAGACATTAGCAAACCAGATCCTCTTCGGGGAAGACGTCTACTATACTTTGACCTTCCTCTGAACGCATCTCTGACAACCTGTGCTGCTGTGGTTTCGGGTCATACCGTCCTCTGAGAAATAAGGTCGATTTTGGCTCGGAGTGCCGGTCGGACCGACCAAGCATACGGTAGGGCCGTTGGAGAGTTGAACGGACTCATACTCCGATGCATAGGAGGGCGGGTCGTGAATGATTCCTTCCTGCTTAGCCTCAATCCTGACCATGCCCCTCCTTGAAATTGCACTGACCGGGGTCAACCCCTCAGTCCTCTTTAGTTCCTTTCACTAGTTTCATGGTTGCTTTTGCGAACTACGAATTGCGAACATTGCCCTCTGTTGGCGTCTAGTCGATCAAAGACCCCTTTTAGGCCCCTCCCGCCACATGCTCCAAGGCTAGAAGCAAACTATTTCCCCACAAACAGAGAACGCAACGGAGCCAATTAACGCCGTTGAGAAGTATTACTTTACCACTAGCATCGGTGGCCCCTGTAGCTATACGAACTTTCGACTCCTCGTGGCGCATGCGGCTAACCAGATAAGGAAATATACCGCGTTACGGTTTCGTACGAAACTTACGGAGTACGGGTAGGTGCGTTAGGGCTCGGGTTCCCGCGACTACTAGGCGGGACTAGATGCTTGGCTACTATCGGTAGATCTCGCCCCATCTCTGGTGGGTCTCAGATGCTTGACCTCATGTGTCAACATCACAAAGTCTAAGGTAGAACTGTCAAAGTCATAGAAAAGAACCATCTCAACAATGCGAATCTGCACAGTCTAAATGGTGGGAAAGTATAACAGGCACACGAAGAACATAGATAACCCGAAACATTGAGAGACGATACAAAAATGAAAACAGTAATGCATAACATAGCAGCGACTGGCTCTCATCGGTCGGTCAGATGTGAGGGAATATACTCGTCCAAGGGGGTTGTTGGTACGACCCAGCGGGTAGGCTTCGCATGCTGATAAAGGCTTCCACCGTGAGATAAAGAATGCAGGCCACATACAAGATCATCGCAATGGTGCAGACACACAGGAGGAGATATCGAAGCCAGATCGGAACATTCTGGTTGGATGAGGTGCCGCGCACGCTAAGATGGTATTGACCTGCCATGATCGAGAGGCTTCTGTATGTCATCCACGCCCAGGACCCTTCCTCAAATCTCATGAGATACCACATCTTGACGAAGAAATCGTCGAACTCTTCATTCCAAGACATGATGAAATAGACCATCAAGGGGAAGACGCCCAGCCCAATGCCAGAAATGCGCCAAATGATGCGCTCTGCAGTGGTGGGAAAGTAAGAGTTCCACACGAGCAGGTGGAGAGCACCGTTGCCAATGGCGAGGATTGAGGCCCACAACTCAACCCGCCGGCCAAGATATTGAAGAACAGCATATGCCGCGCGAAAGAACATGTCGAGCCATCCACTGTGCTTGTAGTACTCTGTGACGAATGGGAGCTCCCGCTTATGGTCTGCAGTCGGTACCGTGACATTGTGGCCCTGCAGGAGTCCGGGTGCTATAGCCAGTGGAATGGGTCGATTGATATCCAACGGCTTGGCCCACCAGCAACAGTATGCAGCAATAGAGTAAATGATCTGGATCAGAACGTGGACTTCGAGTAGAGTAACCGGGAGTCCGGACAGCTTTCGACCGATAGATTGGATGATCATCCAAGAAATCTGCACGGCAACCAGGAGCTTGCTGATGGTGTTTGCGTTGCCCTTGTCCTCGATGATCCTGTGGTCAAAGTGGCGTTTTTGCAACGTTCCATTTTTGATCAGGTTTTGAATGGTACCCTCCGTCAACAGGACTTGGAACCCTTTCGGCTGAATTGTTGTCACCAGTGGATGCAATTGATCACTTGACGTCGATGTTGGTTTCTGTGTTTCAAGTTGGATGGGATTGGCGTGATAACTATCGGTGTCGGTCTCCACAATGTAGCCTCCCATCACCACAAAGAACGCACCACTCAGTCCGAGCCAGGACTGTTTGTCACTATCTTCTGTGAAGGTCGCCCGCCAGAGGTTCCGGATTTCCAAGGCTTGCTTCAGCTGGATCACAGCCATACACAAGAGCAGTTCCGGGATCACAATGGCCCAGGTCATCATGAAAAACTTGTAGCAGTTGATGGGCCAGGAGCCCTTAACAGGAACGACATCCGGATGTACCGCTGTCCACACACACAGGATGAACGTGGTGAAACAGTTCCAGAATAACTTGACGGTTCCTCTTGTGTTTGGTTCGGGGACGTATGCGGGCTCGGGTTGGGGGTCGAGGCGAGTCGGGGCGGCGGAAACGGTAACGATGACTGACAAGACCAGCATAAAACATTGGAAGTAAACAAGTTTCGGAAGGTCAGCCATTATCCTGCCCTTGGATATGGTCAAAGAGATCAAAAATCCATAAAAAAGTTCTTTGCTATTCAAGGAGGAGACTGTTCAGGTGGGAATGGAATCGATCTTGAACAAAGGAATCTATATACTGCCTCGAGTAACCCCTGCTACAAATACTGCATACACGAGACCATAAGTCCGGATTGCCATCTCCCCAGTATTGCCATGGTCTTGTTATCTTACCATCCAAGTATGCTCGTGCTCAGAAGCCCTTTTCAGAAACTTTGTTCCACGGTAACTTCTAATATTGGATCTTACGCCTGCAAGTGCAGTCGGTTCAATGACGGACCTGGACAGTATTCACATAGTGAACGAGAAGCTGTGATTCTACTGCCGCTAGTCATTTGAAAAGAGGAAGAGAACTAACAAGGTCCACGGTTGTATCTTGAGCCAGAGTCATGTCATCATTAGCCAGGCGCAACACCTTCTCCAAATAAAAGTGCCATATGGTCCTCATTATATTTAGCAAGACGACTGCATTTCTCAAGATGCCGTCGTAATAATAGGGTGTATAGGGATGTTCTCTGCACACGTGGGCCCAATAAGGTCTATCGATTGAATGAGATGCGTATGAACCATAGTATCAGGACCCTAATACCAGGGTCATGGCGAACTACTAGCCCTGCCAATTACCTAGCTCGTAGCCTTCTGGTGGCTTTGGCGCCGGTCTCATTCAAAACCCCGGAATAGATGTTGACTGCGAGGATGCGCTCTGTATACATCGATATGACTCGATCACGGGGTTGGTGATACAGCTTCGTGGCATATTCCTTGTTTCTCATCCATTCGGAGAACCCACAAGGACCCTTGCTATACCCTGATCCTAGTCAGTCAATACCGCCAGGAAACGTCAACCAGTCCGTGGGTTGCGACGCCGCCTGCTCTTGCATTAGTCTGCGTTTGTGGCGGAAGGCTGAGAGACAGGAGACAATACAGAACGATACCGTAGCACTTACTCTCATAGGAAAACAAATTATTTTCGAATTATCTTGTTGGCGAGGCTCTGACTCCTGTGCTACCCCCAATGCCCAGGGTATGATGGCGACATGTAACAAATCAGCGAACCCGCCCCGTCTTGATGAAATTACGAACTCTGTAAGTAGGTAGGTAGGTTGAAGACAAGAGGTACTGTTCTGTGGGCTCTTGTGGCGCAGCACCTTGCCTCCTCGCGTAAATTTCTCCTGCTCCAGTGCCATATATATACAGGTACCCAGCGCGTACTTGTCCTTTGTTCATTCCCAACCGCCACCAGAGACATCAATCCTCATATTTTAAAGGCCTTGCCATGGACTTCATCTCCAAGAATACGTCGCCCATTATCCAAAAATTCCAGTCTCCTGGAATTGTGGCAATCTTTGGCAGCGATATCTCGATTTGGATGGTCTTGTTGACGGTGCTCATCACGGCCGTCGTCTATGATCAGTGTATGTTTGTACCGATATCTCCCAGTGACCAAAGCCAAAGCTAACAGTGACTCCTTCCAATAGTCAAATACATTCGACTGAAGGGCACCATCGCTGGTCCATCATGGAAGATCCCCTTTATGGGCCCATTCCTTGAGTCCATGGATCCCAAATTAGAGGGATATATGGCCAAGTGGAGGAGCGGCGAACTGAGCTGCGTGTCGATTTTCCATAAGTATGCTATAACTAAATCATTACTGGGACAAGAAAAGCTAACTGACTGTCTTCTAGATTCGTCGTTATCGCTTCGACACGCGAGATGTCCTGCAAGATTTTCAACTCCCCGATGTTCGTGAAGCCTTGTGTTGTGGACTCGGCGCATAAGCTTCTAGGGAAAGATAACTGGGTGTTTCTGGACGGCAAAGAGCACGTGGACTTTCGCAAAGGCTTGAACCTGCTGTTCACCCGTTCTGCCTTGGCCTGCTATCTCCCGCGTCAAGAAGAGGTATTCGATATGTACTTTGAGCGTTTTGTCGCGCGGTCAGCGGCAAACAACTACAAACCTCTTCCGTGGATGCCCGAGTTTCGCAAGCTCATGTGTACTATATCCTGTCGCACATTTGTTGGCCACTACATCTCGGAGAGCGCACTCGATAAGATCGCTCATGATTACTACCTCATCACTGCCGCGCTAGAACTGGTCAACTTCCCAATCGTTCTTCCATTCACCAAAAGCTGGTACGGCAAACGCGCAGCGGACATGGTTCTTCGGGAATTTTCCCAGTGCGCGGCCAAGAGCAAGTTGCACATCGCCAGCGGCGGAGAAATCACCTGCATCATGGATGCGTGGGTGAAAGCTCAGCTGGACTCGGCCGCATACCGGAAGAATGTCGCTGCAGGGATCCCATGTGAGAAACCCTCTCACTTGCTACGCGACTTTACCGACTACGAGATTGCACAGACGGTATTCACGCTCTTGTTCGCATCGCAAGATGCCAACAGCTCTGCCATTACCTGGCTTTTCCAGATTATGGCGGACCGCCCCGATGTCCTCGATAAACTTCGCGAGGAGAATCTCCGAGCTCGCAATGGTGATTGCAATGCGCGGTTGTCGATGGAGCTGTTCGATAAGCTGCCATACACGCGCGCTGTCGTGCGAGAGACCCTGCGCTACCGCCCGCCAGTGATCCTGGTCCCGTATATTGCGAAGAAAGACTTTCCCATCACTGAGAAGTACACGATTGCCAAAGGATCAATGGTCCTCCCATCTATCTGGCCCGCTACACACGATGCCGAAGCCTACCCGAACCCCGATTCATTCGATCCAGATCGATGGATCACCGGGACAGCTGAACAGCACCCGAAAAACTTCTTGGTCTTTGGAACCGGACCGCATTACTGTTTGGGACAGACCTATGTCCAGATGAATCTGATGGCCATCATCGGCAAGGCAAGTTTGGCGTTAGATTGGAAGCACCATATTACCCCTGATTCGGAGCAGATTAAAGTCTTTGCTACTATATTTCCCCAGGTACGTATGATGACTGAGAAAGATTATATTTCGATTAGTACTGACTTGGTTCTAGGATGACTGTCTTCTGACCTTCCGCCGTCAGCCTGGAAGTTGAGAGATGCGTGGACACCGTTATTGGATTATTTCTCTGGTATCCTGATACGGGGTTAGCACCTTCATAGGCATTGGTTGGGCCACGTTCTAGCTACCAAAGATGACAGAGTATTGAAATATGTATGATTAATCTCATAGTATTCGTTGCATATTCAGATGATCTATTTAATCACCGAAAGTAGGCGGCTGATATAGTGTCAGTCCAGGCGGTCCGATATGACTTCCCGCGGCTTCACCGTCTATATAAATCTGGTATAGTGAATCTAATTCTATGCTTGCATTAATCTTAGAATAGCATCTCTAACACTAGTCTGAACTGATATTATACGCGCTAATATAATGTAGGCCTCTTGGAGGAATATTTTCATTTGATCCTTTGATGAGCTAAATATTCAGCACATCTTGTCGTCCCACCTTTGAACTCCTCTTGTCTATGGCTTTCTGGCCCCTTCCCAGGCTTACGGCGCAAGTATCAAAGTATCCCGGAGATAATTGAATCAGAATTAAGGCAGGGTGGTCATGCGACGTGTCAGCTCCGAGGCTCGACTTAATCCACGTCTTCGGAACAGGGGACAGAACCAAGCAGGTAGGGGTCCGAAGAGAGGAAGCTATTTGGCAGTATTTTTATCATAATGGTACTGAACCTTTACAATTCCTTCCCGTCAGTTCGTCTTCATCTTGTTACAACGAGTCTGTTGCGTGAATGACACCCTAGCTGATATACTTGACAGCTTTCACAAAATCATCTACATTATGGATTCCCACACGGAACACGAATGCACAAATGTCCCATCAAACGAGGACATGTTGATTTGATGTTGGGAAGAAGACATGTTTGTCCTGTATCAGCAGTTCTTGCCTTTACTCACGCTGTAATGCATCAAGGTTTCTTTGTTGTGTACTTCTGAGAACAGATCCCTAATTTATCATTTGAGGCGGTGTGACGAGGGGTTATAGACGCTTCTGCCCCCGAAACCACGGCTATCACCATTCCAACTCTCCTCCCTCCTCCAGATATCGTGACCTAGTTGAACACGTTCGTATCCATTTGTTCATCCGACATGTCCTCCTCGGACCCTTGTCCAGCGTGTAGTTGGACCACCGAACGTCAAGGACATTGCAGCTACAAAAGCCACGTCAAGCTGTTTTATGAAGCAGGCGATCGAGGCGTCTGGTCGTTAGGCTCGAATGTGATCCTCAAAGACCGAGGTGGTAGTCTGCCCACCCGTGAAGTGCCAAACATCCAATTTGTGCAGGAACACACTTCGATACCTGTACCCGGGATTATCGAATCTTGGGAAGAAGGCGACCATACCCTCATCCTAATGAGACGTATTCCTGGCGAACCCCTCAGCGAAGCGTGGCCAAAACTTTCTACCGAGCAGAGGGAAAATATTGCACGACAGACTGCCGAGTATCTGCTCCAACTACGCAAGCTCCAGGCCGACAATATCCAAGCACTCGGTGGCGGTCCGGTTTATTCCAACTTCCTGTTCAACGATCCTGTTGATAATCTTCCCCACGGTCCTCTGGCCTCCGACGAGGAGCTCTGGGCTGACATGGAACGTGGGCTGAACGAAGACGTACCCGAGGCTGCACGAATGCGCCTCCGACGTTGCATGCCCTCCGCTAGCCCTTATACCTTTACGCACAGCGATCTCACCAATGTTAACATCATTGTTAAGAATGGCTCCCTTACTGGCATCATTGATTGGGAGACGTCTGGATATTTTCCAGTATGGTGGGGGTACGTCTCTACCTCTGTCCCCGATAGTGAGGAGGACAGGGAATGGAAAACTTTACTGCGAAAATACATGCCCGATCATAGTGCCGCGCGGGAATTCTGGCTGAATTATTACTATCTCTGCCGTGATCTTGACAACGAAAGAGCGAAGAAGTTCATTGAGGAAGCAGCGCATGAGACCTCTCTCTGAAAGTTGACGGATATCATATCGGCTCATGACTTGGAAGTGACTTTTACTGGCCAGAAGCCCCACGGCTAATGTTGGGATGACTATTTGATAATTGCGCAACTTCTCATAGCTATTTTCTCGAAGTAGCCCATGTTGAATGAGCAATTCGTGTTTTAATAGAACGATAAAGTCAGACGTGCATAGATAAATGAATGACCAAGACAAGCTGATTGGTTTCAACCATCATGCTGAAAAAACAAACTGGATAAGGACGAGCGCCAGAAAACAGTACCTTGGACCCCATGCCGAGGCGCTATCTCACCGGTAAGCTTGGGTCATGAAATATAGAAAAGAAGCATACTGGAGGCTCAAGCCAGGGCTCTTCATACCGCCCGGCCGTTAGGTTTGGGGCGCTTTCATAGCCTTGGGAAGTTCAGCACCGCAATTTTCGCATTTTTTCTTGTAGGTAGGGTTATGGTGGTTGCACTTGCGGCAGTTCATGGTTGATAGTTGGGATGGAGACTCTGGAGAGACTAGAGGGCAGCGGTTGCAGTGGTTTTGTCGTAGCTCAGCCAAGGGGTGGATACAGAAATGACAAGAGTGAGCAGATACCAGGAACCCCAAGTCCATTTTATACATATCTGGGTTGTGTTCGAATTGGTAATCGGCCACAGTCTCAGACAGGTTCACTCTGGTTCTTCCCCCTGTTTCACCCTGGTCGATATGTACGGTCATGCGCTTGGGTGGCAGAACCGACGACTAGACTAGCAGGAAACGATTGGAGCTGACTGAAATGAGTCTGTTGATCGCGAGATGTTGATGGTCGTCTGTAGGTAGACTTGCGGCCCCGTGTCTCCGGATATCCAGATCGTACCTATGACCGATGTTACCCAACGTCCTATGATCTGATGTGGTACAGCCTCTACCTTTGGTTCCTTAATTGTCGGGGAGACTGGCGCAGGTAGATACCACAGACAGCGTTATTCGAGGGCTGCATACCAGCAAAGTCTGTGGAGATTGATTGGATGTATCCTTTGTGAATCTGTAATGCCGTGGCGATGCCTTGTAGGCTTTATCTGACTGGCAGAAGAGATGCGCTGTTAGAGGCCAGCTTCCCCAAGAGTGCAGGCGTATTGTTGCTGTGGTATGGCAGTAGGTAGTAGGTAGTGGTGGCAAGGCGATCCCTAGAACTACGCAATGGTTCTAAGCGGCACAGTTGGGAATAATACAGCAGAAGCGTGTGACAGAGTGACTGTGCCAGCACCAGGACCAGCTAAGGCTATGTTGCATCGGTTTTACCCTGCTCTGGCTCACTACACCCTCTTACGTCTCATTATACCTCTTTGGACCTTTCCTCCAACAGCTTGATTCTCGCTACATCAGATGCCTCCCCAGACAAAGAAAAGTCGCCGTACCGAAACTCCCTCTTCTGCTTGAAAATCAGAGATTGTTATTCGGGTGATACCGATGATCTGGCTTTATAAGGTCCATGGCAACATCTCAAGATATGAGAGTCTCTAGACAAAAAGCCCCTTGCTGCACCTACTCTTAATAGTCACTCGCAGTCAACTCACACCCCGTTCTCATCCAAACAGTGTTCATTACTGCTCATTTCAAGAAGTATTGCATGGAAGTCTTCCAAGATTCAAAACCACATTCATCATGTGTCTCACCGTCATCGCACGGCTCGCACTCCGCAGGCCGATACGTACAGTTCCGAAGCACCTAGATAAACTCAAACCGCTCCCAACAAGCCCGTACCTCCTGATAGCTTCACAGCTTACCCGTCCTGAACTCCATCGTAATCAATAGCACAGCGCTGATTACTTATGGGAGGTCCAAAGTCTCCCTTCTCTACCCGGACCCAACTGTTCCCATCTCCAATAACGGGAAGATCAGATGGATTTCACAGCCGACGCACTTCCATCGATATCTGCATATTCAGATGGTACTGGGGATTCGCGCTAGGGCAGCCAGAACCCCGGTATGCAAATACCATCCAACTGCCATAAAGCTTTCTGTGATAGCTTTTAATGAATTAAAGAAAGCAATTACAATCTCGGTTCTGTCCGGGCAAACCCTCGTCCTGTTCGGTTATAGATCCAGCACTATGCGAGCACGTGAGATTAGATAAGTCACCCCATTTTCCGACGTCATATCTCCTCCTCCAGACATCCGATTCCCGTCCACCACTCACTCTCTCACTCTCAAACACATTGTCTTCACAAAGTCCACGCCATTGATCACAATGCCTCCTCTCCGACCCCCGACATCCGTCCCTATGTTCCGTCTTTTCCGTCCTATCCGCGCAACGGGCCGCTTCTCCTCCCGCGCCATATCCTCATGCCACCGCGCAACACGCCCGATAACCAACAGCCCACGCCAGGGCATTGCACTCCCGCGGCATGCCCAACCCACCATAATCACAAACAAAATCAGGACCCTAGCCACAACCTCCAGCGGCAAGTCACAGGGCGACGAGATGGTTGAGGAACTGCAAGAACTGTGCGTTCGCCTCGCCCCTGTTTCCCCTTCTAGCTGCGTCGCTCGCAAACGACGCAAACGAGGCAAGCATTGTGTTAACCACGACGGAACAGTTATGAAACCGCCAAAGACGAATTCGAAATCGCCACCGAAAGCACCGACGGCGCCACCATCTACGCCGCGTCGGACCGCGAGTCTGCGCGCGACGCCCTCAACCAGCTGCTGGCTGTGTACTCGCTGTATACGACGGATATTGCTTCCACGGCGGGGTCGCAGGAGCCCGAGCCGGATGACCGGAGCGAGATTGTGGAGACGAATTTTGATCCGGCGGCGATCCCTGCGGAGGTGCGTGACGAGGTGAAACGGCGCGTTGGGCAGCGGGTGCGCGAGTTGCAAAATGCGGTTGAGGTGTTGGAGGAGAGGGCGAAGGCTGATTGAGCGTGGTCGACTGCTGTGTACTACGGGATGAAGAGTGGATAGATACTTAGTGCGTCGGGTGAAATGACTAGCAAGTGTATATGGTGGCTTGTAATATAGAAGACTTCATTAATCATCATATATGTTCAGACAGATGTCGATCTAATATCATATAGTAACTGTTTTGAGATCACACAGACAATTGGGTATGGTATAAACATGTTTCCGGTAACGCCATTCTCCGGTCCTTGTCATTACTTTTCCCTTGTTGTACAGTCGGGTTATACGACTGTGCTGAAAGAAAGTGTGAACTGGTCGACCGCAGGTGGCACAAAGGTCGGGTCATGGCCTTTGTGGGTAGACCGAATGTGTCGTTTTAATTGATCTGCGGCCATTAGTATAAGTCGAAACCCTCGGCTAGACAACATACCGGGTCTAGTAAAACTCTTCGTGCAGCCAGGGAATGTGCATTTGTGTCTCCGTTCGCCGTGTGCTGCGCAGGTTAGTGCCTGTGTTGTGTACTTAAGACGCAAGAAGAGAATGCATACTTAGACGGTGACTAGACATGTTCGAGGACTGCATACGTTAGATTTGGACATATCCACAGATAAAGCGAACTCACATCTCCTGTTTGGAAGTTACACCCGGGAAATGTGCACTTGAATGGCTTTTCTCCTGTGTGCGTGCGAGAATGTGTTTCTGACAAGTTAGCTAGAGGATCACAACCCAAGGAAGCCACATACTCAATTCACTGCTGTCGGTAAACGTCTTTCCACACTCGGAGCATTTATAGGGCTTCTCCCCGCGGTGGCTGCGCTCATGTCGTTCAAGCGTGGCCTGTCGGGCGAACATCTTCCCACAGACGGTGCATTTGAAGTTTTTGTCTATCCCCGTCAGTCAGATTGTCACAGATCACAGTGTACAGAGGATCAACACGTACAGTTGCTATGAGTCAGAAAATGGCCTTGAAGTTTGGACTTCTGCGAGAAAGGTTCATCCGGCCGATGACAGCCTTCCCAGCAACAGTAGTATCCTGTGCCCTTGGCGCCGTCAACCGTCGTCATGTGTCGCGCAACCAGGTGCTCCTGCAAAGAGCAGGAATCCGGAAAAGTGGCACCACACGTGGTCTTTATTCCGTGGACTGTGGTAGTCCATTTGCAAACATGCAGCTCGGCGTCTGTTGGATTGTACTCCGGACTGGTCAGGACAGACGAGGTACCGCCCTCCAGTGGGGGAGGGGTCTCTCCCGGACTGGACATGAATTGCGAACTAATGCTAGAGCGGGACTGACGCGCATAAGGGGAGTAATGTCCATATGGATGAACATGCTGATGCGCATGCGTTTTGCACCGATGGTGGGAGCGACAGGGGCCGCGACCGCTCTGGTAGGCGGGCGCTTTTATGATGTCGTTCATGCTGAAGTGCGGCATATGGAAGCAAGACGGCGATGCCGTAGGGACATCTGGATTAGGTTTATGCAGGTGGTGGTGACCGTTCTGACCCTCGTGCGTGAATAACGTTGGATCCGCCGTTAGGTCCGGGCACATGCCCAGGATGTGAAACACGTCTGCCGGGTTCACATTGTTCTGCGCGGGGAATGAGGGATCCAAGAGATGACTATGGAGCTCTTTGGGAAAGTCATGGCAGTGGAGGTGGTTGAAGGTCTGAGGATGGCAATGCGTGACCGCCGTTGGGAACGGCGTAAAGAGAGCGTCCGTGGGGGCCGGTGGTTCGACAATCCCGTGGGGATGGTTTCCCGCTGGTTTCACCAGATGATCCTGTGATGTCTGTTCAACAGTTGTCGATGGAAACAGGCTATTTGGGTCCATCGAAAATGGTCCTCCGAGCGATAGCAAAGACTCAAGCGTCTGATCTGCTCCATCAGTGGTACCGCTGCCAAAGCAATGGTCATCGAAACATACAGGCTCGGCATCCTTGCAGTGATCATCCTCGCAGCTGTCATCACAATGAGGCACGGAGCACGCGGTGGCCTCGTCGCAAACGAAGCCATCGCAGACCGACGGACAGGTTACAGAACAATCATCGAGATCACAACAGGCATCGTCGAGGTCACAGTGGGCAGATGCAGAGTGGTCATTGCTGTCGTCGCAATGCCATTGCGACGGCTGATGGGTCTCCGGGGAATTCTCCGAGTCTTTCCCGTCCAGGTTGAAGGTCTCCCAGCGGCATTCCAAGCAGTTGTCGTCCTTTTTGGTGTGGGAAGCCATGGTAGGCAACCGAGGCAGATCAGTCCAGGAGAGGCAGAATCCTTCCGAAAGACTGGAATCGGCAGAAGGTCGTGCAAGAACAGTAGATAACAGTTTTCCCGTCAAAGATTGTCAATCTGCGCAGAGAAAAGAAAGGCGGAGAGCAGATGGAGGGGACTGGAGTCGCTTGTCGCAGACACTAAGGTCCGATTAGCGGATTTTCGCCACCACGAGGGCCTTATGGGCAGGGGAAAAGCGCACCCCAAGAGGAGAAGATCAACCCGGCGTGGAGAGGAGCAAGATGATACGTCTGAGAGTCAAACAGGGCAGAGACGAAGCGCACTGAGCAGGGCGAAGGCGCGGGTGAGTGGATGCGGAAATGCGAAGAGAGGATTGACCGCCCACATGAGGGAGCAACCGAGGGGGAAATGGGGACCTTGGGAGCATGAAGCTTTTCTTTTGGCTGAAATCGCTGCCGGGCAGAGTCCAGAAGGCTAATGCAGTAATAATAATATTAATGGGTCGGCGCACTAATCATGATGTGATCGAATCTCAGCGTTCAGATTTGGATGGACGGCTGGCCTCAGGCACCGCCCGCATGAGTACCCTGGGGGTGATGGGGACCCTGCGGACAGGGCGGTCAGGTCACGTGGGATCCACCGCTGCATCCACGAATAGCCGTGCGTCTTATTGTCAAGCCAGGCTGCCAGGTTGGGAGTACTTGGAAGGCCTTCTAGAATCATGATCGGAATTCTCGATCTTTCCTTGGGACCGTGGATGATCTCTATCTCATACTGTAAAATTTATCTAAGAGTAATGCATAATCGAAATACGATGTTGACCATATGTGGTAAATGGATTAGGGGTACCATGGTGGCTGAGACTATTCCTTGAGTTTCAATAGTCACGACTCACTGTGCCATCTAACAACCTGTACTAAAGATAGAAATGTTATAAACTAAGGATATATCAATTGGAATAACATACCTATAATGTTCATAGCCTTACACCTAGACGATATCTACCTGTAGGATGGATGAAGACAACGGTCAGCCTTATCGCCGCACGTGCGCGCCCACCGCCTTCTCTCCGGATCGACATATCCACCCTATCAATTCCCGCTGTCGTCATTATCATCCCGAGGACATCTCCAACCTCCGTCCACTCCCTCAATTGAACATCAACAATTGCCATAAACTCACGCTGCGCTAAACCGCTACCCAGGTCACACCCCTCTTCTCCAACAAACCCGTTCCTGCATGGACGACCCCTGAGTCCCAACCCACTACCCCGCCCCAATCGCACCGCATCGCATCACCACCGCACCACTCCCCCCAACCCAACCCAACCCAAAGGATGGGCAGCATCTGCTCCAAATCCAGCAACGAACCGGACCCTTTCGCCCAACCCGGTCGCGTCCTCGGATCAAATCAAACCCCACAGAAAGGAACCTCCGCGGGCCCGCGCGCCCCGCTCCCCAAGTCACACTGGGGTACACCCGGACGGACACTCGGTGGCGGCGGAGAGACGTCCTCAGCAGCGACTGAGAGCCCAGATACGGCAGATGCGCGGGCAAAGGCAGCCATTGCAGCGCAGGTGAGTTGATTCCCTCTATTATTATGACGCCCCTGCGATCTTCGCTTTCTCTGGTTCTTTGTTCTGACAGTTTGTTCACCAGAAACGCGCCGAGTCTGCTACGACGGGAAACAAAGGGAAGCTAGGGTCGAAGCTGGCCGCACAGAAGGCTCAGACGCAAAATCAGACTTTGAACGAGGCGAGTCGCTCGGAGCGAGCGGCCAGGGATGCCGATGGGGCTGCGGCCGCTCAGCGGTGGGAGTAATCCTTCCACTGTATATATGTACTAGTCATTATTTCGATCGTCATATCTAGCGTTTCTTGTTTTGACATTTGGCTTCGCGATTTGGTTGGGACTTGTGTCGTTCCAGATGCCTTCGAGTCTTTCTACATGATACCTGGCATGCTTGGCTTTGTTGGCATTGATAGACAGCCAAGAAGGATCGTGTGCCAACAATCCCCTCATATTATTTAACCTGCTTACGCTGCACACTAACGTATTTCACAAACGAGTCGGCAACCCAAACGAGTCGGCTACCTTATCAAAAATCTACGCGTTTTATTGTTCTACTTAATTTAACTATCTACTATGCCTCTAAAAGCGCGTTAAAATTTAAGAAATTTAGCAGAGTAAGAGAGAAGTCTTCTGCTTGCTATTTCTGCTTTAAAGAATTAAGAAATCTGTAATATTCGTGAAGCGGTGCGTATTTATAATGTGTCTCGTTCTACTCTGCAGGACCGACTCCGCGGAAAAATAATATGTTTAGAAACACGCGCTAACGGCTATAAACATGCCTATAGCAAGTTGCTTGACGGTTTAATTTTTAGTTATTAACTACCAATCATCACTTCGTGGGTAATGAAGATTCAATCATTGTATTAGATTACTATTTCATCAAATTCAATGAAGGTCTAATGTATGCTATGGAAGCTTGTCGATATGATGTCAGCATGGGCTCAGTCATAGTTACAGGACTACCTCACTATGACAAGTCAGGGCGGCCTTAGACACTCGTGTATGCCTCAGGCATCAGTCCTCGTTGACTTTGTCAACACAGTGGGATTGTGTCCTCAAAGCTCTTCCTAGCCACCTTCTCTTCCCTTACCAAATTCCCCATTAGCCTCAACGCCTACGACTTTTATATCGTTGAGAACCCTTGTTTGAGCTGCCTTGCGGTATCCAGCAAAAGCTGGTGCCGGTTTGTCTACCTTACGTCTACTTCTCTCCTTCTTGCGGTATCTAGCAAAAAGCTGGTGCCAGTTTATCCACCTTACGTCTACTTCTCACCTGCTTACGGCGTCCAGCAAGTTGCTGGTGCCGGTTTCGTTGTGATGTCGACCCTTACGCCCACCACCAATAAGCCTACCACTCGTGCCTCCACTAAAGCCAAATCAGCCTTCATGGGCCCTGCAGACGAGCTCCTCGACCCAGAGCGGCGCAAAATAATTGCACAGCTGTCAGACTATATCGGAGATTGGAAGCTTCCTTCGACGGGATGGGCTCTCCTTTGGTTTGCGGATCTCGAGATCCTGAGGAAATATCTTAAAACGTGTGAAGAACAGCCAGGGCCAGCTATTGTGGCTGGCATCTTTGGTCGGACTGAGACAATTAAGGATATAATCATGTCCTGTAAGCGATTCAATCGGTCATAAGAGGTACGAGCTAATGCAACAGCAGGGAAGTGTCGGCCTAGAGCCTCATGGTCTTCTGCTGAGGAGGGCCCAGAGGAATCGGGTATCGGAGAAACCCCAAAGAAGCGCCAGCGTACTTCGAAAACCACGTCGAAAATTCCCACGCCCGCTGGCAAAACTCGTCCAGCGGCGGTAGGCTCCCAAGAAGAAACGGAGCAGCCGACTGGCCGTAGCGCAGCAGCAAAGACACTGGTGAGTTTAATTTACATACCTAATGATATAACCGTGTCGGATTCTCACCTACCTATCAAGTGCAAGGAACGAGATAATTACGCTTGTATTCTCACCGGGTACCGTGAACCGCTTGAAGTAGCGCACATCCCCATAAACTCTGGGAGACAGCAAGGTTTGCTTTACAACCCTTGTCTATAAGCGGGGATCAGAAGGTCCTCAAGGTGAAGTTCTACTGGATGCCGATAAACAAGTTCTCTGACGCTATGTCGTCAAGAAGAGTCCCAGGTCCCTTCCCTGATGGCCGTCTGTGCTCTATCAAGGTGGAAGGCAGACACAATGCAAAGCTTTTCAATATTAACACAGAAAAAGCACTGCGTTCTGGAGACGTCCTTACTTTTAAGACCGATGATCCAGTCGGCCATCCCCTCCCATCGATGGAGCTGCTGAAGATGCAATGGGCTCTTCATCGAGTTCTTGCCCTTAGTGGAGCCGCCGATGCAACCGATGAGGACCTGGACCCAGACCCAGATAAGGTGCTCGGGGGACTGGACGCGTGGGGGACGAATTTAGAGGCAACCGACGAGGATGTCGAGGAAGAAACGGTGGACAAAACGGGGAACGAAGAGGAACTACCGAGTGTTGATGCAGAATCTTGGGATGAAGTGCTCTTGGAGGCCCCCAGATTTAGGGGTCAGACAAATCCTCCTACTGGCGAGAACTCCCCAAGCCGCGAAAATTGCCCGGGGCCCAGTCTGCCCAGGTTCAGACATCTTCACCACAAGGATCAAGAGGGGAAGTTGAGGCAGGAGGAACAGGCGGAAGAAGAAAGTTCACTTGCTTTGAGATTCCGGGACACCAATATTCATTAGACGGTTTATCGGGGCCATGTTCGTCTGTTTAGATGTGTAGCTAGCTGAAAACAACCAAAGTAGGTATCCTATCCGACGCAGTAATGACTCTGACATGTTGAAAACCCCGAAGTTAGGGTGGGGAGGTGGGAGTTATATTAATCTGCTTAAAATATATTAAACTCGAAATACCCTTTCTCAGAGCACCCCCGTAGCGCCTCTTTAATGTCCTCGACTCTCTGTCCATCCGCACTCTTCGCTAACAGCTGCGCTATCCGGGAAACAGTGATCTCTTCTGGGTTGAAGGTAAAATCCGCAATGGGGAAAATCCGAAAGTTCGCGGTGCACTTAGGGGTAGCCGATTTAGCCCTGCCCGGACCGGCAGTTTTTGGCGTCGCTAGCTCTAGAACTTCCTCACCCAACGCATCCAGTTCTGTCTGTGTTTTGGGCGCTGTACCCTGGTCACTAGCGGTGTTATTCTTTTTCTCGGAACTTGCAGTCCCTGCGGCCGCAGGTTTAGGGGAAAGAATAGTAGGCTTCTCCGGTGATCCTTTAAACTAGTGATGTTTGTTTTAATTTTCTCTTAAGTCTATAAGGACAGGTACGACAGCTAATGTTTTGAGTCGGTTTACTAAGGTCTTAGTATTCTTAATAATTTTAAGATCTAGAGCTTGAGCTAGTCGTTTAAGATGCGGACGATATATTAGCCGCAACGAGCTATATCTAAATGTGTTGCGATACTAGCTTAAGGTATAGTTTTGATCGAAGGTTTTAGCCGGAACTAGTAGGGGGCCGACTCGTTTGTGAAATACGTTAGTGTTCTTTTGATGATGTCAATATCCAAGATGAGTGTTCGTAATCTCTGTATACCGGGTATGATACAACTCTACACCACATTATACCTGCCTCCCACTGGCGCTCTCGCGTCACTATCCGCCGCAGCCAGCGTACCCTCCTTCAACAACCGCATCAATTCGCGCATCGCGTTCGTTACAGCCAGCTCAGTCTCACCCTCAACAAGAATATACAGCTTCGGGTTCTCTCCTGGTCCGGGCTCCTTGCCTGTCGGGTAGAAGCTGCCTTTCGTGGTGATGGAAGTCCCAGTGGCTTCGAGGATCTTGGCAACATTCGTACGGTTGGTAACGGCCCAACGAGCTTTCTCTGTTTTGCGGTAACGTTAGCATGGGCTCTTCTGCGCTTGCGTATAATGAAAGGAAACTTACGGGGAAAGTCGTTGATCTCCAATGTCGCATGGAACGCACCCGCGTCCGGCCCGCGATTGTCAATGGGCACACCAGATCTCATGACACCAGCACGGCTCAAGCGAGCGTGGATATCGGCAACAGCAGAACCGACCTTGTCCAATGGGTTCTTGGCACCATTGGCATCCTTCTCGGTCCTGTGGACAGTGATCTTTCCATCCAGATCAATACCCTTCGGAACACCGGGTAGGGACGGAGCCGAGGCCGACTGCACCGAAGAAAGGACCTTGTTGAAGCGTTCCTCTGCCTGTTCATTCTTCTCTTCCTTCTCCTCTTCCTCTTCACCTTCCTCGCCCGTCTTGTATGTTCGCCGTTCACGCATGCGTGCAGCATCTCGCTCCTGGTCGAGGCGTTCCAGACCTTTACCACCGAATCCGGATGCACTAGCCTTCTCCTTTCCGGCCTTGACTTTCTCCAGGAAGGAGTCCACCATCTGCTGAACTGGCTCCGGGACCTTCTGCCCACTCTGCTTCAGCGCCTTGGCGATGTCAACGGAAAACCGCTCCTGATCCTCGGTCAAGAAGGTGACGGCCGTTCCTGTATTTCCAGCACGTCCCGTTCGTCCAGCACGATGCACATAATCTTCCAAATGGTTGGGTGCGTCGTAATTGACGACCAGCTTGAGTTGTTTCACATCTAGTCCTCGAGCCGCAACGGAAGTGGCAATTAGAACCGGGAAGATACCCGCCTTGAAATCCTCAATAGTGGAGTCACGGTCAATCTGGTCTTTACCTCCATGGATTGACATGCATGGGTAACCTTTTCGCATTAACTCGCGGAGGAGTGTATCGGCTGCCTCTTGGCGCTCAACGAAGATTAGAGCACGAGCATCCTCGTTCTCGTCGCTGGAATACAAGTTTCCGAGCAGCTCAAGAAGGCGCACAAACTTCTTGTCTTCGTTGCGAACTTCAACAATTTGTGTAATCTCGGGCGCGACAACACTCTTTCCACCGACAACGATTTCCACAGGCTTGTTAAGAGTCTTGCGAGCCAGCGCTTCCATATTGCGAGGGAATGTAGCCGAAAACAAAACAGTTTGCCGATCAGGTCGTACATTGGCCATGATCTTCATCACTTGCGGTTCGAAGCCCATGTCAAACATACGATCAGCTTCGTCGAGCACAACGTACGTCACTCTTCGTAGGTTAGTAACACGACCCGCATTTGCAGCGAGAAGGTCAATCATCCGTCCAGGAGTACAGACCACGATTTCGGCGCCCCGCTTCAGCTCAGCAATCTGATCCTTGATAGGGGCACCACCATAGGCACACACAGCACGAAGATTCAAGGCCTTCAGGAATGGCTTGCAGTCCTTGTGGATCTGCGTAGCTAGCTCACGTGTCGGCGTCATAATCAAGCCAATCGGGCCCTCCATATTTTCCAATGGCCGTTGGTCTTTAATGTGACGGAACATGGGAATCAAGAAGGCGACGGTTTTACCAGAGCCGGTCTTGGCCACACCGATCACATCACGACCAGACATAATGGCTGGGATTGCTTGCGATTGGATTGATGTTGGGTTCTCGTAACCCAATCTATCAATAACATCCAGCGTCTGCACGCCTAGACCACACTGGGACCACTTCTGAACCGGTTTGGGGACGTCAACACCGCGGACCTTGATGCCATCAAGTTCCAGGCGCAGACTGGCCAGCTCCCCTTCTGACATTTGCGCCAGATCGGAAGGTTCGGTGTAGAATTTCTTCCGGAAGGGTTCATACTCCATCTTGGCGTGGTCGACCTTAGGGATGTCTTTCTTCTTTTTCGCCTTGTTGGCAATAGCCAGAAAGTCATCAGCATCACCCTCACCGACGGCAGTAATATCCGGGTCATTCTCGTCACCGAATATGGCTTCGGGTTGCTGTTCCTTTGCCTTGGAAAATTTTGCACCCGTGGTCTTCTTCGGAGGCGCTGTTTCTACCAGCTCGGACATGAAGGCATCGAGAGGATCGATTTCCTCCTCCTCCTTGGCGTCCACTTCCATTTTCTCCCCTTCTTGTGAGTGAGGCGCATCGTTCATAGTGGTATCGCCATTTGTCTTGCTCGCTTCATTTTGGAGGCGCTCTTCTCGCCTCTCAGCGGCCGCACGAGCCGCTGCGGCAGTCTGTTCCTCAGTGTCACCCTCGTGCATGTCAACATCATCGTCATCCTCGGCGTTATCCTCTGGCTTATTCGTATCATTGGCATCATCGAGAGGTGGTGTGGGCAATCTTTCCAGTTTCCGGCGCGTGGATTCTTCTTCTCCAAACCCTAAAGTCTTGGTCGCCGAGGATTTCTCCATATCGGCGGCCTGTTTTGTGCCAAGGCCAAACCGGCCGACAACTCCCTTCGCTTTCAAGGGGGCTATACGCGTAAAATTAGCCCTGTATTCCGCATCATGCATAATGGGAGCATATAACATACCTGACGCTTTGCTTGCAGTGGATGGCTTGTTAGCTTGCACCTTAGTAGTAGTGGAGGTGGCGGAAGCCTTAACAGCAGTAGGGACCGCGACATCATCTCCCAACACATTCGAAGCAGCTTGAGCTGGCGCTGCACTCTTCGCAATAGCTTTGGGGTCAAACTTTCCAGCATACGGGGCAGGAGTTGCGTCGGCGGTGGTGCTCGGCGTCGCGGGTGACTGGGGAGAACCAACTGCCGGAGATAAACCCGACTTGCGGTCAATCTCGTCTAGAAGACTTCTCGCTCCACCAGCTGCCGCAGCTTCGCGCTGCTTGCGTTCCCTCTCTGCGGCTTGTTTCTGCTTCCAAGCTTCCAACTTCGCCAGTCTTTCGGCCCTCTTTTCTTCATCGGTCGGAACGGCTGTTGGCGCGGGGGTGGCCGGTTTCGATGTCTAAGAGGTAATCATCAGCATCATGATCGTAGCTTAAAAACAATTCATGTGCGGGCACTCACCTCGCGAGATCGGGAAGCCGAGTCCTTAGGTCGGTCTCGGCTGCTATCCCGTCTAGACTTGTGTTTCAAGTCAGTAGAATCATCTGCTCGTCTCCGAGCCCTGTCGCGGGAGTCATCTCGCCTGCATCGAAAATCCCGTTCACGACTTCTACGACGGTAGTCCCGGTCATCGCCTCTGTCTCTGGACCGTCGCCGGTCGCGCGAACGGTCTCTTCGAATTGGTCGATAGCTATCTTCATCACGATAGTCGTCGCGCCGAGCTATCGACCGTTCCCGTCGCCGATATGATTCACGGTCACGCTCACGGTAGCGCCTCTGGAACAGCAAGCGGATGTTAGTATTGAAAAGGAACTCGCAGAGACTGGGCAAAGAACGTACCTCCGGGCTGCGCGATCGCCGATAACTCCGTCCATCATCACGCTTGGTCCTCTCGTAACGATCATCATCTCTGCGACTCCGTCTTGATGACGAATGCGTGCTGCCTACAGGTGATGGTGAGCGAGTATCCCCGTGGCGAGCCATTGCTGCCGGCCAGCGATGAGTGAGTATTACTGAATCTCAAAAGAAGTTCGAGTCGACGTTAGAGACAGTGGTTGATTCGTTTGTGTGTATGCTTTATTTTCCCATTAGATAGAAGACTGGCATTCGACAGTCTGGTCCTGTAAATTGGTCGGCGCGTCAACCCAGAGGCGTGGCAACTTGGAGATGGTGGTTGACCAGCCGCCAGTCATGCCTCTTTTTCTGGTCGAGGCATACGCACGTGACTTATGCACGGGTGTGCAGATCACGTGCAAGGCACCTTCCCGATTCAGCCAATCCCAAACGACGCGCCCCCAACCTCCTCCCGCTTTCGTCAGAGCTGCACAGGGGAGGTCTTCAGCTCCTACAATCCACTCCTTCGCGCTTGATATCGTGATATACTGGCGACATTACCTCTGCGATCTCAGCCAATTAATTCTCACCTCTCCCCTTCACCTTCTCTTACCAGCACTCCCCCGCTATCGTTTAGTGTTGTTATCGGTGTTTACCATGACGTTTACTGTGGTACGCCGCGGAGGGAGCCTCCTTAAACACCTCCATGTCAGCGACGCTTTTTCGCGTCCCATCCGGGTCGCCATCGCTCAGGGTCATGCCCGGCGCATTTGTTTCTCGACTCGTCGCACCGCTTTGCGCCCAATCGCTCACAACATTCCGGCTTCGACTGTACTATCCCGACAGCTGATCAACACGTTTGCGACCGAGGCCGAGGGGGGAAAGACATCCAAGTCCTCCGACGGCACCAAGAAGAAGAAGGCGACAAAGAAGAAGAAGGCGGCTAAGAAGCCCAAGAAGGCGAAGAAGCGTGGCCTGACAGAGAAGCAGAAGGAAGCCAAGAAGGCCCGGGACCAGCGACAGCTTATCAAGGACCTCAAGGCTGCGGCGCTGGAGCCACCTAAGAAGCTCTCGGAAAACTACTGGAACTTGGCTGTTATGAGTAAGCTTGCTGAGGCGGAGCAGACGTCGCAGAAGGGCTCGCAGGCGTTCAAGGCTGCTACCGATCTAGCCAAGACCATCAGCGCGGAAGAGAAAGAGGTGCGTCCCATGATTTGGTAGCATAATTACAATTTGCGCTTGCGCATGAACTGATTATCTTTTACAGAGATTCACTTCCATCGCGGCTTCTAACAAGGCGGCCAATGTGGCTGCTTACGATCAATGGATCAAGTCACACACCCCGCTTCAAATTAAAGAGGCCAATCTGGCCCGCCGTCGGCTTGCAAAGCTTAAGAAGTCATCTGTCCCGCAGCTCCGAGATGACCGCCTCGTCAAGCGTCCTCGTACCGCCTTTGTGCATTACTTTGTTGAGCGCACCGAGGGCGGTGACTTCAAGCACATGGCCGCGAAGGATATCACCTCTCGCGTCACGGAAGAGTGGCGGGGGATGACGGATTATGAGAAGGAGGTATGTCTTATCATATATTAGACCCGTCTCAGAGTGCGAGCTAATGTTTGCAGAAATATCGACGACTCCAAGAAGCCGACAAGGAGCGTTATCTCCGTGAATACCGTGAAGTCTATGGAGAGGATCCTGCCAGTGTCAAGTCTGACTCTGAGAGCTCATGAATTGAACGCGCCGAATATCCAGTTTCTTGATGCTGCGTATTTGCTGGTTCAAAGGGAAGGAATGGTGTTCCATCGTAGGCTGGCTCTGTGATTTACAAGTACCCAAGCTTGATTTTGTGTATTATTTCCCTTTGAGGTGTATTTTTGACTGATGTTTTATCCACATGGGCTTTCCTTTGTTGATTGTATTCGTACTTTGGCCATCTTAGTCAAACCACTATCCACTGAGACATGCCACTATATTGCGGTCGATGTTTTGTAGACTTCATGAGAGTCAATGAGTTGGTTGAGAGTGGACAAAACCTACGCATTATTCTTGATACCTTCAGGTGGGGTCTGTGCAGCTTCCGTTATATATCCTGGCACCGAGGCGGAAGGGAGCTCCTTGTTGCGCGAAGGACGCTCACGCTGCCAGCACTCGAAACTCAAGGTCCTTTAACTGAATAGACAACATATTGCGCTTTGCGAGTGAAGAAAGGGACTTGAGCTATATCGGCAGTACTAGGGAACTATTCGGAATGACGGATTGGACTAAAGACTGCAGCCATTGAAACCGAGAGGCTCGCTCATTCTCTGGGGCCAACGCTGGAACACTTCAGGATCTTCATAATGGTTACACTCATAGGTTGGCCTCTTGTTGAATCATAATTTTCTGGTCCGTTAGCCCGCAGCAACATGGCGATTGTGGGGTGTTCACTGTACGAGATATAGATCTATTTTGGCCCCCATGCTCGGCCCAGATCTCGTTATATTCCTTGGCCTTAGGAATAGGATAATGATGCGCGCTGCATCTGACCTATGAAGTCTGTCTGATGAGGGCATGCAACACCACAGCCCGAGTATACGATATGATGTGCATGCTTAGAGTAGCAAACGATGAAGATGGAAGATGGCCAAGCCGCTTAGTTGGAGCCCCATCCGCTAAAACATACCAAGTCTGCTGGGGGCGGACGCCTCGTGTTTTGTCGCCATAAATAGGCGATCGGCCATCGACGCAACATCCAGGAACTCTGTGACAAGAGAAGATCGTCACCCTAAGCGAGATTCTTATAACGATCTGTCGGAGAATACGGTACTTGGCAGTTGGGACTTTCAGCATTTACGACGTAACCGGTCCGTATAGGGCTCTTTTCGGCATTCTGCCCTATCTTCTTCGCGTTCCTGCATCCAGAAATAGACCCGCTAGTGTCGTGGTTCGGATTTAGCAGCGATGCGCTTCTCGTATTCTCCGGTGATTCCTGTCGATCTCCGTGATATTTGCTTGAGCACCGAAAACACGACGGTGATGAAGAGGATATACCAAGAGGGCCTGCGATGGAGAAAGATATAAAGAGGACGTTGTCCCCCAGACATTAAGTCTCATCATCGAGCCCAACCCAACAATCTTCAGCACTATACAACTCTATCAAGTACTACTATCCAACTGTTCTATCCCCGAACATCATCAAAATGCCTTCCAACACCATCAAGTTCATCCTTGCTGCCCTCCCGGCTCTGGCCGCAGCCGCCTGCTCCGGCCCCAATGTGAACGAGGCCACCATCAAGCTCATGAAGGGCTACGAGAGCTGGGAGGCTGACGTCTACGACGATGGCTATGGAAACCCCACTGTCGGATACGGCCACTTGTGCGACGACTGGTCCTGCTCCGATGTCTCCTACGACATTCCCCTTTCCGAATCCGACGGGGAGAAGCTTTTCGCCGAGGACATTGTCGTACGTTCTATCCAGCCCTGATGGGTTCCCCGCGGGAATGTCTAACTTCTGGTAGGCCTACCAAAATGGCGTGGTCGCCGCTCTCTCTGACGATGTCACCCTCAACGACAACCAGTACGGCGCCCTCGTTTCGTGGTGTTTCAACGTCGGCACCGGCGCCGTTGCCGAGTCCACCCTTGCCAAGCGCCTGAACAACGGCGAGGACCCTGATACCGTCGCCGAGGAGGAGCTCCCCAAGTGGGTGTATGCCAACGGTGCGCCTTCTGAGGGTCTTAAGAACCGCCGCGCTGCTGAGCTCAAGCTCTTCACAACCTCTAGCGATACTGAGGCTTTGCCTGTTGACTGCTAGATTGCTTGTGGTTGAGTCAGTCTCTTTCGGCTCGGCTTTGAGGTTTCTTCTTTTTGTCTGGTTGTACAGATGGGATATCGCATCACCGGGGTTTCTGCATAGACAATCATGGTGCATATAGGAATTCTCGTGTCATATAGTCCACGTGTTGGGATATAGCTTTCTTTGTCAATATTTTCCCCTTGAATTGTTATCTAAGTTTGTTTTGTGTTGCATATCATTTTCAAGCCGCTATGTAGTACGTAGTGTAACAATGGCTTAAAAGCTGCAGATGGGCAGTCCAGGGCACATTCAAATGGACAATGACATTATGAAGAATGTTGGCTGTCAATGAAAGATGTATTGTTGTTCATTTATGGATGTAGTGCATGCCGCTTGGCAATACATAGGTACACTGGCATTTTTATCATCTGGTTCCATACTATGACGCTGCCCATCATGACAACATGTTGGGTGCAGGTACATAAGGCGTCAACACTTTCTGGTCCTATGTTGATCGTGTTTATTAAGGCGAAAGGCGTAAAGCTTGAAATCTCCCAGTCTTCCATTCCGGATTCCATAACCAGGATCCTGGAAAGAGTCTGTCTGCGTGCCTATACACCGTCAAGCACTTTAGCCGGTGGAATATACGCTGAACATGAGGTTGGACTGTTCTGGTTGTAGACAACCATGTAACTAAGCGGACGTCGCGAACGCTGTGCCAGCGCATACATGCTTCTTGCCATAGTCTGCAGGGAAGTCAATACGGACGATATGCTATGCACTGTTTATCTCTATTGATATAGAGGAATAGAATTTGAGAGTTCAGCCCCAAATCGATGCACCCAACCAAATCTATCTACGGCGGCCTTTCCTGCGCTTTTCACCCCGAATCCTTCCAAGGGAAAGGTTCTGGGCAGATAGTCACCTTAGTATTAGGCCTTTTTTCTGCTTCGATGACTACGCCTCATCTAATTACGCGTGGTCAATTGTCTTAGGCTACCGATGGCTTCAACGTATGCAATGCATGCATGATACAATATTAGGAGTTTCTTGTCGTCGCCTAACTCTGCTGCGCCATCCTGACAACGTAAGATGCATTCGGTCTTTTATTGGGACAATATTCAATACGAGAGGCGAAGAAATGGATGGAATCCTTGATGACGCCTGATGACAGCTCCGCCATATCTTCTGTTCTTTGTCAACGCCTCCGACTCTCAAGAGGAAGAAGCCGTCGACCTTCAAGTCGGTGAAATAGATATAGGAACGGGTCTAGTATTTTTATCTAAGTAGCAACCTTCTTTGGTATTAGAAATAGTATCAGCGTCGTTAGAATGTGACCACTTAGGGCTGTGGAGTATAAGGCAGGCGATGACCGGTCAGCATCACCGCCTTACAACAGGCCGGGGTATCAATGCATTCTCATGCATTCCTTCGATGTCGGCCTATTATATCACCAATAAGATGCTGAATCCGTGACCTTTACCTTTGCTAAGTGGGTTTTGACATGACTGTCTCATCGCCTCGAGGTGCGGATAAGCCGCATAATACCCTGCAGTACCCGGCAACGTGGAAAGCCTGGAGATGCAGGCGATGTATCGGGATGCATCCATCTACCAGTAAAGAGAATATGATGTAATCTATTACATGCTGTTGTAAAACCTCTCCAATGCGATCAAGCATGGCGATGGCTGTGCGGGTTCATGTCATCCAGCTGATTTTCCTAGACCGTCAACGTCACCTTAGGCCACCCGGAGTACCACGGTTAGCATACTCATGTGCAAACCTACAGGCCAATTTTAGAACTATACCTTATGTTCCAGTATAGAAGACTGAGAAGATCTAGGAGAGAGAAAAGGTATATAAAGGCCGCTTTACTTCCCTCGAAGACCATATTCAATCCAACAGTCGCATCATTCAGCACAGACAAAGCCTATATCACCCAGAGCACTCTCCAAGTCCATCTCATCTCCAACTTATCTTTATAATATGAAGACCTCCGCTATCGCCGCCGCTCTCACTGCCCTCGCTGGTGTTGCCAGCGCCGGCCCTGTTGTTTTTGATGTCACCGTCACCTTCCACGGTGCCGCCGATGCTTCCTACACCAGATACATCCCGGCCGATGGCAGCACTGTCATTCTCAGTACGTAGCGCAGATTGATCCATAGTCATCCATTTGCAGTAATGCTAACAGATAAAAGACGACGCTCTGAGCATCTCAAAGATCTCGTCCACTGGGCGTGCCACCTGCACTTTCCACGGTGTTGACGGCTCCGTCACCACGGTCAACGACGGCCAGACCGTCGATGTCGGTCCTCCCCAGACCCAGACTTGGGGAACCTGCTCCGCTTGGTAAGAAGCGGAACGCTTATTTTGAAGATATTCTTCTTTTCGGGTATATTCTACACCACAGCTTTACGCATGTACACTCCTTTAATTTGACATTTACTATTGGCCTTCATCATGTACAGTCCTTGGGATGGATGGACTGAGAAAATCATACAGAGGATGATGGCGATTCCGTGGACTTTCCTTACAAAGAGAGAATATTTATGCCTTCACTGCAAGTGCCTTTTCTGCTATTCTTGACTTTCTCGGCTGAAAAAAGAAACAACCAGTACGTCTGAAGGATAGAGAACTAAATGATGATCTACTTCTTATCACCAAAACAAGATCTTCGTTTCCCATGACACAGTCTACTTTTTGTTAGAGAGATCAGGTAGTACAAGGGAATCTGTTTAATTGAGGTTTTCAAGACCGAGTCACAACAGACACTACTAGCTGCGATGTATTGAGACAAGACCTCGAATGGCTTTTCACGTTTGTACATGGTCACTAATCATCTATAGTTGCTATCTTAAAGATTACTTTGCAACAGCGTTGGTACTACAGAGGTATAGATATCAGTTTGAGTTGGTTCACCATGTCCCACTAGGTTAGTCCCTCTAAATTGATCAAACAAATTCGTTGCTTTTTCTACCCACACCGCAACAACATTTATGTGGATCCATAATGAAGCAGTAGATCTAGTCATACATCGATTCTCCATATGTCTCTGCCATATCGATGCACAAATGCACAACCTGCCCATTATATGCCTCTAAAGATGAGGAAATGAAATAGGGGGATGTCAAGCTGAAATGGCTTGTCAGACAAGTATCTACCGCTATCCTCAATTGAGCCTAGATGTACGCCGCATTTTAGGCGAGGCGCACTGGTGACCTATACCGACAGAGCCTAGTATCAGAATACGAGGTATGCTTTTCTTGGCCAAAATCAACCGCCATCCTCGCGAGGCTATATGACCCCTCTGCTGGCACACTAGATGTTTTTGCGTCTCTTTCCACCTCTTCAGTCGTTGAGTACCTCAATGGTCTCTGGTCGAGATGCTACTCTTTGAGGTCCAATTTCTGCTTCTTGCTATCCTCCTCCAAACATGTGACGCATTTCACCGAAAACCGCCGGCTATTGGTGGTCTTTTACTACCTCAGGGACAATCGAGAGCAAATTCGGTCTTAGCAAAACGGGCAGACCAGTGCGGGGATGGAACTGAATGCCGAACTGGATATTGCTGTGGCACGGGGTGCTCGTCAAACTGCTGCGCTAATGATAATGGTGGAAGTAGGTTAAACTGTCCCTACCAGGCCTCATCTCTGATTCTGACATGTGCAGTTGGCTGTGGGGACGCTGAACGATGCGATTTTGCTGGTAATCTCTTCATCGGCTGCTGTCCGATCTCTGCAGTGTGAGTCTATCATTACCAACTTTCCAGCAGTCATCTGTTACTCCATGCTAATGTCTGATCAGGCAAGGATGTACCGGCACTGCGGCCTCTGTCTACGTGACCTCGCCCTATCGCACTATTACCCTGACCACAAACGTGCCCTTCATCGCAACCCAATACACCCCAACTGCATATGTGACAACGTCTGAGTATTCGCGTCCAACATACACGCGCTTATCTGATCGTCCGACTCCAACGTCGTCCCAAGAATTCGTACCTTCAGCGACCTCTGTTGCTACCAACGATGCCGGAAACAGCGGCGGTGGTAAAATGTCTACCGGCGCGAAAGCGGGCATAGGAGTCGGCGCAGCCGTAGGAGGCCTTGCCTTGGGAGCAGTTGCAGGGTTCTTCTTTAAGCGCAACAAGAACAAACCAGCAGATCCAACCGGTGCAGTAGCCTATACACCTGCAGCCCCAGCGCCAATGGCCGAAGACAAGGGGGATATGGTGACTGGGAAGGTGGCATATGTTCCACCATACCCCAGCCATCCATCCGAGCTGTCAGGGGCGTCAGAAACGCGGCGTTATGAAATGCCAGGCTAGGTTTATGGCAGTGTTATCCGCACTTACGGTTTCCATAATGAATGTATCATCAACGCTTCGTACAGACTGAGTGTATCGACCAGCTTATCAACTTCCTAATATTAATGGACCAGAAATTCAGGATCTTTGGTAACTCCACACCCCAGAACTTTCGCGTTCGCTCCCCAAACAACTCACATGCCAATCCCATTCACAGGATTTTATCTGCCCAAAGTCCATACCAATGAACGATCGTTCGTATATATGGTATCGTTGAAGGCCGTAGTCCACAATCAAATCAGCCACTTCCTTATCCTCGTCTTCAATATCTTCCATCCGGAACTTCTGCCCACTGTCTGTGGCATTCGCACTCGATCCCACCATGATCTGACCGGCTTCATATTTGAGCTACCAGTAAACTTTGCCATTGTTTTCTTTAAAAAAAAAAAAAAAAAAAAAAAAAAAAAAAAAAAAAAAAAAAAAAAAAAAAAAAAAAAAAAAAAAAAGCTCGTCAGCATCTGCGGCGAGAGGTTACAGTCCAATTTGCGAGGACCTGCCCATCATATGCCTTTGAAGTTGGTGAGTGTGCTAACATAGATCGGAGGGCAGTGAGACACGCCAGCTGCAGGGGAGTCTTGCTGAAGTTGTTGAAGTAATGGCGTACTCGAAACTGAATTGCAGCTTTGTTAAAGGCATCGTCCATGGTATGAAGGTGAAGAGTGGACAATTCGACATCGATATCCGGAAAGAAGCCGAGACACGAGACACGCAACACGCCGAGATTTATATCATACAACTGTGACAGCGACTAGATTATACTGAGTGATGATTCCCTGATAAATGTCATGTCAGTGGGACGGCACCCACTTTCCCCCGTCGATCCCTATGCCGTCTTTAATTTCAGGACCCTTGAAACAGGGACCAAGCAGGCGAGTTCCAGCTACAGAGTTGGTGCTGCTGGTGATCGTCAAAGTCCCTGAATAGTTCCTCCGTGATCTGTAGGGTCATCCAAACTCGATTAGGGCATCTGTGACCGTGTGGAGTCCCGAATCGGTAAACTTGGCAGGTGGTCGCGACGATCGACTGTCCCTGAAACACCGACTTTGAACTTCTTACATTCATGTTCCGTCTCCCACGGATAAATACGGTGCTTCATCGGATCAGATAGACAGGATAAGTGCCGTGCTCAATATATGTGACTGTGGAAGTGGAGCGAAAACAGCTCAACACGGATGACAGCCCTTTGTCTCTTCGGTATAGATTTGCGCCTACTAGTAGATCTCGAAGTATAAAGCCGGCGCCGCCTTCGTCCCATCAGGCTTGACACAACAACAGCCGCAGATTCTCTTGTTACCTTCATCATGAAGCCTTTCAGTTTCCTCGCAGCATCAGCGCTCTTCGCTGCCGCATATGCGGTCCCTCATGGCGGAAGCATCAAGCAGCTCCCAAGAAGAGCAACCCTACCCAAGAGCTTCGAATGGAGCTCGACGGGCCCTCTAATTGGCCCCAAGAGCGACGGTCACGACGTCCAGGGGATCAAGGACCCCTCCATTGTCAAAGTTGACGGAACCTATCACGTCTTTGCCAGCACCGCCAAAGCCGACGGTTACAACCTCGTCTATCTGAGCTTCTCCGACTTCAACAAAGCCGGCTCCGCAACCTTCCACTATCTCGACGAGACTCCCATCGGAGCAGGCTACCGCGCGGCGCCGCAGGTCTTCTACTTCGAGCCGCAGAAGCTCTGGTATCTCGTCTACCAGAACGGCAACGCGGCCTATTCCACGAACCCAGACATCAGCGACCCGTCCGGCTGGAGCGCGCCCAAGAACTTCTTCGATGCCACGCCGTCAATTATCACGGAAAACATTGGCAAGGGATCCTGGGTGGACATGTGGACGATCTGCGACGCCTCCGACTGCTACCTCTTCTCGTCCGACGACAACGGCCATCTGTACCGCTCGCAGACCTCCGTCGCCAACTTCCCCGAAGGCATGGATAACACGGCCATTGCGCTGGAGGATGCAAACCCCAACAACTTGTTTGAAGCGTCCAATGTGTACAGCACCGGCGATGGTCAGTACCTTCTCATCGTTGAGGCGATCGGCAGCACCGGTCAGAGATACTTCCGTTCCTGGTCAGCGAGCAGTCTCGCGGGCGAATGGTCTCCGCTGGCGGATTCGGAGGAGAATGCGTTTGCTTCGGCGCAGAATGTTCATTTCAATGGCACGGCTTGGACAAAGAGCATTAGCCATGGAGAGATGGTGCGGTCCCAGGTTGATCAGACTATGACTATCAGCCCTTGCAAGATGCAGTACCTCTACCAGGGCGTGGATCCTACCGCGACTGGCGATTACAACTCCATGCCGTGGAAGCTTGGCCTGCTTAACCAGGCTAATTCTGCATGCTAAGTTGCAGTTGTAGAGGTCGAGTGCTTATAACTTCCGGCTCTTGACCTAGAGCTCATGCTTTCGTGTACAATATTTGTAGTGGGAACAACCTGAATCAAGTCGCTCCTTATCAATTCCTTCCATTTAATTACACAAGGAATTCTACATGAGAATAAGAAAGGTGGAATGTAAGAATTATGTGATTGTAATTAAAGATCGCCGCATGTCAACAGGGTATAACTTCCACTAGACACCAAGTCTCAATAGCTCTGTTGATCTCGTACAAAGCAAGACACTTGTTCTCGGCACCAGTTCAAGCACCTTGTTGAACATTATTGTCTCCCTGCTTCTGCTTACCAGGCCGATGGATCGCCGCGCCCACAAGATTGAAGATATTGCCGCTCCGCTGTATAATACACCAGAAGAGCGTCATGCCGGTCACAACAATCTCATCTCTGAAAGCATCATCATTGGCCTTGGGCCCGAGAAACTCAATCTTCCCCATGTTCTTCCAAGCCAGAGTCTTGGAGGTGAACTTGGCGACCGGAAGCATATTCTCGTCCAGACACACATAATCGAAGGACTTGAAAAGCGACCCACTGGTCCACGTCATGGTCTTCGGCGACCCGTCGTCGGAAAAGAAATAAGAGGTATATGTGTAGACAGGCTGGAGCCGTTTGACAGCCGTCATCGTCCCTGTTCGGCCGTGCACCTCCACGTCGGCGTTGATGCTGACCGGGTGGAGTTTACCCGTCCCGACGGGGGACTCGTCAACCGCGGATTTGAATGTGAGACGCGACTTGAGGATGTTGTAATGCATGGTGTAGATGGGGTCGGAGTCTGGGCTGTTGGCGTTGATGATGAAGCCGCGGTTCCTTAGCCAGTCGAACTTCACCTGGAGGGTGCGGGCGTCCGCGGTGGCTTCGACGGGATGGGATGTCTCTGGATGGGCCATATTGTGTAGGAATGGCTCTTTGCCAGGCTGTTTGATAGATTCGGGATCCGTTTCTGACGGACAACCATGGTGCTTTTATATCCACTACGTCCAGACATACATCCATGAATACTTGGTTCAGCTTGAGGCTTTGACGCACGAGTAGATGCATCCCGCTAACCCTTTTGGGTGTCATGTCCCGCTGGCCAATCAGAATGTGCGAAGTGTGCGCTGATACTATTCTGCCACCTCAAGCACTGCCTCAGCCTTCCAGGGTTGTAGGAAATATCTCACGATTTATAGGAAGGCAGAAATCGTACGTCGGACGTGGGCTATGCTAGATGTAGGCAATCTGATGGTGGCGTATCTAGCGGACAACAACATATCCTGATGACTAGTTGAATTGTCAGTGTTAGAAAAGTATAAAACAATAAGATGAGCACGATTGAAGTACTCCATATGCCCATACATTATTTCAGCCGGCGTCTAGGAATGTAAGTAAGTACTATGACCTGTTGGACATTTGATACAGAGGTGCGAGCCTAGGTTGTATATATAGTTCCTGTAGCGAACCATGTCCAGGATTAATCTGTGCAAGAGGCAGCAGGTCTCATTTGAATAAACATTGCTTACTGTCTTTGAGCACGATCATACGCCATGAAGAATTCAGCAGTCTCTTTGTTCACGTACTCACCAAGTCCACTTTTGGGACAGACCATTCTCTACTGTAGTATTGCCATTCAATCAAGACGATAAGCACTCTCAGTATCTCTGAGGCCTAAACATACTGGGGCCTCGATCTCTCTCAAGTTCCCGAAGAATGTAGCATATGAAGTGCTAAGCCTTCAGGTACCGTGGTCAAGTGGAAAAGCTCTTCGGGATCATGTTTGTATCCAACCTTGCTGGCGGTAACGATACTCGAGACGTCTCGATTGTCCTACCTCAAAGATCGACGACGGCCTGATCTGTGGCATGTATGAGTCACCGGGAGGCAGACCGCATGTCGGCGCATCTAGTTCCTTCATCATGCCAGTGACTCTTACAGGGGTGCATATGTGTATTGGGCATGAACTTCTGACGCGCTCCGGTCTGTGGGGGTTTCCGGATGTTGCAGAATTAAGCACCATGCGTTAATCTGATGCATTGTAGTAGAGAGGGGGAGAGGCGGTGAATCCGTGTTGGATTCGGTTTTGTGGCTTCAATTCTCCATCCTCGAGGGAATAGATGGCTGGTTTGATTGTGAGCTTCGTCGATGCTTAGTGTTAGTATTCCACTGAGATCAATCCCATCGGCAAACAACGCGCTGCCACTCTGAGCATGGTTGACGGGTCAGAGATAGGAGATTATTCGGGATGTTGTACAGCAAGACGCCTAACTGCGTGCATGGCTCCACAGCGGGGACGGACAGATTTCCAGGGTCCGGCGACAACAATGATGCAGGCAAAGGAGGAATTGTTGCCGGCGCGCGACAGCTGTCAACAATGGGGCGAGTCTGGAATACTATAGAAGTGGTACGAGGGAGGAGTGCGTGAGTAGTAGGACTGGCTAGTCAGACAGAAAAGAACGGTGGATGCAGCATGCTGGGTCTTTGGAGTTGGAGCGCTTCTCATAGGCTGGCGGGCATCTTCGCCTTCGATGCGGTGAAGAAAGACAACGTCAAGGGCGTTGCAATTCGTCTGCCCAGTACCCGAGGTCATTGGGGATGTGGAGGGGTATAGGAGGATGTCGCGGCCCGACAATTGTTTCCCTCCGTATTATTATTATAGAATTTCTCCTTGAGTTCTATATTGTTCTGTCGGGAACTGTTCGAATGACCTCGTTGATAGGATGGCAGTAGAGATGCCTTGGTGCCTGAATCCGGAATAGATCGAGATCTTTTTCCACTCATAGAGCCTTACTCAACTACACTCTACTTAACTCTCTTTCTTGTCCCAATCCCGTCTTCGTCTTTCTTTCCTCTATCCTTCTATTCCAGCCATCGATTTGTTTACGTCTCACCCGCGGAAGAACCAAGGAACCGGACTTTTTAGCTTCATCTGTACCGTTCGGAGTGACCCCCACATTATTATTCTTATTGAATCACCGTCAAGATCATATTAACCCAAAAACACAAAAACACCCTCCCATATAGTCCAACGACTGTTGGTCCTACCCTCTGCTTCTGCATTCTTCGTCCATTCCACATCCTGTGACTCTTCCCCTCCATCGCCGACAAGGAGGGGGCGCGGATCTTTATCGATAGGACCCCGGCTCCCAGCGGTGTGAGTGGCTTGTGCCTGCGTGACTCTCTGCTGGACTCGTCCTCTTATTTGCTCAAGTCCTCGCCGTGCTTTTTCTTCCCTCTGCCCGCTACTATCACCGGGCCAATCCGCTAAGGAGCCCACCCTGCGCCGACGGTGGTGGTGGTTTGATCTTGTTGGTTCGCATCTCCCAGCCACCGGTTTCCTATCCTACCTGTCGGGGAAAACACCCCGTTGATCCACACATCTCGGGGACCGAACAGTAAGTGCAGAAGGAGAGAAGTGGAAAAAGAAAAGCAAAAAGGAAAAATCTACTCTGTCCTATCCGCGCATCGGCTCACATCACTGCATCAAAAGAATTTTAGTTCACATTCTTGAGCATACTTCCGTCCAATCCTGTCCGCGCCCTCGGCTGATCTTCAGCAACTTTCCCACCGCCGTGCGAGGGTCATGAACTCCATGGCCGCTTCGCTCATCCCTACTTTTTCCTCCTGAAACGTTTCTCGTCGGTCTTATTATCCCTTATTTCTGTGTCTTCGACTATCGTTGTGCGAATACCCCGTCGAGCATCGCGGCCTCGATGCCCTGATCTCCGTTCCTGCATTCAGTCGCAAACTTTGAGATCCCGTGGGTGTCGTCACATCAGGTCCCCCAGCAATAATTTACACACTTTTCTCCTCTCTCGCTGTTTCCTTTTTCGTGGGCGGCATTTTCCTTTACTCTCCCTTGTCACGGCTTTCTACCCCAGCTATTTGCGCCTGTTTCATCCTACTCTCGCCATCAACTCTAGTACCTCGACTTTCCCACGTCGTCGCATATCCGTTCCGCAAACTCCCTCGATCGATTCAACCTTCCCCGCAAGCCAACCACCGCATCGCATCAATTGCGTGCATCGCGCAAAGCCGTCGATGTCCACACACTCGGCGTCCCCGAGCCGCAGTCCTTAATTCGACAACCCGGCGCCTTCACTCACCATGGATCTGACGCTCATAGTGCCCCATGATAGGCTCGCGCCTATCCGCGGTGTATCCATGGATCCATATACCGGTCCGTACACGGATAGCCGACTGCACTGTTTCTCCAAGGCAGCGGCCGCATTAGAGCGCGATCTCAAAGTCCCCGATCTTCCGAGTTACTTCAACCCTCCGCCGTCCTACGATGACGCGATCAGCGATCTCCCGCCGGACTATTACGCAGTTGCGCCACTAGCGCGCCAAAAGAACCCGGTTCATCAGGATGCACCAGCTAGAACGGATGCGAAATCCGCGTCCCCGTTTGCTATCGACTTCGAGACGCCAGCTGGGGTGCGCGAACATAAGGGGGGCAAGAAGAAGAAGAAGGCCGCTGCCGCGCCCCAGAAACAGGAGTCGCCGCCACCACCGGATGAAGGCGAGAAAAACGATGGCGGCGGCGGCGAGGATGGGCAGAATGGCGATGCTGGAAACGATGGAGGCGCTGGAGACGGAGGAGACGGCGGTGGAGGTGATGACGGGAATGGAGGTGGTGACGGTGGTGATGATGATTGGGGTGGCTGGGCCACCACGACCACCAAGAAGAAGAGCAAGAAGAAGCAGAAGGAAGAGGAGGAGGAAATGAAGAGGAAAGAGGAGGAAGAAAGGCTCGCGCGCGAAGAGGAGGAACGAAAAGCCAAGGAGGAAGAGGAGCAGAGAGCCGCGGACGAGGCGGCCGCTGCCGCTGCAAGCAACAACAATAATCTCAGTTGGGCGGATGAGGCCGACGGGAACGGCGATGATTCCTGGGCTGGATTCAACACTGTCGGCAAAAAGAAGAACAAGAAAAAGGGCAAGGTACGCTGCATATCTCCCGCCAACAGTGTCCACGACTAACAATCGCACAGACGGAGCCGGCTGAGCCTGAGCCTACCCAGAACGCATTCCAGGATATCAGTCTCAACGACGGTGCGCCGCAACTAGATCTCAATTTAGACACTTCTGGAAGCAAGCTAACCGGCGGCGGATTCAACTTTGGAGGCTGGGGCAAGGACTGGAATACTGGTAACAAATGGGGCCTGGACACCCTCAATGGTGATAAGAGCACCAATCCGTGGTCTACGGGCAGTAAGCCTGATCCCACCAAAACCTCCGTTGGGTTCGACTTTGGAAACTTTGATGGCACTACCGGAAACGAGGCTACTGAAGAAAAGAAACCTGAAGAGGATGACTGGGGCTTTACCGTGACCTCGAAGAAGGACAAGAAGAAGAAGAAAAAGGCTGAAGAGGAAGCTCCACCTCCTCCAGAGCCAGAGCCGGAACCGGAACCTCAAGTTGAGCCAGAACCAGCACCGGTAGTCGACAATGCCTGGGGAATCGGCTTATCGAAGAAGGAGAAGCGCAAGGCAAAGAAGGAGGCGGCCTCGAAAACTACGGAGAAGCCTGCTGAACCGGAACCAGTTGTCGAAGAGCCCGTCGATAATGCGGAACCGGAGAAACCCCAAGAGACAGCGGATGATAATGATTGGGGCTGGGGAGTGTCTACTAAGAAAAAGGACAAAAAGAAGAAGGCAGCCGAAGAACCTATCATCGAACAGCCGCCCGCCCCTGACCCTCCACCTGCAGCATCACCGCCAGAGGATGACTGGATGAATGGTTGGGGGACCGCAGGCAAGAAAAAGGACAAAAAGAGCAAAAAGAACGCCATTCTTGAGGAACCGGTGGTTGAAGAACCCCCTGCTGCCCCAGACCCACCCACAGAGCCAGAGAAGAAAGAAGAGGATGACTGGGCTGGATGGGGAATCGCGAAGAAAGATAAGAAGAAGAAGAAAGGCAAAGAGCCGGAACCTGAGCCCGAGCCTGATCCTCCAGCTGACCCTGAGCCTGAGCCTGAGCCCGAACCCGAACCCGAACCTGAGCCGGAGCCGGAAGCAGAACCAGAACCACCAGCCCCGAAGTTGCCAGACGACCCCTTGTACGACAACTGGGAGAACCTCTCTTCTAAGGAGCGAAAGAGACGGGAGAAGACCCTGAAAAGGAAAGGTCTCCCTATCCCGGGTGTAGACTTCGAGTGGCCTCCGAAGGCACCAGAACCAGTGGAAGAAGTCAAACCAGAGCCTGAGGCTGAGGCAGAACCGGAACCAGAACCAGAGCCTGAGCCTGTTGTTGAACCGGAGCCTGAACCTGAACCCCAGCCTGAGCCCGAGACTGTCATCAAGCAGCAGGAAGATGATGATGGTTGGGGTATCTGGGCCACTTCCAAGGATAAGAAGAAGTCCAAGAAGAACAAGGCTGTAGAAGAGCCACCCCCTCCTGCGCCTACCCCTCCTGCCATAGGACTAACCCCGGAGCCGGACAACGGGTATGATGACCACGGTGGCGAGGAGTCCATCTGGGACGAAGTCACTCCTAAGGTATCCAAAAAGAAAGCCGTGGAGGAAACTCCAACCAAGGCGAAAGGATTCTGGGCCAGCCTGGGAGCCGCTACGATGGGTACTAAACCGAAGGCCACCAAGAAGAAATCCGAGGAGAAACCCAAAGCTGACCCCAAGCCTGCCGAAGAGGATTTACTGATTGATGTTGATGATGACCCCAAGGAGGCTGAGCCACCAGCCGCGCCTGAGGCGCCAGTGGTGGAAGAACCGCCGCCGCCGCCAGCCGAGCCGCCAGCGAAGACCCCCGCATCTTCATCCAAGGCCAAGACGTCAGCCAAGCTGTCGGTTGCAGAGCGCATCAAGGCTCTAGAACAGGCCAAAAAGGACAGGCTAAAAGAAAAGGCTGCAGAAAAAGCAAAGGCCAAAGAAGCGCCCCCACCGCCCCCTGAAGAGCCTCCCCAGGAGCCGGAACCTGTCGAGGAAAAGAAGGTTTCACGAGACTCCGTGCCAGGAAGTTTCCCTGACGCCTTTGACGACGACTTCGATGCGCCACCCCCTGCTCCAGAGCCTGAACCTGAACCCGAGCCTCAGAAAGAGCCAGAGCCGGAGCCAGAGCCGGAACCGGTCCCATTATCCAAGAAAGCCAAGAAGAAATTGGAAAAGGAGAAAAAGAAGGCGAAGGCGGTTGAGCCCGAACCCGCTCCAGAGCCAGTCCCTGAGCCAGTGGTTGAAGCGGAACCAGAACCTGAGCCTGAGCCGCAACAGGAACCAACACCAGCCCCTGAGCCCGAACCGGAGCCAATGCCATTGTCCAAGGCTGAAAAGAAAAAGAAAAAGAAGGCCAAGGCTGCCGAGCCAGACCCCGAACCCGAGCCTCCAGCTGAACCGGAGCCTCAGCCAGAGCCAGAGGCTGAGCCTGAGCCTGAGAAGCCTACGAAGAAGAGTAAGAAAAGATCAACCAAAAAGGATGTGTCGCCGGTAGATACATCCCCTGCGGAAGAACCCCAGGATGACCAACCCGACGCGGAAGATGGAAAGCCCCCGACGCCACCGCCAGAGCCAACCACCCGCGAGAGATCCGCCAAGAAAGAGCGTGCTCGTGTTGATCGCACATCAGGCGCAGCGGCTTGGGGTTTCTGGGCGGCTGCGCCGCCGCCAAAGAAAACTGCCTCGAAAGAGGTCAGGCACAGCAGGCGAGAGCCCTCTCCTCAGGCTATGGCTAGGTCGAGATCAACGAAACACTCGAAAGCCAGGGAGTCCGAAAACGAGGCAGAAAGGTCGTCGGCATCTGAAAAAGACCGACGACGAGAGGCGAAGCATAACCGGGGCATGACGTTTTCCAACTTCATTCTCGGCACAGCGCCGCCGCCATCGAGAACGAAGTCCAGTCGGAGGGCTGGAGCATCTTCTTCGCGACCCCTATCGAGACGGCCGTCCGTCGAAATGGAAGATCCCACCTTTCCTTCGCCACCTCCTGATGAAAGGCGCGAAATGCCTGATAAGGCCGCCCGAATGATGGGCGTGACTGCCTCTGGGTCGAGACGAGAAAGAGAACGACCGCATGGTTCGCGAAGGAAATCCCGTATGGCTTCCGTTTGTTGTATAACTGAGCAGGTCTTGACTGACTTATCATTGCAGGTGTTCGCGATATGCCTGCCCCTGATGACGAAGACATGGTCATGGTGAATCGGGATGATACCGACGCTTATCAAAAATCGGGTTCCAGAGAGGCCGAACGGAGGTCACGCAAAAAGGTACAACACCATAGGCTAGATTCTCTCATCTGTGTTATGTTTGGCTAACTGAGTGTTCCCAGTCGAGGTCGAGGCACGGAGACCTTCAGGATGACCCTGTGATGGTTGATGCAGAGCACCAAAGCCCCGATGTTATTTCAGGGCCCGACGATCTTGCTTTCGTGGACGCCCCGCCTCGGGAGAGACGCGTGAAGCGATCTAATACCGCTCCGAAGAAGGCTGAACCAGGTGGCCTCATGGGCCTAATCGGTTCATTAAGAAGGACGGCTCGTCCGGAGCCGTCGGAGCGTCCACCGGAACGACGCAAATCCAGGTCACGCCGTGATGACGATGCCAGATATACAACAGAGCCTGAGCCAGACGAGGCTCGTCGCATGCGGAGGGAAGAGAGAAGAAGACGCTCTGTTCGACCAGACGTCGACGCTGATGGTTTTGCCACCGACGCAGGGCCGCCGGGCGCTTTCCCAGCGGATCCAGAAGCCGAGGAAGCGGAAGCTCGCAGGGCAGCACGTAGGGCGAAGCGTGCATCACGCCAGGCGGAGGCTGAACAGCTCCGTGAGCAGGAAATGCGAGAAGCAGAAGAGCGACGAGCCCGTCGTAGAGAGCGGCAGAAGGCCCGAGAGCGCGAGATACAAGAACAACAGCTCCGTGAGGAACAGGAGCGCGAAGAGCGGCTTCGCGAAGAAAAGCGCGCTCGCAGGGCTGCTCGGGAGCAACGTCGGGCCATGGAGGAACAAGAGGCGCGAGAGGCAGAAGCTCGCGCGGAGGCCAAAGCCGCAGAGCGCCGGGAACGTCGGAGACAGCGAGAGGCTGAGCGTCAACGTGCAGAGGCTGAAATGCATGAGAACGAGCAACGTTCCAAGCACCACTCTCGCATCGACGATCGGACCGCGAGGGAGTTTTACCTGGGTGACCAGGACCCGGAGAGAGCCAACCGTGCCCATAGATCCGTGGAGGAAAGGGACAAGTCGCGTCGGCGAAAGTCCAGGATCATGCCTGAGCCACCGGTGATGTCTGGCGGCCGTAAAGACAAGATCTCCAACTGGGTTCATTCCCAGGCAGCTGATCCACCCGAGCCACCGCCTGTTGTTCCGACTGTCTTGGACATACCTCCTGGCGCAGAAGACCCGGCTAATGCACACTCCATTTCGTCCGACGAAGAGGCCCGACGTGAGCTCCGCCGAAAGGCGCGGAGACGAGCCCGGTATCCGGGCATGACCGACGAGGAGATTGACGAAATGCGCGCCAGGAAACGGGAAGGACGCCGTGAAGGCGTGAAGAGTAGCTCCGGCAGTGGCGACTACGATCGAGACCGGGGCGCCCGATACGACCGTTACGGGCCACCTCCCAGCTCTGGGGGAAAGATGAATTGGTTTAAGAAGCTGACGAGCTTCTAACGTGGCTTTTGGCTTATACAACGACCGATATGACGAAACGACAGCACCATGAATTCAAGCGCTTGCAAAAGGTTGATGATGTACGATTTACATGACTATTATGTTTGATATATGAATTGAATCTACTCTCTTTATCGAGTTGTCTAGTCGCTCGTCTAGTATACAAGATAGATAGTCTTCTATATAGCCGTTTGGCTCTGCGATCGACTCTCTTCATCTGCCATCCGCTCTCTCCGCTTCTCAAGATACGACCGCCCGCCCTCATACATCCCCAGATAGATACTCAGCGCAGAAGCCGTCCACACACCTCTAATCGCACCCCCGCGAAACAAACCCCTAACACCCTCATCCCGGAAGACCTTCCTTCCAACAGCCCACGAGCTCACATGCCTCGTCCCCCCGTCACCATCCCCAGCCGACAACATCATCCTCGTCTTGACAACATCAATCGGCGTCGTCACTGTCGACGCAATCGTCCCCGACATCGCCGCCGAAACCCCCGTGACGACCGCCCGCTCAACAACATCACTCCCACCCACCTTCCCCGCGCTAACATCCAACCCCAGCACGCGCCGCTCCTCGCGCTTCCTCTCCCTCCACGCCACAATCCTCGCCCGCACAGCCTCCATAATCGGAAAATGAAGCCCCGTAAACGGCAGATTGCGGCCCACAAGCGCCGTATACCCGCTCCACAGCTTCCAGGGGCGATGGCGGAACTTCGCGACGGCCTGCACCGTCGCCGTGGCGGGTCTCGTACCCTGCGCAGACTGCACGTTGACGATCTGGGCGTTCTGCTTGATCACCTCGGCGGGCGTGAGGATGAAACACGAGACCATTTCTGCGCCGGACGAGGCGAGTGCGTGAATGACGGGCGCGGGGAGCGAGTGGCGCAGTGCGAGGTTGTTGGACGTGTTGTTCTTGTGCGTGGTGTTGAGGAGGTGTTTTAGGGCTTCGTACGTGGTGAAGAAGGCTCCTGCTGTTACCTGTCAGTGGTGTGGTGTTGTCTTTCGAGCGCTGTAATCTGGACCGTACATGATGGAATCGTCGAGAACACGACGCTCCATACGCCCTGGTACAAGCCCCGGAAGAGGACGTCTTTCCTGACGGCCCGCGTGGAGGCATCTTTGTATACTTTCTCGTAGTTGGGCGACTGGATGCGCGTCTTGAGGGTGTCAAACGGGTAGACGATGAAGTCGACGATGACTGCTGCGAATGCGCCGGCCTTTGTTCTGTGTTAGCAGGATCACGATGTAGTATATATCGTAGGTTTATCATAGGACGTACAATCCATATATCGAGGTTACTGTTGGACATGGAGATTAAGAACGTGCTCACATGGGTCTAACTAAACAAGACTGCGTCATGAAATAAAAAACAAGCAAAGAAACATGTTGATGCTGGAGCTCATCGCAACCCTTATCTGATCGATGATCGATGACGTATGACCTCATCACCTTATCCACGTGACTACCATGCCCTAACCACCTTAGGGCCAACCCTTATCATAGGAAGCGTTGGACAGTCGTATCCCGTACTCTATTCATCACTGGAATAAGCCAACAGGAGACATATTAACAGTCAGATACAGAATTTTTACCCTTCCTACGCCGTAAAGGTCATGCATGCAATTCCCAAGAATCCCCCAGAGCGACACAAAGACATCCATCCATCCCCGTCTATTTGGCGGTCTCGCCGGGGAGCAGGTTCCCCTTGACGGCGAACATCTTGCCCGTCGTGGCCGACACGAAGCTGTCGACCTGGCGCGCATACTGCTCGACCTGGCGGCTGTTGAGCATGCTCTCCAGACGGCTGGGCTCCTGGGGGAGCTTGAACAGCCGCTGCCACTCGTCCTCGGGGAGCGGGGGCTGCTTGAGGGTGGCGCGGGACGCGTTCTCGGCCTTGCGCTTGGCGATCCACTGGTTGATCTTGGTCTGCTCGCGGGTGAACGAGCGCTGGTAGTACTGGAAGTTGTTGGTCTCGGTGTTGTGGGTCTCGATGCTGTCGAGGAGGAGGTCGCAGTTCTTCTCGAGGAAGGGGTCGATGCTGAGGGACAGGTTGTCGTAGTTGGGCGCCAGAATGGTGTCCTTGACGAAGGGGCCGGACTCCAGCGCAGCGAGAGACGGGGGGAGATCCGTCGGGGCCGACTGGCGGGGGCACTGGAGCTGGTGGAGGAAGGTCGTGATCAGGTGGGAGTTGTGGATTTCGACCGGGAGCTCAACGAAGATGTCCTGGTATCTCAGGCCAGACTTTTGCAGTCTGTTCGATGTTAGAAAAGGGAAAGAAAAAGAATGCGAGACGCCACGTACTCCTCAGCCGTGAACTTGTTCTCCTTGAAAGCGGCCATGAACTTGGGGGAGAGACGGAAGGCGCGCAGACTCAGGCTACCTTGCGCACTGCGGCTAACATCGTGGACGAGAGCGACGGTGCGCTCGTTCATCTCCTTCTGGTAGAAGTACTGGTTCTCGATCACGTTCATGTTGACAAAGTTGCCCATGTTGGCGCTGGTGTACCAGCCGACGTTGTTGGCGTCGACGTTGACCTCCCGAAGCATGCGGATCATCTCAGCCTGGTAGACAGTGTTGGCCTTTGCGCGAGGAGCGGCGGCGGCCGGGTTGGGCGCGGTGTTGTCAAAGTGCGACTCGGCGGGCATCTCGACCACGGGGAACGGGAAAGAGTTGGTGATCTCGAGGGTACCCTCGGCATCCATACCGACGATCGAACCGGTCGCAGTCGTCGGGAAAGTCTGGGAGCAGTGCTTAATGATCTTCATGACCACCTGTTTGCGTGTATATTAGCATGAGGCTCGTGGACTGGCCGATGGCGGGGCGTAGAGGTTTTTTTTGCTATGGGAATCGTACCAAGGCCTCGACCTTGACGGCCGTGAGGGGGACTTCTTTCCTGGAGAGAAAGTTAGCAGGGGCATTTCGCCGAGAGAATCCGACAGGGAACAAGGGCTTACTCCGCCATGATGAGTGTTAAGACAGGATGGATCGAACGCGACTTGAGAGTTGACTCGGACGGAGGTTTGTGTGGAGGATTTGATCCTTTCGACGGTCACCGCCTATCGCCTAAAGCGGTTAGCCTGCCAAGACAGGTACCACATACAAACACTGACTTGATCCATCTTCATCTTCTCGATTGTCTCGTCCGTATACAAAATAATTGCTTCGTCTGGTGAAGAATTGTCTATCCGATTACCCGTATACATGAAGTACCTTATTACACCGCACCCCGCGTGGTGGTTGTCAATTGCCCTGCAGCTGCATCATCCCCGTTTCTCACTGATACTCCTCCAACTAACCACCCCTCACTTGTAAACACCACTCATTCATCTACCTACTACCTACATACTCTACCAAGAGCAGAACAACCATTCCACATAACCCAAAATGCCCACAGAAACTCTCACCTACGGCACCGACCACTCCCTCCAAACCGTCACCGTAACCACCTTCTCCCACTCCTCCCCGACAGGCTACTGGCTCGTGTACGCATCCCCCTCACCCTCCTCACCTCACCACCAAAACTAACAAGAGACATCTCCAGCCTCATCCACGGCGGCGCCTGGCGCGACCCAACCCAAACAGCAACCAACTACCTCGCCCCGGTATCCACCCTCCTAACCCCCAAGATAACCAGCAACACCACGCCCCTCCCAATAGCCGGCCTCGCCTCGATCTCCTACCGACTCGGCGCGCACCCCTCGCACCCACAGGACGCTTCATCCACGGCCGTCCACGATCTCCGCACTGCTAAACACCCGGACCACATCCACGACGTGCAGGCCGCGCTTGCCTTCCTGCAGAGCAGGTATGCCTTTGGCGATCGCTACCTGCTCGTCGGACACAGCTGCGGCGCGATGCTCGCATTTCAGGCGGTGATGGGGCGGTTCCGTCGCGGGATGGATGCTGCGGCTGTGCCGCGGGGGATTCTCGGTATGGCCGGGATCTATGATCTACGGCTTATTCGGGACATGCATAAGGATGTTGCGGCGTATGAGGAGATTGTGGTGGGGGCGTTTGGGGGTGAGGAGAGTGCTTGGGATGCGGCGTCACCGGCTGTGGTGGAGGGCGCGGATGGGGTTGAGGGTGGGTGGGGAGGAGCACCGCGGTTGGCGGTGTTGGCGCATTCGTCCGAGGATGGGCTTGTAGACCTTGAGCAGAGGGACGCGATGCGCAATGCGTTGCGTCGGTGGGAGGCAGCTTCTCCAGGGAGGGCTGTGGAGCAGTTAGACCTGACGGGGCGGCATGATGAGGCGTGGGAGAAGGGGGATGAACTGGCTCGCGGGATTGTCTTCGCGCTCGAAAAGTTGCGGGCGATGGAGTCGGCGTAGATTACAAGCTAGAACGCAACGGAAGATAAAACCGTTATTATTGAGTTATGGCCTGGTATCGCGAAGATACTTGGCGGGACATGAAACTAGTGCACATCAGAAGAAAAGAAAAACAGACCAGCCATTTTCCGACTTCCAACGCCCGTCACCAGTGTTCGTGATCATAATGCAGATACATGAAATGGAAGAGACCCCATAATACGCCTGGTACTTCGGAGAACCGCAATCCACTGTAAAACGAAAATGGACAGAGCGAAAAGGGACAGAAAACTTGGGAGCAACCCATCCGAAGTGGTGCCTGCGTGCACGAGAGTTGAGCATATGCAGAAGCGGAAATGTAACAGAATCAGAGAAAAGATACGAGAACCCAAGGAAACGACGCTAGAATCATCGTACGAACGTTGAGATTGGGATGGTCAAGACAAGGTCAGTTGCCAATGTCCATACGGCCAGAGGCAGCATCGCCAGCCACACGCTCTCCCTTGGTATCAATGTTCTGAGATTCATCATCATCGTCTTCCTCCTCTTCATGTTCACTTTCCTCGGCGTACTTGACCTCCACGCCAGCATCGCGAAGACGAGCCTTCATGTCCTCACGGTACTGATCCTGCCAGCGAGCAAGCGCAGCCGCAGCATGAACCTTGAACCCGTAGATGCGAGGCTCGTAGCGACGGATGCTCTTCTCAGGGACGAGAGCGGGGTAAACCTGGAACAGCATGCTGTGGAAGGAGCTGCCAAAGTAGGCGCCATCAATGGCCGCGTGGCGAGAGGACTTGGGGTTGTAGATGTCTTCGCACTTGGCGCAGTAGAGGCGAACGGTGCTCATGCCGGGAACATCATGCTGGCCCATGGGAAGGAGAGGGTGACCTTCGCACACAACGCGGGGGCACTTGCCAAAGTCGCCCTTCTTGTACTTGTCAACCTAGACCGCCGTTAGCTTGGCACCATCATGTTCCACCTGCAATCCACATACCATCTTGGCGAGGCCACGAGTAGTCACGATGTATCTGGCGTGGACCAATCCGTAAAGGTGGCGGGCGGACTTCTCGATTTGCTCACGAAGGTCGTCATCGGCGTCGACGTCGAAGACATCGGTCACCAGATCCAAGGCGTACTGGTAGTAGGGGACTTCGGTATTCAAACCAGTCAGGTTGAAGCGATCGGTCAGGTACTCCTCGTCGATCTCGCAGAAGTACTCGTTTCCACGAGAGGAGATGAACTGGTTAGGCCATTTAGTATGAATTCGGCGCGGCAGCGGCAAATAAAACAGATAAGCACCGGGAGAGGCAGCGCGATTGTGGGCAAGGTGATCAAAGGGGACTTCTGGTTCCCTGGCGGAGTGTGCCGAGCTCGTAGCATGCGAGTCATAGTCAGTCAGCTCCTCTAAGGGAGAGACCGATTCTGTGTCGGAGCCGAAAAGCAACATGCTCGCGAGTGGGACGAGTCAAAGGGATTGATAGAGTGTGGGTTGGGACAGAAGCGATCATGGATCTCGAGAGATTCCTGTGCACTTTCCCTAGCCACATTCACACCATCCAGCGCAGCCGCACCCGGACTCATTGCAAGTCACAGATAGGCTACAACCCACCACCAGGGCCCGGGCAAGAAAGTCACTATGCAAGCAACAGAGGAAACAAGTCCACTTACCCAATCCCGCCAGTAACTGGTATAGTCACTGTCGGTCTCACTGTTGAAATCCTCCATCATCTTGGCTAAAAATCCGTAGCAGACAAGAAGAAGAACCCGAAGGTAAGATTATTTTCGTGCTTTGCCTGTAGCAGTTGCTGAGAGAGGCGACTGGGTCAGACCACCCCCAGACTAAGCAGGAGAGCCCCCAGAACTGTACAGCTGGAATAATCTCCCTCAGAGCATCCAACAGCCGCAAACCCAGCCAGACAAATAAGGATTGAGGTTGCTGAGAATCACAGGAGATGCAGATGGGCTGGACTCCCGGGTAGTTGCAGAGTGTGAATCTGGATGGATTCCCGTTCTTCTGTTATCAGCGCCGCCCCTCCTTGGGTTTAGCGCGGGGTGGGCGGTGAGATTCTGCCTGCATCTTTCACCGCTTTCCTTTCACTACTGTCCTTTTTTGGATCATGCTACTGACTGTCGCTAACAAGATGTGAAACACATGGAATTAAGTCAAAAGCTGTGGAACATATACGCAGTCGCATGTGATGTATAGATCAACGACAATATATTCCTATCTTCTCAATCACCATCCTACTTATATACACAACTCTCCAGTTCCACACATGATACTAAGATACTAAGACAAGCCTAGCTAGACAGAGGTGGGTTCGCGTTCTTCACCAGCTGCTCAAAGTACGCCTGGAACCAAGTACCAGCCTCAGGAGCCGGCTTCAGGGCGTCATCCAGACCGCAGTGGGCATCATAGCGCTCAGCAGAGGTGTCCGAGGTACCGTCACTCTCACCACCAGGCTTCACCCAGACAAAGGCATCAACCAGTTCATCACCGGTGTCGGTGGAGGGACGAGCACCGAAGCCGGTGTCGACAACATTGCACCAGTCACCCCACTCCAGCTGTCCAGTGGGCTGGTTACCGTTGCGACCTGGTGGAGGTTAGGTACATCTGCGGCATAGGAGAGACAACCGCGGGAAAACTTACCAGTGTCGACAATGAAGTGAGCATCGAAGCCGTTGCTCTTGAGTTCGGGCGCAAAGTTGTTGATATAGCTCTTCTCATCGCAGACCTCGTTCTCTGAGGTGTACGAGGGGCAGGTGTCGATGGAGAAGGCGTTGTAGTTGGCCACGTTAGTTGCCAGTCCACGGAGGGCAGCAGGGGAAGACGCGTTCTTGTAGACTCCGGCGAACAGCTCGGCCGCGGGGCCGATGTTGGCGGGCCAGCCCAGCCATCCGGCATGACCTGTGGAATGGTTAATAACTGATCACATAGAGAGAAAGAGGGGGACAGCATACCAGCGTCGAGATACATCGCCACATTGGGGAGGTTCAGCTGCGTGATGGCATAGTTGGTGCACTCCAGGTAGGCATCGTGGGCGTTGGCGCACTTCTCGACGTTCATGTTGGTCACCAGGTTGGCCAGACTATCCGGCTCTAAACGGTGTTAGGATCTGTCTGGCTATTGACATGCTCTTACTCACCGATGATGAGGATGTTCTGAACATCAGAGTAGGTCTCCAGCTGCTTCTTGATCGAGTCGATGTACGCCTTGTATTTCTCGACACCGCCGTCCGCAATCGAATACTCGCCGTTGCTGGCCAGCGCGGCGCAGTCGCGGTCCGGCAAGTCGTAGACAACGAAGATGCCCGCATTGGGGGGATTGGCGCCGCCGTCATTTGCCTCCTTGATGTTCTTCAGGAAGGTGCCCATCTGAGGGACCTTGTCGGCTGTGTCGCTGTTGACAATATCCCATCAGTATTGTGATCAAGGGAGAATTACGGTTGATCATGAGACTTACAGCCAGAAGAACGACGGAACGTCAGCTGCCGCACTCGCCTGCGCAGCGAGGTCGCCGGTCATGGAAGGAACAGCAAGGGACAGGACCTCGGACTTGTAGTAAGGATTGACATATTGCTGGTATCCCTCGAAGGGGTTCCCACCAGGGGCCGCAGTTGGTGCTGGGGTAGTCGATGGGCCCGGAGTAGAGGGAGTCGGAGTAGAGCTTGCAGTGGGCAGAGCGCTCACAGCAGGGAAGAGAACGGGTGCAAGAGCCCACAGGGCCCGCATGTTGACAGTCTGCATAATGAACGGACAAGAAAACAGTTAGACAGCGCAGTAATCCGCCGGGGTCTGCTAGAAGAGAAAGAAAAAGAGAAAGAATGATCGATGTTGGTGAGTGAAGTCTCCTGGCTTGCTCTTCCTCCCCTTGATGCGAGACAGTCCCGTCCATTTATACCTCCACGCCGTCTGTATACAGCCAAATTTGGAGAGATGGCACCACCAGAAGGTCAAGGACACGGAGAAAGAAATTCGGCTAAAGCAATACCAAGCATGCTAGGGTGAAACACATGCACCTGTTCTGTGCCTTCTGTTTCGTTCGTGTGCCATCTTCAAGACACCGGGGGTGGCGTATCAATGCACAAGGACGGAGCTCCGTCACGGAAACAGAGTATAGGGGGATGATCGTCATTATACTGGGCTAAACCGCGGACTGACGATTGTTCCTGGGGTTTAGCGCATCCTCAAATCCTGCCGACTAAGCCGAAGACCCTGTCTAGTCCATTGCGTTCTGAGCCAGACAGCCCCATATGGTCATATAAACCCCAGTTAAGGGTGGGATGATGGTGGAGACGGCCGGTTGAAAGCTATTTCCTGCAGCCTTACGCCCCCGTCGGTAGGCGTCATGTATGGCGTCCTACGGATCGTGCCACAATGAATGTTAATATCGAGGACCAGTCGGGATGTCCCCTTGAACGCCATTGATCGCGGAACGGAGATGAGGGTGTTACGATCAGGAACAGGCAATGTAGTGGGGACAGCCATTGCGGGGTGAAGAACTAAGGTACCACGGAGTAACAAGGTCTGTTTCATCTATACGGGGCCCTTGTCTACCCATTTCTTTTTCCCGCTAAACACAACTGTGCCCGGGGTTGTTTTCTTTTAGGCAGCATCGTGGGCATTATGTCGCCGGAAAAATTGCCACTTTTCCGAATATCCTATACTAAGTTGACAAATCCTTGAAATAGTGGAGAATAGTTGAGTGGTGTAGTCTAGTCCAGGCCAGGAACAATTCTTCACGGCAGATGCGTTGCCAAGATGCGGAGAAAGAGACATCAAGACCATTTCAATAGGCATCAATTCTTACCCTATCTGGGGCCGGTTCCGCGGCCCGAGTTTCCATGGGGAAAGATCGCCATGTGGATATCCGATGTGAAGTGATTGATTCCGTGACAGGAGAGGTATCTTGTATCCGGCAGATCATGGCTCTCGAACGGCACCAGAGCTGCTTTACGCACTACCAGTTGGGTACAAATTGTAAATGTGTATGATTGACTTGGAAGATGTCTGTAATAGACGCGACAATAAACAAAGCTCAACATATGAAATGGCTGTCAAAGCCTGTGTCCATATTCACTGACCAGAAGAAAATCAACGACGTCCTGCGGCTTGATCACATTCTATAAGAAACTGGTGGATCCCATCACTGCCATCATAGCCTGACGAGCTTGCCGGGGCGCAGGCTGCTGCCTCCGGAAAGAATGCCCGGTCTCCAAGTTCACTGATGTTGATGCTGGAATAACCGGAGGATGATGTCATCCACGGGTTCTCGCCGAACAGGGGGATGTCTTCGAAGCTCAGCTGGGGGTGGGAGTCGGCCGGAGAGCCTTCCGTGTGGTTTTCCGACGGGGTCAGCATCGCCTGCCAGTCAACCGCTTCAGCACACCTAGAATCCTTTGGCACATTCTTGAAGAAGTATTCTTCAGTGTCCGATGATGGAGCCACACTGGGAGCAAATGGGAACAACAAAGCGACATCCGCGCCGGTACGAATATCAAAGTCGTCATCCTGCACGACTTTGCCTCGCTGAACTCCGACCTCGTCACATAATTGCTCGACCGTTTCTGCATCACATCCAGGGAATCGCACACGGATCGTGGATCGGTCATGGAGCAAGATGGGCAAATCGCCCAGTGTAGACAGGCGTTTAAGGTCATTCAGTATCACCGCAAAATCCTTCAGAGCACGGGCGAAGTCTCCGGACAGCGCGTCCAAGACGTCCGCATTCAGAGTCTCGGGTTCGAAGGCAACGCTGGGCGCGAACTTCTTCTGAAGACCGAAGGCTGTGATGGTGGGTGAGATCTGGAACTCGACGAAGGAACCCGGGGCTTCCCGAGGGATCGCATTCATCTTACGCTCCGCCTGGTCTTGCAGAACGGTGATAGCCTTGTATTTCTTATTTCCGGTGATGGGGTCAATGCCGTCGAACCGGGCCTTCTGTCCCGACAGGAAGAAGGCGCGCACTCCCACGGATACATTGTTGATCACCTGAGCGGGCGCAGCTGGGCCATGAGAGAAGTACCGCGCACCACCAACTCGACCAGCGCCAATAGCGTATCCACCTGCGGTTCGACCTAAGGTGCCACCAGTCAGGTTTGGCCGAAGAGTCGAGGCGAACGGAGCCCGCGAGGTCAAGCGACTGATGTTGGCCGCTACGCGAGATGTTTGATACGCTGCCCGATCCCCCTGGAGCCCAGTGCGGATGTACGAAACGAAGCTGCTTGCACGAGTGGAGAAATGACGGCTTCGCGCCTGGCGGATAGCGGCAGCCCGGTTGATGGGCTGCCGGGGTGCGATGCGGGCATATGCGGGTTGAAGTCGTAAAGTTCCCTGTTGTACTTGCTCAGGAAACTTGGTTCGAAGAGCCTTGTAGACCTTCGCATAGGCAAACCTGGCGACACCATGTCAGCAAGGACGGAAGTATACGGGTGGAGTAGAATGACTCACCTAGCCGCTCTCCAAAATTTGGGGAGCAGCAGGTGCCCACTAGAAGGCGGCATCCTGACAATGATGAGATGAGCGATGATTCTAACGATAATAGAAAGATGGATGAACCATCCTCTGAACGATGGAAAGGGGAAGAAGGAGGACGAGGGGCGATTTGGGTGCCTGGAGATGACGGCAGACGTGGCGGTGCTGCACCTGACCGCCACGTGCCAAGGCTGAGTCATCCGGCTTATCCGGGGGAGCCACTAGTCCATTTTTGTCTTCCATCTATAACTTGACCCAACGTATTAGATGAGGAGGCGTCGCCTTCAGCATGGATGGTATCTACGTTGAGCTTGGGGCACAAATACTGGCATGGCAAAGGGCCTGCTTAACCGCGGAGTATTTCAAGCGAACTCGGTCAGTCGGAAGACACCGTTGCATACTATGACGGAGTGCAGACAACATCAGCCTACGTATTTAAAGAGCACTATTGAATATATTCATTATCACCACTTTTAATCTATGGTCTACTATTCTTGGATATCATCATGATAGATCATTTACTCATCATCACCAAAGAAAACCTTGACGGGGAGCCAGCTGTCACCGCAGACCTTGAAACGGTCCTTCAGGTTGTCCAGCTGGTTGATCTCATCGGCAGTCAGATCCCAGCCATCAAGCTCAAAGTTGGCGTCAATGCGAGCCTTGTTGACAGACTTGGGGATGACACTCCAGCCCTTCTGGATACCCCACTGGAGCAGGACCTGCTGCGGGGTCTTGCCCTTCTTCTCCGCGAGCTGCAGAAGAGTAGGGTCCTTGTAGAGAGGGGAGTCCGTGGAGCCAAGACAGGAGTAGCCGGTCGAGTGGATGCCCTTGGAGGTGTTGTACGCCACCAGCTTGGGCGAGGGGTTGTTGGGATGCAGCTCGATCTGGTTCACAGCGGGGACGATCTTGCAGCTAGGGTCGTTGAGGAGCTTCTCAAGGTTCTTGATACCGAAGTTGGAGACACCCAATGTTACGGACCTTGCCGGTGGCAGGAAGCTTCTGCATTTCTTGCCTGGTATATTGTTAGCATGACGTTCTGTATTGGGAAATGGTAGGCGTAGTTCGTACCAGGTCTTGATAAAGTCCCAGTCGGGGAGATGCTTCGACTTGTCGTTGGGGTCGGTGGAGCTGGGCCAGTGGACGAGGTAGAGGTCGACATAGTCCGTGCCGAGACTCTTGAGGGAGGAATCAATACCCTCCTGCACACGGTGGTGCCAGGTGTTGTCGAGCTTGGTGGTGATCCAGATCTCGCTACGAGGCACACCGGAGTCTCTGATTCCGGCACCAACTTCGGCCTCGTTACCATAGGCAAGGGCACTAGAGTCAGTGTTAGCACAGATAGTGTTCCTGTATGTGTGCACCATGAGAATGGTGACTTACGTGTCAATGTGACGGTAACCCTTCAGAAGGGCGTTCTTGACGGCCTCGCGGACCTCATTGGGCTTGGACTGCCAGGTACCAAGACCGATAGCGGGAATCTTGTCCCCGGTGTTGAGAGTGTAGACCTTCCTGCATCGTGGCGAGCGAATTGGTTAGTTCCACATTTCCACCGGAGTAATCTCTGGGTCTGTAAGAGGAGTGGGATGGTAGGACATACTTGGTGTGTTCGAGTGTGGACATTTTGATCTGATTCAGGAACAAAGTATAAAGATGGTTTTATTTAAGTGAGGCGTTTGTACAAGGAAGAGACAGGGAATATGGAAAAGAACAATCTAGGAGAACAGGAGGCGGGGAATCGGCCGACATTTATTCGGCACGGAGAACAACAGACCGAAAGAAGAAGGGCAGGTCCAACCGCGGGGGTGATGACGATGGAGGGGCAACCAATGCCCCTCCAGGTACCGGTGGGGAGTTGCTAGAGCACTTCATAGGTCGTCCATTATCATTAATTACCCGAGCAACGGCGCCATTTCACCCAGCCCGACAGTTCCCTTTAATACACCATCGACCGGGCATGGTCCTGGAAAGGCAGAATGTTGTCCGGGGTTGAATTGATGCCGTTGAGTGACGCGTTGGCCGAGAGAAAGATGGAGAACCGAGGATGTCATTGGTGGCACAGGGGCGGAATTTTGCCTAAAGCCTCAGGCTCCACTGTGGTCCCTCCTGGGTTGGCCTCATCAGGCCAGTGATTACTCACCGCCTGGGATTCTGCCGGACCCACGAAGTCCCTTCAATGACGCGGTGTCAGTTCTCACAACCTCCTCTGCAGATTGCGCTCTCTTCTCGAATCCGTGCAGAGTCATTGGGCTCGGGTAAAAGAGGAAAAAACCGGCCGAACTCCACATATCCCATGCATCGAGCACTCAGTCTCGTACCCAATTCCTACTTCCGAGTTACTCCACCCCGATTGTTTGACACGTGCCGGCGCGCTGCTTCATAGATCGCACAATGTCGTCCGGATTTGTGTCTGCTGGTACGGACCAGGAACCAATCGAGCGGGATGATGAATGGCTTCGCGTTCAAAAAGAGCTGGAGGAGGAACGGAGGCGCAAAGCCGAGCTGGGAAAGCAAGACGGCGGGAAAAGTTTATATGAAGTCCTACAACAAAACAAAAGTGAGTGCGGCGTTTTTCAAAAAACCAAGACGGCGAAGCGGAGAATACAGGAGCGCCTTGGATTAACATGTTAGGGTGATTCTCTTCCACATTGAAGTGGCAAAACAGGAAGCTTTCGAGGAAAAGATCAAGCTGAAAAACCAGTTTCGCTCCCTGGACGAAGATGAGGTCGAGTTCCTAGACTCCATTATGGAGTCAACCCGCGCCCAAGAAGCCGCAGTCAAAAAGGAGACTGCCGAACAACTTGAATTGTTCCGTCGACAACGCGAGGAAGCCGAGAAGACACTTCTGGAAGAGGGCTCGGCCGACGTCGCACCCTCGGCGGAGGGGGAGGATTGGAAGATCCCAGCGCGCAAGCGACGACGGGACAAGAACAAGGATCTTCTTATTCCAGGAAAGAAACGCAAGTCCACCGTGGAGAACCTCGGCGATCTCTCCCCTCCGGCGGACAAAGCACCAAGCAAGAGCCAAGGATCCGAAAAGAATGGGAAATCCACGGATGCGTCATCCAAGAGGGCAGAGTCGAACAAGCCATCGGAGGTCCCAGAAGCTTCAAAATCCCTATCCAAGCCTGCCAGCGGAGTGCAAACCCCCAACCCGGGACATGCAGAAGGTAAGCAAACAGTCAAACCGCCTTCATTATCACTTGGCCTAGCCGGCTACGACTCAGACTCTGAATGAGAAATTTGTAAGATACCAAATACAATTCTTATCACACAACCGCACACTACCCACATTAGTATTTACCTGTATAAAACTTGGATCCGGCCCAATCCCTCTCTTGAGTACAGCCTCCGAATCTACTGGCCCCAACCCTACAGATTCAAGATACCGGGCACAATGGCATCAGTTGCGTTTAATATTGAAAATAAAATCTCTTGGTCAATTACCATTGCCTCGGCGGGCTGCCTTTGTGATTATAGGCTCCCCGTCTACACGACTTCGACCAGTGATATATAATAAAAAAAACACAAACCACACCACCATCTTATTCCCGACCTGAGCATACGTGGTCTTCCTTCCATACTAGATTTTCACTCTTCATGAGTTGCAAAAGCCTGGCGCTTCTCTTCCTGCTCCTCCAGTCTGCGCTCCAGGTCGTGGGGCAGATACTCTTCTTTCTTGGTCCCGGGAACAAACCACGGAGCGTTGGTGAACAGAAAGTTCATCTCCTCCAGGGGGAGTTTCTTCGTCTCCGGCAGCAGTGCCCAGAAGAAGAGCGCGTTGGTGAAGTTACAGATGATGAACACGAAGTAAAACCGGTAGCGAATATTGGTCATCGCAATCGGGGTCACTTGGCCGATCATCGTGTTGAACGCAAACGAGGTCATGGTGGCGATTGAGACACCCTTGGAACGAGTTCGGGTATCGAATACCTCAGCTGGGATAATCCATGACAATGGACCGCAAGTGCACGAGAATGAGAAATTGTACAGCCATGTCATGATAATGAAGCCCCAGTGAGCCCCCGTATTGTTGACTTCCGGAGGGAACTTGGCCAGAAGAACACAGGCAATGATGAAAGTCACCATGTTGCCGAGGTTTCCACAGATCAATGTCCACCGACGACCGAAACGATCGATAAACATCATACACAGGAACTGGGCCACCAAGGCAATCACGGAGTTGATTGCTTGGTATCTCAGGGTTTCGTCACCCTCAATTCCGATCTGGCCATAGATCGTCACGGAATAGTATCTGCAAAGTCAGTCAGAATAACCTCGTCATCATGCTGATCTGCCGAAAGAACTCACTGGATTGCGGAAACACCAGTCATCTGCACCGATGCCTGGAGGGCACAACAGAGGAAGAGACGGCGGAAAGAGGAGCGAGAAGTGAACAACTCCATGTAAGACTTGGCCTCATGCTCATGCTCAAAGGTGATGGTCTCCCTAATCTGGTTGTATTCCGCGACAACCCAAGGGTCGTTCTCGTTGCCATGTGCATGGAGTTTGGCGAGGGTCTTCAATCCCTCTTCGTGACGTCCATGGTCAATAAGCCAACGGGGTGACTATGTATGAGTTAGCTATGTTTCTTCTCACGGATATGACGGTATATTTACCTCCGGGAACAGCATAATCAATAGACCTAGGCACACAGCGGGAGCAATCTGCAGTCCCAAAGGCAACCGCCACTGGGTATGGTCGGTCGGGGCGAAGCCGATGTACGTGCCGTACGAAATCCAAGCAGCGCAGAGCGCGCCCACGCCCAGCATAAATTGTTGCAAGGCTGTCACTCGGCCTCGGATATCTGGATGGCAAATTTCTGCCTGGTACAGCGGAACAATCATGGTGAGGAAACCGACACTATCATGAACGTCAAAATCTGGTCCTTTGATGCTCCAGGGAGGAACTCACCCAAATCCAGCCAGGAATCTTCCGCTGTATAGGTAGTCCACAGACTGAGCTCCTGTCTGGAGAGCTCCACCAAGGCAGAAGACAAGGCAACCGACAATGATGGTCCATCGTCTTCCAAGCGAATCCCCACTGGGACCTGCACCAGCAGCTCCGAAGAACGCACCGGCCGTGAACATGGAAACCACCAGCCCGCTGGTATGGTTAGCTAATACACAGAATTGTTCTGATGCTGGAGAGCGACATACGTCTCCGTATCATTCGCTTCGAATTTTGACTTGAATGATTCACTTGCAATGACTTCTGCGATCACACCCAGATCGTCTAGAGACAGAGCCTGTCAGAGCACGAATACATATACCTCCTAAGATCTCACTTACATCCATAAAGGAAAGATCCGAGGGAGGCGAAGACGCCAACCAGAAACTGGTACTTCTATCAGCTTCATAGCCTTTGGATCAATGATGATGGGGACGTATACCTGGTACCACGCCGGGGGCAAAAGCATGATGGGCTTAACAAGAAACGTTATCGGTTGAATAATTCCCCACAGATCCAAAACAGCAGACCGCTGAAGCGCAACAAGAGGGACAAGGTGCGGAGACACTGGGGTATGCGGTCTTATAAGATCGTCCTAGAATGGGAGCACACAACCTCTGTATCGGACCACGGAACCCTACGGGCCTATGAACATCGCGCATGGTCCTAGCTATCGCGAACTAAAGAGAAAAGCAGCTGATTTCCGGTGGAAATCACGGAGCGGCATGGTGTCGACGCCATCTCGTCGCTCAAGTCGCCGCGTATTGTGCTTCGGAGCACCCCAGAGGAATATTCCTCCAAGAAGACATCACGACCAACCACGACCATCCATGGATCAATCCAGGCCTGAGTCTAGCACCGAGCAGGTTAGGGAGCGCTTGGCCTTTGCGGGGTGTAGTCCGGAGACACCAACTGGGATCAGGAGCGCCATCGCTCGCAGTACCAATGCTGATTGATGGAAGTTCTTCGTGGCGTTACCTCGGCTTCACCACCAAGACGCCGGCTCGATCCTCCGCCCCCGACCTCGTCCCTGGCCTTGTGGCTCAATATATCAGCTCGATATCATGGAAAACCCCGCAGGGAATTTTCCTTTTCGATACTGATGGCGGGATGCGAATTCCGCAGACATTAATATTTCTTGTCCAGTCGCTTTCCGTCACAGGAGTTGGAAAAGATTCGTCCATCAAAGACCTTCTTTGCCTTCTACCAATCAATAGGTCGACTATCTATTACTAGAGTGGAATCTTTCCTACTGTCGTAATAATGACTACCTTCACAAAGCTCAGCGAGCAGGAGGCACCGAGTTTGTCCGTCCACCCAACTCGGCGGATTTCCAAGATCAACCCGAACATCTATGCCGGATTTACCGAGTAAGTTATACTTTGGTGCTAATTGCTCTGGCCTTGTTCAGTTGGTTAATGATTATTCCAGGCACATGGGCCGGTGCATTTACGGCGGTATCTACGATCCCGGTAACCCGCTGTCAGATGAGAATGGCTTCCGAAAGGACGTCCTGGAGGCTCTCAAAGAGCTTAACATCCCTGTCGTCCGTTACCCTGGCGGTAACTTTATGGCGACCTACCATTGGATCGATGGCGTCGGTCCGAAGGATCAACGCCCTGCAAGGTCCGTTCGCTCTATACCGTGTTTACTAAGATAGGATGTACTGATCATGCAAAGACCCGAGCTTGCCTGGCTTGGAACAGAGACGAACCAGTTTGGTACTGACGAGTTCCTGAAGTGGTGTGAAGTCCTGGGAACTGAACCTTACTTCTGCTTGAACTTCGGAACAGGTAAGCCGCCTCCTTCTCTTGGGCCAGCCCTTACTGACTAGGTTTAGGGACTCTTGATGAAGGTACCTTGATTCATGTCTTCACATACCGCTACCTTGTCTAACAATATGCAGCTTTGGCTTGGGTTGAGTACTGCAATGGTACAAGAGACACCTACTATGCCAACCTCCGCCGCAAGAATGGCCGCGAGGAACCGTACAACGTGAGTGACATTGCATGCATGACATGAACAGCGTGTTAATCTTTTCTAAGGTCAAATACTGGGCGCTCGGAAACGAGACCTGGGGACCGTGGCAAGTCGAACAGATGACCAAGGAGGCATATGCTCATAAAGCCTACCAGTGGGCCAAGGGTAAGGACGTTTCCGGCTAACATAGAGACGCAGTGCTGACTTATCTCTGTAGCTCTGAAACTCCTCGACCCCAGCCTGGTGCTGGTTCTGTGTGGACAAGACGGCACTGCTTCATGGGACTACTACACGTTGAAGCAATGCCTCCTCCCGCTGAATTCCCCCCTGTCCACAAGTGCCGTTCCCCTCATCGACATGCACAGCATCCACCTGTACACTGCATCCTCCGACCACCGTGCTAACGCGACCGCCCCTCTGGCTGCGGAGCGCGCAATCGAAATCACCTCCTCCCTTATTGATCTGGCTCGAATTGAGAACGGCGTGCCTGCGGACCAGTTACGCCCCACGATCTGCTTTGACGAGTGGAACGTCTGGGACCCCATCCGCGCCGAGGGCAGCAAGGGCGCGGAAGAGTGCTACACGCTCTCTGATGCACTGGCGGTGGCGGTGTATCTTAATGTCTTTGTTCGGAAGAGCAAGGACCTCGGCATGTGCTGCATTGCGCAGAGCGTGAACGTCATCTCGCCGCTGATGACCACCAAGGACGGAATCACGAAGCAGACGACATGGTGGCCGTTGTATCTGTTCTCGCGGTACATGCGCGGCTGGACGATCAGCGCGCATCTCTCCTGCAGCACGTACGAGGGCGAGACGTCCCCGAAGTGGGTGCGTGGCGTCAAGGACACACCCTGGCTGGATGTCAGCGCCACCCTTGGCGAGGATGGCTACGTCAACCTTGCTGTCGTCAACGTGCATGATGATAAGGGCATTGAGACTCAGCTGGAGGGTCCTTCTGGGGAGGTCTCGGTGTTCACGGTCACCGGAGACAATGTCAACGTTACCAATATGAAGGGGAAGCAGGAAGTTGGTATCGTCGAGAGCACCTGGGATGGAAAGGGCAAGTATGTGTTCCCTAAGCATTCTTTTACTCTCTTGAGATGGAAGGCTTAGGGTCTCTGCGTCTCTTTTTATTTTTACTTTCTCCATGCGTTTGGTTGCCATGATAGACTGCAGCATAGTAGACGTGGATAGGACACGAAGAATTGATACAATGAATATACGTCTGACGGTCGCCATTTGATTAAACGCGTACAAGAGAGCATAGTCTTATCTACTGTCCAACCTCTAGCCAAAGTTCACATCATGTACAATTCCACTCTGGTCCAAATGAACATTCAGCCTGGCAAGTGGAAGCCTTATCAGCATGCCACATGGCCATCATTCAATCCGAACATACCTATCGGGTCGATGATCCATGGTCATGGCATCACCGGGTTTCAGAATGCGATGGGATTCAGGAAGATCCTTCTTGGAGAACGACTGTATTGCAGTTTTAGCATAGCTTTTCATTTGATCGGTCAGATGAACCAACGTTGACATCACTTGTCGAGTCGCTGATTTTCTTCCCTGCGAGCTTGGACATCCATTCCTCCTTGCTGCCTTGGGCGTCGTTGGTATTGAGCATTCCGGGTACAACGAGGGGCATAGTGACGGATTTGATGTGCCAGATGTGCCAAGTAATCTAGTCTGATACTTTCTCTGTGATAGAATAGAGGGATATGTTCGTGAGAGGGATAGATGTCAGGCAGGCTTACACGACGCGATATATATTGCGCCCTGTAAGCGATGATGTCATTCACTATTCTTGATCGGGAACTTCCTATCTGGAACTAGGGCCGTTGTATACTTATGCCTCACAGTCATCTTACGCGGGTAATTATTATACAGGAAGCACTAAAGCAAGATGCTTGACGATGAATATGTCTGGGTGTCCCGTTGCAAATATATACGAAATGCAGTTGACCGTGACAACGCTATTGACTAACACATTCCTTGATGTCTGTCCAGAAGGAAGCCGCATCAGACTCTACAATGCGACTGCCTTTACCTACTCAACCAGCTTCTACGAGTAGACTAGAGACACATCCACAGAGACAGGCATACCATCACTGCCATCTCGACCCATTCAACAAGACGCCCGACCTCCATTCTTACTACCACGGGTGTCATCATCCATTCCACCGTCTACATTACATCCTCAAAATGGGCTACAGACGCGGCCTCTCGAAGCGCTCCCGCCTCAGCGTGCTCCGCGACCACCTAAGCCAAAACCTCAAAGCAGCCCTAGACCGCGGCAAACCCGTCCAACCATCCGTCGAACCCGTCCTCCTCACAAATACAACCAACTCCACAATCTCGGACACCGATACCTCCCTCCCAGTATCAGACACGCCCTCCCCCTCCCCAACAGCCGGCACCAAATCGCTCATCCCGAACTGGAGCTATGAAAAAAGCTCCACAGCCGCCGCCATCATCTTCACCACCATCGCTGTCACGGCTCTCCTCTTCCTGATATTTCTGTCGGCGCAGAAGGTCCGGCGGAGCTGGGCGAGGCGCAGGGCGGAGCGCTCACACAGCCGGTCTGACGGGGACGCGAAGAACGGGTGTAAAACGGCGCTGGGGTCGACGCGGGAGAACGTCATGTTTAGCAGTGGAAGGCCGTCGACGTCGTCGCAGAACTATATCGTCGAGCAGCGGGGTGGGTCTGTGAGTCGTGTGTATCGGGAGGCGAGGAGTTCGCCGCATAGGACATTTAATTCGATGTCTTGTCTCCCTGCGCAGCCGAAGAGGGCTGTTGCGTCGACTGTGCGGCAGAAGGGTGGCGTTGCGAAGCCGGTGCAAGCGAGGAAGACGTCGATGGGTCCTGGTCCCAGACAGGTAGTCGTTACGCAGTCCCCGATGAATCATGCTGTTTCGATGCGGGCGTCGCCGGGACGGCGTGAGACGAGTGAGAATGAGAGGGGTGGCAAGGATGTTGGTTCGAAATCATCCGTGGCATTGCCAGCACTGCAGAGAAGTACGTCTCCGGTGGGTAAGAATTGAGACTCGGTGCCGACTATAAGTTGGTTATGGGCCAGACAGGCAGGCGCTTGCGGGTAGTTGAACCTCCAGTGTTGGTTTCTACACTTTGTATTATCCGGATTGATTCCAAGTGTCATGGCTTACTCATTCTCTTCGTACATCTATAAATTAGGCAGCAACAAGGATGCTCGTTTCATGACTTACAATGAGAAGTCCGTGAAGTGACAATTCAAGTCTATTAGCTATATGTCAGGACAGTCCATTTCCTTCACACTCCGTAAACAACGTTCCAACCTCTTCCCACGCTCTCTCTCTTGCACCAATGTGTCTCTGACAAAGGAGCGAATCGCATCTCGGCCCACTTTCTCACGCCACGATGTCCAGCCGGCCAACTCACCGACCACGACATCTTTGTTCCATGAGATCTCGCGGGAGATCCGAGCAATCTGCGCTTCGGACTCTTGGATTTTGTTTTCCAGATCCCGCACGGACTTTTGGCGAGATTCTTCCAGACCGGGGAAATTGATATTGAACTTCCTAGGAAGTGATGATGAGAGAAGAGAAGACCGGGAGCGGGAAAGCGCACGGTTCGTCGAAGCCAGGCTGGACATGAGGGAGATGGGTCGGGATAGGGAGTCGAGGATTGCAGTGGTAGTGTTGTCAATGGAGGAGAGTCCTGTGAGGAATTGCAGGAGGGGAGAGGAGTCGGTGGATGAGGTAGAAAGATATGATGCGTAGCGGGAAAAAGCATCAACGTGGGTTTGGGGTAGGGCATTGGTAGGTGCCTTGAGGGTCGAAACGGCGGTGGAACAGAGAGCTATTGAATCAGCGAGATCGGCAGTGGAATTCTGCAGCGCATGACCGCGGCGGATAAGACCACGCGTGTTGACGTGAACGGAGCGCACCATATCTTGGGCGTGCGAGACAAATTGTTCCGTCTCTCGCATACCGTCCGCAGTCACCGGTTCATAATCGTCCATGATGGATTCGAAGAGGACTTGGGCCTTTCGTCGTGAGCGATCCGCCATCATCTCCGGCTGCAGCTCAGGGACCAGGAAGAATTCCCAGAGCATTTCATGCGTGGCAAAGGTTGGGTGGGATAGTAAGATCTTCAAGAACCTGTCTAGCCTCTCTTGCATATCGTGTAATACGGAGCGGGATGGTTTGGAGTGAACCTGGAAAGGACTGCGGAAATCCGTGAGCGATGGCATGTAAGACGCAGGGTGCTCAATGGACAGCCATTTGGCGAGATTTTCGAAGTCTGAGAATGTGCGGCGGCAGGTCGTGACAGTGTAAGTGGTCATGTTGGCTGGCTTGGATGGTGCCGAATTCGCCACATGATTTGGGGCACCGGACTTGAGAACGAAGCGTACTGTTGCATCCTCGACGAAGAACGAACGGACGACCGTTGTTATACGGCCAGATGGATCATCCGTTGACGCGGGAGGCTGAGAAATCAGAATGAGATCGTCGATCCGATTCCGCACTTCATCATCTTTGGCGAGTTCCACAGCTGTCAAACCACGGCTCTCCTTCAAATGCACATCCACTCTGGGATCCAAGAAGAGGATCCGCACTTGATCAGTACGGCCGTATTTACTAGCCATCATGAGAGGCGTAAATCTCTTATCGTTGGTCGCATTTGGGTCGCAATCGCATTCATGGAGTATCCGAATGGTGATGTCCGGGTCGCTGACAATGTGCAATAGCGTATTGCCCTTCAAGTCGACATGTTCGTCAAGGCGGAGGGGCTTACCATCTCCCTGAGCTTTCTGGGCGGCCGTCAGGGCTTCGTTCACCATTGCCCGGTAGTCTGGGTGGTCATAAGATCTGCACAAAGCGAAAAGGGGAGTTTGTCCATGTTTGTCACGTTGTCTCCAGGGAAGCATGCCTTCCAACCTGCGCATCACCGATGGCGTGCTAAACAGATAGTGGGCGACCGTACGGCCATGCACATCAGACTTTCTCAGGTAGGCGATGACGACGTCTCTGTTAGCGGCTCCGAAAAGAAAGTTAAGCAGGATATCCACCATTTCTGTGTGAGCGAGCTGCACAGCAGCGCTCAGTAACGTAGTGCCTTCTGTATTTGTATCTTCGAGAATATCCTCCAGAGGATAGTATTCCTCGAGACTGAGTAGATACTTCAGAGCCTCCGGCTGGCGGCTTTCGACTGCCATCATTGGAATGGAATCGCCTGCAGGGTCCTGCGTTTTAGTCAAAGTTTCAATAGAACTGTCTCCTTCGATACCGCTGGCCAGGGAACCGATTGTCGTTCGAGATGCAAACGAAACTGCCGAAGATTCCGACAGGCTACGCACATCCATTGATACTTTCTTGATCGGCCGACGGGCCTCTCTCGGTGATGAAGTGTTTGCCCACGTTTGGAAAGGGAACACATGTGATAGAGGCGGCGCTTCCGTTGTGGTATCGGTATGCGAGTGTTCGCCGCTCTCATCGACTGGGGACTTGAGGATGGATAGGGAGCCTGGAAATGGTTCGCTCTCGTTGTCATCGTCGGTTTTGAAAAGGACAGACTTCGGCTCAGGCTCGCAAGGAATTTCGTCACCGAATTCGGGATCACTATTTGGTTCCAAAATGGATCTCATGTCGGAAATCCGTCCTTGTTTTGTGGCAGACCACAGACGCTTATTGCGAGCGCTAGCTCGTCGTAACCCCGCCGAATCGGTTACAAGATAAGTCAGAACAGCTTCGAAAGTACTCAGCGCGTAGCCCATCTCGCCGCTGTCAACATCATCGACATAGATGAAGTGCTGCATATACAACAGTCGTGCCTGTAGATGTTTGATCTGGGATCGGATAACCACGATGAGCAATAAGGAGACCAAGACGTCTGCATTCACTGTCACCGGGGCGCGTGTCTTTTCAGAAGCATGTGGATTAGCCCTGTCGTAATTGCCCGGGTAGGATAAGATCTTGACTGTCTCCAGAAGGGTATTCAGCATGTCGTGGGGGCACTTGGCATCCAGCATTTTGCGAAATTCTTCCACTGCCTTCCCGAGACGCTGTAGTAACTCCCGTTTGCCTTCTCGCCCGCCTTCCACGGCAATCCCCACCTGGGATACATCAATATTGTCCATTTGGCGGATCCGAATATCGAGTTCTGTATCCTCAGGTTGACGAAAGCTGCAGAGACGAGGGAACAGAAGTGACTCATGGACTTGTTCGGCCACGTAACGCTCGATTAACCGTTCCACCACTGGACCCGTCAGATCAGTGGTGGCACCGAGGAAGGACAACTGCTGCTTATCGACCAGCCGAAATAGGTCAATGGCGGCCGTCACCGCGGTTTCAAGGCTACGGCGCATCAGATCTTCGTCATCCTCAAAATATTCCTCCGAATTGAATGGGAGCCCTCCTCGACGACGAGATGTTGAGCTCCGAAGCGAGGCCGTTTCGTCACCCAGCGTCTCACTCCCATCACTTCGCCAGTCCTGATCGTCGGACATGGATGGGGAACGCGACGGCGGAGGAGGCAGCGGCTTTCCCAATTCCTTCCCGAACTCTCGGAACAGTCTCTCAAGTCCCGGTTGCATCTGCCTTGCGATCATAGGGAAGTGTGCCAGCAGTTCCCTGAACGTCCTGATCTCCTTTTTCGGTGGCGAAGATACCGGTTCGCCGGATTTGACTGCGGTATTTGCAATTGCCTTCGTTGGGAGCGTTCCGGGCACCACGGCAGAGATGATCTTCGCGGGTTCGAACGAGCCGATCAATGGTCGAGAGATGTAGTATATAAGCCATGGTTGGGAGTCATTGCCCGGAGTATAGTAGAGGGCATCCGATAGCAGCTGAGCCTGGGTCAGGGATTTGAAACCTAGACAGAGGGAGTTCAGTAAACGCGATAGAGTGGATAGGTTGCATCGAGCGATCGTCCCCACCTTTGTTGCTGTAGACCGAATTCTCCTTGATGATGACAGTTCGACCATTGGCTGTTGTCACCTGTTTGGCTTTGGCCCTGCTATCACGGACGTTGGAATCATCCTTCGCGCCGGAGGTTCCATTCGACCCAGGGATCCGCAAGGCATGGCTGCCTAGAAACTCTTCGGACACGACAAGATCGCTGTAGAGTACCGAGGATTCACGGTCGCGCGAGCCGATCAACGACTCGGTGATGGGAACTAGAAGGACCTAATGGACAGACAGGAACGATCAGCATTGTCTCTCCGACGCGGGATGGGAATGACATACATGGTTCTCGATCGGTACACACTGCCCCGGAACAGTGCTTCGGAAGAAGGCACGGAGAAAGGGGTTTAGAGGGTGCATCCAAACGACCTTGGACAAGGGTCCAACAAGGAAGCCGTGTACTCATCAAGTCGCACTCATGCACCCCTCACAGAAGCTCCTCGATTGGGATCGCGGGGAGAACCAAGCGGGCGCATGCGGTTGCGGACGGAGGTCGAGAAAGACGTCAGGACACCACGAAAATCAAGGTGCAGAAGAACTCCAAACGCCGCGATAACGAAGAGACGCGCAATCGGGAATGGACATGGAAGATGACGTTCGGGAGATGGCGGAGGGGGCGATGTTATTGCATGAGGGTCAGCCAGCAACTTCCGCCGCGTTGTTGGAGACGCCGGAGCTCCTCCTCGCGCTAGTCCGCTTTGGGACGGGCATCTGCGATCTTTTCCACTTTGGCTTTATCTATTCGTCTTCGTCTTCTCACCTTTACATGACCTTGAAGATGACAATAGAAGACTCTGGGCTGTTTATAACCATGCATATCTCACATAAAGGCCATTCTCTTTCGATTCTGCGCCTATGGATTCCAGAAAGAGAATAGACACCCATTCGGACGAGCGGTTGGATCCTTATATCCCTCCCTCCCGAAGCATAGTGGCCAGTCGCCATGCTTTCCTATAACACGCTGTGCGCAACTGACGGTGCCTGACAGTCGGACAGCCACGTCATACTACCTCATCGCATGCAGGAGCTCGGAAGACAAATCACGGCCTTAGGCAGTATTTGCTCCAGAGCCCAATATAATCAATGCACCAGCCCCTGCAGATGCAGCCGTCATTTGTGATACCTGCCTACGTTGCAGAGGCCAGATCTATGTCTGATCCCGCCACACCGAGCATGGAATCCAATTGGAGGAACAAACATAGAGCGCCACAGGGGTGCATGTCTTATAGAGTCGACATGTCCGTGGGCTTGTATCAAATTCCCTCACTATACTTGATGCCCAGGAATTCCCATCCCACAGACTCGGCCAAATGTCTACAAATCCAAAGTCCCTAGATGCGGAGTTCTACTCCTGCTTAGGAATCGAATATGAAGCCGCCTTCGGATTCAATCATGCGCTCCTAGACTTCATCGAGCAGTCTCTGACATATTTACCACGCAAAGCCACCGTCCTGGATGCTGGATGTGGCACCGGCCAGCCGGTGGCCAGTAAACTCGCCTCCTCAGGTCATCGCGTAATCGGTATCGACGTCTCGAGCGTGATGGTGGAACTGAGCAAAGAAGCAGTACAGAGCGGGGAGTTTCACATCGCAGATATGCGAGAGTACACCGTCCCCGACGGGACGCAGTTGGACGCCGTTTTCAACATTTTGTCGCTTTCCAATCTCACCCGAGAGGAGATAGAACAACTCATGCTGCGGTGGAAGGCCTGCTTGCCTGTTGGGGGTATGCTCTTCATTGCGACCCTTGCAGCCGAAGACTGCCAACCCGAGATGCGGGGGAAGGGTTATGATCCTGATGGCCGGTGTGCGCGGGATATGAGATTTAGTTTCATGGGAGAATATGTCACCTCGACGCTTTTTACCCGTCCTGGGTGGAAGGGACTTCTGGAGGCGAGTGGCTTTGCTGTGGTCGAGTCTCATACAAGAACTTTTGTCCCGTCCCCGGAAGCTGAGTGTGAGGAGGAGCCACAGTACTTTATTGTAGCACGAAAAATATAAGGGACTCCAAGGGAGGGCGAATCTTCTAGTCTAGTTGACGCGCGGGTTTAGATTTCTGTCCATTCTAATGTGATCCTAGAGGAATAACCCGAGAGAAAGCCATGCGTTCAGACAATGTGTCTGTAAACATGAGTCTATAGATACTGAAAATGTACATCTGTGATTCCATTTATCGTCACCTTCCAGTTCATCGCATCTTCACCTTTCTGGCTTTGAAGGCTCATCTTGCTCGCCTCCTTTGCCCACAACATCCTCCAAGTCAGCGTCCTTGCTGGTATCTTTGGTCTCCGTCGGCTTCTGTGACTTCTTGACGCTTCTCCACTCCAGACCCATGGAGCCCAACATGGTCAAACAAACGATGATCAGGCCAACCTGAAACGCCGTGCGCAACGCTTCATTGTACGCAGCTATAGCCGTATCGCGTACTGAGGCAGGTAGCTGATCGATCAGCGATGTAGCCCCAATTTTCGTCAACATACTGGGACTGAACCCTTGCAGTCCGGCGAGATGACTCGCCAGCCGGTTGGTCAGCACCGTCTGCCCGACCGAGACAAATATAGCGCCGCCCAGCTGCTGGGCGAAAGACATCATCGACGCGCCGACGGGAATATCCTTGGGTTCAAGGATGGTTTGTGCAGCCAGGTTTGGCACTTGCAAGATATTTCCCATCCCGAATCCGTACAGCACCTGATAGCCGATGTACTTTCCACGATGCGTATCGACTTGAAGAGTGGTAAGAAGACCCGCACCAACGGCCATGATGCAGTTGCCCGCAATCATGAATAGGGTGTAGTAGCCGAGGCGTGACATCAGGCCGCCGCTCAGTATGGAAGCGAAGAACATGGGGAGAATCAAAGGCAACAAGTAAATGCCACTGTCAATCGCGGAGACAGATTTGATTGCCTGGAACCAGATGGGGAGGAAATAGACTGGGGCATACAGATTAGTAGCAATCGACTGGGAGGGGAGAAGTGTATACCAAATATCATTTGCGAGCCGATGCAGAAACTCGCCCAGAAGGCAGCGACTATGCTTCGCTGCCAAAAGATGCGTGGTGGCATAGTGGCCGTGTCAGGGAGGAATATCTGGACCACCACAAATGCGATCAAGCATACTCCGGTTAGCACCAGCAGCGCGATGATGCGACCTTCATTCCACTGCTTTGGTTAATGACATGCTCTTCTATACTTCAAAATCCAGCTACCCACAGAATAAGCCACTCCACCCCACTGCAGAGCTAATGTGAGACAGACGATTCCAGGAAGCAGGAAGGATATTCCAGCAAAGTCCAGCTGAAGGATTTTCTTTCTCAAGGGGAGCTTGGTGGAGTCTCTCTCCGGAACATGCAACAGGAAAGCAACCAGGAACATGGCGACACCCCCAAAGGGCAAATTGATGTAGAAGCACCATCTCCAAGTGACTTCAGACGTGAACGCACCGCCCAAAAGTGGCCCAGCGACAGAGGACACTCCGAATATGGCACCGAAAAGGCCCATGTAAAGTGGCCTTTTGTGAAGCGGCACAGCATAAACCATAATGACAATCTAAAGCAAGAAATGAGCTCCCGTAGTCTTAGATTAGGGGGATAGGTGATATGCATACTGTGCCAGCCATGATACCTCCTGATCCTAATCCAGCTATTGCCCTCCCAATGATCAGGGCGACTGAATTTGGGGCCGCGCCACAAATCGCTGACCCGACCTCGAAAAACAGGATCGCGGATAAAAAGACTCCTCTCACACTGAAGAATGAGTATAGCTTGCCCCAGAGCAACTGGAAAGCGCAGCTGGTTATCTGGTAAGCCGTTCCATACCAACCAATGTCGGTGATTGAGTGGAATTGATCGGTAATTCTGGGGATAGCCGGTGAGATGATGAGACGGTCCTGGCATAATAGATGTTAATACTGGACTTGGGATGAGACTTGAATAGAACACTGTCATTCATACCAGAGATACCAAAAACAGACTGGCGTACACCGCGATGAGCAACAGCGCAAGACGCAACCCCGAAGGAAATCCTATGTCGGTAGTGTGAGCTGGCTGGTTCTGACCATCTTGGAGCTCATCCTTCTTTCTCTCGACATCACCGACTGACAGACGATCAGCGGCCTTCGTGGGCTGCTCATTCATATCTGACTCCTTGGAGCGCATTCCGGTTGTTGTACTAGTCTAACCCGCGAATGAATTGATACTGAATGGGCATCACATTTCTCTTCTCGGCGAGAATGCAGAGGAAATGGGAAATGAAGCTCCTTTAAAAAGTATAACAAACAAGGGAATTGTTTGTGCAATAATTTATTCACATCAACCCTGGACGCCTTGCCGATTCCCTGATCCAGAGTACTCTTTTGGGAGCCCGACGATGGGACCATGTCGCTTAGCATATTCTTCATTGATTCAAGCCTTTCCAATGCCCATAAATAATGAATCAAGTTCGAAGACGACAAATCAGGTGGATGCATACCATCTGTTGTTGGAGTCGAGGCGCAGAGAGGGTCATCTCCGTAGCAGCCGCCTTTCCCTTTTTAGACCCCGACATGGGCCAAACATGCCGTGCAGGACAGATAATTTACAGCCGCCGTTCAATCTGACTCAGGACAGCATATCCATTTATGCAGATCTCTCGTGTATTGCTGTCATTTGTCTATTAATCGTGTGAATCTAGATCTTAATCCCCTGAATCTGGAGCATGGGCCGTTGCAGAGGCAAATCTCTTGCTATGTGGCTGGGTGCACCCATCCTATACCATGGCTATTCCCTCAGACCTGACACTTCGGCATCGTTTCGGAGAAAGCAGCCTGTGGATTTCCTCCATAGTCCAGATATCCCACTCAACGAGATCAGACGCAGTACGGCCACACTTGCTTCGTATAGCAGTATCTGCGCCACGGTCCTCGACAAGAAGTCTTACAACTTCAAGGTCATTCATGCTTGTTGCATGCATCAGGGCGGTCTCGCCCCTCGAGTTTTGCGCGTTGACATCCACTGCCTTGCTTTGTAGCAGGACTTGAACCATCTCCAAATCTTGCCTGCTAATTGCAGTCATGAGAGGTGTTTCACCGGTTGTCCGGTCCTCAATGTTAGGATCCACGCCTGGCAGAGAGAAAAATATGCGCATTAGAGGAATTTGCCAGGTAGCCACCGCTGCTTGGAACTCCGGATTCGGATCAATCTTGCCGGTTTCGAGGAGGACTTGAACCATCTCCAAATATCGCCACCTAATTGCAGTCCTCAGGGCTGTTTCGCCCCTCGAGTTTTGCGCGTTGATATCTACTGTCTTGCTTTGTAGCAGGACTTGAACCATCTCCAAATCTGGCCTGCAAATTGCAGTCATCAGAGGTGTTTCATGGGTTTTCCGGTCCTCGATGTTAGGGTCCACGCCTGGCAGAGAGAGAAATATGCGCACCAGAGGAGTTTGCCAGGTGGCCATCGCTTCTTGGAACCCCGGGTTGGGGTCAGTCCGGTCGATTTCGATAAGAACTTGGATGATGTCGAAGTAGTTGTTTTTGACTGCATAGGGAAGTGGGTACTTGAATGGGTCTTCTATAAGCATTTTCACAAAGACATTAGTCGTTAGGAATGCAGAACGCGGATGAACCACACTCACGGCAGCCTAGATTTGGGTCAGCAATTCCGATATCCAACAAGATCCGGGTTATCTCGACGTCTCTTCTAGCGACTGCCACAAAAAGGGCCGTATCCCCGTTCTCTGCCATCGCATCGGCGAATGCTGAGCCAACCCGCAGCAAGGCCTCCACGACTTCCTTGTGTCTGTTCTCAGCAGCCACCATGAGCACGGTTTTGCCGCCAGAATCGGCCAGGTCAGGGTCAACCATCCTGTTGCGCAGCAACAGTACAACCACGTCAACGAGTCCTTTTTCTATCGCCAGCCAGAATATCTTCTCATTCTCTAGACTGTCGTCGGACGCTGGCAGGCCCATGTAATTAGCGACAGCCACGTGAGCCGGCATTCCTAACGGTCTCGGTGCATTGGCATGTCCGTGTTGCAGCAATAGGTTTATCACCTCTTTGCTTCCACTCTGCACAGCCATCATGAACGTGCCGCCGCTGCCTCCCTTGAATGAGTCAATACCAACCCTCCCACTTTCCAAAAGCAGCCTCACTACATCCGCTGATCTCATACTGACCGCCGATGTAAGCTCTTCTGGGCCTGGGTTGGTTTTTTCGTCTGCTAACAGAAGTTCGATGACCAGATTGTGACCGCCCCTAGCGGCATACATAATTGGTGACAACCCATCCAAGGCTGTATGATTAGGGTCGACCCTCCCGGTTGATAGGAGGGACTGAACTATACCCGAATATCCTAGTTGCGATGCAATCGAGAGAGGCGACAAGCCATCGTCATCAGTCAGATTCGGATCCGCGTTGCTGCAGCTCAGAAGGATGTCGACCACATCCTGATGCCCATATCTTACAGCCAGTATCAAAGGGGTCTGGCCGTAGGGATCCCGACTATTGATCTCTGGAGCTGGTGTTCCCTCCAGTAAGTCCTCCAGTTGTGTCACGAGGCCAAATCTAGCCACCATGTGAAGGCCCGTTGCTCTAAACATCTCGAAATCATCGATGAGTAGAGAGAGAGATACATAAGTGTGATCATTGGCGGGGAGCATTCGATCGACGGAACTTGTTAAGAATATGTTTTGGAGAAATCGTTTGGCAGCTTGTCGCACCTCTCCATCCGTTTGGACATGTTTGATATGTTCTGCCCAGAAATGAATCGCATAATCCAGAAACGAAGCATGCCCTGGTTTGGCTGTAAAAGGGTCAAAACACAGGTACTTAAGGCAAGCCAACGCTATCTCCCGACGAGACTTGGTGATCCAAGGGTTCTCATGCCGGTAGTTCTCAAAGTACTGATAAGCTGTGAAGTGAACAAATTCGATCTTCCCGGAGATGGGACTTAGAACTATAAGTCCTGAACAGTACGAGATGACAGCCTGAATGTCTGGAGGAGCGTAGTTCATGTCGAGGCGGTTCATGTCCCGTTGAGTCTGCGCCGCTAGAGCCTCTTGGAGTTCTTTAGCCTCCAAGGGTCGCCGTGCATGAAATACCCAAGACATAACACGATAGGCCCATTCGGAGCGACCTCCGTTCTCTATCATGTGCAAAGTCTTTTTGTACGCTTCATGAAGAGGGTCCCTGGTTCGGCGATTCTCTATATTCTCTAGTTCGTCTTCTATCTCCCCTCGAGTGCACTTGTCCTTAAGAAGGTTGAGAAAAAGTCGGACGAGAAGAAACCTGGATTCGTGAGTACTCCTGAAACTCGAATGAACGCGAGAGTCTTACATCCCTTTCGCGGCCCTGATGACCACCTGTTTGAACCGTTCAATTTCCGACAATTCATCGGGTATCTGATAAAAGATCGTGAAATCGAAGTTTCGGGCAATATATGCCTCCATATCCTTGTCGGCTGCAAGGATTTCCAAAGAGAAACATTTATCCACATGCCTAAATCGTCCTTCAATCGAAGTATTGAAACGTGAAGTCAACATAAAGCGAGCTCCTAGGTTCTGCAGGCGTTGGACGGCATCGAGAACCTCGCTTAGACTCTCCGGCGAGCATTCATCTAAAGCATCAATGACGATGAACACGGGATTATGGTTCTCAATGACGCTGGATAACATATCAAAGATTTCAAGTAAAGACGGGTCACGGTTAGCCCTATGATGCTGGGCGATTTCATCTGGTATTGACGGAAAAGTCTCTACCAGCTGTCTCAGAATGGTTCGATGCATGTGCATGAGAGTCTGTTCGGGTCGGAGATTGTAGTTGAAATATAGAAAAGCAACGGCTGAACGTTGTTCTTCTCGCATTTTAAGAAGCCTGTGTATGGCAATCGAGGCCATGCTCGTCTTCCCAGCACCAGGCAATCCTGGACAGAAGAGTATTTTGACATCGTTGCTTCCCCGTGACCAGGCCTTGAACACTTCATGCTCAGTGAAGGTCTTCCCAGAGTCGTGGTCCAGATGCCGTTGGATATCGGCGTGCTGCGACTGGTAGTAGCCTGGGGCAAGCCAATCCAGGACCTTCTGACGTTCTTGGCTCTGCTGTGTCTGTAAGAGCGGTTTCATATTGTCACTCAATTTTTGAACCTCTTTCTCCACTGGATTGCAACAACTTATTAGTCGTGTATTCATTCCATGATTCGTGGGTGCCACTAACATTTTCCAATGATGAATGACACCTTCGGGGTCCTTTCAAGTTGCGCCACAGGAATGACCTGTAGAAGCTGTTTGCTGAATGCAGCGCTCACAGCCGCAGCATATGGCTGCCAGCGTTTACTTTTGTGGGAGTCTGAATAATCACAAATACCCCTTACCACGAGGCACGGGAAATTGTTGTTCAGGCCAGCAGCCTCCATCTCGAAACATAACACACCATGCTTCTTTCGGAGCTTCTCCCGGGTGACACTGTCTCGCATGACCTGATTCCCTGACGCAATTAGCCCGCAATGGATGACTGGGTCTGTCGAGTCCCTGGGTTTTCGAGACACCAGTCGATCTTCAGATTCAGCACAGTGGATATCCTGGCAGGAACGGTGGATGTCAGCATGTCGGAAGCTTTCCCCATATAATTGATCATTCTCAACTCCTTGATACTTCCAGTCCTGACTTTTCTGAGGATATTTCCTCCCAATCTCAGCTACCTGTCGCGACACTGATGAGCCTTCGAGCTCAATCCGCGACAAGAGCTTTGTAAGGGCCGTCAGAAGCACGTTGGGTGGTCGGTTCAAATACCCAATATCCACGAACTCCCCTTCCGAAAGTGTCTTGCCATAATCATATTGTATGACACCACCTAACAACGTAATTAGTGATTGGGTGATCTTACATGGGTCGATATCCGCTTACCATGACCAGGACCCGGTCTGCTCACGACGATATCGCCCAGTCTGATATCATCTTCGGGTTTCTCGCTCGGTGGGCCTGGTGCGCCACCTCCGACTCCGACCATCAGGCCAATCTTAATGTTGGGAAAGCTCCGGAGCATATCCTTGGCGACTGCTGTTGCAGAGCTCTCTCCCATGCTGCCCAAAGGCAGACAGCCGATGACGACATTATGCTGGCCAATGCGACCAAGTGTGTACGCGTTTGTGTCTCCGGGATCTTGGTCTAGTGATGGGTGCTCCTCATCCAAAAGCGCCGTTGCAGCTGCTGTTTCCAGTGGGAGGGCACATATCCATCCCACCTGGTAGTCTTCCGGCGAAAGTGGCTCGCTGGCAGATATTTTGGTAAGCTAAAGATGGAGATATGACACGGAAGAGACGCCAATAGTCCGGTACCTTGTATTTGTTGACATGATTGTTCCCTTCATCAGCAACCCATCTACAGACATGAACGCTTGTGGGGGTTGGGCTGCGGAATTGATGAAGCAGCCTGGTCGGATGATGGGGTATTTATTTAGCACAGCCCCATGGCCGTACAGAACCTTTCCTGCAGCCTCGTCTTGGCCAGTGGTCACTCCAACAGTTTGAGGCACCTCTTCAGGGCCGGGTCCTCCTGGATATTTATACTAATCATCTCAATTTTGAAAGTAGCAGCAATATGTTAAAGTTCGAATATTTCATAGGAGCAGTTAGGGTAGTAGGTAAGGCACCCGGTACCTAAGATAGGTAGGTATCTACCTTACCTAGTATGTACCAGGTACATCAAGAGATTTCCAGAAAAAGAAAAGAAAAGGTAGAATAGACAAACATGATTGGTGCCCGGGAGGTGTACTGTGCGTTGCGTTGATTGGCAGCCCGGACTAACACATTTTCCGCGGGCGGCCCCACATGAAGATCTCGACTTTAGCTTCTTTTTTACAACCTCGATTTTTTTGCCAATCCGCAAAAATCACATCACAGTCATCATGCGTCCCCTCACAGAACAAGAACTTCGGACGGTGCTGGAGAAACTGACAGTCTATGTGGGCTCATCAGTAAAAGATCTCCTCACTCCCACCGACAGCTCGGGCAAGCCTGATCGCTGGGTTTTCCGTCTGGCGCAAAGTCGCGTTTACTTTGTTCGCCTTTCTCTCGCCAATCTAGCCACCTCCATCGCTCGGGAGAACCTCCTGTCCTGTGGGACATGTCTTGGTGAGTAGAGCGCCTGCGCCTACGACTTTTCGAAGACCGAATTGGAGACTAACGCCTGTCTGCTAGGTCGTTTCACGAAGTCCGGTAAATTCCGTCTGCACATCACAGCCCTCAGTGTCATCGCCCCAATCGCTCGCCACAAACTCTACCTGCGCCCTAATGGAGTCATGCCTTTCCTCTACGGGGGACACGCTGTAAAGGCACACGTCGCTCGCTGGTCTCAAGAGTGCCCGGAACATAGTGGTGTTGTGGTTTTCGACTCGGAGGATATGCCGCTCGGTTTTGGCATTGCCGCGAAAGCTCCCGCTGCGGCGCAGCGCGCGAGTCCGACGGAGATTGTTTGTTTCCGTCAAGCAGATTGTGGAGAATATCTCCGGGAGGAAGACTCGCTGTTCACTGCTTGATACAACCTTGATTTACGAAAAGTTTACAAGATACCATTTGAGTACATAGACCGTTGTTCACGAAGCAACCAAGGATGAATACAAAACTAATGATTTTCTTTCCCCATTTCTCTCATATCCGCTTGGATATGGTGCTGCGCGCGATCCCCTTTCAGGGCAGTGATGTCGGAACAAACTTGTGTTGTCGCAAATGCCTTTGAGCACGCACAGGCCAGGACTATTTCTCATCGAGAGAATCGAGATGGCCGGCTATTGACGATATTCGTCGAGCTTCTTCCCACCAGCACAACGTACTCTCCGGGCTCCGGTATATAGTTCCACTGCTGCGATTGCTGAAAACGGTCCGATGTGGCCAACGATAGTAGATACACAATCACATCAATCCTCAAGTCTGGTCCTAGTTACCTACTGGCTATAGGTGCATGTCTGTCCATAAAGACGGCCTGTGCACCTGCAGTGCTGTTGGCAATAGTACCGGGTGGATAGTGAGTGCTCAATGGAAGTCCACTTACGCTCCTACTGGAGACATACCGGTACCTATGTAGGCCGTATCAGCTACAACATGTAGACTCGCACCGAATGTTCAGTTCTCTTGAGACATGTCCATAATATCGCGTGGATGTTGTCATGCTTCGCCATATAGTCAACCCCAGAATACGCTGGTGGAGGGGACCTCCTCCCTCCCAGCCTGTATGCTTATCTATCTTGCGCTATACTTTTCGGATAAGCTCCGTAATCAGAAGACTTCTCTTCAATGGTACTGGCAAAATGGAGCCTGACAGAAAGGATCGGTATCTGGCTCGTCGGCCCGGACCAACCTTGGCTAGTGCAGAATAACCACATTGTCGCAGCGATTTGTCCGCCGCCCGTTGCGTCTAATCATGCTCCAAGGATGACACGAGATAGCTAACACCGCTAGGACCTTCCGAGAAACCTTGTTTCATGACCAACAATTCAAAGAGTATTTATCCGGCTCGTAATGTCTCAGCATCAGGTCCATCGATTAGAAGTCCGATCCTGGAGACAAGTGTGCCGATACAGGATGCCGACCTGCCAGTGTTGAACGATTCCGTGGTATTCCTGATCCTTCGGGCCTGTTCCAGCGGCAGTCCAGAGACCCTGACAACGGCTAGCGTCAATATCCCGCGCTCATCTCCACGGACCCGCCACGGACACAGAAATCTCGGGCTGGTCATATGATCGAACTAGCTCCTGCTGTATTCAATGGGTCATAAGGAGCAGCTCTGGATCGTGGGAGGGAACCGGGTCCAACGGAGAACGGGCCAGTATGCGTCCTCTTCCCAGGGTTCGGGCCGGCGAGAGAAAGAGAACGGGGTCCGGGGTTCTCCAGAACATGCCACATGCCACATGCCACCCCATAGCGTGGGGAGTATCCCGGCCGATGTTTCGGTTGTCACCGTGTGAGGGGTCAGTCCGGCCTAGGCGATGCGGCAATCAGCCGGTCTTGTAGTATTCAGCCTGAATATTGACTGTGCTCTGTCGTATCCTTGGAACTTATGGTGCCATCCGGAGTTCCGATAGGGAATGACGAGGCGAAGACTGGGATCATTCTTTCGCATGTGAAAAAGCGTTACCCGTTTCCAAGACAGTGCGATAAGTGGTCAACAATGGACCCTGTTTTGGATTGTGAAGAGAGACTGGTGGCGTGATGGGACTGTATCTGCATCCGAACTGCAACAGAAGTCATCACTTCATGGGTTCGATATAATTTCATTTTTAGGAGAATATAATTATTAGCTCTAAGATACTCATGTCTGCGTTGTATCAGTATCAGCTTGTTGCGTGTTTCTTCGTTCTCCTTCAGGTTACCCTCTGCCATCCATATACCAGGAGCAACTACACCCCAAACCTCAAACATCAGCTCGCTCAATCTGCGTAGCGGCCGCTGTCGACTCCATATCCAAGGCCTTCGGATTGAGTTCATCATCCAAGACTCCCAACGCCCTCCCACCAAAGAGGAGATCAATCTCCTCCAAGGACTTCTGCTTGGTCTCCTTGAACCAGATGAAGATCGTAGGAATCGTCACAACCACATCTAACGTCGTTAGCAGTGCCAAAATACCAAATATTCAGGACAACCTACTCCAAGCCGCAAAGATAAAGTAAAACTTCCAACCGATCTTCCCCAACGCGATGGGCGAGACCTGACTCCACAGCGTACTAACCGTCCAATTGCCAATACCCGTGGCAAACGCAACCCCTTTTCCACGGATCTGCATTGGCATGACCTCCGACATGTACACCCAGCTGATCGAGCCAAAGGACATGGAGAAGAGGACCGTCACGCTGAAGAGGAAAAAGACGCCGCCAATACTGTAGCCGGTCTTGGTCCCGTCGAGATTCTGCGAGTTCAAGGCGCCTTCACAGATCAGCGCGATGGTGATACCCACAGCGCCGAAGAGAAGCGGACGGCGCCGGCCGACGCGGTCGAGGAAGAAGGTGATGAAGATGAAGTTGGACAGCGGGCCGACGACGTTGTAGATGCCGGTGACGAGGGTTGCGCGGTTCCCGGTGATGCCGAGCGCTTCGTACCTGTAGTGGATTAGCATGGGCAAGATATCGTCTGGAGAGGCTTCATCCTACATGATATTTTGGTAGTAGTTGATCACATTGATACCGGTCATCTGGGTGAACACCTGGACCAGTGTTCCTTGCCTAGTGACAGTTAGCGGAGTCATGTTTAACCGCATAGATCACTTACAGCAACCGAGTCCGCCACTGCGGCACTTTGAACATGACCAGCCAGCCGGGAGCTGTGATCGCCCGCTCCGCGTTGATAGTGGCTTTTATCTCGGTGAATTCCGTCTGGATCCATGCGTCGTTGGCACCGTCGTAGTGGAGACGCTTGAGAATGCGCATGGCCTCGTCGTCCTGGTCTTTCTCGATGAGATGCCGAGGGGATTCAGGGAGCCAGAACATGCCGATGAACAGCATGAACGCGGGAAGGGCTTGGAAAGCGAGTGGAAAGCGCCATTGCACCGTGTTGGTGACGGGGGCATGAAGCGAGCCATAGCCGATCCATCTGGTAGGTTCATATGAGTATTGATCCTGGCGAGAGAGGGGGTATGGGCAACGTACGTGCTGACAATGAAGCCAACCCCGATCATTTGCTGCGCAAGACCAACGATACTGTAGACGTTGTACATTAGCCTCGGTTTGCTCAATCAGGGTGGGTCGATAGTTACAATCCACGAGTCTTTGGATGGGCACATTCAGCCTGGTACACAGGGACTGCCATACTCAGAACGCCCACGGCCCAGCCCGCGACAATACGTCCCACCAGAATCATGGCCAGATTCTGGGCTGCGCACTGCAGGATTGCTCCAATGGTCGCCAACAGCGCACCCATCTGGATTGTTCTTCTACGTCCGAAACGATCGATGGTGAGCCCAGCCGTGAGGGCGCCAACAGCCGCTACTCATCGTCAATACAGGTTTAGGAAGGTGTATCCAGAGCAGAATACTCACCTCCACCAGAAAACGTGCTGTTAATCGCTCCGATGATAGACGACGTCTTGGTCGTGTCAAAGTAGTCGAGGAAGTTCGGCGAAGCAATCACGTCGGTCATGACACCTGCATCATCAGCACTACCCTTGTGCTGTATCCTACGATTGAACAAATACCCGAATCGTAACCGAACAGAAAGCTGCCGGTTGCGGCAAACGTTGCCAGACTGATGGTGTATAGTTTGCCCATGGTGATGCGTCAATGGGTTTGGACTTCTCAGGACGGTAATCATACATAAGCCAACCACGGACTGTAGAGGGATTATATACTATCGTCTCCGAATCACATCGAGCATCCGGGAGAACAAAAAGCCACCAACTTAACTCGACATGATGGCGTTGCGTATTTTGAAACAAGCTCAAGCCACCGCGTAGCATAGCAGGAATGCAAATATCCTAGCGCCATACGTAGACAAGGTGGACTGCTGTAGATCTATGGCTAGGACAAGCTGGGGAAGAATGGCCCCATGGGGTTGGCTTACGCATTTAGCCAGCATTTAGCCATTATTCCGAGGCTATTGGGGGTTCCGGGGTCCCATCTTGAGGCTAACAAAGTGGCGTTTTTAGTCTATCTTCTGTGAGTATCATTCATTTATTTCGGGATTAATTACTCCGCAATTATCCCACCCGTCATAGCGGACATATAAGAGCTTCAAGTTGCTCCGAACTCAACATAGATCAAATACCACTCATCTCAAACACCCACCATGAAGTTCACCGAGGGAATGTGGCTGTTGCGTGTACGCTATTTCCTCGTCTCCTTTCCAAGAGGGCTGTGAATAAGCTAAAACCCGCTACAGGAGGGCATCCAGATCGACTGGATGAACCACGTCGAACGAGCCCACATCACTGAAAACACCGTCGACCTGCTTCTGGCTAAAACACAGCGCCATCGCGGCGACACCCTAAACTCAGGTTTGCACCCCAAGCCCTACAGATCGCCGGGAAGCTAACGAAGCGACAGGGACTCTATCTGCCCATATCTCCTCCCCTGGGGAAGGGATTATCGGCGTGAAGCTGGTGCACTGGTCAGTCCACCTAGTCCATCTCGCGGCTTCTTGAAATGCAGAGCATGCTGACGGTACTAGGGATGGTGGATTGGAGCGCGGACCAGAGTATGAACTGCACAAGACCTCCGCACCGGTGCAGATCGAGAACGAAGACAAGAAACAGATTGTCTACGGCAGCGGTCCTCTAAAGCTGGCCGTGTCCACGTCAGAGAACAACCTGGGCTTCCGCTTCTCCAGCCCCAAAGGCAATCTCACCGGCCATTCGTTCCGCTCGCTCGGATATGTCCGCGACCAGACCACCTCAAAGTCGCAGTATGAGGATGGGATGTTCATGGAGCGCCAGGGTTACATGCTAGCTGGCCTCGATGTGGGCGTTGGCGAGAAGCTCTACGGCCTGGGTGAGCGGTTCAGCCCCTTCCTCCGGAATGGACAGTCCGTGGATATTTGGAACGAGGACGGAGGCACCTCATCCAACCTGGCCTACAAGAATATTCCTTTCTACGTGAGTTCGGCTGGATATGGTGTGTTTATCAACCACGCCGGACGGGTGAGTCTGGAGATGCAATCCGAGCGGACCACCCGCGTCAACATGTCTGTGGCCGGCGAGGAGATCGAATACTTTGTCATTTACGGTCCTACCCCGAAAGAAGTGCTGAAGCGGTATACCCAGCTCACGGGCCAGCCCAGCCTCGTGCCCGCGTGGAGTTACAATCTCTGGTTGACCACTAGCTTCACCACCAACTATGATGAACAGACGGTGACCGGGTTCCTGGATGGGTTCCGCGACAGGGATATTCCGTTAGGAGTGTTCCATTTCGATTGTTTCTGGATGAAATCATTCCAATGGTCTGATTTTGAGTTTGATACCGACATGTTCCCCGACGCGGCTGGATATCTGCAGCGATTAAAGGAACGCGGCCTGAAGATCTCTGTTTGGATCAACCCATACGTTGGTCAGGCGTCTCCTCTGTTCAAAGAAGGGAAGAAGAATGGGTATTTCATCAAGGTTGGTCCAAATCCCCAGCACAGTCCGCCAGCTGCTAATAAAGACAGCGTACCGACGGGTCAGTCTGGCAGTGGGACTTGTGGCAAGCTGGAATGGCAGTCGTTGACTTTACCAACCCTGGAGCGGTCCAGTGGTTCGCAGGCCACTTGGAGCGATTAATGGACCTTGGTGTGGATTCGTTCAAGACCGATTTCGGCGAGCGAATTCCCTTCAAGAACATCTGCTACTATGATAACAGCGACCCCGTCCGCATGCACAACTACTACGCCTTCCTCTATAACAAAATCGTGTACGAGGTCATGACGAACCGGATGGGCAAGTCCCAGGGCCTGCTGTTCGCGCGCAGTGCAGCCCCAGGCGGGCAGCAATTCCCAGTCCACTGGGGTGGTGACTGTGAAAGTACCTTTGAGGCAATGGCCGAGTCTCTTCGTGGAGGCCTTTCGCTGATGTTGTCGGGATATATCTTCTGGGCGTCGGATATCGGCGGGTTTGAGGGGACGCCTGCGCCGGCGTTGTACAAACGCTGGGTCCAGTTTGGCCTGTTGTCGTCACATTCCCGACTACACGGGTCTTCGTCCTTCCGTGTGCCTTGGATTTACGGAGAGGATTGCAGCGAGGTGTTGCGCGACTGCACTAAGCGAAAGATCATGCTTACGCCTTACATGTTGAGTGAAGCCCTGGACGGCCATCGCAATGGCACGCCGCTCATGCGGGCGATGTTCCTGGAATTCCCGGAAGATCTGAATACCTATGCCATCGATACGCAGTATATGTTTGGAAGCAACCTGCTAGTGGCGCCGGTCTTTAGCGAGGAGGGTCATGTAACCTTCTACGTTCCCTACAGCGCCGACGATACTCAGAGCAAGTGGAGATCTTGGTTTGACCATTCCAAGACGTATGAGCCGGGCAGATGGTACACGGAAACTCATGGGTTTGACACCCTGCCCATCTTCATCCGGCCAGGGTCCATCACGCCGGTCAACCGCAGCCTCAAAGCACCGGAAGACGATGCCTTGAATGGGTTGGAACTGTTGGTCAATGGTAAGATTGGTGGTCAGCGGGATATTGAAATCGTTGATCCGGCCAAGACCCATGAGATCTTGAAGGTGATTCAAGTCACGCCTTCGGACTTGGCTGAAAAGGTCGTCGTGAATGTGGAGGGAATCAAGATCACCCAGCTGGAGGGCAACTGATTGCCTTTATCGAATGATGGGCTTTGTTCTCTTCTACATTGCATATAGAGATCTCTCCTCCATGCAACGAATAAACACCATGCATTGGATTTTATCTGCCTGCCTGATGATTCGCGGTCGCGATCGACTTGGAAGACCGTACTAGATGATAGAGAAACGCCTCCCTTGTCAATATGGAGAATTCGCATCAGTGGATGATCGATGTGTAGTGGTCGGCCTCTACACACGACGCCGCAATACGAAGTCCTAGGACAAACCAGGTATAGCCAATTCTGAGTTTTTTAAGCTCCCCGTCGAAAGATCTCGCTCTGCAACTGTGGTCTTTCTATACTCACAGCCAGTCACACTATATACCTTTGCCTTAGCTTGGTGCTTCCCGTCACGGCTTCTTCTCCTGTTAACCACAAAATGCATTTAGAAACCTTTCATTATAAGACAGACCACTCCCTACAAACTGTGACAATCGCAAAGCCTCCACGGCAAATCCCCTCTACTGAGGGCTACTGGGTTATGTACTCCTCCCACCAGCTTCTCGGAATACCTTGACCACCTCGGCCAAAACCCCGACACGACCCCACCCTAGATTCCGTATCTACTCACTAATATACTGACTAGACTCATCCGTGGCGGCGCCTGGCATGACCCAATCCAAGCCTCACTCGACTTCCTCACCCCTACTATAACAGCCCTCGCCTCCTCATGTGGCACTGTTTCTCTCCCCATCGCTGCATTTGCATCTATCTCCTACCGTTTAGGCCCTCACCCAGACAATATCCATGACGTCCAAGCTGCCCTCGCTTCCCTGCAGCGCAAATTTGGATTTGGTTCCAGATACATTTTTGTTGGGTGTAACTGCGGTGCCACGCTCGCCTTTCAGTCCGTGATGGGCCGGTTTCGCTCTAAAGAATCCGAGTGGACATATGCATCTCCAGCAGTGATCGTGGGAGTAGCGGGTGTTTATGATCTAAAGATGCTCCAGAACAGCTGCAAGGATGATCCTGCATGTCAAAGTTTTATCGAGCGTGCATTCGGATCGGACGAGGCTGTTTGGGATGATGTCTCTCCTGCTACCGTGGAGGGGTTGGATGGTGTTGAGGGCGGATGGGATGCGGGTCATTATGCTCTTCTTGCGGATCCACGTACAGCCGGACCTATTGAGCTTGCTCAGAGAGATGCAATGAAGGACGGTGCGTTGGCTCGGTGGTTGCGCGCTGGCGGCTCCGGCGATAGGAGGATTGGGAGGCTTCCGCTTGATGGCGAGGGTAGCGAGGTCTGGGGAAATGGAGGGGAACTTGCCAGAGCCATTACGTTTGCTCATGAAAGATTACAGATGGTGATAACTCACATATCCGAAATGAAGCAATTAAGCTCGCAGGCCGAGTGATTGCGCAAGATATATTTGTTCCTACAATTGCTCCAAACCCACCGGGGCAAGGAATTACAACGTGCATACTGAACTCCATCAGCACTCAATATTGTTGAGAAGGGGTGACTATCATCTAGCGTAAGGGGGAACACTGGAAAAAAGTCTGCGTGCGATGTATCTCCCGACCAAATAATCGTCCTAGGATCCTTTAACTTCCCAATCGAGTAAACCAAGAAACAGCACGAGCAGGACGGAATGAATCCCTCGCTGATCCTCCTGACAGGCGCAGTCAAGCATGTCTCTCCCCAACCGAGACAAGGCCCCAACCGCGACTAATTCCTTCTGGTGGCAAAGTATCCCTCGACCATTCATTCCCTCAGACGGCCGTCGGATACAGGACGCACAGGAAGAATCTGGTTGATACTTATCAAAGAGTGTCTCTATGCCGCTCATTCCGCGTCCGTTGTTGTATACCCTGACCAGCCTCTGTCATCAGACATGCCCCAACCCGAGGTCCTAATCAGTATGCCATATCAAAGCCAGGGTCCAGATGAAAGATCCTGTTAAAAGATACTCCGACAATGTCCATCATTACCTGGCCGGCAACCGGCAGCAGAGCAGCTCAACCGGGCCGGCAGTACTCAACTTGCAGAAGGATTCTGGTGCATGTCCCTTCTTCCTTCGACAACGACGTAGAACGGGGATCCCAATTTGGATAGATTGATGAGTTACTTGCTTGGGCTACGCTCCCTCCTGCTGGAGCACCGTCTTTAGTTCTGCAACCCTGCCAGGGGCCGTGGGCCGGCATGGCAGCCACCAGGATGCGCTAAGCCGTTAGCACGGTTTCTTCTTCTTCAAGACTGGATGCGTAATAACGACAGACTGCCAGGATCTGAGGGCGTTCCAGATCGGCGATGGGGTCCTGGTGTGATGCGTCTCTACAGTATGAATACTACGTGGGAAAGGGGATCATGGAGTAGGTATGGGGGTATATAAACTGGTCAAATCGCGGATGTCTGCAATCACTCACTTGGTATTCAACTGCACCATCTCTCCTCTGTTTGTTGAGAAGCTCGTCTTTGCTTTCCGCACAATGCGTTGGACAATCGCTGCCACTGCCCTATCGCTGGGCACTCTTGGTGATGCCGAGCTGCTCCACGAGCGCTTCCATCGCATGGGACGGAGTCCAAACTCGACCAGTACCACCATCCCGAGTCCTCCCAAGCCCTCCAACTCGAGCATCCCGCTGCATCCACATAACTCCACCGACTGCCTGTCTCTACAGAGCCTCAACCAAGCGGACTGGCAGCAATCCAATACGGGCACATGGCTGGACAACTGGTGGACCGCGAACGCGGCCGCAATCAGCCAGAACGGGTTCCTTAACACGTTCGCTGAGCTGGCACTGAACGACCCGGGCTGGACCTGTCCCATCGATGGCACTTGTCAAGTCCCATGCATTCCGGTCAAGCAGACAGGCGTTCAAGGGAACCTGCTGGCCCGCGCTGATCCGCTGGCGAGCAGTACGCAAACTGGATATGTTGCCAACTCCCTCAGCAACCTGCAAACCCAGTTCAACACGTTGTACAGCATCCTCAACAGCGCGGGCACCAAGACAAGTTTAGACATCAACAGCCTGGTCCAGAACTTCTGGTACGACGGCAGTCAAGACTCCACCATGGATCTGTCCGAGGGTCTTCGTTCGTTCGGCTTGATTCTTGGTCTGGGCGCTGCCATTGCAACGGGCGGTGCTGTGATGCCGGCGGCCGTGGCGTCCGCGCTGTTCAGTAACGTCGTGACTCTGGTGTTTGGTGGTTTGCCGTCGCCGTAAGTAGCCCCCTTGAACTAACGATCACATATGATACAAGACATGCATACTAATCTCGATCCTGCACTAGTGGTGACCCCTACCTGATCAAGGCCAGCGAGGTAGGCCACGAGATGAGCAACTACATGGAGGACTGCGAGCGCGGCCTCCAAGACTTATACAACAACCTGACGAGCGGAAACCCCCTCGGCGACTCGTCGGACCTCCGCGACATCCTATCCGACGGATCCTTCCTGTCCAGCCACTACTTCGACATGTCCCAAAACATGACGAACGCGTTCAAGTCGACCGTGATTAACTACCTGTGGCGCCAGTCCAAGGTGTTCATCCTGGGCGGCGCCTCCTGCAGCGAAGACCAGGGCATCGGTTCCACCGGTTCCAAGGAAGGATACGAGATGATCTGGTGGTGCGACGACGACAACAAAGCCTGGTATCTCTACAGCTACCAGTGGGGCGTTGGCTCTGGCCTCGAAGCCGGTCGATCTATCTCCTGGGTTAGTCGGCCCTGGGGCGCCGACCGCATGGGCAGCCATCCGTATCTGTCGACCCATGGAGGCAGCGGTCCATACTGGGAAGACCTCAATCCTTGGGTAAGCTGGCTCTTGCTTCCTTAACACTCGCACTTCTTTGGCCCCCTATACTGACTGGTGCAGAACGTAGTCATCTCATCCGTCAAGTCCTGGAGAGTCGCAGGCTACAACTACACCACGGAGACGTGGCGCTCGCGAATCAACGACATGTACAGAGCCGGTGCGAACCCGTGGTTCGAAGGCAATGCGATGGAGGGCCTGTGGACGATCCCCGTATGCAATATTGCCGAGACCGTCAACAGTGATTGGTACGGCAAGGAGTCCATCCTGATGCCTTATGGCTACGATTCGCGTCCCAAGTGGTGTGGATATATCTGTGACAACAACAAGGAGACCACCCAGGCCTTCTTTGACGCGGCTCACTTGATGGACGGTGATAAACGGCCTTTCTCTGAGACATGTCCGAATAATTTCTGATTCCAGAGTGCTTGAGTAACTTGGTAGGGAGTGTTCTGCTCATCTCTTTCCCAGTAAACGACGGGAATGTCTGCCTTTCTTTCTTATCTATCTCCATTTTCTTCTATTCTGCCAGGGCCTTTGAAGCCCCTGTTACGTCGTATAGCCCTTCGCGGAATATGTCGGCCTATATAGTACGCTCTGTACCATAACATCTCTTTTTTCTCTTACCGTGCATGACCTTCATCAATACAGATTAATGTTGGTTTCTGATCTAACAATATAAAAATGACGTGACCGATAATTGTATATTGTTCACGAACCCATTTTTGACTTCCTCGGAAGTCGATCGTACATGTATCTTTGGTATCATGCCAAACGAAGTCAGTCTCCAAACGCCTGTGGTATGCTCATAAGAACAGAAGAAAAACAATAGCAGCAAAGGCAAAGCCCCAGCGACATTACGGACGCGGAGGCGGACCCATCTTGCCCTCTCCCGTGTCGACCTTCTTTTTCGGAGGCAAGGCCGGGACCTTGAACCCAGCACTGTCGGTCTGCGATGTCGTATTGGTAGAGCTCTGGTTGCCACCAACCTGCGTAAACGTGCCGGACTTGAACCACCGATCTTCCTCGGCCTTGCGCTTCCGATTCAGCTCCGCCTGTACCTTGGGGTCCACGAGCTCCAGTCCCTGTACCGGCGTAAACGCAATAGTACTAGCCGTTCCAGCGCTGCTGCCCAGATTGCCGACGCCAGACGTGCGCAGCCCTTTAGCCTGCAGTACACTCGCCGTGCCAGACATACCCTGGCCGAATCCGCGCAGAGACGACGCTGTCCCGCTGACAGGCGTAGCGGTACCCCAGCCCTTGTTGTTCTTGGAGAGTTTGGCGCGAGTCCGCTGATCGATCTGCGTCGCGCGAATCCGCCCATCGTTCTGTTGACCCAGCATGCCCAGGCCGACGGTTCCCTCGCCCGTACCGTATCCAACCTCCGCTTCCTCCTTGCCAAACGCAACGCGATTCTGGGCCTTGCGGAGCTCCGTCATGGCCACAGCCTCCTTCGCCTTTCTGGCGCGGCGACCACCGCGCTTCCGGGACGGCTTGTCATCGGGGGCGGGCAACGCCTTGACACCCGCGTTGGGGGCCGGCTCGGTCAGCTTCTCCAGCCGCTGGAAGCACTCTTGTTTCAGCTCTTCGCCCAGCGAGCCATCGGGGCTGTACTTGGAGACGTCTGCGCGGGTGGCGAGGACCATCTTCGCCGCGACAATGCGCATCGCCTGTCTCTTCAGGTCGTTGGGGATCTCCTGGATGATCGGCGAGTTGTAGAGGAAGCCCTGCGAGCGGATTCCGATATTCGTAGCAAAGCCGAGCCCCTCCGTTCGCTTCGATCCCTGCGCCGCGAGGTTGCATGCGGGGATCTTCGCCAGCTCGCGCAGCCCACCCGTCTGGTTGAGGAACTGGGCGGCCGTCTCGGGACCGATCAGCGCGGCCAGGTTCGGCGCGATCTGGCTCATGCGCGACTGGATGCTCTGTGTGAGTGCCGTGCGCTCGCGGTCGAGCTTCAGAATCCGCTCGCAGGTGTCCATCACAATCTTCAGCTCGGCGTCGGTCATCTCCCGGCCGCGGGTGGTTGTACCCTCAACGGCGACGACCATCAGTGACGGGCCGTCCAGGATGGACTTCAGCGGGGCGCCGACCGGGTTGTCGGCCGACGTGGACAGGCCTTTAATGTCGTTGAGCGGGCCATTTTTCAAGATGGCAACGGTCTTGGCGTAGTCGATGGGATTCGTGATCAGGGTTTCTAGCTCGGGAAATCGGATCGAATAGTGATCGCGCAGGACTTTGTGTAGTCGTGTCAGCTCGTCGCCCGTCGAAATGGCGACTTCAAACTCGTTAGTGACCTCCGGTGCGGACTGCTGCTGTTGGTGCTGCTGCTCCTCGTCCACATCTTCGTCGATGGCTTCGCCGCCCTCCTGGAGGTCCTCGTCGTCATCTTCAAAGTCCCGCAGAAGTTCCTCAGCATTCGACATGGTGACGGCGGCGGTACAGCAACAAGTGAGCTATTGCAATGAGGTAGGGTGAGTGAGACTGGGAGAGTTCAGTTGCTGCTTGCCTCCGTCACTTTTCAAGAAGAGCTTAGTCATCCACGTTCCCGGGTGGCGAGACGGACCACCAACGCAGCTTTCTGACTTTTGGGCCGCATCGTGGAATTTATCTTGACGACTATCTCATTCATTCAGTGGTTTCCACTGCCACGTATCTGTCAACACCACCCGGCACTCTGCCAGGGGAGCACCCTCCTGCAAAGCATTGACTTCATCATCACCCCAGGACACAATACTTTGCACTTTCCAACCTAATCGAACGATACGTGACCGCGACACCCACCATGGAGACCTCTCGCGGCCCTCCGCGGGTCAAGAACAAGGCCGCAGCGCCTATCCAGATCTCAGCGGAGCAGCTGCTCCGCGAGGCCGTGGACCGACAGGAGCCGGCGCTGGCGGCGCCGACGCAGCGGTTCGCGGATCTGGAAGAGCTGCACGAGTACCAGGGGCGCAAGCGCAAGGAGTTTGAGGACTATGTGCGGCGCAACCGGATCAACATGAACAACTGGATGCGGTATGCGGCGTGGGAGCTGGAGCAGAAGGAGTTCCGGCGGGCGCGGTCGATCTTCGAGCGCGCGCTGGACGTCAACCCGACATCGGTGGTGCTCTGGATCCGGTACATCGAGGCGGAGATGCGCAACCGCAACATCAACCACGCGCGCAACCTGCTCGACCGCGCGGTCACCATCCTCCCGCGCGTCGACAAGCTCTGGTACAAGTACGTCTACATGGAGGAGACGCTCGGAAACATCCCCGGCACGCGGCAGGTGTTTGAGCGGTGGATGTCGTGGGAGCCGGACGAGGGCGCCTGGAGCGCCTACATCAAGCTGGAGAAGCGGTACGGCGAGTTCGAGCGCGCCCGCGCCATCTTCCAGCGCTTCACGATCGTGCACCCCGAGCCGCGGAACTGGATCAAGTGGGCGCGCTTCGAGGAGGAGTACGGCACGAGCGACCTGGTGCGGGAGGTTTACGGCGTGGCGATTGAGACGCTGGGCGAGGACTTCATGGATGAGAAACTGTTCATCGCGTATGCCAAGTTCGAGGCGAAGCTGAAGGAGTATGAGCGGGCCCGGGCGATCTACAAGTACGCGCTGGACCGGCTGCCACGGTCGAAGGCGATGACGCTGCACAAGGCGTACACTACGTTCGAGAAGCAATTCGGTGACCGCGAGGGCGTGGAGGATGTCATCCTGTCGAAGCGCCGGGTGCAGTACGAGGAGCAGCTGAAGGAGAACCCGCGCAACTACGACGTGTGGTTTGACTTTGCCCGTCTGGAGGAGACCTCGGGCGACGCAGACCGTGTGCGGGACGTCTACGAGCGGGCAATCGCACAGATCCCGCCGTCGCAGGAGAAGCGACACTGGCGACGATACATCTACCTGTGGATCTTCTACGCTATCTGGGAGGAGATGGAGGCGAAGGATATGGACCGCGCGCGCCAGGTTTATAACGAGTGTTTGAAGCTGATCCCGCACAAGAAGTTCACGTTCGCCAAGGTGTGGCTCATGAAGGCGCAGTTCGAGATCCGACAGATGGAGCTGCAGGCCGCGCGGAAGACGCTGGGCCAGGCGATCGGCATGTGCCCGAAGGACAAGCTCTTCCGCGGATATATCGACCTCGAGCGGCAGCTGTTCGAGTTCGTGGCGGTGCCGGACGCTGTATGAGAAGCAGATCGAGTGGAACGCGTCGAACAGCCAGGCGTGGATCCAGTACGCGGAGCTGGAGCGCGGGTTGGACGACACCGAACGGGCGAGGGCCATCTACGAGCTGGGCATCGACCAGCCCACGCTCGACATGCCGGAGCTGGTGTGGAAATCGTACATCGACTTTGAGGAGTACGAGGGCGAGTACGACCGCGTGCGGCAGCTGTACGAACGGCTGCTGGAGAAGACGGACCACGTCAAGGTATGGATCAACTACGCGCGGTTCGAGATCAACGTGCCGGGCGAAGAGGAGGAAGAGGAAGAGGACGAGGAGCGGCCGATCAGCGAGGAGGCCAAGCGGCGCGCTCGGGCGGTGTTCACGCGCGCGCACAAGCTGTTCAAGGAGAAGGAGCTCAAAGAAGAGGTAAGCCATCCGTCATCCCGTCATCTCATCGCAATGCTAATCCTGTACAGCGCGTGGAACTCCTCAATGCATGGCGCTCGTTCGAACACACGCACGGATCGCCGGAGGATATCGACAAGATCGAGAAGCAGATGCCGCGGCGGGTCAAGAAGCGGCGCAAGCTGGACGACGACCGCTACGAGGAGTACATGGACTACGTGTTCCCGGCAGACGACCAGTCGGCGGCGAACCTGTCGAAGCTGTTGCAGAAGGCGCACCAGTGGAAGCAGCAGCAGGGGCAGGCCTGAAGGCTGGGCTTTGTACATTGTACGGAATAATTCGATGCGTATGCAATATAATGATAATGATTCGTGTCGGCCCACCATCCTACGTACAGCACACTACCTCATCCTAATCAACTACAGCTTCGCACTTCGCTCCTCCCCAGGCCCATGACAAACCTCAAAGACCTGATACTCGACAGCGCGCACATCCGCCTCACGGACCCAACGTCCGCGTCCAACCAACATCGTCCGCTCCAACCACTTGAACCTCGGTGCTTCACCGATCAGCCCATCCCCCAGCACAAACAGTGTAAAAAAAACCAAACTCACCGCTCGTCTCGATAACCAGCCTCGTCCACCAGTCATGGTCGCCGTACGCGGTGGTGCGCGCGTTCGGCCGCCCGCGCCATGAACCTGCGCGCATCCGCATCCAGCCCCAGATACCCGGTGTACTGGACGTAGACGCCGTGGCCGTCTAACAGGGGGGG